CACACTCTCTGCAATATTAATGCTATGATAAGAGCCGACTAGCCAGGGGATGCTGAGTAGAAACTGATATAGCTTCCCATGTATATTAATAAAATAAACCACTAGGCTGTAGAGACTAAGGATGTTACGTGACTACCATATGTTAAAGGATATATTAACCTTTCCTTGTACTATTTTAAAAAGCTCTACAATCACACCCTTATAGCCCTCCCAATCCTTTATAATCCAATCCCGAATTGTTTTGCGAGTAGGAAGACAGCCTGCTTGTTTCAGGCTTTTATTGGCACAAAGCATTATCTCTTAAAATGCTGGGCTATCTACCTGATCAAATACAACATTATCAAAGACTATCCAGCGTGTAAGGAGCTTTTTAAATCTTTTAGGATTCAAAGAGGATATAAAAGAGTTGATAAGACGCTGTTCTAGTGGCCCATAATTAAAAAGCTGTTTAAAAATCGGAGACCGTTTTTGTATTGGCCCTTTCTCTGTAAGTTGGTGGTGTTTTTCAAGGTGCTCTATTAGGCGTTTAGTAGAGCTGTTTTTCCAGATATATCCAGTACCCTTCTGCCTAGGCTTTAATTTAAGGCAGCGCTTGCAGACAGCATACTTAATAGTTAATACCTGTTGCTGTTTCCTTAATCTTATACATCTGAGTCCATATCCATGCTCTGCGACCTAGTTTTGAGTGATAAGGAACCTGAAATCCAGGAAATAGGTCCCAGTTAAAGTTACTATAGCCAGTTTTTTCTATATTATAGGAGGTGTCAACTTCAACGGCCTCACTGCTATATTCGGATGTCCGCTAAGTCTTAGAGCTATTATCTTACTGTGAGTAGCAAATACGCTAGGTAATTGACTCTCACTATTTAGAGAGTGAGACATAATGTTAGTAGTAATAATATAGGTAGGTTATCATTAGATTTATAGGTTCTGATTAGGAGGTTGTCTAAATTAATTGTATTTAGAAAGATGTTCTGCCCAACCCCGCTATAAGGGGTATTGGGTATATATTGTCAGATATACGACTAGTCCCGAAGATGAAATAGAGTACGATTGATGAAAAGGTTTTATTTGAATGAATTAAGCTGGTTGGGCTCTTCTTGATTATTCTTCTTGGTTATTCCTGCTTGATTATTTTGTTATGTGCTCTGCGGGGTTTTTACCCCGATCCAGTCACATGATTCTGGTCCACCAACGGCCATATTATTTGACATATATTCTTATAACGTCCTAATCAGGACCAGTTACAAATCAGTTCAGTTCAGTTCAGGGCGGCCCTAAATGCCCGCCCTATTCCCATCCCTGCGCTATTAGAACTGGTTAAAGATTAAGAAGGTAGATAAGATTTACTATATCCACATTAATCGTCGAATTCTAGACCGAAAGAAGGAAGCGAAGGAGAAAATAAGGAAGCAGATTAATAAGCTAAATAATAAGGAAGCCCTTAAGCTTAAAGAATCACTACCAGAGATCATAGAGACTGGAGGTAGTGGTAAGTTTAGGGATGGAGAAGCCGTAGCACACCTACCAACACCGCTTTTCAGCGTTGTGGGTAGGCCGCACCCCAACGCAACTTCGCAGCCCAACGCAACTTTTGAAGTTATTCAGCTATTTTTCATCACCACCAACATGCCTGAGCAATATATCGAAGTGGAAAATCGTATTATTAAGGCCTGCGAAGCACTCAGGCGCTCAAAAAAACCCAACATCGCAGCTACTGCGCGTGAGTTTCAAGTGCCAGTCACGCGGCTTTGGGCACGTTTCAACGGCCGTGACTCTCGATCAACTCGTACAATCACTACTAAGCGATTAAATCAATCGCAAGAGGATGCCTTAGTTCAGTGGATTCGGCAGCTTGATTTAGTTAATCTTTCTCCCACTGCAAGCACAATTACTCAATGTGCGAATGCGGTAATCGCCCGAAACACGAAGCCAAATTAACTCCCGCCACCACCAGTTGATAAAACATAGGCTTATCGCTTTATACAGCACCTCCCTCCTGATTTAACGCTTGTTAAGCAAAAGCTAATCGAGCGTAAGCAAATAGAGGCCGAGGATATTAGAATTCTCTCTATTTGGTTTGATAAACTTCAGCCATTTGTTGAGAGAATACCACCAAAAAATATCTATAATTTTGACGAAACTGGCCTTCAAATCGGTCAAGGGAAAGCTTAGAAGGTCGTTACTAGCTCGGCATCTTGTAAAAAAGCATCAAAGATAGCTACAGGTGATGCCGGGCAAACAATTACTGTTATTAAGTATATCTCAGCAGCCGGCGAAGTACTTCCCGCATATTTTATTATTATTAAAGGGGAGCACCACTTAGAGATGTGGTATCATGACCAGCTAACTATTCCTAATAATTATCAATTCGCGCTCTCGCCAAAGGGCTACACCAATGACGAGATTGGCCTTAATTGGCTTCAGTTTTTTGATCTTCACACGAAGAAAAATGTTATTAAAAACGAGGAGCGACTTTTTTTAATAGCCATGGATCACATCTTACATATGAATTTCTACAATTTTGCAAGCAAAAAATATTATACCCTTCGCCTTTGTCCCACATACTACTTATCTTACTCAGCTACTTAACAGCAAGCTATTTCTCGCATTTAAAACAATTTCCGAAATAAAAATAACCAGGTGGTTCGGTGGGGGGGATCAGTTAACAATAAACATAATTTTTTTTGAGATATTGCAGAGGTCCGAGATAAAATATTTAAATCTCGTACAATTAGACATTCTTTTGCAGATCGAGGCATTTATCCGTGGGACTTATCAAAAGTCATCCAGCCACTTCTTAACGCAGAAGGTCTAACTCAAGACCTTAAGTGGCCTGATAGCGAGCGTAATACACCTCCACTAAGCTCTAGTCTTACAGTATCTCCAATTCTTACTCCTCGAAGCGCTTAAAAAAGTGTTGAGAAAACCAGGAAACTTCTTTAAAACAAGATTAATCCTTGGCTTAGGCGCGACTCGAGCAGCACTTTCAACGTGACCAAATCGCAGCCGAGCTTATCGCTCAAAATCAAGCTGATTTAAAGCAGCTTCTTACTCTTCCTGAGGCTTAAAAAAAGCCTAAATCAAAGCGTCATGTCCAGGCATCAGGTCCTATTAATAAATCCGACGCTACACATAAAATTTGGGAGCGAGACGAAAAAGAATCCCGGAGGGGCACCAAACGAAAGGCCGCAGTTTTGCCGCCAGCTCACGCACAAGAAGATCCCTTCGCGAATCTTATACCGGGTCAGTGGGATCCTACATATCCACAGCTTATCAACAATGCTATTTTTTTTTTTTGTAGATAGTACAGGAGAAAGCCATAGGATAGCTGAATAACTTCAAAAATTGCGTTGGGCTGCGAAGTTGCGTTGGGGTGCGGCCTACCCACAACGCCACAAGCTGAAAAGCGGTGTGGGTAGGTGTGCTACGGCAACTACTGAAGAGAAAAAGAGATCTATTGGATGTGTGAGTGAGAGAGTGCTGGGGTCAGTGACCTGAAAATATATATTTCTAGGGACCCGTAAAGTATAATGTAAATTATCAAAATTTACGGTCAATTTACCGGTAAATTATAATTGTTAATTTACGTAAATTTACACTGGCCATCCCTACCTGAGGGTTCATATGCAAAGAGGAAGCTCTATTTACCTGATCGATCCTCGATTCACAAGAGGATTTATATAATGTGGAAGGGAACGTGCGGGATGTAGGATTACCATACAGAACGATTGAAAAATTGGGCACGGGCCTAGGGGTACGTGGGAGGAATGTATTCTTATTCGGGGTACGGAGTACGCGGGAGAAATTAGGTGATATATTTTTAGTACATGCTTAGTTACAAAACTTTACGTCTATTTGTTGTTGAGATATTCGAAGCATAAAAAGTGCCATTTTTATATGTAAAGCAATTCAACCCACCCAGTTTAGCCCTAGATATAATATCTATTACGGTGATTACTGAGTTCTGGACATTCAATCTTGTTGATCAGGATGCCACAAGATGGCCCCCAAACAATAGGCTCTGTAAAAAACAATTAGCCCATGATGTCTAGCTTGACAGCCTTGCTGATTTTTTATGGATCGAGTGATGTGATTGTAGATCATAGCCGTCTTGGGACATTTCCAGCGGATCCTTTCCCTCTCTGACATGATCATAGCTATTTAACTAGAGGTTTGTGGGCTATTTATTGTGCAACTCCCCATCGAGGCACCCGGGCCTCATATTAAGACAAACATGGGCTTGAACCCAATTGGAGGAAAGAAAAAAAAGAGAAGCTGGCAAGGAGAAAATTAGAGAAACTCATAAGAATGAAACAATCCGACATGGGCCATCGCAACCCTAAAAGGACCGGCAGACAGACTAACTGGGATCATTTGCTATCCTTGCACCTAGACCATCCAATTAGGCCTACCTTGCACTGGAGCACTCATTTTACTTACTTTTTTTTCTTTTCTTTCTTTCTGTTGTGATCTCAGGGGTAAAGGGCAGATTGAAGTTGTATCAGTTACACTCACGTAGCCTACTGATGATCGGATGCCGTACAATAGATACTCTATTATGTCATTTATCTATAGACGACTATCTCACTTGCATGGACCGCTTGTTCGCTTGCCTATCTCTTACTAACAAAGAGGGGTAACATGGGGGCGGCGATCAGCCGAGCCACTAGGTCTCATAGAATTGTATCACTTTCTAAATAGTCTACTCCATAGGGGCGGGTTCTTTACGTGCACCAGTTCTAAGACTGCATCTTATCACTTAGCAACAGCCCTTACGGCTTAAATCCCAACTTCACACGCTCTGCTTCTATCTGTGTTCCCGCTGTCCATTTCTAGCTCTTTTCCCTTTTTTTTTTTTTTTTTTTTTTTTTTTTTTTTTTTTTTTTTTTAATTTTATCTTCGCATTGCACCTACCACCCTCTCAACTCTCCTCCAACCCATGCCTTTTGGGCGTCTTTATACCGCCCCTAATCTCTTCCATGAGAGAAAAACCGACAATGTACCTACTGTCACTTCTCTACGCGCTTGCCATTACCGGCTTTAGCGTCGCGGAAAAGTGCTACTGGCCAAATGGCAAGGAAGCAGAGGACAACTGGGTCCGCTGTCCGGGCCGAACACACTGCTGTGCGTCCGGGGAAGCCTGTCTCTCCAACAATCTCTGCTACGAGGCACACTTGAATATCGCATATCGCGGGGCCTGTTCCGACATTTCCTGGCCACTAAGCACCTGTCCCCGCGTATGCTACGAAGGTAAAGTGTGCAATATATATCTCCTCGCGCCAGGTTTCCGGGCCAATCTAATCGTTGAAAATAGAGGTTCCTGATCTCTGGGCGAACATGTACGCCTGCCCAAACAATACGAATCAAGTGTTCACATGCGGAAGACCTGGTGGGTGGGTGAGGGAAGTCTGTAATGATCAGATGGCTACATATACGTGGGATCCTAAGCCGACATATTCAATTGCCTATGTCGAATTGCCGTCGACTTCGGCTAATGCTTCTTCATCGGCGACTACAACCCCCGTTCCTACGAGTACATCTCGAATCAGCTCCACGAGAGCTGGAAACACGACCCCTACGTCCGAAAGACGCGGAAGCTCAGGTAATGCGGTGGCACTGGGAGCTGGTCTGGGAGTTGGGCTCGGTGTCCCTCTTCTCTTGGTCTCACTTGGGTTCCTGTTACTGTGGTCTCGGACAAGGAAACGAGCGCAGGCGCAGGCTATGACCCAGAATCCATTGATTGCTCCTGGTAAAACTGTGTACAATGCCCCGGCAAGGGAGATGGACGGGTCAGAGCGACCTCGGGAGTTGCAGGGGTGATCGATTTTTACTTTCTCTAGCTTTTGTTCAAGTTACTGGAGCAAGGATGCTTGGTATGTAATATAGTATTAATGATTTTTATGAGTGATAAACCGGTATCAAATACGATTTATCAGAGCTCAATTATCCCCCAATAACCACTGTCCTCAGAATCACCACCGATGAATCACATAGTATTACCAGCTAAATATCGTTCTAGTCCGATACCTCTACTTTCTTTTGCGCGGTTTCAGTGGACCGCAGCGAGCATTGCTTGGCAGTCTAGTATCGCATAGCCTGAACACCCCTTTGTGGCTGCATCCACAGGTGCAAACTATCAGCTCGTAGTAGTAGCACCTTTTATTCTATTAGCATCTGTAAACCTTTCAATGAAGCCTTTCATAGCGCTGAACTTACATAGCAGCTTGCCAGAGGGATCAAACGTAGAAAACCGTTCAAATGTTACACGCAACCTGGGTTGACAACGCCCTCAGGTGCAGATTTAAGTTCGAATGCTGAAGAGATGGGCTCGCTGAAAAGGTGAACGGAACGCAAATAAGTGCTTTCAGAGTCTATTGCATCTGCCCTTCAGTATATGCAGCCCACAAGGAAGGCACCGAATGACCTATGCCTTAGGACCTGGGTGTTGTAGATAGATCTCATATACTAAATACTGCTTTCAAGAGATTGATGGAAGCAAATTCCATAAAGTTATGTGACCGGTTGGTCATCCTATGATGCAAACATAATTAACTTGAGGCCATGGGACTTTTCAGTGATCAATATCCTGTTACCATTAACTCTGACCTATGATGGCTTCAGGCATAGCATATTTTTGGGCAGAGCCAGCTCGGGATGTTCTTAATCTATAACCTCAGTGAGGCAAGGCCAAGATAAGATTGTATATGGCTCCACAAAACAGAGCATCAAACGCCAACCTGCCATGGACACCCCTGCTGGTTGGCTTCCAGTCGAGCTAGTTCATGAAATCCTTCTCGAACTCGACCCAGTCAGTCTTGGAAAGCTGCATCGAGTTAATGCCCGCGATATTTGCGCGTCATGCAAGCTGCAAAGTGCGCCTCACATTTCTCTATTCGACAGCTATTTGCAGAGCTATGCCACCCCTGGTGCCGGACATGTACTGATTCTGGCCCTTTTATTTACATTCCAACAGTATCCCGCTCATGCTGTCGCTGTAGTCGTATCCGAACCCCAGCACCAATTGGCTTCTCTTGTCGTCCGATTCCACATGGATCTGTCGGAGGAAGACATCAGATCGCTTCCAAACATGCGCATTCACCGGCTGAGACATGAAGGGAATTGACAGCGTTGAATGATTGCAATTAAGCCAGGATGGAGGACAGTATCTGACTGACCCTCTCATTAAAATCCAACTCCACAACATCACTCGTAGCCTCCTTACGCCCAAACCTACCGCCACAGCACGAGCTTTGAAGCAAGACCCTTCATACAGGTTAAGATCCGACTTCGCATCAACAATGAACACACCTAGCACCAAGTTAGCATTCAAGGCTCTCTTTATAGCCGTGTACATGCCCTCGAATCCAGCCTGCCTAAGATACTCATACTTCCCAATCTGACTAGCACCAGCAACACACCCAACATACAGCGCCACGTTTTAGTAATATGATCCAGGAGTAGCTCTCTAGCCAGAATATCGCCGATCGCGATCCTTCCGCCGGGCTTCAGTAGGTGAGCAATCTCTTTAAAAACGGCCGCTTTGTCGGTAGGCGGGACCGATTGATGACACAGTTGTTGATGATGCAGTCGACGCTGGAGTCTGGCAGCGGTATGGAGTTGATATTTGCTTCGATGGATTTTGCATTGGAGAGCTCTGCTTTTTGGATATTCTTTTCGGAGAGTTCGACCATACTCTTTGTCTACTATCAGTCCTGGTCTCTGCAGAAAGAGGGCCTCAAGAACTCACTTTTGTCATATCAACGCGGATGGTCTCTCCATTAGGCCTGACTCTACGAGTCGCTAGGAGTACATCAATGCCGCTGCTGCTGCTAAGGTCCAGAACTGTCTCACCCTGCTAGAAAGTTAGAACCTTCCATTTGTCACCGTGGAAACAAATCAATCAAGGAAACAACAAACAGACCTCTTTCACATTGGCAAATCCCACCGGATTTCCACAGCACAAGCCAAGATTAGTCTTCTCTGGCAGTGAACTAAGATCTTCCGCAGTCAGACGGAGAGCGAGAGCGATGCCTTAAAAGATATGAGCAGTGATCTCGACCTACTTGAGGATGGATCCCTCTTGGGTAGGGCGCTAAATTCCACTCTGTCATAATTTTCCAACCCCATGCATATGATCTAACCCACCCATCTCCTCCTTGGCCTCAATTTACTAGGGCCCATTGAGAGCACAATTCCAGAAGACAATCCCCGACTCGAGTTTCATCCATTACTATCCATATCTCCCGATAAATTTACGGATTTCCTTCAGCAAACCAGCTGCCTCCAATTTCCCTTGAAGTCGAGTCAGATCCTCGATCCTTACTTCTTCTACCGGAGAAGGATGTAACAGACACGACCCTAATCCAGAGTTATCGAGAGATGAGTATCAAGATACAACCGTGTGCGCTGTGACCCTAGAGCTGAATTATAATACAAAAAACCTAAGCATTTGAAGCTTGATATGCGACTTCGATGCGGGTATAGGAGCGCGCGGTTTCAATGGGAAGGCTGCAGGGTCGATAACCGAAGTTTTGTTCGCTGTGCTTGATGAGTTTATAGGATGATGAAGTTTATTATTTGCAACGTATGTGATATTCGGTATACCCTAGTACACTTACACTGTTTCTAAATAGAATACATCAGCCTAACAACCCAAATACTCTGAAATAGAGTACCAAGAATAGTTTAAATATGGCCTTTCTTATTAAAAGTAGTATCGAGGAATTGTAGGTAATAGGAAAAGAGTGTACTACAGTGCTAATAGTTTATGAACATTCAAACCGTAAGGACTTAGTGCTGATTACAATCTGTGTCGGAATGCTAGATTCATGAGTCACATACAGGAGACTGCAAGTTGAAGCTTAGTAGCTCATATAACACTCTATCTTGTGGTACCTCAAGCAATACCCTATTCCTGCAAGCTAGGGCTTCCACCTTGTCGTTCCACTACAGAATGCGGGAAGGAAGAGCACAACCCCCATCACTCATATTATGTATATAAGAAAAGACAGGCATAAATATGTCATGTTTCTTAGGTACCACATGCTTGACTCCTGGTCTTTCTTCAAACACTTCAAGACAGGACCTGAAAGCCTGTGAACATCTCCTTGCCAACCACACAATCTATTGTTATGGAAGGCCGCAGGCATCAGCTAAGGAGATCACGATGTTCTTTCACAAAGTCCTCCACCATATCAAGAAAGCCCACAATCTCCGCTTTGCTAGTTCCTAGGATCAAACTCAGCAAGCCATCTGGCTATCCAGTATCCATTCCGAACAGCATAATACCAGAACAAGTCTTTCAATATCGCTTCCGCGCCATTAGGCTGCGAGACTAAGTCCTCCAACGCAGGTGATTCCATTATCTTCAATATCAGACTGCCTATAGAATCTCTTCTGCCTGCAAAGAGCTTGAAGAGCTGATTACCACTCCCGAAGTTTGGATCGATGAAGTTGCTAGATCCTACCATAACAGCGTTGCGATTTGTTTAGCTCTTGACTTAAAATTCATAGGCTTCTTTCGGGGGAGAGCCAACGTCCCTTGATGTGTTGGTACAAGTTTCTGGAGCTTCGAAAACACTTCTAAGTATATCTGCCTCTTTCCCCAGATTTTCTGTGCAGAAATTTAATCTTAATGCAGATTGTGTTATGAGACAGTGTGTGCTATGCCGCTTTTTCGACGAGCCTTCACCTGAAATATACCTACTCAATCGTCGTTCTGCTTGCTTACTAGATGATAATTTCTCTTCTTGGATATATTATCTGTGAATTTCCATCCCTTGTCCCCAATTTGAGACCTGCTAATTATGAAGCGTGGACATCGGTTTCCGAATGGGTTCTTGTTTGCTTCGATATGCCTTCGAAAATAGCTACCAGATCCTGATCGTCGACATACAACAGCATTTGAAATGGCTTTCAAGAGTATGTATATTTATACAATGAAAATAATGGGGATTCTTCTAACATCTCCAGCGGATATGCCGTTTTATCAGTACTATCAGTCCGCCGATAGGGAAAGAGGCATGCGCTTCGACAGCGCCATGGTGAGATATTTTCACAGTTCAGCCCAGTTGCCTATTGAATCAGTCTTCAACTTCGATGAGTTGAGGTATAATTCGATCATTGTAGATGTGGGAGGAGGGAGAGGTCATCATTCAATTCGAATCTTCCGTCAGTATCCGTCGAAGGGAGAAGGCTCTTATTACCAAGACAAAAAGGTCAATACCCCGGTCGTATAAGTATATAGCAGTATGTAACTATTTCGCATCGCCTGGAGTTAGGCATTGCAGTGTTCTTCCCATTTTTCCGTAGTAACTATGTCAAAGTATTCGTAGCAGTACTTCAGCTCGTTTATTTTACAGCCTGAGGCCCGGAGCGCTCCTTGATTTGGCAATCTTGAACATAATTAGACCACCGCGGGCGAGTGAGACTAATTAACATATTAGTAATCAGGATGTAGATAGTTAACTAAGGGACAAACTATAATTAAAGAGGCTAACTTACCTATTCAAGTTACAACCCCCCACCGGACAACTTCCATTAATGGGTTCCTCCCCGGGCCGATAGAAAACACTTAGTCTTTGGTGCAATAAAACAATAGGATCTTAACCATGCTGAGGGTTTCCTGAAAAGAGAGGAGCTTGTCTGACAGCATTATCTCAGCGAGACGCTGACAATCAGGCTGTGCCTTAAAAAGACAATGTGTAATATTGTTATATATAATAGCTTCCAAAGCCTTTTCTCCTAATTTTACCTGCGTCTCTACACGGCTTTTAATCCACTCTTCTCGGTATTTAGCTAACTCCTATTAAGAAGATTGGTTTTCAAGACTTGCACTTGCTTTTTTCTAAGTTTAATAGCAAATTTGGTTTCTTTATCGGCACCACTAACATCGCCATTGGGGCCGTTCTTATCCTCGCCCTTATCCTTATCCTTATTCTCCTTCTTAGTACTTGCAGTCTATTGCAGCGTTAGTTCTCGAAGCCTTTGTTCGAGTTTTTCAAGTCTTTGTTTTGTCGAATAGCATGATGTCGCTCCGCTGGCAATTATTTTGGATATCCTATTACACGGTATTTGCCCACACCTTTTAGGTATTTAATGTGGTCGAGGCGCATAGCCTCTCCTAGGAACGCATCCATGCTACTTAGAGCAGAAGAACTATCTATGTTACTTCTTCCAAAAATATTAGGATCCTTTTGGGTGAGGATCTGGCTTCTTTCCACTTCAGTTGCCACTTCTATAAACAAAGATTAGATTTATGCTGCTCCACAAACTAGATTGAAACCTACTGTCAAGTCTGTTGGCAAGGCCTCGCCTCAAAGTGTGGATTGTTATAATCTCTGGATATCCAACATTGCTAACAACTGCTCTAAATAAATAGCAGAAACACTCTCGAGTCTATGGGCTTTTGGATACTCCATTAAATCTGGTCACTATCCGTAAAACCGGTTCCTTGGCCACAGAGGGATCCCAGAGGAGCGGAGTTGGCTTGTTATAATCAGGATTCCATCTTTTTAAAGTCTCTAGTAAGTTTATGTGTAGAAAAGCGCCATCCTAGAACACAATTTCCGACAGGAAAGTAACTGGGTTATATTATAGCTTTCCATGCTCTCTCATCGCGACACGGAAGCTGGTTTTATGCTATTAGCAGATAGGTAGACTTGGGGGCTAATAAAGCGAAATATACACTGTATTCTTTGGATTATTATTATTCTTAACCCATATCTCGCTAAGACAAAAGAAAAGTTCAATCTCGCCATCTGGTCTGCGGTAGATATAGAGCTTAATATCCTATAATAAGTTAGCATATATAAAATTAAACAGAGCAAGATTAAGTAGCATACTTTGTATCTAAGTCCATGCACCTCAGCTTTACACGTGTTAGGTATAAATATGCCGATTCGGGCCACTAATAGCAGTAAATAAGAATAGCAAACGTCAACTGAACTGTATATCTGGGATAAATAAACACAGGGTCATCGTCATTCCACAGCGAGACAAGAATATTTATAAGATCACAGTGAGTAAACATGTGCTTCGCTCTTTTTTTATCTTTAATAACTCCCTTTTTAACAAGAGATTTTGTTATCCACTATTCTTAATTAGTACTCCGAGGTAGTACTTCTTCACAGGTGATAAGTCACAAACCCTGTACACATCTTAAGTGTCCTTCTTATCAAAAACTGACTTTGTCAGGCGTGTAAATCCGGCAAAGAATCACTTGGCAAAATTTAGTACAGAAGACTTCGTAGCATGCAGTGAGATCTTCCATGCGAAGAGGAAATATAAAAGTGTATAAAATCCTTTACAGTTGCAAGATCAGGTACTAGTAGTCCATTACAAAGGCCCTCATCTCGGAGCTTTTCATCCTCTTCGGATGTCCATCTAAAAGGGGAAAAAAGGGAGTGAGCAGGGCGGCCAGTATAAGCAAAAGAAATAACCATCACTTACAATATGTAAACAGACAGAACCTTGTCCTGCAGGGCGAGAGATTCATCAGAATAATGATATTCGCAACGATGCTGGTCTTGTTCTCAGTTCGCTCCTCGAATGTAGCTGTTTGCTGCTGCAACAGCTCGTCTGTCAACCCTTGCCTTACCTTCCTTATACATTGTTGTGGCGGAATCTAGGCTAATTCACTTATCCCAAGAATGCCGACAGAGGTGTAAAAAAAAAAAAAAAAAAAAAAAAAAAAAAAAAGTGTATTTTTGCAGAAATCAAAAATAAATAGGCAGCTTAGGAAAACAACACACGTTGCACAATCATACGAGGCTTCAGGGGGTGGAAGAATGAGAGGAAGAGAAGCGGACTTCGTCCAGAAGCGGTGTGGGGGGCGATGGGCCGAGTATCTTTTATGATACTGTTAGAAATCACTCCAGTTTCTTGTCCCTAGTTAGTGGTGAGTCAGAATTATGCATCTAAACCAGTAGCTAGAAGGGCGGGTGCCAGCTCGCCGTGGGTGTACTGGGCACATGGGATTTCACTTCCTCTCCGATCTACCGGTCTGATTTCACATGATGCAACAGGCTGGCCAAAAGGGGATTCTGAAACGAGGGACAGGCCCAACATTCCAATCCTTTGTTCTGTACATACCCACACTGGTAAAATTACAGGATATGGCCGCCAAGAACACATATAGTATACATTTGGTACCTGAATACATAGTAAATACTGATAAATACTGATAAATACAGCTCACCACATGTATTATACACCTGAGGCCCCCCTGTCATGTCCGCCCCGCGAGGCTCCAGGCTCTGGTCTCCTCACTTTTGCGCCTATAAAACAAATTGCCCCCTCCAACTCTCGTCATTCCCTCAATATTTTTAGAATCTATAATTTACCCCCTTCTAGGGTAGTGGTGTTCGATCTGGTTAGCTAAATGCACCGTTGCCAAGCCGTCCCGATTTGGTCTCCACCCAATTCCATCCTATCTGACGCCAGCATTCGTTGCTGTGATCACTGCTATCTTCCGTGTCTATCATCTTCTATATAATATTGCAGGCTCTACTTGGCTGGGGTAAATGGTCGAAGAACCTCAAGTAATGTCTATACAACAGCGCATCGCTGCCCTGAAACAGGCTCAGGCTGGTCAGAGTCCCGAAGACAACACCCCGCCGTTCCTGGGTTCGCAACAAATACCCCTGCCGTCGCGTCCAGCTCCATTGCAGAACCCAGCAATCAACATCCCTCCTCCTGCATATGAAGAAGCCCTACAAAAACCAGTTGCTCGACCGCCACCCCCGACAATAGCAAACGGCCAGAAACCCAAAGTTCCTCCTCCTTTACCCGCCCGAAAGGCCCCAGCGATACAAGCCCCAGCACTGCCGCCGCGCAGACCCTCAGAGATCTCCCGAAAGATTTCCTTGGAATCAGTGGCTTCAGATGTGTCGCGATCAACTTCTACAAGTGCGGGGAGGACTACAGGAACATCTGCTACCTCGGTTGACTCTGGGTCCCTTCGTGGTGTCCGAGCTCCAGCATGGGGTGAAACAGAATTACCCCCTCTACCTCCTAAAAGGCAGGATACTAAGCCCGTCAACCACCAGTTGCAATCGAGGCCAGCAACTGCGAATTCTACGAAGTCGGCGACTTCAAGCAGGAGTCGATCACGGCCTCGACCGTCACTGCCTCCTCGACGGGAGTCGACCAACAGCAACTCAACAGATGGAGGCTCTTACGCATCTCAACCGCCTCCACCATTACCATCTCGTGGAAGCAGGGATAAGTCGCCTGGTATGCATGCAGAATCCACCGTTAAACCACCGCCTAGAAAGGTTCCTCCGCCGCCACCTTCGAGTTCCGCTCTGGAGAAAATACAAAAATCTGGGTTTGGTGGAATATCTAATAGTTCCGATGCATCGGGGTGTTGTCCAAATGAGACCGCCAAACGGTCCACCTCAAACACTCTTCTTGGCAGAATAGGTTCCGGATTAGAAGGAACTGCCAAAACCCCTGAGATTCCCGAGAGACCTTCAAGTCAGCCTGCTTCAAATCCTCCTTCGAATGGAGTGCCGCCACCGGTGCCCTTGGCATCTCGCCCAGACCTCTCAAAACTCCTGGCAACCAAGCCTCGCATGTTCAATTCTGGATCCCCCGCTGCAACACCTAGCGTGCAGTGCCTGAAATGCCGTGACTTTGCGGGCCCGGACGCGCATGCGGCTCAATATCCGCGCGAATCTCTCCCAACTCATGATCTGGCCTGGTTAGCGAGAGAACTGACTGCACCATTCCCTTCCCTCACAGATAAAGCTAGGGCCCTGTTTACCTGGTTCCATCATAACATAGAGTACGATGTCCACTCATTTTTTAATAATTGCGTAAAACCGTCGACGCCCGCCGGGACACTTGCAACAGGGCTGGCAGTATGTGAAGGCTACGCTGGCCTGTTTGCTGCACTTGCAACCCACGCGGGGCTCGAAGCCATGGTAATTTCAGGTCATGGCAAGGGATTTGGCTACGAGAATCCAGCTCCAGGCTCCGGTCTACCACCTTTCGAAGCGGGACACGCATGGAATGTAGTGAGGATCGACAATGCACAGTGGAAACTGATAGATGCGTGCTGGGGCGCTGGGGTTGTCCAAGGCGCTGGGCAGCCGTATAAGAAGCTATTCAGCCCAGATATGTTCACCATGTCAAATGACGAGTTTGGGCTCCGCCACTTTCCGTCCGACCGAGGCCAATTTTACCGAGATGATGGCCGACCTGGGGTGAGTTGGGAGGAGTATATTCTGGGCAATCCGAACTCGCCATTTGGGGCGGAGCAGCCGACGATATTCACAGATGCGAAGAAACACAGCATAGGGGAGCGCTCGGTCCGCCCGGATGCCAAGCAAATATCGGTATACCACCAAGGCCCGATACGCTTCCAGTTCGGGCTTATCTGCGAACACTGGACACTGGCAAACCACAGCCGAGCCCAACCCGGGCTTTTCCTGTTGATGGTCCACGGGGCTGATGGCCAGCAGGATGATAGACTGCTTTTCACTCACGTCCGGGGCTCCGGACCGAATGGGGGGGGAGACATGTGGTATGTCGATGTCCCGAATGCTCGTGTCCTAGGTGCACCGGGGCAGAAGCTAGCAATCGCCGTTCTTACTAGCTTCGGGGATCGGAAGGATGCACGGGGCGTTACTGCGGAGGAGTATCAGCGACAAGTTGGTCGGGTGGGAATGTCATGGGCTTACGTTGCAGAGTGGGAGCTGGTGTGAAATCCCTGCTTGCTAGCAACGGTCTTGCCGGGCTTGGCCTATGTCAGTGACGCTCCCAAGTGCTTTTTTCTTTTCCTTTCTCTTTTTTGCATTGATTTGGCGGAGGCCTTTTTTTTTTTTACTCACTTGGATCCTACTCTGTAATACCCACATTGATGGATTTCCCATTACTCGCATCAGCATACGATTTTTGGCATAGGAGGCTTACTCCACACTAATGATAATGATTTACATCCCATACCACGCCTCCCTAGGACATGGGTTTCTGTATGCATGTGACACCAATGAGGTGGCACCATTTGGCTATACATTTTTTTTGATAATTTTTCTTTTAAAGAAAAACAGGGAAAAAGGAAACAATATTAATATTAGCTATTCTCCACGTAGGTTTGTATCTCTCTTTTCTCTGTTTCCCCTCCGTTAATTACTCCGGAGTAACATTTCCAGAACTAAAAGCCTCTACACCAAGATTGACTGGGGACTCCGTGCAGGCGAAATCCGGAGTGAACCCATACATATTACTCACTTTACCCCGGCAGTTCGGCGAATTTTATAAGCTATTCCGAGATAATAATCACTCAGGGCGCAGCCAAGAGAACTACAGGGGTAGAGAATCGCCAGAGAGTATCTAAGCATTGTGGCTGAATACAAATGAGAAAGAATTAAGGAGCCAAGGAAGTTAACGAGTCATTGGTAGCGAAAGAAAGAGAGTCAGGTAATTACTCCATGGTATAGTTGGATGCTCCGTGGTTTTAGCGAGATCCATTCCATGTGTAATTCCATGATATTCAGGCTAATTGGCAAGACTAAGTTGATCACTCTTTTCTCTGAACTCCATAATGGGAAGAAAGTGTTATGATTCTGAATAAGCAAATTTAAGGTCCCCTCTGATTGGTGAGATTTCCGTATTGGTGCGGGACATGAACCACGGTACGAAACATGAGTTCTCCAATCAGCGGTGACTAACTGCCATTAAGCCATTCTTGGAATTCTCTTGTTCTTTTCTTGTTCGCTCACGGACAAAAGTCGGGAACTCCATTCCATTCCCGAATGCAGCCATTAATCATACTCTGGTTAATTGCTCGGGGCTCTATCCATGATTGTTCGTCTCTCCCGATCCCTGCTCCATACGTCCACATAATGGAGTTTACAGAGTACGGAGTACAGCGCAACAGGTGATCCTGCCGGTTCAATTCATCCATTGGCCATCACCATCAGCAGTTTCCAAACTTAATGCGCGACCGGCACCATTACTCTCGTATGCTATCCAATTCTCGGCGTAGTCCGAGGTGACACCGCTGCCTCGCTGCATTGTCGGCTCGCAACGCCACCGCTGCGAAAGGAATCATGGACTGCCGATCCGCCTTTGTTCGGCCTGGTTGTGTTGGTGGGACCTCCGTGTTTATTTTGGACGGCATGTCGGTCCCATTGACGACTGTCTGTCGGCTTGGCGGCGCTAGAGTCACCCGCATCATCTGGTTTCCCCGGATCCCTCCACGGTTCCGTCGTGGCTCCTCGACCGACCCGTAGCGTAGCCCGGCTGGCCCTTTTTTTTTTTTAACTTAATCGCACTGGCTTTCTTTCTCGAATTGGTGACTTAGATTCTACCGTCCTCCATGTTGCATTCGGCTGTACCTGGAATGGGCTATTTCATTGCTATTCCGCTTCTGTGTTCCGTAATCAATAAGCCCCATGGTTCAATGATGGGTATGGGCTGACTTTTTGAGTCTGATCCCCCCACAAGATGCCCCATAATCCGCCTTCTATTTCTGATTCGGGCAGGGGCAAAAAATCACTCATCTCATGTTACAACGTCTGCACGAGTGGATCGTCAGTTGGCTGCGTGCATGCAGTGATTGGATCCCCAGTATTTACTGTCTAACCATATGCCCTCCAGTCAGCTCTGCCAGTGAAACTGCTCTTATCCCCCATGGGCCCCGTTCATCAATTTCTGGGGCGATTCGGTTAGGTACGAGGAGCTGCTGCAGCTGATTAGGTTTCTGCTATTAGGACCGGATCGGGCTGTTACCCCTAATATACGTAGTATAGACGTAGTCAGCTTTTTATTTTTATTTATTAATTTTTTGCCCCCTCTCTCGGGTCTATTACCACCGATTGGCTTCGCCCACATGTTTTAAAATCATTTCCTTCCCCTCGTGCACCCCCTTTTCCTTGACTGCTGTCTTCTTCCCCAGGAGCCTGACATAGTGAAGTTAATCTCTATCTTCGCCATGACAATCGGCAACCTCTACGCTATTGCAGCCATCGCCGTCATCGGCGGTGGTCTGTTCGGGTTTGATATCTCGTCCATGTCCGCTATCATCAGCACGAAACCTTACCTTTGCTACTTTCACCAAGGGCCTATGGAATATGATAACCATGGAGAGCAGATTTGCAAGGGCCCCTCAGCAGATGTCCAGGGTGGCATCACAGCCTCGATGGCCGGTGGCTCTTGGTTGGGTGCTTTGGTGTCTGGTTTTATTTCGGACATTCTTGGCCGGAAGAAGGCCATCATGGTGGGCTCCGTAATTTGGTAAGGCATCTTATACAATTGTACCTTTGCCCTCTAACATGTGGACAGGTGCATTGGCTCTATCCTTGTTTGTGCCTCCCAGAATATTCCAATGCTTATCGTGGGCCGTATTATCAACGGATTCAGTGTCGGAATCTGTTCCGCTCAGGTTCCGGTGTATATCACCGAACTTGTAAGAATCTCTCTCCAGGGCTTCAAATACTTGATGCTGACAACGCGCATCTTAGGCTCCCCCTACCAAGCGTGGTCGTCTGGTTGGTCTCCAGCAATGGGCAATTACTTGGGGTATTATGATCATGTTCTAGTAAGTAAATCACTTTCGTTCTCTTCCTATCGGCTCCTAACCACGTCCTCCTTGTAGTATTTCCTACGGATGTAGTTTTATTAAGGGAACCGCCTCCTTCCGGGTCCCATGGGGCCTTCAAATGATCCCCGCCATTCTTCTTTTCTTTGGAATGATCTTCTTGCCTGAGTCACCCCGTTGGTTGGCCCGCAAGGACCGCTGGGAGGAGTGCCATGCAGTTCTTACCTTGGTCCATGGCAAGGGCGATCCCACCTCGTCTTTCGTGCAGCTTGAATACGAAGAAATCAAGGGCATGTGTGAGTTCGAGCGTCACAACGCGGACGTTACCTACCTTGAACTCTTTAAGCCAAACATGATCAACCGTACCCATGTTGGTATCTTTACACAGATCTGGTCACAGATGACAGGAATGAACGTAATGATGTATTACATAACATATGTATTTGCGATGGCAGGTTTGGAAGGTAACAATCTTCTTGTATCTTCCAGCATCCAGTATGTTATCAATGTCGTCATGACCGTTCCGGCCCTAATTTGGGGTGACCGCTGGGGCCGCCGGAACACCCTTATGTTTGGTGCTATTTTCATGATGATCTGGATGTATGCCAATGCCGGTCTCATGGCTTCGTACGGTCACGCCGCTCCTCCGGGTGGCCTCGACGGTAAGGAGGCTCAATCCTGGGTTATTCGCGGGCCTCCCAGCAAGGCTGTTATTGCCTGCACCTACTTGTTTGTGGCCAGCTATGCGATTTCCTGGGGACCGGCATCTTGGGCTTATCCCCCTGAGCTGTTCCCGTTGCGAGTACGTGGCAAGGCCAACTCCCTCTGCACGTCTTCCAACTGGGCCTTCAATTTTGCTCTGAGCTACTTTGTGCCTCCTGCCTTCGTCAATATCCAGTGGAAGGTGTATGTCTTGTTCGGGGTCTTCTGTACTGCCATGTGCATTCACGTCTTCTTGATGTTTCCCGAGACCTCCGGCAAAACCCTGGAAGATGTGGAGGCCATGTTCACCGACCCTACAGGCATTCCGTTTATCGGTACACCGGCATGGAAGACGAAAAATGAGTTCTCGCGGGGAGCTGTTATTGAGCAGGCTGGCGCCGATGATGAAAAGCGGGCTGGTGTCGTGCACAGCGAGACGGCGACTAAGGCATGAGTGGATGAGAAGTATATACCCTGTATGTCATACCTTTATGTACATGTGTGAATAATTTGAATATGGAGATGACTCGCTATATTGACTTCATTTGCTTACAATTGTTAATTCTTATTTTGATCTCTGCTAGGACAGTCGATTAGCCCTTGTACCCAGTATGCCTTGTACAGTCTTGGCTTTTGTTGAGCCTACAGCCTATGAGCTATACTAATAAGAATAATGCAAGATTTATAGGGAGAGGAAGTCGTTTTACACATCATCTCCCTCACTCAGATATCTCAACCCAATTTATATTTAATTGAGTGCCGTAATGACCTGAGCAAATGATCGCCATTATTTCCACTGAACATTTATGGTTGGACTGATCTGGAATCACTAAAAGTACCCTCAAGCTTACGCCTTCTTCTCATCTACCAGTATCAGGATAAGAATAGATTTCCAGATTCCCATGGAAAGTCCTATAGACTCATTAATTGTAGGTCTCGGGTTTAGTCAGGATACTGCAATTCAAGGGTCATAAGTCCAAGACCATGTGGTCATTGCCTTGACATTGAACCAGCCCAGCTGATAGCAATGAGAGTCTCACGGTTACATCGGTATCTAGAAATGGGTTTGCATACTAAGGCTTACCATTGTGACGGTCATCCTGTATGCTGACTGTTCTATTCAGGTCAGAAATAGTATATTATTTGGCTTGATCCCTATGTGAATTTGTTTGTTCTATGATAGCTATTAAAATATATATACAATGTAGTACATTATTATATTTTTACTAGTATTTATAACAAGATTTGTACAAAGATACCAAAATAGATCCACTAAATTATGTCAAGTTTAAAGAGTTTAAGATAAATAATATCCATATTGCGATACTCGAACTCATAGACATGTCAGACGGAGTCCGGAACGATGAGAACCGTCTTTATATCCATTTGGGTAGCATGATAGCCAGAAATCCTCATTCCTCACGCTTTTCGGTTATGCAATGGATGATGGATACTGTAGCGGCGATCTTTTTTAGTGTATGGTACCTAGAGTTTATTGCTTGAGCTAGCACTAGGCAGCGGCAAAATCGAGGTTCTAGAATCTATAATCTCTTGGCTATCGTTGTTGGATGCTTGTCTCGGTATACAATGCTTGAGTCATTCATGGATCTGTTATCTCCAAGATCCAGTCGCACATATACTCGGGTAAGGACAGAGTACAGCTATTTGGAATTGAGTTTGACTCTACAAACCATGAAATACCAAATAGATTAGATTGACAATGTCAAAATAATGATTCCAATTTTAAAGCTGGTAAGCACTAGACGTAGCTCGTCTCGTAAAGCCCACCATGTGAGTCAGGCCAATGTACTCCATACTCCACATATATATAGTTCTAATTCCCACATTATCAATATTCCGATTCCCCTCACTTCCATCTCAACATCTATACCGTATCTATTACTGTCCAGTTGAATAAGTAAGCACGGTTCACTCACCATGATACCTGAATCCCATCCAACCATCGCCCTCGTCCCGATCAACCTCCACAATCCATCCGAATATAAAGAACTGCAACAACAACGAGTCATCTGCGGATGGAGCTTCTCCGATAACACCCTGAACTCTTACCGCGAAAAACAAGATCAAAAACTCAAATCCTTTTTCTGGATCACCATCGCCACTCCCGAGCCTTCCTCCACCACTGCAGACCCATCCATAATCCGAGCAGGTCATATATCTCTGGACTCTTACGCGGATCCGCCGGACCCTGAACTCGCAGCGGCGGATAGATCCGTGCTCACTATTCAGAACCTCTTCGTGCTGCACGAGTATCGCAAGGGAGGCGTTGCGCATGTCGCTATGGATATGGTGGAGGATATGGCGTCGAGGGAACCATATGGAAGTACGGACTGTCGGTTTGTCACTGTTAATACGATGAGTAAGAAATATGTGTATCAGGAAGGTCCAGAGTGGAGGGGTCTATGGGATCAAATTGGGGAGACGAGGCCCACGTTCAGTGTTCAGGACTGGTATGAGAGAAGGGGGTATGTGTTATGGAAGGAGGAAGAAAGATATGATTGTGTCGCGTTGGATGGGAGGGAAGTGAAGATAGTGGCTGCTTTCTTAAGGAAACAGGTGAGGTAGGCGTTTTATTGCTATTTCTGGATATAAGCATGTGGTTATATAATGATGTTGAGTTGAGAATCCCATTTCAGCTATATGCAATATTATAGCACCCTTGATATAATTGATACTGGAGCACTGCTCCATTGAATTTTTAGCTAGAGATACTTCCATCTCAGTAGTAATCGTTCATACACAGCGTGATGCAGAAAAGTGATCCTAATAATTAGCTATATCATCGCTACCTCTTGAAAGGTTTCGGTGCCACATCGATGTATACAAACATCGCATAAGATTTTCCTAACACAGTTTCAACATCTCGAGTAATTCGAACCAACACAAACATTCCTGTTCAAATTGAGGCATTGGATCAGAGCAAGTGAAGGTCTTGGCAAGACTATCGTTGAGCTAGTTCAACTAGTCCAGCAGGAATGCTCCTCGCCCCAGACTATGGAGCATGCCGAACTAGACCCTCGCAAGACTCGCAAGATGTTCCTATTCAAAACAGCCTCATATCCCAACCAATCCTCTAGGTCATCAAATCCAATAAATGCAGAGTGAAAGCAAGATGCCTCGGCTGTGGATCAAGGATTTCCCGATCAGACACGATGAGTGGGGTTTCTGGTGGAGTTACAACGAGGGTAGAACGCAGACAGGGACGAAAAAAAAAAAAAAAAAAACCCCTAAAGTCGAAGATGCCATCATTCAACCTCCCCCATCAACAATAACAACAACTTTCTCCTCTCCTTTGTCTCCCACTTCCCACACATTCCCTAGGGTCGAAGCACCGTTTGTTTTTCCTTTCTTTAGCCTTTTTTTTGTAATTACTATTACTTGTATTATTTCTTCAATCTCTTCGACCCTATCCTCTCCTTCCTCGTATTCGTTTCCGAGGTACTTGCCCCCCTTTTACTCCGCCGTTTGGGGAAATTAGTAACGTGTCCAGCTGTCGCAACGCGAAAATTCAAAGCGAGTGGTCGAGAGAAACAGTCGCTTCCAACTCGAACGAAGGAACGCCCTTCCGCTTCATCTACCATGGCTCGTGTACGGAGAAGATCAAGTAACTTGGGTGCCGACATTCGCGGTGACACCAGTGCCCCGGCCATGTCCACCATGAATGAGGTCAGTCCTACTGAGTTGGATGCGCCGAAATGGGATCAGGTACGAAATGCCAACTTCCCAGATATTTACCTCGTGCGATCCACTAGTTCCCTATGGTACCCCTTCGCTCACCCTGTCAGTCACTGCAGTCTCGTCCCGACAAACCCATCAAGCAATCGAAACGCCGCAGAAGTCGATCCGGTCTTCGTCGCTTTAAAGACTTGTGCTTGAAGCACACATGGGTCCTTCCACTGCTTATCATGACTGTTCTCCTCTTCCTCTACGCCGTCAATCCAACTCCATCCAATCCAATGCACAGTGCTATCTTCCTTTCGTATCCGCAGCCCCCGAAGTTTCCCGGGGGCCCGATTATGTATGGGAAAGGCACCAAGGATATCGCTTTCGTCTCATTCTATACGGTTGTTTTGTCCTTTACCCGCGAGTTCATTATGCAGCGCCTAATCCAGCCGTGGGCGGTGTATTGCGGAATTCGCGGTAAGGGCAAAACCGCACGGTTCATGGAACAAGTGTACACGGCTATCTACTTCAGCATCTTCGGCCCCTTCGGTCTGTATGTGATGAGCCGGTCCAATATCTGGTATTTCAATACCACGGCTATGTTTGAAGGGTTCCCGCATCGAGAACATGAGGCTCTGTTCAAAGCGTATTACCTACTCCAGGCTAGCTACTGGGCTCAGCAGGCTATTGTGCTGATGCTGCAGTTGGAAAAGCCCCGGAAGGATTTCAAAGAGCTCGTGGGTCACCATATCATTACCCTAGCCCTGATCGGCTTGAGCTACCGTTTCCATTTCACCTACATCGGCATCGCCGTCTATATCACGCACGATGTCTCGGACTTCTTCCTCGCGGTAAGCGTAATCAGAATCTCCGAATTATGACGAGTAAGCTAATCCGCAGCAGACCTCCAAAACCTTCAACTACCTGGATCACCCCATCACAGCCCCCTACTTTGGATTTTTTGTCATCATGTGGATCTACTGCCGACACTTCCTCAACCTCAAGATCCTCTGGGCTGTATTGACGGAATTTAGGACCGTTGGTCCTTTCGAGCTGAACTGGGAAACGCAACAGTATAAGTGCTGGATTAGTCAGTATATCACATTTGCTTTGCTCGCTAGTTTGCAGGCGGTCAACCTCTTCTGGCTCTTCTTGATCCTTCGCATCTTGAAGAACTACCTTTTCAACAGCATCGCGAAGGATGAGAGGAGCGAAGATGAGGATGAGGAAGAAATCCCCGAGCAAGAGACCAGCACCAACGCCGCTGTCGCAACCGGTACCGATGTCCCAAAAATTACTGCGCGCAACACCAGCAAGGAAAATCAGGCCCCGCAAGTTCTGGTCAACGGCGAGCCCGTCAACAAGGACTCCTGAACAAGTAAAACGAAGGATTGTATGTACGTTCTTTGTTTTACCTGGGAAGGTCCCGTTAACTTTTTTTTTTTAAAAAAAAAAAGCCTCATCTCATCCGCATAGCATAGTTGTTCATATCTAAAAGTGTTCAACAGCTGGCTATTTCTCCTTCCTTTTATGCAAATAAATGTCTGCATAGTTGCTGCCAGTGTTCATGGCGTGAGAGTTTCTTCATTGCACAATTTTTCTACATTCTGTTATATATTCGGTCATCATCGGGCGTTTCTGCATGATGCTGAATTGATATAGTGATGATCCCATGACTGAGCGATTTGTCTTTTTATCGGAAGTTGGAGAGGACACGGGGAGGATAATACGTCAGCTTTAATTATAATCACAATAATAATAGATCCGCACCGAACACTTAATCGGGGCAAATATTAAGATCTATCCCAGTTCCTGGTGCAACTAATCTGAACATGGGACAAGTGGAGGATATCAGACACCTGTCGTCGCTTGCATACAACAAAACACCAGATCCATCGCCGGCTCGATTCATGACTTTACATTCACATTCACCAGTTTACTATACGACACAATCCATCGGCCTGGGAGAAGGAACGTTGGTATGTTAAGCCTGAGGCTGTTCCGGATAAACAGCTCCCTTGGCCTTGGCTGTCTCTATCTCCGCTTCAGACTTTATATTCTCCCCCGGTTCGTTCACAAGAGGATTCGATGTGTCGGTATTGGAAATACCTTCCTGTTTCGCTGAAATACTACCAGTCGAATCGCCAGGCGCTTTCCGACTCTCATGCTAAGGTATCAAGACCGTCAGTCATTATTCTGCTCGTCGGGTATCGTATCTGTATCCGTGAACGATCAAGTTGTTCTTACCGGATCCACATTCGAGTGCGCCTCTCCCAGGGATGATCCCTGCGGTTCCTCGGGCTTGGATTCCCCTTCAGTTTTCTGCTCCGCGTCACGATCAGGTTGTGGTTCTGGTTTTACTGCTGCGGCGGGTGTTTCGGCTACATTCTGCCCCTTCTCCCCCTCTTCGACAGTCGCATGGTGCTCGTCACCGTGGAGATCATGATCATGGGGTTTCTTCTCCGGTACGGACTGAGATAAGTAGTAGATTGTGGGACCGCCCAGACCAACTGATCCCAGGAGCCTGTTACATTATGAAGTGGTTAGCTTATAGATGCTATATGGAGGGTAGTATTCGATTCGTCCCGTGTGTGGGTAGGGAATAATGTGTTTTTCTTTTGTTAAAAAAAGGGAAAGAAGGAAAATTCACCATGGTAAATCGCTCGACTTCTTCCCCTCGTGCGACTGTCCTGAGGCATACGTTCGGCGAGCAAATTGTTGTGCCGGCCCACGAGCCGTGGCCCTAACAGCTCTAATAGAGGAACGCAACATCTGGGCACGTGCGAGGAACATTGTTGACTGATTCTGAGATTTGAATGGAGTATGCAGGTGCAGAGACAGAATATTATCTATTATGTGGGAATAGCAATTGACATGGAAGGAAGGAGGAGAAGAGGAGGAGGCTGGGCGGAGATGCATGCACGTCGCATCATTGTACCGTGCCCTGCAACGGCTCGGAGTTAGAGCTGCCGGCATGGTCAGTGTGATGTAATCACGGCGTGGCGGAAGTGGCTGCTGGGGTTGGGGTTTGGCAGTGGCTGGGTATACGGAGTAGAGTACATGAAATAGATTGAGATTGAGGATTAGCGACTGTTTGCTCAGGTAGAGGAAACGTTGAATTCATCCTACAAATAGGCAATAGGTAGTACTGAACTACCTGTATTAGCTCTGCTAAAGAACTCTCATCAAAGGGACTTAGACCGAAGGGATGGGATGGGTTACTGTAGCTTGCTGGAGGGATTTAACACTGGAGCTACCATTCTCGATGTTGTCGATGAATCGGGGCGAATGATTGTCAGTATAAGGCCATTCTCGTGCCATACCTGTGGGGGTCTGTTTTGAGTTATATGTACTCTCCACGAATGCTTTATACATACCCAGTACTCGAGGCCATTCTTAGATTTATTAGAAAATCAATCATAATAACTACCTTCAGAGCATTTAATCCCAAGAATTATGTTCATTTCCATCTGCTGTTGTATCTCAACGATTTCAGAGTGAGTGTTCGGAGAGCTCCCCACTTTATTTATGCCTCAGGCACTAGTTCAGCCAGTGATCTCCAGTCAGTGATCTCGGAGTGAATAACGACGGTCCATCATCGCCAGGCACACTTGGTGACATCCTGCTTTCTTTCAGGAACCCCTTTCAATCGCTTGCTACTGTGGAGGCAAGACCTCAATCTACTCTCACCTCTTCTTATCTCCTTCATCACTCCTTCTATAATCCACCCGTCATCCGGTGCGGGGTCCCTACAATCATGGCGGACCGTCAAGCAATTCAGCAAAACCTCAACAACCAGCTCTCAAAACTGGATGACCCGGACCCGGATATGAGATATATGTCACTGAATGATTTGCTCGGGATCCTCAGTAGCCCTAGCTCCGCATACTTAGCTCATGACCAGTTCTCGGCCTCGCGCCTAGCCGACGGCCTTCTCAAAGCCCTGGATGACCAACACGGTGATGTCCAAAATCAAGCCCTGAAATGGTAAAGTTTGGGAAATTTATTTTACTTATGGTGCTTGCCTTGACTGATTCTCTCCATTCCAGTCTCGGTCCGCTCGTTGTTCGACTACCACCCGAAAGTCTTTCCTCCGTCCTCCAGAAACTGTCAGACTTGACGGCCTCCCAGACTATAGATACCTCGGTCCCCAATACCGCATTAAGAACCATCGTCATGGCACTTCCCCGTCCTCAGACCGGTCAATTACCCACCCAGGAGGCTTCCACGGCGTATGCGGCCGTTTCAAATGTTCTTATCCCTCGCTTGACCGGCCCAACAAAGTCCCACTCAACCAGGCGAGGCTCTGTCGTGAAGGGAATGTTAGAAAAGGACCCTTCCAATGGATTCAGCAGCGATGCGATCGATGTTCTTATTCAAGTCGTCACCTGCTTTGGACCGCTTCTGAGGGAAGCCGAATTGACTGCCCTCCAAAAGTCAGTGATGTCTATTATCGAGAATGACACGGCAGGCACCGTGGTTACAAAAAGGGCGCTGGCAGCTATATCCGCCATAGTTCTGCATCTCTCCGATAATCAAATTAGCTCTTTCGTGAACGATCTCTTAAACCGCTTCAATTCTCCCCAACTTAGCATCGTGCATCGCCGTCACTTGATTGCCACAATCGGCAGCATCTCAAGGAGCGCTCCAGCCAAGTTTGGTCCTCACCTTCCAATGTTGGCCCCATATGTGTTTTCGGCTGTTGGTGAGGATGAGTTGAGCCAGGTATAATGCCATTTCATTCTGTCCGAATGGCATTCGTGTTCCTAGTTTCTAATTCTTGCAGTAGTTAAACTTGCCTCCTAGTGCCCACCGCATGCAATCAGTAGCTTAGACGATGGATTAATGGAAAATGGTATGTAGCTGCTGTAGGTCTACTTAATCAGAGAGTGTTTTCTCTTACCGTATGACAGGACTTGTTGAACGAAATGTCCTTATCATTGACTGCACGCTGGACGAAAATAATGGCAATGATAGTTGATCGGATGCCTGAGTCGCATCCTTCATAGTTGATCGATTAATTGCTCCTGGTCTCAATACGCTTGTACTGCGGTCTCGGTATGTCTACTACAAATGAATAAAGCTGAGTAGCTGTGGGGATACCATAGCTATGATCTACTCTGCTTCGCGTACGTGTAAGGATTGAAAGATGTATTCTGAGCACGCGGACACTACGTCATTAAACTTTTGAAATTTAAAGGGAAGAAAGGAGGCTCGACACAATCATAAAGGTGCCTTAAACAACTGTATAGCTTACCAGGCACACCGTGGAGAAGTTGAAGACGGACATGAAAGAAGGATTGAGTGCTCCACTTGCATGCTCTTGCCAACACTGTCAGTTCATTCAGCACCGGTTCTTCCCAGCTGCTGTTACCTAGGCAGTTAGGTGTATGTCTGGTCTCGCTCCTTCCTCAAGCACCATCGGATGACCTACAACACTGCTCGGTTCTTGCTCAGTACTGTTTTCCCAACTTTCATTCCTTTTCTTCTCAGTACAGCTCTCGCTGGAAGACTTAGATTTTATACAGCCTCATATTCCCCTGCATTTTATCTTTCTCTCTTATCAAGCTGAAGCCTCCAAAAAATGTTTACCCTTCTCTTTGTTGCATTCGTTCCATTTCTGGTGGCTTCTACTGCTCCACCTACTACCTTTGATCTGTCCGCTGATAACCCAGTTTCCTACATTCTTGGCCAGCAAGAAGACAGTGCTCTTCAGGAATTGATGAATCGCAGGACCGACGGTCGCTGTGGCCCTGGCATTGGCAAGTGTCCTGATGGCTACTGCTGCTCCACTGCAGGTATGTAGCTATTATGTCTCCTTGGAACACCAATACACGGAACTCACTCAGTCTGGATAGGTTACTGCGGAAATACGAAGAACCATTGCCGTTCGCCAGATTGCCAGATCGATTTGGTCATTGTGATGCACATCAGTCCCCCGGAGGGCCACCAACAGATACCATTCCTCGTCCCAAGTTGGGGGAGGTACCGTATGGTCCGCAGACTATTCGCTCTTGCACTATCCCGGGAACTATCGCATTGACGTACGATGATGGCCCGCACCAGTACACTAGCGATCTCCTCGATATCCTTGACAAACATCACGCGAAGGCAACCTTCTTCATCACAGGTAACAATAATGGTAAAGGAGAAATAGACACAGGCGAGCAGTGGATATCGCTGGTTCAACGCATGCACAGCCAGGGTCATCAGATTGCAAGCCACACCTGGTCTCATCAGGATCTAAGCAAGATAACCGAGGACCAGCGCCGTGTTCAAATCCTGTGGAATGAAGTAGCCCTTCGTAATATTTTGGGCGGCTTCCCAACTTATATGCGTCCTCCGTACTCGAGTTGCACTCCTGAATCCGGCTGTCTGAACGATATAGGAGTGCTGGGATACCATATCATTTTGTACGACATTGACACCGAAGACTATCGCCATGATAGTCCAGATATGATCCAGGTTTCCAAAGATATCTTCGACAAAAATTTGGCTCGGGGGAAGGCGTCTGATAGCTCGTGGCTAGTCATTACTCACGATATTCACGAACAAACAGTCCACAACCTCACAGAGCACATGTTGGAGAAGCTTTCAAAGGATGGCTATCGCGCAGTGACTGTTGGCGAGTGCTTGGGCGACCCTGAAGAGTTCTGGTATCGCAACGATGACAGAGTTGAGAGCCACCTGCGCCTCAGAATGCCTTCCAATAGCTCTGGGGCCAAAATTGTTTCTCGTGATGGTGTTTGTGGCAGTGGCATTTCCTGCACTGGGTCCAGCTTTGGGCCTTGCTGTAGCAAGAACAACCGCTGCGGCAATTCCACTGCGCATTGCGGCGATGGCTGTCAACCTGATTCGGGCATGTGTTCTGGTTCTTCTAAGTCAGACAATTCACAACATAGTGGCCAGCATATACTTTCTGGTACGGGAAAAACCGCTTTGAAGTCGGGGGTTACTCGTTCGACTCCCAAGGACCTGTATGCCGCAGGCTTGATACTTGTGTCGTTGCTGATATTTCTGGCATGAGAACCCGGTTCTTTCATTTCTCATAAAACGAGCATGTTCCATATCGCTTACTAGATATTTTTCTACAAGCAGGAATAGGACTAGAGTTATTTACTAGTGAAGCAATTGCATTAGTGGTCACTCTCTTAAAGCCATTTCCTTCCACGGAATTCACTTTTGAAAGCTCTGAGGAGCGGATCACTACAATATGAAAAGAGAACAAAAAAAAGAAAAACTTGCGTAGAAGACGAGAAATGCCATAATGAAAGTTAACAATGAGACTACCATGTGAATCATGACGTGTTCCACCTTTACGCCATGCTATTTTCAAACTTTTGGATGATATACAGTACAGTGGAGCCAACAAGCTCGAGTGAGAATTGGATAAGATACACAACTAGATCTCCACTAAGGAAAGTGAAAACGGTACGACGGAAACAAGGAAGATATTTCACCTTCTAACAATCTTCAACAACGGCGAAATTCTAGCCCGTCGACTCAGGCCCACTCGGTACGGGACCTTGCTTGTAGATGAGATGGGACTGTGTTTATCTGGTCCTTTGGTGGTTATATCTGGGTTGGGATCCGTTGATGATTGGAGTGGTGTTCCAGGGGGGGGTTTACTCGGAGTCATCGGTGCGTTTGAGATGGATGTCTGCTTGGGTGGTGATTCCGAGTGGGACGATGTGTTCTGTTCTTCAGGAGATGTGATCTGAGCAGGGAGGGTATTATTCGCTTCAATGTTCGTGGTGTGATTGTCTAGTGAAAACGGATTATGAGCATCTGTATTAAGATGGGAGGATTCTTCATGTTGGTAACTGGGAGGATTATCTGGTTGTTCTGCAATGGGCTGTGGCTGATCCGATGTTTTTTTTCTTTTACGGCCGCGTTTCTTCGGGGCTTGTTCCGACTGTTGGATTGTGTTGGATGGATTCATCATGTTTTCGTCGTCTTGTCTTGTCTCGTCGGATACGTTTGCGTGAGAGGGAGACGGATTTGCTATTTCGATGTTGACTGAGAAAGGTGCTGATGTCACGTCTTGGAGTGTTGTGGGGGATGGTCGCTCATCGACCCAGATCACGTCGTCTTCGACGTCGGATTCGTAGGTTTTCTTGAGCACTACTGAGGTGGTTTTGCCGCGTTTCAACTTTTTCTTCTTGGAGTCTTTGGTGGGGTTCGTTAGCGGATTGGTTTTGTTGTCGTGGTTTTCGGCTGAGATATTTGTTGCTTTCGGTTCGGGAGCGCTGTGTTGGATAGGTGGTTGAGATGCATTGTTCTCTGCTGTGTTTAAGGTTTCATCATCTGTTTGCTTTGGCAGGGGCAGCGTATCATCTGGGTGAGTAATCTGGCTTATCCTGTCCACACTGGTTTCAGCCATCTTTTGGTTCTTAGGAGGTCGACCTGGTCTACGCTTCTCAGGTATGGACGGCTGATCAACAATCTGGTTCCCAACAGGCTGAGCAAGCTCATTCTCCTCGTCATTATCTGGAAGACTTTTCTTTGGTCGGCCTCGTTTCTTCCCCACTGGTGGGATCTCAATAGCCACGGGCAGAGAGCGTTCGTCCACACTTAGGGACTGGAGAATCTCGTCCGCGTTGACGTTGTCACTTCTGGACCTAGCAGCTTTTGCTGAGAGAATAGATGAGTTGGGCTCCGTGTCATGTGGTGATGGCGGTGCGCCTTGAATCGAGCTCCATCGCCTGGGACTCTTCTGCATCGTCTGCGTTGATATGGTTTGATAGGATTTGAGCGTTGTGTTGTTTTCAGAGTATGCACTTTCGCATGGTCGTAAGGATGACTCGAAGATGTTATATGATGTCCCTGATTGCGCACAACCATGGCTAGATAAACTGGTGCTGTGGTTTACCGGCGCAGAAATGACATGCTGATAATAATAATCGTCGGGGTTGCTATCCATACGGCCATTGTTTTGTGCGCCTAGTTGCTGTATTGACGGAAGGGAAACAGCACCTGTGTCGACAATAATATTTATTTCACGTTGAAAACCGTTTTGCCCGTCGATGAATCCATTCCTATTCTCCACTGTCTTCGAACCATCATGCTCGTCCTCGATTCTTGGACCTGACTGTGCCGAGGTATGGGCATCCTCGCCATCAAACAATTGTTGCTGTGCGAGGCCAATTTCAGTCATCATAGTTCCTGCCACATCAAGCAATCCGATCAGCCAACTGACTTCTAGTAATTAAATAAACCAAAATAGTGCCCGGGGTATTATTATCTCACCAATTGACCCGTCCCCAACACTGGCTGGTATCCATCTTTCTTCTCTCCGCTGCTGAGAGGATGATATCCCCGCTTGCGCGGCTCCCTGGGAGATGAGAAACTCGTCGAAATCGATCGCTATTTGTCGGCTACTTTCCCCGTGCAGCGGATCGTCTGACATGTCCCCATAGCTGGCATCGGGGGTATGGCTGCGATGGGCTGGCGCAGGGTGGATGCGAGATGGGCACTCCTCCAACAAGGGATCATCGTCGTCATCGGAGTCTCGGATTACGCGGTCGTAGGGCATTGGAGAGAGTTAAATAATCCCATGAATGTACGGATATTGTGATATTTGCAGTTGATGGACTTGGATTTTTGCCTTATCACTCTCTCGGCGCGCGTCGTGGGGCCTCGACGACGCGCAGGCACGTGATAAGATCTATCCACGACGAATGTATACAAAGCTGAAAGGAAGAAATCTATTAACAAAAAAGTATCGTATTATAATAACCACATATAATTCATCATTCAATTGTGCTCTGCGGTCGCATTACTCCTCTTCCGAAAAATTCGCTGATAACCCCAAATCGGTCCTTGGACCGCTGAAGCTCCCCTTTGAAAAGATCATGCTGGTCTGCGGATTCCACCTGTCTCTTCCGGATAGCTTTGATCGTGGAGTTCTGCGGAGCGCACATTGGGCACTCGGCATCTTCATCTACCTTGTTGAGACAGCGTTGATGAAAAGAATGTTTGCAGAGGAAATGAACCGTGGGGAGATCAAGTGATCCCCCACAAGACATGCATCGGCGAGCTTGAAAAACGACCGGTTTGTTGCCCAGCTGCTCTAGTTCCTTTTTCTTGCTCTCAGTTTCTGTACTATAACTAGATATCAAACGGCGGTTCTAGGAAAACAATTAGCCTGGAAGAAAACAAGGAATAAGACAAGGAACTGACCGTGGCTATGTCCTTGCGCTCGCGCTCAATATTATCACTCAAATATTTTTTCACGCGGCCCATAGTTACAAACGCGTTGTTGCTGAGGGTTTGGATAACCTGAAGAGGTGACATAAGTCCATCTTCATGGATTTTTTTGAGCACGACGTCCAGTTCTTCGCCTGCTTCTTCAAGAATCTTTGGGCTTGACGCAAAATACGATAAGGCATCCACATATAGCTGAGGTTCCTGTGGGCCATATTTCCTCAGAGCTTTGATAGCTCCTTGGGTGTCCTTGGCGGACGTAAACGATCTAAAAATATCCGAGCGAAGGCCTTCTTGCTCTCGCACTAGAGTCGAACCTTCTTGGAAGCCTGAGAGATCAGACAACAAAAGAACACTTGACGTTGAGATGGGGATCTGACAATTGTTAGAAAATCCAGAAAAACGTGGAAGCTGTGTGGTCTTACGTCTTTGCCCTCGATAAGTTGCTTAGCCTTATTCTCCCATTCTTCCTTCTCACCAGCACGCTTTTTCCGGTTAGCGGTGTCCAGGTACATCTCAAAGAGCGTTGTATAAAGATCCACTCTGTCCTCCCTGTTCAGATCATCCTGCTCTATAAGCGCCTCTAAAAATGTAATGAACTCCTGTGGATGTCCCACAAAAGCAGAAAACGCTGTCCTAGGTTTCGGGACTTCGTACTGAGGGATATGCTCGGATGTCTGGTCCTGCGCTGCTGGTGGAGGATCTGCCACCTCTGTCCGTGTGCCCCTGGCGCTCATTAGAGAAAGAGGCAGAAAGGCTGCCAGGTTCTGTAGGGTACTATTCGAATGTGCCTGAGGTTCGGCTGGGGGGACGACTTCCGTCCTTGGCTTAAACTCTCCTTTATAATACTCAATGAAAAGGTCGGTTGTCCTTTGCGGGCAATTGGACAGCAAGACGCGAGCATACTTCATAAGATAAGGGTATGTCTAATAAATTAGTATCGCACCATTGCATAATCAAGCCATATTGACGCACCAGTTCAGGTTCGAGCCTCCAGATATACTCCACTGCCTCCGCGTACTTCTTGGAGTCCTCGATCAAGATGTCAACAACCATTTCGTTTTCGCCGTACTTTGTAGCTAAATAGGCAGCTTGCTCGTAGTAGCCGCCTTGCCGACACATAGCGATCGCGGTTTCCAAATCAAACTTCAGCTCACCTGGAGCTTTAATGAACGCATCCAGCTTTCCTGTGTCTTTCAACTTTGCGTAGCAGTTCAGAAGTAAAGTTGTATGGTCAACTGTGGCTCGATCATGGTCATGCAACTCCTCGAGATACTCAATTAAATTATGAATACGCTGCGTGTCAAGGTACTATTTCCAGAGTTAGTAAATTCAATAGTAAACTACACAACACACAGAATGTCACCTTTCGAATAACTTGCGACGGCTCGGTGTTATCAATAGCTCTGAGATACTGCTGCATTGCTGTGTCATAGTCGCCCCTTTGGTACAGAAAGTCACCGTATTTGCGGTAGATTGTATTTTGCTGCAAAGCATCGACGCCTGTCTTCTGGGCGAGATTGATTGCCAGTATGTAAAGATTGCGTTGATAGAGGATTTCGAGTTTCTGTTGTAAACTCTTTTCACGATAGCGATAGATCTAACTAGGATAAGTCGTAGAACGCGATCAGGGTTGAGGGAGTATGCATACCTTTCCATCAGTGGTCAAGAGAAACAAATCCCCCCATTCGATGAATACCTTCTTCACTGAAGACACGAGAGACTCTGAATGGGCTATGAATTTGAGGTCCGTGTCCAGCAGGGTGAAGGTAGATGTCGAGAATATATCAACAGATTGATTAACGCCCAAGTTTCGCAGAGAATCTGATCTTGAAGATACAGCCTTGGGCGGGCACACCAAGGCGACATAATCTTTAAATATGTTGATTGAGCTTTTAAGGCTCTCGAAGGCATAGCTCGGACCACGTCCATGGGGCCCATACGTGTACATTGCATCTTCCCTTGCAACAAGCACATCCCCTGACTCTCTGTCTAAAGTCATACAACCAAGGGCACAACCCGTATCTTCAAGAACGCGTGCCGGCTGGCCTTGGCCCCTACCAGCGATGATCAAAGCCAAGATTCGACTTGTCGTAGAGATATAAAGCGTTGTTATTTGTCCGCTATGCACTTCCAGACCAGTGACCGGCTCTTCCGACTCGAAAACAATACGTTGTCGCGCACCGCGATCGTGGATCAAGTCGCCGCGAATAATTGTAACGGACCCGTTAGCAAACCCGATTGCGACCTGGGATAGGTCCTCCAGGGCTGTGAATGCCGATATCTGTTGAAATAGTTTCTCAGTCAGAAAGTGAGAGTACAGATTCTTGTCCGGCAAACATACAGGAAATAGTCTTCTTGCATTTTGAATCCCCGTCGTTGACAAACACCTAGGCGTCCCAGTCTTCTTCTCCGATTTATCAAGTGCCCAAACTTTTAAGATTGGTTCATTTAAAAGGTCTTCCGCTATCGTAGCAAGAAGCGATGACCCTTCAATCTGTTTGATATGCGTGATGGAGCCTGTGTCGGATGCCTTGAACGATCGAATAATCTTAAAGCTCGACGAGATGATATGAACGAAGCCATCGGTAGATCCAAGGAAGAGGTTTTCCGATCCGGTACAGAGGGATGCAATATCTGACTATCACCCAAAAAAAAAAAAAAAAAAAATACACCATTAGCATACTATGTTATTAAGTGAGAAAGGTTGCGCATACATTGAACACCGACGAGCTCTCTTCGGACAGCTTAACAGGAGAGACGTCGAAGAAGTTGAACGCTTTCCACTGCAAAGAAATACATCAGCAAATGACACGTGGCACTTTAAACAGTGTATTCGGTTCATACCGATGTTAAAGCCATTTGGTTGTGGCCCAAGCCATGGACCGATACAAGCAAGACAGGCAAACGAATGGTCTTTGGAATCTCCAGGTACGGGGATGTATGGCGGAGCTCCGCGCTAATGCTCAGAACGGTTCACCAACGTCATTGGAGACAAACATGCCAAGAACAAGTGCTTCAACGTCCAGCTAAAGGAAATTTCGAGTCGTGTATTCATTAATGACCATATTTCAACAAGGATTTATTTTGTGTGGAGGAGGGAGGAAGTAGAAACTATAAATTAAGGGATTGATCAAGCGACACCAGCTTTCTTGGTAGGTACGGCGCCTGGCCATATAAGCAGAAAATCGATACTAGAGACCACTACATAAGGTTTAGTAACTACGACCAAAATCGTTGGTTGTATAATACAAAAGAAAAAATATCTGCTGAGACAGATTAGTATCCTTGGGCTCTCCATACTTATGCATACAGAAGCAGCTGGAGCAAAGGGGGAAGAGACACGCAAAGTAAATATATATTCAGTGCCAGCTACCATATTTGGGGGTTTGCGTTACCTTCCAAAAATTACCAAGGCCGGTAGAGAGCTATAAAGACATTATGGTATACTGGAAAGTCTTAAGTTTCCTTATAGATTATATTGTATATAGGTTAGAGGTCTGAATGTCCTATCCTCTACTTCGTAAATACAGAATGATAATCAGTTTCTGGACACAAAATTCAGTACTAACAGAAACGCAATCCCCGCTATAATGCAGATGCAATGTGGAATGGTATCCATATATCCAAGATGCTCATGAAAGAAAGAAGATAAAAAAAGGAAAGAAATGTAATCGGAGGCGTAGAATAGAGGGAGAAGGGAGAACAAGCCAATTGAATAGTGAAAAGACTAGATTCACTGTTGAACACATCAAAACCTATGCCTCCGAAAACGTAGCCAGTACTTGGCCGTAGCACACATGGGCATCTCATTATATGTGGCTAACTGATCGTATCCACACCTACCCTCGCTTGCTGTCTATCACCAGTGGAGGGTGGTCCAGACCTGTAATTTCGGCATTGATCGATATCTTTATTAATATCAAAGCTCTGCTGTAGCCAGCTTCCTGCTTCGGCGATAGCTTGATTGAGATTAAAGCTCTCTGCACCCGGAAAACCCCCTTGCGCATCCTGATCTGTCGGGGGAGTCGTCCCTGTTAGGGTCATGGGCAAAGCACTGTGCTGTGTGCTGATATGGAAGGGTTGAGAGTGTATCACGGAATCTGGGTTCCTTTCAGTACCAGGTTCGGAACGTGTTTCGTTGTTTTCAGGCGATGGGGTTGACGACCCAACAAAACTGCAGGACTTTGGCTTTTTGCTGCTTGACATGCCAGTGGGAGAAAATATTAGGCCATGATTCTCCTTTTTTTCTGTACTGAAAGTGAAAGGGGTCATAGCGTCAATCATGACCTTCGTACTCATCATGTGCGCATCAACCATGCCATTTGGCCTCGGTTGATCGTTCCCTCTGTGGTCATTTGGCGTGCTAAGTCGGTAGAAAGGAATTATATTACTTGCTGTCGGTGAGGTACAATTGGAAAGTTGAGAAGCACGTCGCTTTCGCTCTGGGGTTTTGGAGTCGCGATGATAACTATCAAGGTCATTTTGAAAAGACTGCTGCGCCAAGAGTAGCGCTGCCTGCGTGGATAATTCTTGATCAGCGATAGTGTCGTCCTCAGCTTCCGAATTGACTTTTGTGATAGCTATTGAGTGTAGCGATGTCAAATAGTCGGATACTGTCGGGTTCTGCCGTACTTGTTGAGCGGATGGGAGTTTGTCACTCGTCGCCTCTTTGGACTGGTTGTTTACTGATTGAACTCTCTCCGAATGCGAGGCGGGGTCATTTTCTAAGGTATTGGAAGCGCTAGTCAATGTGACAGAGTCCTGCGGATTCTGTTCGGGCTGAACTTGGTTCTGCCTGGTGGAATCCATCGGTAGGTTTTGCTGGCGCACCGGATTTGGCTGATGCAAGATCCCAAAGCCTTTGGAAGAGGCAGAGTGGCTTGGGCCCTCCTGATTCTCCATATAGGTAGTGATGGGAGGGTCTTTATTGGTCTTTGGGCTAGTAGAACAACGTTTCTTCCGACGATACCCAAACCCGGGTAGGTGCGATGACGACGAAAGAAAGTGAAATGATCTTTCTTGGCTGGAAGATGTGGAAGAAATGGGAAGCTGACCCGTATGAGAAATTGGTCTCTTGCTACCGGGAGGGAAAGACTCGACATTTGCAACCAAGTCATCTCCTACGCGGGTCGCAGTTACAGCAGATGTTTGAGAAGTTGGCTGGTTCTGTTGATCATTGTACATTCGTTCTGATTGTTCAGTCCGGACGGTTCGAGGTTGACCTTGGACAAGGGTATGCTTGACCACAAGATTCTTTGCTCCGCAACAACGGGAGGATGTCTTCGTCGTAGGGGAAGTAGGAGGGTCGATGTCCTGGAATCCGACATGGTCCCGATCCTTCCTCAACCAGCCTCTATCCACGTCCTTGACATGAGCTGCATGCTTCGACTGCAATTTTGACCGTGTTGTTTGTTTCTTCGCCCTCGAACTGGATACTTGCGATAGCGATATTGACATCTTATTACGTGCATCTTGTCGAGTGCTAGGATTTGAAAAGAGGGCTGCCTCCTCGGAAGAACATTTCTTGATTCTTGAAGAAACGGCCGTATCTGAGTTTGGGCGAGCAGAGGACGATTTAGCATGGTGAGGTATTTGGGACTGAAGGAAACATGTCCGCTTCCGAAGGTTGGTTTCTTGTATCACCGGACTCTCAGCGCTATCTTCTCCTTTATGCATCCGCCGAGAATCCTGTTCCGTTGTATCATTGTGTCTTCTGTTTTTCCTCCAAGGATTCACCCAGTCTTGGTCAAAGGGTCCTCTTAGTGAAGCAGAGAAAATGAACAAGGGTTTGCCCTGAAGGTAAGCGTTGGCAAGCTTCTCAATCCTGCGATGCTGGGAAGCTCGACCCTCATTATCTAGCTCATCATCAGAACCGATGATATCGTCACTGTCCGAGTGTGCAGGCGGAAGCGAGCATATTTCTAGAGAGAGCGGGGAGGTGGCCCGATGAGGTGGCATCTGGGTAGAAACAGGCTGTCGTTAACGAATGGAAACTGAGTGCAGCGCGGCAACAATAGAACAGCGGCCGCATCTGAGCTGCTGAGTGGTACGGGATATGTGGCTGGGGGACCTTCATATCTTCTAGGGCAACCGCTCGATGGATGTCATGGTAAACCGACTCGATGCTCACGATAGATGATATTCGGATCGTTATCCAGCAGCTGGAAGTCACGCGAGAAAGAAAACCACTTTACACGTTCCCCGCGACGATTGCCTAGCAACGTGATGGCTTATGTAAGTACTCAACAATGAAATTAATAAACTTAGTAACTAACCTACCCAGTTGGGGCATCATACTGGATACATTAGTCGTACCAAACAGTCCATTCTGTTACATGAAGACATTCTTCATCCATGGAAAAGTAGCTGCCATCGGGTAAACCTTGCCATTGACCATGGTTGTGAGGCAGTCTTATCCGATACTATCGTTTCTTCATACCTTGCACGTGTAATGGCTAGTAGGATCATCTTCCGCAACTCCCTCGCTTCGGGTAAGGGCAAATGTAACTGTACCTACCTCTGCGTCTATATTATATTGCCAATTGAAAAGTCCTTCTGCCTAATACACCTACTTACCTTACCTACTGACGGGATGGAGACTTCGTACCTACTGAGTACCTTAACATTTGGGCATGGGTGCCAACTCATCCAAACTTACCCCAATGTATCGTATGTAACTTACAGGCCACTCGACATGAAAGCACCACAGGGTTGATGTAAGGCACAAGATGGGATAAACAAGCGTCTCTGTAGAAGGGATAAGCCTTGAAACAAAATTTCATGCGCCTGAGAGTGTTTTAATCTCCTGCCAGATAGACGGTGGCGAACTCGGTGAACCGTGGGGACAGTTGCTGGGGTTGCCCCGACCACCCGAAACTTATCGATCGGCTTCAGGTTTAATGTCCCTCAACTCCACTTTAATAACAAGGTCATACACCACTTTATACTCCGCTGCTAGCCTCTCTGCAAATATTCTGGTTTCTTTTCTTTTCTTTCTTTTTTTTTCTAAATTAGCATCACGTTTTCTTGCAGATTGTGCAGTTTCATAGTGTACGCATTCAATGCTTTGCATACATCTATTTTTAGCGTTTTCTATGTTTGTTGTATTCACTGAGGCTTTTGTGATCGCGACACGCGCCGAGCTTATTTAACTGCGGTCGCGACCATTTTACACAATGGGCAACGCACCATGGCTGGACAGCCTTTCAGACGACTGGGTATCCGTTCCAGGGACTCCAGCTAGCCCTGTTCCTGCTCGATCTATCAATCACTCTCGTCGCTCGAGCTTACAAAACTCTCCTAGTCGCATTCCTGTCCCCGCGCGTCGCTCCGTTGAACCATCCCCAACTGCAGACGGAAAGAAGAAGGTCTCGCGTCCTTGCCATTTCGTCAGAAGGGAACCGCCGACCCCAAAGACCCCCCGCACACCCAAGACGCCTTCAAAGTTGCGCTCACCAGTACCCGACAAGACTAAGAAAAGCTCGAAGCCGAATTTGCCCTCCGGGCGTAAACAACAGCAGCCCACCATGGATACTAGATCACCACTACGATCTGTATCGAACATGTCCAGCCAATCGTTACAACAGGACACTGTTCAAGTGAGGCCAAACAAGAGGAAGGATAAAGATGGGACTCCGGAATGGCGGAAGAGATTGGTCCATGGAGAACTACATCCTGGCGAACAGCGCGATTTGTTTGCTCCCATTGGACTGGAAAGTGTCTTCAAACCCCCTACTCCAGCCTCGGAGAAAACGCAGCAAGATGTAATTCCGAATATGACGCAGCCGGACAACCTGTGGGACTTCGGCGACTCCCCTGAAAGAAGCCGTGATATAAAAGCACGAAAGTCACCACTAGCACCGACAAATAACGATGATGAAGACGCTGGAGACTCCTCTGTTCGGTTTCCCGAATCCCCCATAAGGAAGTCCGAATCGCTCAACCGAGAAGATTCCAATGAGAGCCCACAATTATCACGCAATGGGACCCTAGAGATCAGAAAATGTGCAGGTAAACTTCATGCGAATGACGGTGATAATCACAGCGACTCCCACAGTGATACGCAGCTGAGAACTGCGAGTGGTATAGAGGACCTCCGCAATGAGGGCATCACACCTATTACTTTCTCTCGGACCAATACAGTCGATGGAAATGGGACATCGGAAGTCATAAAGTCAGCACTAAAGCAGGTCACCAACAAACTTGAAAAGCTCTCTATGGTACCAGGAGAGCGACCAGACTCAAGAGCAAGTGACAGCATCCTGCTCAACCAGAAAGTGACCAATGCTACCGACGCATTTCCCGAAGACGAAATGCTCGATGTTACAAGTAATTCTCTGCCTCAGGATTTATCTATGGGAACCCTGGATTATCGGGGGCGTGGAGCCTTCACAAATCTCGGTCGCGAACAATATTTTAGTGACGCTTCCTTCCAGAAAAGGCGGTTCTCCCCTCCGTCCTTTCCTTCCCAACGCCTCTCTCCATTCATCCCAGCGAATTATAGAATCCGAAGCTCTCCCCCTTTCTATCCAAGATCACACCAGATGGCTGATCCCACTACTCACCCTCGACCTTCGTCAGCTCACGTCAAAGCTTCTACGTTTGGTCACTCTGAAGCGGAAAGGAGTGAAGTCATGCCATCGTCTGGGAGCCCTTTGAAGCTTTTTGGAAACCATGACACTTTCACAAACAACAGACTGTTGCGCCGTATGAGCCAGTTTGAAGAAACATTTGGCGAATTGTCTGAGGATGACGAGCCGCTTTCACCGTCGGAGGAAGCTCGACGCAAAGGCGAAAGTAGGAGTTTTTTGAATGCTAAATATGACACTTCGGGCGATCAGTCAGTGACAGCAAGAGATCTTCCAAGGTCCCAAAATGCGGCCAATCTTCGCATCGGTCGATTTGGGGATGGCCAACTGGATGATTTTGACTTTTCCGATACTAGCCCTTATGAACCAAAATTGTTAAATTACGAAGACTCGGGGATTAATAGTCGTCCCACTTCGCAACGACGGCGACAATGGCAACATAACTCATGTAGGAATCACGGCCATGGCTCTAAAACGGACGAATCGAAGTTAATCGAAAATGTGAGACCCCTGGCTAGATCGAATACGCCATCTCAAACTGGAGCTACAAGAAGGCAGTATGCACTTTCAAACGAGACAGAGGATGGACCTGAGATGGAAAGGGCACCCAATACTCCGGCAAAAGACCCAACACCAAAGAGGCGCAGAACGTTCTTGAGATCTCATAGCTCGAGAAGAGATCATGACGCTAGCATACAAGACATCCCGGGGCAGCAAACAGACACCTTATCATTACTACAGAGAAGCCTGATGCAGCATGGCGTGAAGTGTGAGGAGAATAGTTCCTTGCTTCATACGCAATCCTCGCAACGGCCAAGAACGCCAACCCCAAGTCAAGCAAGATCATCAACAAGGAAGAGGTCGTTGCCGAGCAGGGATCTGCCACATGCTAGCTATGAACATGAGGAGTCTCCGGCGGATCAGAGTGTGCCTATGGTCAAAGTGACTGGCGTTAAGGACGAGGTTCGCAAAGGGTCTATTACGACTCAGGATTTCCTCAATGAGGCGACTAAGATAATGGATATTATTCGAGCGAAAGGTAGAGGAGCAACAGGAGGGCTGTCAAGCGTCGAAGAATCTGAAACGGAGGACAAGAACAAAAATGATAGCTTTGAAGACGAATCAACTCGGGAAGAGTTCTCTCGACCCCCGAGTCGAGAGGGTGTTGATATGAGAAAGCTCAGGGAACCGAAAGAGCCTAATCCAAGAATATTGAGTCATCTTAAAAAATTTCAAGAACACGATGACTTGGAATTTGACGTTAACGCTTCTGTTATGTCACTGCATCTCGACGACGGACAGGAAAACGACCATATTGACGATAGTGCCGGGAACAACTCATCACAAGAGACTCGTCAGCGAGAAAGAAAACTTTCAGCATTGACCACAGCTGAAGGTGATAGTCTCCCTGAGTTGTTGACTCTTAATACACAGGTATCAGGGAAAAGTCTCAGCGCTCGTTCTGTTCCTACCGGATCCTCACAGAGCTCTCACGCCAAAGGTGTTTTGTCGTCAGACCTGGTATCCCATTTAATTCCTGAGCAGGTCAACGGGTTTACGTACGACCGTTACAAGCATTTATGGATCAGGGAAAAGCCACGGCCCTCCCCTGAAAAGCCAAAGGGTGACGAAAGTGAAGACGACCCATTCAGGGACATCCCTGACCTCAGTGTCGATGAACTTCAGGAGATGATGATGTCCCCTGAAAGGGCAAAGAGCTCCTACTCTGTGGATGGCAATGCCACCAAAAGCCCGTTGAGCGCCAAAGCTGCCTCTCCAAAGTTAGAGGGGCGACCACAGACAAAGGATGGAGAGCCATCTATGAATGCCAGCTCAGTTCAGTCGAGGGTAACCCAATTTACGTCCAGTATTCCCAACTCGGGGACTGGAGCCACTTCATGGGGTTCGAGTCGACCAAGGAGTAGAGAAAGCTCCAGCGAAGTTGAGCATGAAATTCAGCTCCACGAGGGTCGTTTATCAAAGCCTCCACGACGTCAGAATGATGGCAATCACCAAGCACGTGTTGTTACTATTAGCTTTTCGTCCCCTCTTGTTTCGCAAATCGCGTACAGCGACTATGAGAGTCCTACAAAGCTTCGGCGAGAGCTGATTACAGATTCTGGGCATGGCATGAAAAGCATGGAAGATACAAACGATTTCACAAAACAGTTGCAAAATCCGCCCCTCGAAAATGACCAGCCATTCTTTCAGCGTTCTATATCCCGGATAGATGAGCGAGGCGAAGAAAAGTCTGAGAATCTGAGCTTGATACGAAGGGACCTGGAGTTTCCCGAGTCGACACCTGTTAAAAATGCCAGCGAGAGCAACTCGTTGATTCACATAAAAAACAATCTGGATATGAGTTATAGCTTTCATCTCAGTCCCCTGCCTGATTTTACTGTCGACCAGATTGACCAGTCTTTGCAACTTGAAGTGAGTTATGTGGCTCAACGCACTCATCCTACATCCTTACGCCAGGTTCATGGGACATTTGCCCTGGCGACTGAGAAACTGGTCAAACACATCACGGAGGTCCAGCCATTTGAACCCTATTGGGAATATGTCCGTCGGTTGATACTTCGCCGCAAGGGGTTGATCACATTACACAAACTTTGCGATTTTTGTCCTCGTTTAGAGGACCTGGACGTCTCGAGCAATAGTATTGGGCAACTCAGTGGAATCCCCCCAACTTTGAGGACGCTGACGATCCAACGTAATTGCCTTTCAAATCTGACCGCGTGGGGTCATTTGATTAACCTCCAGTACCTAGACGTTTCAGGAAATGAACTGGAGAGTTTGGATGGATTCAGCAGTCTTATCCACCTCCGAGAACTCAAAGCGAGCGATAACAACATCCAGAACATCAATGGTGTCTTTGAATTAGACGGTCTTTTGAGCCTGAAACTGGGGAATAATGGCCTGACGGTGATTGACTTTGAGGGGGCGGAACTGTGAGTCTTACAACCCTTCTTTAAAAGGTTTTGGATGGCTAACAGATTTTGAACAGAACTCGTCTGCAAGAGTTAGACCTCAGCCATAATCAGCTGGTGTCGCTCCGTAACCTTGACAACCTGACCTCTTTGGCTTCGCTTGATCTCAGTTCCAACCAACTTGGCAGGCTTGATCCCTCAGGGCCTCTACGTACCTTGCGGTCGCTGAAGCTATCTAGGAATAGGCTGCACAGTCTGGATGTCGGTTTCTTTCCGTCTCTGTCTCTTCTTTATGTTGATCAGAATTTCCTAACCACGATTTCCGATTTTGGTCAATGCCATAACTTGGAAGTCTTCTCTGCTCGTGAGCAAACAATATCGGATGATCTCAATTCCGGGTTCTTTGACGTTGATCTGGGTTTGGTGAAAGATATACGCAAAGTATTCCTATCTTCGAATAGGCTTTCTTTGCAAGCCCTTTCACCCTCTGCCCCACTTCTTAGTTTGCAACTTTTCGACGCCGCTTCTTGCAATATCCAGAATCTTCCTGTGGATTTTGCATCGAATTTCCCCAACATCAAAGTCCTTAACCTCAACTTCAATTCTCTCTCGAGCATAAACGAACTAGCGGGCGTTAATTGTCTTTCTCGGCTGGCAATTGCCGGAAACTGCATAGTTAGATTGAGGAGACTGTGTCAAGTCTTGAGCCGGGTAGGTAGAACTAATAAGAGAAGAATCTCCACCCTTCAGAAAGTTGATATAAGAGGAAACCCCTTAACTGTCAGGTTTTATCCCCCTGCTGTTACGGGAATTGGAAGATCGGACAATGCGAAGAAATTACGAGAGACTGAACATATTCCTTCAAATAAGTGTTGCTTTGATATCCCGCCTGTGCTGGCCGATTTTGGTCATCATGAAGAAATAGCCCATGCCACTATGGGAGAAGATGACGAAAACATTCCCAAGAAAGACTCTGACATTGATGACCCGTATACCCTTCCGCCATCTGACCCTGAAGCGGACCAGAAATATGTGTCCCTCTTGGATGAGCCAACTCGGCTCCGACGAAGGGTTTTTGAGCTTATGCTCTATGTGGGTACTGGGGGCTCTATTAAGTTCCTGGATGGGCTGGAATTGCGGCCAACTTTTGAGGGAGGGTCCGACATGGATCATGCTTGGACAAAGCTTGAGAAACTTGGCGTACTCAAAAAGAAGGTAATCACTGCTTAGGCTGAATGCGTATTGGATAGGAATTCCGGGATATCGATCTCTACGAGCTTGCTTTGCTTTGGTGATTGTTGAGGGAGCTTAGTCCGGCGATGCGCTAAGGCGTTGTGGGGAAGGGAGAAGGGGGTGAATATTTCTTTGACCCCATTTAAGATGGACGGGTTATTTTAACTGTTTGATGATGGACACTGCTGTGTAACGAATTGCATAGTCGGCGTTTGGGCATTCATGGCACTGCTGAGCGAGTCCATATTTGAGTTATACATGAGCGACCTATCTCTATTCATTCATGACATCCTTACAGCTACAAGGAATTGAAATTTGGCCTGAATTTTTATTTAGGGAATGCCTTCGGTGTAATCATGGTACGAACGCTGATCACGCATGCAGCGCACGTCAGTTTTAGAAACATAAAATCATTTTGCCCTCGCTATCGTAAATTTATCACTGCATCTTTCTGTACATGTTTCTTGACCTATCTATCACCTTGTAGATAGTAGACAAACCCAGCCGTGCCTAAAATTCCGTATCCATGCTCTTCAGCTGCGTAGTAAACGTCTTCCGGATCCATTCCATGTATGATTTCCATTTGTGATGCTCCCCAGAAGCCTCAGCATTTGGGAATGCTTTGCTCAATTCGCGGGAGATCTTAAGAACACCCATGGATGCTTCCTGTGCTTTTTCAAGGTCTTGCTTCACAGCATTATCCTTGGGTTTGAAGGACAGAACAATGCCGTAGCGCTCCGATAGGACATCAAGGTATCGCTGCGTCTCTTCTGGAGCGAGTGTGATGAGTTTGGAGGTCATAAGGTTGCAAATAGTGCGGATATCTTGCTCGTCATCGATTCCCGCTAGAATACGATCGAAAAATTCGGAAACGTGGGAAAGTGAAAATGTGGTGTCCAGGGACGCGTAGAGGGTTTCGTAGGCACTCTTTCAAGGGGTTAGCTCAATCGGGGGTTGCGCGGAAGAAGGGAAGAAAGTAGTAATTAGACTGCACCTACCTTACGTAACTCAAGACCATCATCGACCTTGTGCTTGAATGGCCCCATCTGGACTTCACGAATGAGTTCTGGTTTAATTTGTGTGTCGCCAAATACTGCCGGAAGCAGTTCATTGAGGTGCGGGAGAATGATTTCCATTTTGTTATGGATCGCTGAGTTCAAGGTCGTCAACGCAAGACGATGATTACCGAGATCACGATCACTGAGCATTTTGACTAAAAGGGGGACAATCAACGGCCGCAACACATCGTTATAGGTGTCGCTTGAGTCGGAAAGTGTGTAACGGAATGCAGAGATGACAACACCCCGAATGCCGGCATCAGTACTGGATAGGTATTCCTGATTACGAAGGGATTGATCAGTGAATGCATTACCGACAGTAAATGATCATATCCTACCTGGAAATGTGGTATGTAAGCTACGGGGTCAATCAATGCCAGTCGACCAACGCATTCCGCTCCAACAGCTCGGTTGTCTTCCTCTTCCGAAACCTGGAGAAGGGCCTGCCAGAGCTTGAGCGCAGAAGGTGCCACATCAGGCCGCACAATTTCAGGGTGTTGAAGCAATTCTTTAACGGAGTGAAGAAGCAGGTAGCTCTGAGGGTTCGACTGCTCCAGGCCACCTAAGATAGTGGGCAAATACGCTTTCACATTACCCGCAGCAGCATTGCCCAGGGACGTGGCTGAAGCCAACCGTACTTTGTCTGACTTGGAGTCGAAATGCTTAATGAACAGTTCCGGTGATAATGCACACTGTGCCCCCATGCGCAGACCAATTTCTCCCAAAATAGCAAGGGCGAGACATTTCCGCTGAGCATCTTGCGCGGTTTGTAGTTCTGTCATAAAGTCTTCCATCTTGACCCCTAACCTTGAGCCGCCGTGGACCAAAAGCGTCCCAATTGCTCTGCCGACAACGGAAGTGTCACCATTGATGCCAACATCTCTCAAAAGCTTTCCCATTAGCTCTGCTCCAGCTCCCTCTTCCCCGATAACTTTAACGAGTAGCAATAATGCCTTTAGTACGGTGCCAACCAGGGGTGAGACGACAATCAAACATAGAGCAGACACTAGACCTTCGTTGACAAGGAGCGGGGAATTTCCAGGGACGAGCTTTGCCAGGATAATTAGGGCAGGCGCAAGGAAATGGAAATCCTCAGCACTGATGAGGGGCAGAAGGGAGTCCTCCAAGTCCTTCATCGTTTTATTGTCGTAATGGGCCCTAGTATTAGGATTCATAGCGAGGCTGCGAAGAGCCTCCAAGCTGGCACCTCGGAGCACGCGGTCTGACTTGCGTAGTTGAGCACTAAGTTCGATAGTGACCTCACTGACCCACGTCGAAGGGACATCTATCTCACGGCTGCACAAGACGGCAACGTCGTCCACAGCGCGAACGGCTGCAAGCCTAGTAGTCTCATTTCTCAGACGATCAACTAAGACACTGATACCCCTTGAACGGCGGTCCAATGAGAGGAAGGTAGAACCATTCTCGCCTGAGGTCCGAGCTAAGAGCACACCAAATACATGAATAGCTCGCTGGCGAACCTCAAGGTCAGCACTCGTATCAGCAATGCGATCCTGAACCACATCATACAGCTTCTCCAACTGTGACTCGAGATCCTGGGACGTCATGGATACTCGAGGTGGCGTAAGAGCTTTCATTATCTGTTCCACAGCCCCAAGAGCTTCACTGCTAACCTTATAGTTCCTGTCTCGGACAGAGCCGATAACGCCCGGAATTAAGGCGATCAAGAAAGGCAGGAGAGCATCCGATGTGTGTGTTTCAGCAATGGCGGCAATCAGGCTCAATGTCTCGACCTGGAGGGTTCCCGCACTGACTGCCGCTCCAGCAGGGGCGGACGAGCCTCCCGAAAGGGATGATGACTTGAGGACATCCACAATTGGGTCTTCGATCTGCTGAAGATGATCAGCTAGGCCACCGTAACGAACAAGAGCCAGGCTCTTAAGCAGGACGACAATAGCCTGTTTCAAGGGGACAGAAGCCTGCTTCCACATCTTGACGACGCTTTGTACAATAATAGGCACCGAGCGAGCCAAGTCAGCCTGCGGCCCAGATTCGGGTGACGATGGGGCAACAACCGGCGTGCCAACAGCAGATGATGTACCAATACTTGGCTCAAAGTCGATCATGTTTGCATCACTATCTTGCCGTCTCCTCTTCCTCGAGTTTTTTGATCCACCAACCGACTCCAGGAAGCCACTAGACGTTATTATCATAGCACCTTCACCGGTTTTGCGAACCAGAGCCGTCATTGTGGAAACCACCTCAAGCCTCACGCTTTCTTCCCTTTCCTTGCTGAACCGGGAGATAAGGGCAGGCGCAATCTGCTGGTATAATGAGTTGTCCAATGCGCGACCCCTCCCATATGCCGAGATAACTGTGTAAAGGAGTTTCGCTGCACATCTCCGGACTTTCCAACTCATATCATCAACATCGCTGTATCCCCCATCCTCCTCGAAGTCTCCAAACTCGTCGTCATCCAGATCGGCCTCGTCGTCCTCTGAACCATCATCCTGGGTACCACCCATCTCCTCGTCTTCTTCTACATCTGCGACATTAGGGTCGTATTTGAGGTATCGAAGAGCAGACTGCACTGTGTTGGACAGGTAAGGTTGCATCTGCTGGCTGCAAGAGCTAATTAAGGCCTCCAGCGTAACGAGAGCGGTCTCGCGGAGCTCATCCTCCTGAGGGTCGTGCTCGTCATCTTGAGAATACGACGACATGGCGTCGTGGGAAATATGTATTGTATCGATATAATAGGGAGGGCGTAATCTAGTCAATAGTAGAGAGAGAATGCGGTGTCGTTGACGTGAACCGGAGCTGGAGAGCTTCAATGCTACCCCGCGCTAGACCCCAAACGATTTCGGACCAAAATCCCCCGACGGCCGGTCTTGGCATAAAACTGATTGTGAAAAGAGCAGAGAAGAAACAAACCCAAAAAAAAAAGAGATATTCACTGCTGAAGAAAATCAAAAAGATCCAAGGACGAGGAACTTGCCTGGGACTTTTGTTTAGAAGCCAGGAGAGCCTGCAATCCCCCTTGTTTTCTTGCCTTGGCTCTTTTCTTACTACTCGCGTTCTCTGCTGCCTTATTGGATTTCTCGGTCTCTACAGATTCTGGGGCCTGTTGGGGAGAAATGACCCCTGTAGATGTATTCTCTGTAACCGTACTAGGCGATCGAGGAGCTTGAGGCCGGCATGATTTCTGTCGAGCTGGCATGATGGTTCGCCGATGGCAACGAAGGCATTTGTAGACAGTGGCTCCATCAAGAGTAAATCCCTTTGCAGCGGATACACGTTTTGCTTTCTTTTTGTTGATGCGAATGGTCTTAGTGAATTCATCATTTCTCATACTACCACATGCCCCACAGGAAGCTTCTTGCTGCCTCTGGTTCAATGGCCTGCATTCAGCCAGAAAAATGTGATTATGGACAGTCATAAGATAAGCAGCTGTAGAAGGACTGCAAGCGCTTAAAGCGCCTGCAGATTCCTTGAGGAAATTCAATCGAGGGGTGTAGTCACTGAAAGGCATGCTGGCAGTGGTAGTGAACGATGGCGATTTTTTGAGAGAGATGATGAAGAGAAAGGGAGGACAGGTATAGATCGTACACTGATTATTGATTGGGCGGATCTGCTCCAAAACGGCGGCCGACCCCAACTAACTTTGTTCCTCTTCTCTCCTCGCCATCTCTATCGCTCCTTTGTCAATCTCTCTCTCCTTTTCTCCCTCTTTCTCTCTCTCTCCCATTTTGAATCTTTTCGTCTCTCCAGTACACTTGCCCCCCGGGGGCTGACTTTCTCGAAACACATCTTGACTGCATGTCTTCTCGTAGACCACTGAGCTGAAGATCCGTTCTTTAGCTAATCTCCAACATCGGTCGTCTGGCTGACTTTCTCTACAGAACAATGGAAGCGCCAACACCAAATTCTGCATCAATCAGGGTGGCTCTTGAAGGATGTGTAGGTTCTTCTTCTTCTTTGTCCCTCTTTACTCTTTTGTGCATCTCCTGAATGGATCTACTGATTCCTTGCCCTACATTAACACAATAACCTTCCCCAGGGACATGGCTGCCTCCATGATATCTACGCATCAGTCGAAAGGTCTGCTGCTTTGAAAGGTTGGGATGGCGTTGATTTAGTGATAATCGGCGGAGACTTCCAGGTGAGACGTCCAACCCAACAGCGTCCGCTCCAGTACTAACACCAAAGCTTAGGCCGTTCGCAATTCTAATGATCTTGCTTGCATGTCTGTCCCACAGAAGTACAGGGAACTAGGCGATTTCCACGAATATTACAGTGGAAAGCGTACCGCTCCGTACTTGACTATCTTTATTGGCGGCAACCATGAAGCTGGGAATCATTTATTCGAACTGTATTACGGCGGATGGGCTGCGCCTAACATTTACTACATGGGTGCAGCAAATGTGATTCGCTGTGGTCCTCTACGTATTGCTGCCATGTCCGGTATTTGGAAGGGCTATGATTACAGAAAACCGCACTTTGAAAGACTTCCCTATAACCGTGATGATATCCAAAGCATATATCATGTTAGAGAACTTGACGTTCGCAAGTTGCTCCAAATACGTACTCAAGTCGACCTGGGTCTCTCACATGACTGGCCCAAGCAAGTTGAATATTCTGGCGATTTCGAAACCCTGTTTCGTACCAAGAGAGGATTCCGTCAAGATTCACAGGACGGGAGATTAGGGAGTTTGGCAGCTAAATATGTTCTTGACCGCCTGCGCCCGGCCTATTGGTTTTCAGCTCATTTACATGTGAAATTCGTCGCCTCTATTCAGCATGGCGAATACACAATCCCGGGGAATCCAGCAAAAGGGCCGGAAACTGCTTCGGAACGTACCATCCCACAAAACTCGAATGCTTCACATTCGTTTGGTTTGGATGGTGCGACTGTCTCTTCCTTTTTATTCGGAAATGACGACCAGGAATTTCACGAGTCTCCGCGAAAACGCATTGCAGACAATGTGCTTAATAAGTCTGTGTCGATCCCCAGTGAGCAACGCCAGGACGAAGCAACTGAAACAACAGACGTTCATCCTTCGCACTCACAGCCGGGGCCTACAGAGGAACATCAAGTCCATACAGACGCGCCAGACATTAAAGTCTCGACCACAGATCAAGAAACCCTTGGAGATACACAGAGTCGGATATCAGCATGGAATAGTTTTCATACAGTCGCTGCTAAAAATGAAGCTGCTGAAAATGCACGCTACTTAAGGGAGCAAGAACAAAGTCAGGGAATCCCTCCTGATGTAAAGCACAATTTAACTTGGCGCAAGATTGATGTTGATGAAGATGGCACTGGCCGAAAGTTGACGAGCATCGAGCAAAGTGGTGGTACCGAAATCCCTGAAACCAAGAAACAGAAGATACAACACGACCCCGTAAAAAATGAGGATGAAATTGATCTGGATCTGGATAGTGACTTGGAGGACAAACCCATTAATGCCGGTGTCAACCCTGGGATACAAGCCAAACTCGAGCCCTCCAAAGAGAATATTGCGCCTCATGACGGCGATAGCAAATCATCGGACTTGCCCAAAACCGCTCAGGGGGCTGAAGCCGAAGTATCTGAAGAGTTACGCAACCAGCTCCCTGCTAGCTTCGCCCGCCCTCAGGCTGAGCTCCGCCATTATAACGAGTCGCTGCCTGATGCTATCTCAAACACAACAACTCATTTTCTCGCTCTGGACAAATGTCTTCCGAACCATGAATTTCTTCAACTAGTAGAATTTCATACTGTTTCAAATTTAGATGGAGCGCAATGTGAGCGTCCTTACCGACTGCAATACGATAAAGAGTGGCTCGCGATTAGTCGGGTCTTTGCCGACCATCTCCACTTGGGAGATCCTGAGGCTAAGACACCAGCAGACAAAGGGGATGCTATTTACAAACCGCAAATCATAGAAGCAGAGCAGTGGATTGAGGAGCATGTTGTGAAACCTGGCAAAATGACCATTCCGGAGAACTTTGAGCCAACTGCACCTTTCTACGATCCCTCGATCCCTATCACTACCGACGAGATGCCGTTCGAGTACACAAATCCCCAAACTACACAGTTCTGCGACCTAGTTGGGATTGAGAACAAATTCCACCTTAGTGATGAAGAACGCCAAGCGCGCATGGCCGCTGGCCCGCGTCCTCCGCGACCCTCTGATTTCAAGGGCCCTCGGAATCATCGTCGGGGTGGCGGTTCTGGGCCTGGGCGTGGACGAGGCGGATTCGGGCGTAATCGTGGTGGTCGTGGTAATCGTCGCTAAATTTCTGGCCGCGTCCATCCACATGCAAATAAACCTCTTGAACTCCATTCTGAACATCGGCTCTCATGATCCACGCTATCGTACGTACATGGAGGTCTTTGATTGCCGGAGTCTTCGAAACTCTCCAATTTTCACATAATTTTCCATTTGATAGGAATGCCGACTTAAATGCAAGACCCTACATGTTTAACAACGTGTTACTGGCTCATATTTACAAACAAATCGGGAGTTTCTAGTTTTAAGGGATCTGTTCAGCTTGGAATGCATTTATTTGCTTCCATCTCCTTCATGATGATGATATACAGCTTGATGAGGCGCTATTCATGTACTTATAGTCTTCTATTTCTCTACCATGTTTTATTAGGATCAGGGAGGCAGCATGGCTAATATGAATGTAATAAAAAAGTTTGCTACATTGCACCAAGTGACTCTATGTTACATTTCGTTGTTTGGTAGCTCGCTTTACATTTGTTATCCAATACGTAAAACCTAACCTTCTGTCCAATCGCAAAATAGGTGAATAGGTCCAATTTCCCAGTGTTGTTCGGACCAAGTGAATATTCTCATTTAAACTGTTTGAGGATACAACGCGAATGCCATAACCTCACTCAATCTCCTCAATCCTAGGACGAGTATCTTTGTTTTTACTTGCCAAGGGATCAATACGAAGACCAGCAAGATTATCGCCCAATTCCAGTCTTGGTTCGTTCCCATCACTCCCTCCATGGGCGCCAATTTCCCATAACAGGGACTTCTCCAGCCAAGCATCTAAGCTCTCGATAAGCACACGAATGTGGCCTCTGACAATGGTATCTGTCTCGCGGCTCTCCACGAAGGCCAATGTGCGAAGCATATAGGGTATATTTCCGATAGTTGTGGGTCCTCTAATGTTTATATTCTCAGTGCTCTGAAAACTGTTGTTTCCCCCTTCGTCGGAAAGCGAGAAGCCGAAGCCTACGCCTTTGTTCCGACGTTTTTCTTGTGCAGTATCGAGAGCCTTCAGGATATCGAGAAGCAGGCTAGCGCTTGCTCGTCTGATGATCGCGGACTCTGGCTCAGGTTCTAAGGTCAGAGTTGAAAGGGCTAGATCAACTGCTGAGGAGATAACCGAGGGGCCAAGGCCAGCAATGTTAGCTTGGACTACTGTGGCTAGAATGGATAATGCTGAGGCTCGAACGCGTAAATCATCAGGTTCCTCATCTGATGTCGCACCCGCTGCCCATGCCGAGATAATGTTTGCGGAATATGCGGCTTGCTCAGTGGACTCTGAGTCTTCATCCTCGTCTTCTTGTGCTGTTGGAATAAGCGCGGGAGAAGACAGTTTCCAGCCTTCCGGCATAGAGGGCCCTTTTTTCTGGCGCTCTTCGTGCTCCCTTTGTCGTCTTTCTTTTTCAAGTTGTTGGTTCCGAGCCTTTTGTGCTTGGGGTTTGCGTGCTCGTCGTCCGGCCACAGTTATCATGCCGTCACCTAGAACTTTTCCGATGTCTCCAGTCAAGGCTTCACCAAGGTCCTGTACGGTGAGTAATAGCGATTCGCCAATTTTTAATCTCTGGTCAAGCGTAACTGTTTCGTCTTTGTCTGTATAACGCTCAACGAGCGTCTTTATAACCGTTCGTGGATGTCGTGACGCCAATGTGCCGACGAGCTTTATGGCATTTAGGTAAATAAACTCATCGTTGGAAGCGGTTTCAGATGATTCCAGGAGGATAGAGAGGAGGAGGTTTAAGGTGGATGGGATATCAAGTACTGGCGACGCCTTCTTGACCAGATCAGAGAGAAGGGAGAATCCCTCGGCTTGTACTGGAGGAAGATCGGAATTAAGATTGGTCAGAGCTCGACGATGAGTTTCAAAATCAGAAATCTCAGATGATAATTTCTCGCGTCCTTGTTCCGCTGGGGATGCAATGTTGATTTCTAAAAGCATAGAGGCGGTCATCCCCGACTTCGCTATTGATGATGGGAGGTGTGGAATTAGTTCGTCCAGTTTTGCTTTGATACTTTCCAGGACCGGTAGATTTTCTTTTGATGCAATAAACTCTGGAGAGGCGAGAACAGTAGATAGTAAGCTGAAAACTTCCGGCAATGATTCTGCTGAATCTAACCCAGTTGTACTTTCTTCTCGCTCAGCATCCTCCGACAACACAATATTGGTCAGTGAGGAAAGAGAGATTTTCCCTGACTTTTGAGACATGGCCTTTTTTCTTTGGATATGCGAGCTGTTGAGTTCACCGTCCACAATCTGCTTGATGAGTTCGAGAACCCTGAGAGGACGGCGAGAAAGAACATCCTTGAAGTTTTCTAGAAGTGTTTCTGAAAGCTTTGCACTGACAACCTTCTTCAGTATGTCGGCCGAGCCGTCATTCTCCTGAGGGAATTGCAGCTTATTTAATGATTGGCCATCAGACGGAGATTGCGTGAGCCAATTTTCGCTCACATACAAGAAAATATCTCCAGTTCGTTCTTCCGTGCTGGGATCGGCTCCAAGCAAACTCACAAATAGCTTTGTTCGAGACTGAAGTGTATCCATCAGCCCGACAAAATTAAATGCCCCTGACGTTTTACTTTCGCGTTTCACTAGTGACACCTCATTACGTAACTTAAGAGCGTATGTCCAAGAGGGACCCCCATCCCAGAGTAGATTATCCACTAACTTCTTGAGTGGATTGGATCCCACAGATATACCAAAGTATGTCCGCAACACTGTCATAATCTTTTCGTGAAGGGTGAGGTGCTGCTGCTCCAAAGCAAAACAAGCTAAGCCCCACAGAGGAACGAGTATCGGATAAATTGCCCTCTTCACAAGCCCTGGATTCGGAGGCTGGAGGACTAAGCTTCCCAGTCTATTAACCACCAGAAAAAGCATAGATTCACTGACCAGAACTTGTTCCGGCAAGTTTTGATCTGTGCCACCTGGTGGTCTCATCCAGGATCTGGAGGAATCGTCAAGTTCTGCAGTAAGTGTCTTGAAGATAGGCTCCAAAAATATTGAATAGCCTATTGTCCCAGGGGCTCCATATTGGCGCTTGCCTAGAATCCCATTGCCGACCACATAGGCCGCAGTCTTCCTCAGATCCGGATCTTCACCATCGATCAGCGATAATAACTGCGGTGCAATTGTAGAGAAGTAGTAGACTGGATCCATCTCCTGGGGCACTGAGGATAATAAGCGAGAATTTTGCATGATTGCTTGTACGGTGAAATGAGGGCCAGTGGAAGCCTGCGCATTTGCTTCATTTCCTAGCGAGGGGCTAAATTGCGAGGCCAGAAAAAGTATTGTTTGCAAAACCCCATCATGTCGCAAAGGAATTCGCGAGAGTTGAGTAGATATTATATTTTTAAACCATGGAGCTGGATCAGCCTGAAGGAAAGTCGACAGTGTTGACAACAAAACTGGGCATGGGGTACTGCGACTACTTAGTGCAAGCATGCGTAGGCTAGATAGGTGAGACCTACTCTTCTATGACTCTCATAAATAAATTCCGATTCCATTCCTTTCTTTCATTTTGCAGGGACACTGAATTGAAGGCTAAGTCTGCGGCTGCGCTGATGATATCACTTAAAATTCGACCACGGATCACAGGTTGTATGCTAGGCCGTGCATCGAAGAGAATATCAGAAAGAGTTGACAATATATTGTCTAGAAGTAGCTCGTTTCGGGATGAGTCATGCGCGACTTTCTGTTCTTGCGCAATAACACCAGTAGGAAGCACAGAAATCATTCGCTGCTGAAGTGGTATACCCACTCCCGATGAAAGTGACGGATAGATGCCCTCCAGCGAAATCAAGTCCAGAAGTGCATGAAGCATTCGACGGCGCTTTGCATCTTCTAAGGCAGAATCCTCTGTCTTTTGGCTACTCTGGCAGAATTCTTTCGTATCATTTACAGGGGCGACAAATGCTCTATGAATGCGAGAAAGTATATCCAACGCTTTGCTGATGACTGTTTTTCGTATAGAACTGTCATCTAAGACAGCATCAGGAATGCCCTTGCCCAAGATCTCCAAAATGGAGCTTCCGCGGAACTTCTGGAGCTCCTCTTAAGTCTAGTTAGCATTGCACTATAGTATTCGGTGTTGAGATTTCCATGCCTCTTTGAAGGACAGGGCTCAAAAACTCATTTGCAGCGTTGAACGCTTCATTTAATTGTCGGATATCCCCCATGTTCTATCCGGGGTTGCGTTACTGAATTCCGAATGTCTTCATCCTGCGACCTTGATTTTCACATCGAGGCCAGGATTGGTTGGGAATATTATGTTGAATCGAAATTACGAAATAAGTGGCGATATTCGTTCCACGTGACCAAATGCACTAGCTATTTCTGGATGAACTGGGTTGACACCTCAGGCAACAACATCGCTAGAACTCACGCTCAGTGGACTGATACTAGTTGGAAAGATGAGATCCATGGATAGAGCTACCTCTTGATGACCAGATTTGTCTAACTTTTATTAAGATCTGATTTGGGTACGCTTTGCTTTGTTTGTACATGTAAAGGAATATGGTTGGTGGATATATGCTAATCTGACCGGATCCCGGAGGTGCTTACAGACGCGAGATAGTAACAGTGTCATTGCAGCCTCCTGTACTAAGACATTGCCATCCAAAGCTTCCCCCCCCCCGAGTTCTTTACAGAGCAAACGAAAGTCCATAGTAACGAATCAATAGGGCTTGTCAACAGGCCAAAAAGGCAGAATGTTTGGTCAGCTACCAAACACCAAGCTACTGTACAAGGTCATATCGTGACAGTAAATATATAATATGAGATTAATCCTGTGCACACATTGTCCAACGACGCTGGTGTTCATCGCTGATGGTGTTCGACTACTGGTTTTGTTGGTTAGACTCTGGTATTCCATTATAACCCGACCCACTAGTGCTTAGATCCTGTATTTATTAGCAAAGCGCCAGCATAGTTAAATATTTCATAGTTAGGCTCTATTAGGTTAATAGAGTTTGAATTAAATTGAAATTAGATCATCCACTAGCGCTTGGGACTGTAGCGGCTCATAGCGCGGGGCCTGGCGCCATATAAGAATAATAGAATCGGTATAGGGACCATAGGACCGTGATAAAGCCGACAGCGCTGAATTCCCAGTTAACACCGAGGCTGTGGTACATCTGAGCCGCCCAGCACCGAGCGAATGAAGACATTGGCGGCAATGGCACTGTTGGCAGATATTCCGTATACGTCGATGACGTAGTTGAGACCCTGCATAAAGATAATAAGGATGCCCATACCCATAGGGGCGCCTGCGAGAACCTGTGGCACCCAGACAATGTGTCGGCTGGAGGTCCAGCCAAACCAGAAGAGACAGACGGGGAGTAGTATGGAGGTAATCATCATGTCAACGAGTCGATCCTTGGGAACGACCCTACCATACTTAGCCAGCTTGCGGGAGAAGCGGGCCTTGGTATTGTAAATGGTAATGCAGGCACCAAACAATACGCCGGCCAAGATGCCAGCGAAGGGTAGGGCGGTGCCTCCTTCGTGGGCCCAACCGCGAACTTCGTCGAAAAATACTGGGTAGGCTTCGAAGAAAAGATAGAGGATTCAACCAGGGCAAGGTAAATCGTGACATAGACGAGGATTGGTTCGAGAAGCAGCATATAGAAGGGCTATAGCAAATACTTCTTCCCAATCTCTGCGAGCGCCGGCCGGTGCAAAGTCCGCAGGAGTGGACTGTAGGTCTCGGGAACGACGCAGAGAGCAACCAACCCGGTGAAACTCCACATGATCAGCGTGCTCCATGCAATCCAGCGCCAGCCCAGATACGAGTCCGTAATGAACCTACCTCCGATAGGACCGAGAGTAGGCCCCAGAACGTGGCTGAGCTGAAAAAAACTGTCGCCACACTGTCCCAGGTATCCGTCATCATGCCGCCAGAGACTGCCAGTGAAGAGCTGCCAGACATCAACTAGGAATCGACAGACCATAATGGTCTGCAGGTTCTTGGCCATAGCTACAGGAATCTGGAAAATAGCAAAAACGGCATAGCCAAAGAACAGTGGCAGGCGACGGTCGTAGAGGTCACTCAAGGGTGCTCCAGAGCAAAGCCAAAGACGACCAGGCCGGTACCCAGGTTCATGGCTTCGGTGGGGACGTCAAATTTCCTGGAGCTCGCTCGGGTTCCCGTCGAGAAGACGCTGGATGCAAACGTGATCCACATAGTCATGGATGATAAGGTCAATGTAATGGCCCATTTTCGCAGCTTCGAGAGACTCTGGAGGTTAGTACCTGTGTCGTCCGGCCTATCTCCTTAAACAAGGCCGTTTTCGGCCCACCCCTCTTTTGACGCATTGTTGTTTCCCTCGACAATGTCTTCGGTGTGTATACGGCCATGTTGCTCCATAGGGAGTCGTCGCATGGTAGCAGCTAATTCAAATTAGCGGGTGGTTGTGTGCGATAATAAAGTAGGAGGCATCTATAATACGTAGTGTAGCAAATTGAAAACGCGTTGTTCAGCCTCGTGGTTATGCTATTATTCCTTGAAATGAGATTTCATGGGCGACCCCCCTTTGACATGGACATGGCTTTAAACAAACCTAGGGAGCGCCTGCTATTTCCCAACTCGTGGCTAACGTATCTCATTCGCTGGATTTTACATGGGAATGCGCGAAGGATACAGCGAAAGCTACTGTCATGTTAGTATACAATTAGCCACCATATTGCAATGACTTATCACACGTTGCCTTGTTAATCTTTCAACATATCGGTAGTTAAATCAGCGGTCACTTAACTTATTCAACCGCGTTAGCAATCCACCACAGACAGATATATAACGAAGAATTTGTATAGTATTTTTAAAGGAACCATACATTGTTATAAATATTTTATATAGCTATCAATTAGTTGATTAATATACAGCTAAATTTTAATAATAATTCTTAACTGCGGCAAGCTTAGGGTTAATTATTTGCAGCGATCCTGAACCCGCGCCCAACCGCATTTGGAGTAGATCTGTCTGAAATCTGCACCAAATCCCACGGTAGCGCGAATTGAAACAAGGTGCTTTCTAAGTGAGTGTAATATTGTGAGTCCACAACGCTTTCTTATTTTTATAGTGTGGCAATTGGATCTTTGAAAACAACCTTGCTTTACATTGCGTATAGGAGCCGTGGTAAGGGTGAAAGAACACTTCAAGAAAGTTTCATGTGGTTGGTGGATGGATAATATTTAGCACTGTACTGCTGAATTTACGGAACAAGGTTGTTCAAGAGCACACACAGAGGTCTAGTAGCGCAATTCCCCTTGGATCTCGTCCGGTGAGAAGAGGACGGCGACACATATCGCATGCTAATTAAAATGGTTCTTCCCTTTAGTGGCACTGACATGGTGTGCTCAAAGAATGATACAAAACTTACCTCGCTCGGACCATGGGACTCAATGAGCTGGAATGAAATGCGATGTCGCCGCTAAATCTGGGCTGAAATGATAGACGGCATAGGTTGTACAGTCAAACAGATATTGAAGAGTAGGTTATGCCCCATTCCTGCGGCGAGGACTACCTCAGGCAGCGAACAATTCTGATGGTCAGATTGCTTGTAATAAGTTATTTAAACCCTGGTCGGCGATATTGTAATCTTAGAAAGTATTGTTTCTGCATAACTAGTTGCTTTATAGATCACCCCCAGCTGGGTGAAGTAGGTGTTCCTTTCTGTGTCCCTCCTAATAGTTTGGAGATTTACCTTCTTAACCAAGGCTGCTATGCCGACTCCTAATAGGATTGGGGAGAGTGGGGAATCCTGCAGGAGTCCTGCGTGCTAAATATTTTTTTTTAATAATATGTTCACGACTATACTTGCCTGGTAATTAGAATAAAAAGGGCAATCCACCTTCCTATTACTTCTAGGATCCGGCTTTCTCGTAGTTCGTCGGAGTAGCACCTCGTAAGCTACCTTATTATATTATTTTTTAATATTAAAGCTCACTGTTAAAGTGTGTAGGGGAAGATGGTATGTTGTGAGGTGCTAGGATAGCGGTGACTAGATAGTATATTGGAACTATCCCCATGGTGAGTATATTCTTCTACAAGAGAGAGCGTAGACAAACGCTTCCTTATATCTACGTGTCCCTTAGCCCCTGAGTGTGATATATCAGATCGCTGCAGGGCTAGGATATACTAAGCTGCTTTAGGCATCCTGATTTCCAACACTAACTAGGCTAAAATCCTTTCCTACTCTTCACGTGTTATACATGCTTTCCACCAAGATACTTAGTGTTTGACTGCAGGATTGCTGCCTTCGCACTCCGAAATGGCCGGTCAGGAGCAGTTAGTGTCGTTACCCTAAGTAAAAAGCATTGCAAATAGCGCACCTTACAGTGCTGGAAATATATTTGGTAGTAGTATGTGCTTCTGCGCACTTTTTATATATAGTTTATTTATGCATCTGGCTGTCTTGTGTCTATATTGCTGGCAGTTATGGCATCGCAGTAGCCTTTCTCGCTAATAATATATATCAGTAAATGCTGCTTGACCGCTGATTTGTATAATTTTGTAATTTAGCAGTGTCTGGGCATCCAAAAAAAAAAAAAAATCTACCATACAGCCGTGCTGTTTAGTTCTACTTAGCCACCTACCTATCTTCACCTGCACAACCGCATTTTCGTAGCTGAATATGTTGGCAAAGTCGTCTTGTAACTGTTTTTGGTTATTAAAAAATATCTGGTTTCTTGATATTATATATTTTAATAAAAAGTCATTGTTCACCCCATAGGCGCACCGCTGGGAGGGCTTTTGTCCAGTTTTAATATTCTCTGTTTAATTGTGTGATTTCAGTGATATTTTAATTAGTCCTCGGAGCTCCACCGGCTCTCAGAGGGACTCAGCTAGCTAATAAGCGGCATAATGGGTATCCAGAGTAATCATAGGTAGACCGGAGTTTGCCTGTGTTGCATTCTTAGAGGTTGGGGTCTCCTTGGTAGTACTAACTATTGATGCCCAGCTTGCGTAGAGGTTGGCTACTTGTGGTGCTTATTAGATAGGTGTTGGGTGGTTGAAGCCTAATGCTTTCCTTGAGCTCTGTAATGTCGTTGCGCACCATTTCCAGATCATGTTAGACTTCGTTCCGGCTGTGCCTGTTTGTATTGTCATTACTAAATGTTGTTTTCGTGGCTTGTAATTCTTCGAGAGTCGTTGCCAGTGCTTGCTTTACCTTAATTATTTCTGCCTGTAGCTGGGCGAGCAGCTTCTGGTGTTCGGCTTTATATCAGTGGTGCTCTATTTCCTTTTTTTTTTTAAAGCTCGTTGGCCACTTCTAAGACCTGTGTTTCAGCATCTTGTTATCCTCAGCCAGTCTGAGTACTATTTAATTGAGCTCGGTACTATTAGTTTTTTTTTTTTTCTATTTTCAGAGTGCGTTTTTATTAAAGTTGTTTTTTCTTCCTGGCTATAATGTACCGGCTTAACTCGTTGGCGGCTGGTTAACGACGTGGTGGTGCACCAGAGGTTTCGAAGATAGCACCCAACGCTTTCTTCCGTATTGACACGTTGGCCCCTCCCGCATTAGTCTTCCCCAGCACCTCCGACCTCCGAAGGCATTGCGCCTGGTGGATGGCAGACGATCACCTGTCTATTAGAATGAATTGATTAAGGATCTCACCCTTTACTATATCCTCCTCACTCGTTCCTCTTGTCTTATGATTACTTGTCAACATTTAGATGCCGCTATCCGGTAAGCGAGCTGGCCATGAAAGCGAGCTGGCCACATCTGTATTGCGTATAAACGGCACTTTTTACAGTCTTCATAACTTAACCAACTTTATGGCTATGGATGATATAGCCATGTGACTATAAGGAGGCTCTTGAAATGCCAGAGCTTACTGCCGGGGAGAAGTATAAATTAAATGGAGAGATAGAGAAGAAATCTGTATCGACTGACACATGAGAATCCTGCGGATCTTTGATTGGCCTGAATATCCTATTTCCTCAAAGCTTACCTTACTACCTAGGTACTAGGAAGTAGGATAGATGTTAGTGCGGGGATCGATCCACCTTTTTATCTCTACGGAGTAAGGCAGCAAAGCTGGCTGACCCTCCGCAAGAATACGACAATGCGTATAACGTAAGCACGTGCTACAAGACCAAAATACCAACTGGCATGGCCTGACAATATCCTATATATCCCAAGGCCACTTTTGTTAGGGTATAAAACACAATTTCTGGTCTATGGCTGAGATGTTTTTGGAACTCGGTAGAAACCGTCTCTCCCGGCTATACCCTGGTTTAAACTGACAAGATTCCTGTCCACGAGTATTCAAAGTGAAAAAAGAAAGAAAAGTAACCTGTGCTAAAATGTAGATCTATGAGCAACAACAACAACAAGAAGAAGAAGAAGAAGGAAAAAGAAGTCAGATATATCCGTTTCTATGAAATTTTGACAAATAGGAGCAAGCAACTGTGGAGTCTTCAAGCTAACTACCTAGTCAGGCTTAGCCCATACTAGTCCAGTAAAAACGTGTCGGTCAGCTGAATACGCGTATGAGCTAGTATCACTGATCATATAATTATAATATGGATCTGGATCGAAAGGATAAGGTCTCTAAGGTCTCAAACTATCTGAATCTATCTGGGAGAATTGAACAAAAGGCGAAAAAACAAAGGAATAAAGTTGGACCGAGTGCTGAATAATGGGTAAATATAACTATTGGCCCACTTTGGTCGACAAAACGCGTCGCGCCGGTCCCGTGACTCGTGTCATATTGCCAACAACACATGTCGAATTGTATACTTTCTTCTTCCATCATGCAGCAGACAGAACAGTCGTGCTCAAACGGCTTTGTATGGGCCAATATATTGCTCTTGTTTTTGACTATCGGCCAACTTGATCCTTGCTTGATAAATCCTCCTTTGGACTCGATTTCTTTGACGATCCGTCGGCGTCTTGTCAGATGCGTTCATTCATCACTTGGCCCGGCCTCCGCCTGTCGGGGCATCAACTGTACAGATTCTATCCTCTTCCTAGCTTCCCATTTTCTTCTCTTGCATTACAATGCGGCACCTGCCTTTTAGCGGCTGCGAAGAAACCTGGGAGTCTAACCCTAATGTAACCCAGTCGGTCAAATGCCACTGTGGCAGAAGTTTCGCGGTATTGCGTGGCGGAGTCACCAACTAGTTGAATCGATCCTTGAAGGACTCGAGGAGATGAACGGTTTCCGATGTCCAGAGCCTAAGATAGTAAAAGACGGTCTACCATGCGTCTAAAGTTTCTGAAAAGGACACGCGTCGGTTCACCAATGCTGGGCGTTACACGCTGATCATAATGGATGGGTTTTCTATGCTTGAACATTGGGCAGTTGGGAGCGACAGTAGGTGAAACATGTCGGGCACCCAGTTGTTGTGGGTTGTCTTTGGGATACTCTTGACGGCCATGTATGGGAATACGAACGGGGGCACAGGTGCAGGTGCGAGAATTATGCATTGCAGCTTGATCAAATCGAACACAACAATATGGTCTTCGGACTTTTGCCTACGCGCAGCCATGAAGTCGGGATGTCACATGAATCCACTCGTCAGGATCAGCCTAATATTTGATATCACCAAGGTGTTTAATCCAAATATGGTTGCAGCGAGGTTCATTTGCTTTCTATACTTAATGGCTCTTGGCCAGTGATTGCTGCCTATGCAATACCGCCAGATTCTTCGGCTTGTTGTCTCGTTCCGGCTGTTGATCAATCATGAATGCGGAATTCTGTTGCCTTTTATGTGGTTGTTGACACATTTTCCCGTTCAATAAATGTCTACAATCCCGTACATGTTTCCAACCTCGAGAAGCCTAGGCGTCTCGTACCTACTCTCCAACTCCTGATACTCAATTAATTCTCTCCTTTCAGAGGCTAGAAACCCCCAAGTCACGGCACCAGCCACCGACTTGTGCTTCTAGGGAAGATTCTGATCGACCGTGTTAACCATCTCTTTGCAACGCAGATTGCAAATAGATTGATGGGCGCCGACCCTGGCGACGAATTTTTCGTCGTCCCTCCTTCTGGGGAGAATGAAGCGGTTTTTAAGGATGTTGTTTGTCCGCTTCTGCCAATGCCCTCCTATCCTCAGATGGGGCGGAGAGGAAACAAAAACCTGTCCCCGGGGATACTGTACTACACACAGGGGCTCCTTTCAAGGCTCATTATGGCCATTGAAATGGGACCTGGGATTTTGAAATGTCATTTGTATAAGTCGGACGGCGTGCTGAAAAAGAATCGAGAGATGGAGCGCTTGCACTCAAGGTATCTGGCTGGATTGGTTCAAAATGATGAGCGTTTACTTCTCCCTATAAGGAACGTGAGACGCTTACTACTGCATGCGTTCGTGGGTTGTTACTATGCTTCATGCCGTTCAACATCCTTTTTTCTTGCGTCATACAGTGGCTTCATTTCCATGATCCTTAACGATTTCTTTCAAGTCGACATTGCTGCGATTGAAGCGAAGCCAGTTGCTCCCTCCTCCGTTATGACACTTAAGTTCTGTCCTTTGTTGATGGAATACGCTCCCGCTATACCCACTGGGATTACAATAAGTCTAATAGTGGGCATTTGCGGGACCTCTCTAAAGTGAGGATCAAAGCCTAGGCTTGTCTGCAATGCTTTTCTGTTGTCTTGTTCTTTCCAGTCGGAAACGGGCTGGTACCATCATGGACCGGTTAAGTGTATAGCGACGTGAGTATACTCTTGCTGAGATTATGAAGCAGCTTTGTGTGGCTTCGAGGAATGAGTGTTTGGGTGAAGGTGGCCATTGTATGTTCACAGGTACAAATGCCGGACGTTTGCTTGACTGGTTTCAACCCATGAACCGCCGTTTCCTCTCGTAGGGAACGGCCCTTTTTTTTCTTATAAGTTCCCCTAAGTCTGGCAATCATATGACATGGCTAACTACTCCCAAGGAACATGACAACGAACTATGGACGCGCGCTTACTTCCCGTGGATGATCAACTGTTGATGGCTATTTTGGAGAATGGTGTATGAGTCGAATTTATGACAATGTTCTTTCATTTGAAGTTAAGCTCGACCTATAGTCAGCTAGTTGTGGAATTGGCTTTGGGTCTGGATTCTACGACTTTCTAGGTAGGACAAGTGCCATAATGTCGGCGTCCCAATTGCATATAATCACCAATTCTAGTGCTCTCACCACTTTACGCCTTAGAAATACACGTATCTCGCTTTGGTTGATTTAACTATGTACGTAGTTACTAGTCATTTTTGTGGCTGACTAATAATGTCACCGCCGTTCCCCCTCCCCTAAAAAAAAAAAAAAAAAAATTGCCCCGCCGCGATAGTAGAAGGAAAAGGAACGTTCCGGTGACAACTAGATTTTGGTCTCCCCCTCATTTTTCTATCGTTTGACCGTCTAGTCGCAAAGTTTCTTTAATATCCGCTATAAGTACCGCGAACGTATTTATTAACGCTTATATTAATATTTCACATATATCACGATGTCTGCAGAAGACAATGTCGAGTCCCAGTTTCAGAAACCGGGTGACTTGGTAGAGCAAGATGATGATACGGGTGTAATGCAGCTGGAGAGTCTTTGCATGAATTGCCATGAAAATGTATGGTCATTGATGACTGGGGGGAAAGGAAGCGAACTAATGGAGAGTATAGGGATTGACCAAGCTTCTACTCCTTCGAGTGCCTTTCTTCCGTGATATTATCCTTGAGTCTTTCGAATGCGAACACTGCCATTTTAAAAACAACTCCGTCAAATCCGCCGGCCAGATCCAGGAGCAGGGATCGAAATACACACTGGATGTCGAAAATGAGGATGACCTTCAGCGACAAGTCATTCGAAGCGATGTCTCGACCTTCAAGGTTGAATCTTTGGGGATTGAGATGCCAAAGGGCGAGAGCCAACTGACGACGGTCGAAGGAGTCATTCAAAGGATCCACGAGTCTCTCTCCAGCGAGCAACCCCTGCGGAAAGAACAGGCCCCTGAACTCTACGATGCACTTGAGCCGATCATTGAAAAGCTTCAGAAGATCCTTGATAGAGAGGGTTATCCCTTCACAATTTCCCTAGATGATCCTACCGGCAATTCTTGGATTGCCCCTACTGCCAGTGACTCAGGAAACAAATACCGACGCCGTGATTACCCCCGTACCCACGAACAGAACGAAGAGCTTGGAATTACTGCCGACCCCGATGCAGTGAAAACTGAAGGCAAAACTCTGGAAAGTGCCGATGATCTTGATGACCTTGACATTGTCGATGGTCAGGTATACAGTCTCCCTTCGGAATGTCCTGGCTGCAATAAGGCATGCTTCGTCAATATGAAGAAGGTGAACATTCCGTACTTCAAGGAAGTCTATATTTGGGCTACGTCCTGCGATCACTGTGGATACCGCACCAGCGAAGTTAAGACCGGTGGTGAAGTTCCTAATAAGGGCAAGCGCATCACCCTTAAGGTCGAGGATGAAGTGGATCTTGCTCGTGATATTCTGAAATCTGACACTTGCGCGCTTCACAGTGATGAGCTGGAGGTCACTGTTCAGCCTGGCACCTTGGGGGGCCGTTTTACTACTGTCGAGGGTCTACTTACAGAGGTCCGGGACCAGCTTCATGGCCAGATATTTGACATTGATGACACTACCGGTAGTGGCGGTGACAGCATGGCGGTTTCTGACAAGGAGAAATGGGACCGCTTCTTCAGCCGTCTTGATAGTGCCATCAAAGGGGAGATGAAGTTTGTCATTACGCTGGAAGACCCAATGGCCAACAGCTACGTCCAAGATATGTGTGCCCCGGCCGTCGACCCCAAAATCACGACCGAGGAATATGAACGAACCGAAGAGGAAGAAGAAGAACTAGGCCTGAAGGACATGAAGGTTGAAGGATACGAGGCTGATGAGCAGACGAAGGATCAGCCTGTGGAGGAGCAGAAGTCATGATCCATATACCCAGAGGTTTTACCTTTTTCTGTTCTGGCTATTCCTATGAGCCTTTGTTGCTTCATGATGTGCACGATCTTCTATGTCTTCTCATACTGTAACGTCTTATGCATGCATGGTGGTACCTCTACCAACTATGCCTGATTTTACTTCCACTGATAGATATCCGATGCAGCTGTGGCTTGTTTTATGTGTTTATATGGGGTTTTTTTCATCTGGATTTTGGGGGCGGGGTGGGTTTTGGTCTTTTGGTGGCTTAGAAAAGTTTGATAAATCAATGTTTTCTAACGTGAGATAGATGCTTGTGGAATGGGTGCGGTCGATTTCCGTGCTGCTCCGAAATCTGGTGGCTATGGCAATGTTACTATCCCAAGGTTTCTACGTAATTAAACTATTCTTAAAATACAGTAATGAATGCTATTAGGTGCACCTAATGATCATCTATGCTCTATAAAAATCTATCCAAGTTGCTATATTGATAGAATTAATGACGATGAAACTAATGCCTACTTGTCTCTTAGTATATTAGCATATCTTTGCTTCTCGGCAAGTAGTACATGATTAAGAGACTCTTCGCAATATTTTGTCCCAGTTCCATTCCGTATAGTTTGGGAAAGTATAGCATTTTTGATGTCTTGGTAGGCATTTTGATGGCTATCAGCAGCCACTCGCTGGATACCGATTATCCATTGATGCTTGGAAGCTGAATTAAATCGCACAGGTCGACACGTCTGTTAGTCACGTCTTCAAGACGCCTTTCATAATCTGAATACAATGGTCTGCCAGCCAGAGCGTTCGCGATCGCTCCTATATCGACCCTTGCCATGTTGCTGAAGTCTTTTAACTTCTCGCCATGTACCTTGCCTGGAAAGTAGGATCATCCAATAGCCATTCTACTGGAGGACCAGCTGATGTGTCTAAACGAAAGAGCCAGTTCACTTCGCAAATGGATTTGCATGGATTGTCACCCTTTTGATCCGTAACGCCTCATGTTCCGTCTCACCCTCTTTCGGTTGAACAACCCTTCCCTTTTTGTCCACCTTCACATTTGCCTTTTCTAATAAACTCAACACATCGCCACCCTCGTCCTGCGCCGTCAAGTTTAACACCTTTCCGAATACAGTGCTAGCACCATCTAAATGCGGCGCCGCGGCGAATGTAATGAAGAACTGGCTTCCATTGATTGTCGTACCAGTCGCGCCCTGGGACCCAGGAGCCGTGCGGTCTTTAACAGGTCGTGACGCCATAGAGAGGATTCCGCGCGTGTTGTGTCGGAGAGCCGGGAGATGGATTTCCTGGTCTAGGGCGGCGGGGTGATAGATTGAAGTGCCTCCTTTCGGGATATCATCGAAGGGGAACATAGGTTTTGTGGATGCCGAAGTGCTAGATGCTGCTGGACCAAGGGAAATATCACCACCTTGGACCATGAAGCCCGGCATTAGACGGTGGAAGGGGGTGTCGTTGTATGCGCCGCAAGCGCAGAGTGCTAGGAAATTCTAATCAAGTAAACATGAGTATATTCCGTCTTGATGTGGCGGAAAGCTTTGGCTGGAGCAAGTCTGAATCATGATTATTACCTACCTCTGCTGTCTTCGGTACTGCCTCACAAAAGAGCTCGACTTTCACGTCGCCGTGAGTGGTATGAAGCTACAGATTATGATTAGTAAATAAGTCTATGCCAGCTGAATATTTATTTGCGTGGGAATAGTAGCTATAACTCACAGTAACAGACATGATGCCGTGCTATGAATTGCCGTATATTGGAGCCGAGAATAAATGGGGATGAGAATGAAGCTTCCAAAACCAAAACACCCGGTCACATGACAATCAGCGATATAGCGACATTCTGTTGTCGCTTTCGTAAGTAAACTTTTAGAGTCCCAATCACGCATTACGAGCTATAGAATACTGTGTTATGTGACCATGCTTAATGGGTCTTAATTTCTATTTCCATTCCCTGCTACATTCTTTCGAGCTCCACTTTTCCAGCACTACCTACTTCTTCAATCGTCTTTCCATGACAGCCTACTAGCTCAGGATGAATAACAGACCTGTCGAGCAAGCATTGGGCACCCTATTGCCCACCCATGTCAATGATTTGCCTCCAGAACTCCTCAGCTTGGCTCTCTCACTAGTTGCGCAGTCGCGGAGCTTTTCAAGTAGTCTGAAACCGGAGGAAGAAATCGCACGCCCCTACGCCTGCGCCGAAATTGCTTGCAGAAGGTAAAAAAATTATTGATACAAATCAAGTTCCTTTATCTATGCGCAAATGAAATAAAATGCTAATTATTGTTTGCAAATTTTTAGACTAAGCAGAACCCTCAAACTACCTCCTTTGCTCGGCCATCCACCATGCCCTCCACGCGCCTACAAAAAGCTCTTTGCGTTCCTTGACCGATCCCTCTCATCTAGTACAAAGCGTACTACAGGCAGATCAGCCCAAGGAACACCCTCACGAACTGGATCCGCTCCGTCAACTCCTACGAAAGAGTCTAAATCGATTCAGACGCCCTCAAAAACAGCCGCTACGCCGCGAGGTTTACAAAATACCCCCGGCAAGTCGACTCCTTTTCAAAGATCAAATACCTATATTAAGAGCCTCTCTACATCACGAACGCCAAATGTGTCGGCTAGGTTTCGTCCCAATGGCATTTCTGCCTCCACTGATATCCCTGATGCGCCTTCGTGGGTGATGGATGGCATTCGGAGTGTGTGCAAAACCTTGTCAACGCCCGCCCCACGGACGACTACCTGGTCTCGGCCTCCGATTTCACGGACACTTCCACCCCATGTTTTCACGGGCGTTTCTTCCATCTTGTACTTCTTGTCTGATAGCAAACTCGAAGAAAATCTTGATGATGAAATGCTGGAGTTCGTGGAACCCGTCGTGCTTGCTAAAGATAAGGAAAAGGACGACGATTTCAGAGAGCTCGTGAGTGCGTTGATCGTGGCTATTTATTTCCTTGTTCTTGCTCGTCGGCGGACTCCCAGCCCTTCAGCCGAAACTCAGTCGGGTGAAGAGGCGAAGAAAATGGATAAGAAGACCTTTTCGGAAATGCGACAGACCGCGCTTACAAGTCTTTGTCTTCCTTCGACGGAGCGAAGGCACCGCGATGACGTTGATCAGTGGATTGCGTTGATCATGGAGCAAAACTGGGCCAACGGGAAGGAATGGTTCGAGAATGTTCCGCGGGCAGGCGACTTGGATGGTGACGACGCGTATCTTTCAAATGCGAGTGGCGATGACGAAGAGTTGCGTGGACGTAAACGAACGAAGATGATGGGGAGAGGTCGTGCTTCTCTCTTTTCTAAAGATTCTTCCCGAGGTCTTCTACCAGGTCTCGGGACCATGATGCAGGATCGGGTGGATTATTTAAGTGAAGACCGTCAGGAGGATTATGTCGAATGGAAAGCGGATATCATGGCGCGAATCGAGCAAATGGAGAGGATTTCTCAGCCTGCTTGTTGAGTAACGATCTTGTTACACAAAATCTTTCCCGTGTTTAGATTATGCTATTTACAAGCTGGTGTGGACATGGTAGTCCGAAGTAATTTGTGATACCCTTAGAATGTCAAAAATATGAACTTTCAATTACAAAATCCGGACCTCATGATATTTCTGATATATTGTATCATTCCGCAAGGCACGAAGGCCCAAAGTGAGTCTACCTACCAGAGATAGACAAAAACGCCAGCAAACCGGCAAGTTGACGCTCCCATATGCAAAAGGCCTCAGCGCCGCCACAGAAGAAAAGCAAGGTTGGTATCACTGTCTAGAAGGATCTTTCATGCAAGGACCAACCAACCAACCATCTATCCCAATATTAAAAACAGGTTGACAAGGGTAGAGCCGGGACGGAATGGAGATCATTCAAGGGTTCTAGCTTCAGTACCAGATGCTCCTTGTCCGGTGATGGGGAATTGACTCTGCTCCATCACTCTCCAGCTCTTTCACTGTGTCATAAAGGAAAAAATCTATGAGAATGGCATTGAAGCCCGGGCCACTGGGTTCTTGCACGCCTTTCTCTGGGTGGTGTTTCTGTGTGCTGCATTTCTGCTTCTCGTCTTGCAAGGTTCCCAGATGCTGCGAAGGGTTACTTGAGTTGCCATTTGCCGGGGCTGAAGCTGTTACTAGCATAGTCTTGGTTTCTGGGTGTTGTCGTTCGATTTCTCGCCTGATCAACTCGACACACCAGATGCTTGTTGCACGCAATTCAACTTCCCAAGTTGAGCCGCTGGGGATGATCTTTTGTTTGCGGATATGAGTTTCTAGTGATGGTGAATATCTGAGACACCCAAGCTGGTGCAGCATTTGAGGGATCCGATAATCTGTGCGTATTGTTAATGACGATGATATAAAACCAAATAGTGGGACCATAGGACTGATGTACCAGCGAACATTGTAATTTTGTCAATGTCGTAGAATTCGCCGAAGCTTTCGCCGTTGAAGCAAGCCCACAGGTCAGCGATCAAAATCTGCGCCCGCTTGTATAAACGCACCCTCTTTCCCTGAAAGGTGGTTTCGTCACGGAAACAAGGGAAACTCTCTGCCAGGAGATTCACAAGAGCTACAGCTGAGTAGTTGGCGCTGTAAATGCAATTCAAAAAGCTGCCGTCAAAATCCTATGAAGCTTGACTTGTAAGCTCTGTGATCCTCTGAACGGATGTGAAATATGAAGGCTCTAGACACACCTTACAGAGGACACGGCCTGCTTCACGCAGACATTGAAGCCTCTCTTTGAGTAAAGGAATCTCTTCCTCAGTTGCAGATCTGAACACATGCTTGAGCAAAGCTTCGTTGCATTCATCCTCGTTCGTCCAGAACTTGGGGGTCGTAATTGGGATCTCTGCGAGCCTTAGCATTGGCCCATTTCGCTGAACACCAGAATCATTTTTCAACGCTAAAAAAAGAAGCTTACCTTCGTCCAAGGCTCTCTGCAGCGCAGCGACTAAACTCCAGTAGCCTGTCCATTTCGTTCCGCGATATTCGATAGCAAATCGCTTGTCATGCGATAGCTCGGACCAGAAGCTGAAATTCAGGAGATCCATGGTAAACACGAAGTCGACAGTGGCCTCATCCTTTGATTTTGGGTGCAACTTATGTTGCGACCAAGTCTGTGTGGAGTAGCCTTTCTTCAGCATCTGGCGCCATATCGATTCGGCCGCTGCTTTAACGTTGCACGGGTTCAGAGCGACGTCGATAGCATTGTCGAAAACGAATTGCGCATTCTCTAGGACCTTCGTCTCTGCTGCTCGGGGGTTCACTGGGCCTCCACCCAATCCAAGAGATTTCCGAAGAAGAGCGAGCAATTCGGGGTCAGCTTCATCGTCGGACATTTTGCTCTTGCTTGATGTTCAGATCGTGATTCAGAGAGGGCTACAGATCGAGAAAAAAAAAATAAAAATAAAAATCCTCTCGAGAATTGGATCTCAACCAATGCAGGAGAGGGGTCAACTTGTTGAATCAATTTCAAAAATCAAAGCCAGAAGAGAGAAACAATGGCTCATCTAGCGCATAGGGTCCTCCACTCAGGCAGGCACCAAGAAGAGGCCGCTTGTCGTTGATCCAAAACACTAGCAATTGTCAAATTCCGCCGCCAACCGATAGGATAGTGGGTACTAAGTATGCAGAGAAGCAATTAGACCAAATAGAGAGCGAATGTGAAAGTGTACAAAACTAGCAGAGATGTCTGATATGCAGTCAGCTGATATCAGGACTTTAACTAATTGTTTAGTCATGCTTGATGCATCTCATCAGCCCTGTTGATTTTTTTTTTTTTTTTGAAGGGGGGGGAGGTTATGTAAGCACAAACTGGCCCCAAGTTTGTGCAAGTTGTGGTGAATTGGGTTTTCAAAAAGGGGGTCAAAGTGGATTATTTCTGGATTGCTTATACTAGAGCCTATCTAGCAGCAATATTGATCTCTCTCCGTGGAAAAGGAGAAGCCTTGGTTGTTCCCTGAGAGGCATTTAAAATTCTTGCAATATATCTTGCATACAGAATATTTAGTAGTCTACTCAAATACTCAATGAAGGGGTAGGGCATTCAAAAAATCCCCCAGGGATGTCATTTACTACTTCCACTCTAACTAAAGAAGTAGAACTTTAAAATATGCAGTCTATTCATTCCCTGCTGAGGAAAAAACTATTGACGCCAAGAGTAGGCGTCAAGGTGAGTGCCGCCCGCTGCCAAGCCTGGGGTTCCGCACAGGGCGGGCGGACTAAATTCGGCCAGCCCCAAGCCTTCTCCGCCCACCGCAAGAGAACTACAACCTGATCTTTACACAGACTATGGAGCACCTCTTCCCTTCTTTAACCCACGTCTTGTGGCATCTCGATGATGCTGCTCGCTTGCTCACAACTTTCTGAGTTTCTGAAAGCAATCCGTCTGCTGTTGGCAGAGGATCGTGTTCGATTTCTCGATTTTCCTAACCTCTTAATCTAGGAAGCAAACTTTGCTGCTGCAACAACTCTGAACAAGCAAGAGCACCTAAAACAGGCGGCTAAATTACCCAGGGAGCTTACTTTCTCTTAGATAGACTTATTACAGAGCCGCTATTGGGGTAAACTTACCTTGATAAAGAAGAGGCCCATCATGATGCTCTAGAGGCTCTGGAGGAGAGTTCTGCTTAATACTGCACTGAATACTTAAGTGCCTTGAGTTTTTCCTGGATTATCTATATGAATAATGTAAAGCTGATGCAATCAAGAATGCAGATGGGGAGAATTTCCGACAAGGAGATAAATTAGTTAAGATTGGGAACAGACCGGATTTGGCCATAACATTTGAGCAACGGACACCCCTGGCTGCGCCAGTTGTGGCAGGAAGGCGATGGCAAAAACCAATGGGTTATGCAATGTTTAAAAACCCTCCGTGGATAACAGCGAATTCTGAACGCTGCGAGTCTTATGACTAAAAGCATTCCCATCTAATACACATGGCTTTTAATGCTATATCACCAGAACCGCCGTCCAAGCAAGGTGGGATATAGAGCCCCTAGATTGACCTCTGAGACCAGTGATAATAAAAGCTTCCTGGAAACCTTGAACAGATTGTGCAAGCAGTTTATTCATCTCCGATATTAGCTACCTAAGAAACAAGTACCACTTCTATGGATAGACATGTAGGAAGGGACGATTGATGCTATCTCCAAGGGAATTACAGAATGGATTCTCTAGAATATTTTCTTGTATCTGGATCACGACGCTGCAGCATTGGTTTGGGATTCGCGACGGGCAAATAACTCGTGGGTTTAGGCTGTTAACTCAGACTACGACCCAGACAAAACTCTAGTGGGTTAATGCTACCTGCGCGTTCACCTTTAGCAGCTTATTTGTAGTTTCTACGTCTCCCGGCGCTGGCACACAGATAAGCTTTCCATAGAGGACTTGTGGAAAGCGGCCCAGAAGGAGCCCAATAACAGCTCATCTGTCTTAGTAAAAGACAAAGTGCTATTTTCTAATAATTCAACCTGGGAAGCTATAACCACCCTTTAAGTAAAAAGGAATTAGCAGCCTTTTAATTCAGGGCGTATAAAATTTTATCTAGTTAGCATGTCTATTCATCAAAAAACTTTAAATCTTCCATACTGCAACAGGATATACTATAGACCACATAACTATTTACACATATTAGAAGCGGATCCAATACGGCATGCCTCTCTAGCAAGACTCCTTAACATTTACCCTTCTTCGTGTTTAGGATGGGGTTCACTTGTAGAGACAATCCAGGGAGATATTTGCTTCGTCCGCCATGTCTTGGCAATACTTTCCATCATTCTGCATCATCGATTTGCTGCAGTCATCCGGGATTCCAGTAATTATTGGACCTGGAAGTCCACTGCTTGTACTCTGTGTGACAGAAGTATTAGTGCGGCTGGCAGTGTGCGAAGCAGTGGCGGTGGTCCCTCCTCGCTGTACAAATATACCTTCGCTAACTTTATTGTCAGCAGATATCAGCAAGAGCTCCAAGAAAACGAAATAAGGATGTGAATAAATACGAACAGGCCGGAACAGTCTCCGTTCAAGGCAGGATTCTAGGAATACACATGCTTTTAACCGGGATGTCCCAATGGTTAGCAATGTTGACATGAATTAATAAAACATCGTCCAGTCTTTATGTCACATCTTGAACTCGAATCCAGACGGGCTCTTACCTTGAGGCATATGAAAATCGGTACAACCCTATTACCATACTACTTATGGCTTCGGAGTAGGGTTAGTGGACGGTGTGTAAGTGTTTAAACTGCCGATAGAAGATACAAAAACTCCCGAGTACTGAGTGCTTAACCGCCCCGTGCTGTTTGTTTTGGTGTCAACAGATATCCAGATCCATGACGAAGGTTGAAAGCAGCTGTCGTCCACAGTGGCATTTAAAATAAAGCAGGAAAATGAGGGCACCGATGTCTGTCCTGGTGGAGTTCTTGTATGCTGGGGGCACTGACATCACCAGGGACCTAACATAGATCTAGTGGCCAACAAGCATCTCAAGATTGTCATATCCCCTACTAATATCGACATTCCAGGGTATCAACTGGGACCTGGTAAATGTGTAATTGTATGCCTCCCTAATACCGTAGCATGTACCATCTTCCTTAACAGTGTAGAAATCACACTTGTAAGGCATGCACAATTTTGTCCCCTCCTCAGCAAAGTGGAGGATTCATGTTTCAAGGTTGTTAAGGTACAGCATTCTACAGTGGAGACCTGCTAGGAACAACCAATAGAATGGCAGTCATCACCTTCCGAAACCATATAAGTACTGCTACATGGCTTGGATGCTCCAGCGGCCGTCGATTGCATAGCAGTTGCTGTAGCGCTCTAAGGGACTGTCGCAGGAGGAGGCGAAGTCACCGAATAGTTAGCTGCGCCGCAGGAAGAGGTTAAGGATAAAAAGCTGGACACTATATCATCATCATAGCCCACAGGAAATCCCAGCTGTTCCTGGTATGTTCCCAGCACACAATCAGAGCAACTCTGTTTGGGACCGTCATCATTGCTTTATCCTTGGTAGTGGTATAACTAGTAAAGGTTGGGGTATTAAGGTCCTAAACAGGGCCATTTCATATGTAATACAGAGGTACCCGACTCGCTTACAGGATACGTTATATGTATATATACCATAGTGCCACATGCAGCCTAAGGAATACATCCTATCCATCCATTGTTGGAAGCGGTTGCTTATTCCATTGAATGGGTGACCGTGTGGCTGCTAACTTACGACTAAGAGCTAGCTTACATAAATGATGACTAAGCGAGGTCGAACCGGGGGGAAGGCGCCCATGCTTGGCGATATTCCAATATCCATTCATAACCACGTGATCTTGGGGGACTAGGGAATTCTGGAATATTCCTGTTCCGATGCCGAGGAGGGCCTGAGTGCCTGAGGCAAGCCAGGGCTGACGGATTCAATCAACCCACTAGCAGAACATCTGTAAGAGTAAGACGAGTGTTTGCTAACTCTTTCTTTATTCGTTTAAGGTAATAATGCTAGAGGAGGTTAGATGTGGAAAGACGATTGATGATGCAATGTATGAAGCTATGCAAACTGGTACAAACAGTTACGTAATGCTCTCTATAGTGAACTCTCGTTTGCGACTGCAGCAAACAAATTAACGAGGTACTTCTCCTTGGGGGCGTGCAACTGAAAGCTCGTATCAATCAGGTGCCTGGTCTGATTGATTTTGCAATAGTATCTGATGTGTCCAATAGATGCTGCAGGAACGAGAGAGGTTTATAGTGGATATGACCTTGGGCAATGCCTTCTGGTTGAATGGCAGACCACAAGAGAGTGGAAGAAAGAAGATGGCAAGTAGAGGGTTTCCACTGGCGACAATGCGCGTTTGAAATTACTATAAAGAACTACATAGGATTGTTGGGTTAGAAGTGCACAATGGAAAATCACAGAACAAAAAAATGTAATTTACCCTATCAAGCAAAAAAGCAAATTCTGGTTTCAAGAAATGGCTGTCGTCATTTCGGTGGCTTCGGCGCACCTTCTCTTATGCGGCTTCAGCTCCAGCAACAAAAAGAGTCTCACTTTCATCTTCCCTTCATCCTCCTTCGCTCTCCTCCCCATCTCCAATTCCTCCTTCAAGCTCCCCTTGGCATTTGGCAATGCCTTTCCACTGGTTCTAACATTCTCTACCTTTCCTTTGACTCTGTTAATCTTCGCGCAGCTATGGCGCGGGACACTTACTCCCAGCGTTCCCTCGGGACATTATCCAGGCGCATTAAAGAGGTAGCAGGCGTTCCTATGAACCTTTTCACCCATGTTTAATCTCCTTTGAACCTCTCCGGGCTCTCCGATGGGCTTAACTGGTGCGCTTCCTTTGCTGACAGCATTCTCTTTGGAATTATCTAGTCGCGTGTTCTCCTCGTAGGCGCGGGCGGCATCGGCTGCGAGCTACTCAAGAACCTCCTGCTCTCCGGGTTTGGAGAGATTCACATCATCGACCTCGATACGATCGATCTAAGCAACCTGAACCGTCAGTTTCTCTTCCGATACGAACACATCAAGAAGTCGAAAGCGTTGGTGCGCCACCCTCCATCCTCCTCCCTGCCTTCTATCTCGCGAACGCCCTGTCCTTGTCCGGCGCCCTTTTTCCACGATATTTCTTTTTTAGGAGAGAGAACTGACCTTTCTACTCGAATGATGCAGGTTGCGAAAGAAGCTGCTCACAAATTCCAGCCAAAAGCGAAGCTAAATGCCTATCATGCGAACATTAAGGATAGCCAGTTCAACGTGGATTGGTTCGCGACTTTTGATATTGTGTTTAATGCCTTAGACAATTTGGATGCCCGTCGACACGTCAACAGAATGTGTCTAGCGGCTGATGTACCGTTGATTGAAAGCGGGACGACAGGTTTTAATGGCCAAGTTCAGGTCATCAAAAAGGCAGGTTTTATTGTGGTCACGATAGATTACCGGCTCCGGTCGAGGTAACTTTTATTGACCATCAGCAGGGTGTAACGGAGTGCTACGATTGTACTTCTAAGGAAGTGCCCAAGTCATTCCCGGTTTGCACTATACGCAGCACGCCTAGCCAACCCATCCACTGCATCGTCTGGGCCAAAAGCTATCTCTTTCCGTAAGCGGCCCCAGACGTCTCTGAACCTTCCTAGATTTGTCCTAAACTTCTGCAGTGAGCTTTTTGGAATAGGTGAAGATGAGACACCAGAGCTAGATCACTCGGAAGATGCGGAAAATGGTGAGTCGTATGTTAAATTGACCCCGTGCGATTCAGCTTCTGAGTCCATTCTAGCGGAAGAGATCGCCAATCTCCGCAAGGAGGCACAAGCTCTCAAAGAAATTCGTCAGTCGATGGGATCCCCCGATTTTGCACGAAGGGTATTCGAAAAGGTTTTCATATACGATATAGACCGGCTACGCGGAATGGAGGATATGTGGAAAGTTCGCGACCCTCCAACGCCGCTGGATTTTGGAAAGCTGCAAGAGGAGTCTGCCGACATTCAGTCTGCCGTCTCCGTTGAGGATCAAAGAGTATGGTCGCTGACAGAAGATCTCGTCGTTTTCAAAGACAGGTGTGCCATACAACTCCCTTCCTCGTCCGGTCTGGCACGCATGATGCTTACTACATAATAGCTTGGATCGATTATGTAACCGTCTAAAAATTCTTCAAGAGAGAAAGACAAGCGATGTTAGGCCAGTCCTAGACTTTGACAAGGATGATGTCGACACGCTGGACTTTGTCACGGCAAGCGCTAACTTGCGGGCTTCGATATTTGGAATTGATCCAAAATCCAAGTTTGATACTAAACGTATGATATATCAATCCCATTCCCCTGGTCCAAATTTTTTACCCATGTTGATTCATTTTTCAGAGATGGCGGGTAATATTATCCCGGCGATTGCAACTACAAATGCCATGACCGCCGGCCTTTGTGTCCTCCAGGCAATGAAAGTACTAAATGGCGACTATGACAGTGCGAAGATGGTATGTGGTTCAACATTCTGGCTACTAGAGTGATATTAACTTATTCTGTCTACCAAAACCAGGTCTTCCTCGAGCGGTCGGGTGTCCGTGCGATAAATTCTGACTCTTTGAAACCTCCAAATCCCAATTGCCCAGTCTGTTCGGTTGCCCATGGCAGGTTGAAGTTTGATCCCGAATGTGCTACAGTCGGCAACCTGGTTGAAGATATTCTCCGTCTGAAATTGGGCTACGGCGAAGAATTTTCAATCAGCACTGATTTAGGCGTAGTCTATGACCCAGACCTCGAAGATAACCTTCCCAAGAAGTTGTCAGATCTTGGAGTCAAAGATGAAAGCTTCATTATCATCGTCGACGAAGAGGATGACGAACCACGGGTGAATCTCGAGCTCATTGCGGTCACTAAAAAGTAACTTAGAATCTTGCGCTGTTTATTGGGCATTTGCTAACTTATTTCTAGGTGCGAATCGTCCCCCGATGAACAGAGACCTGTCTCCCTAGACAAAGTTCCACAGATCCCCCTCAAGCCAAAGGCACCTGCACCTACTACTGATGAGCATACCAATGGTACCTTGGGTCTTAACAAACGCAAACGCGACGCCGAAGAGGCCGGTCTCAGCAACGGCAACGACCGTGCCAAACGGATGGCGAGTGTGTCAGTCGCCGATGGTGACGGAGCACGCCCCATCGTTCTGGATGAGGCTCAGGGCGGTGCTATTTTAATTGATGATGACTGAATGAAAATTGATCTAAAAGAGTACTTGTGAACCGGGCATTCTCTAATATTCTCATTCTATCATATTCAAAATTTTGTCACTATAAATTTCTCTCCCTTTTCCTTCTAAAGGCACCTTTGAAGGTCTTTGGGTCACGTTGGGTTATCTTCATTCCTCCTTTTCTCCTGTAACATACACTATGAACACGAAGAGTTTGCTCAAAATAGAACTTAGTATTTGACTTCAGTGTAAGAATGTCTGTCTCAGTAGACAGCTCCCTAAGAATTAGTATCAAGGCAAAAGATAGGGTTTAGATTCACATGCTCATCAATCGAGCTTCTTGTGTCCTCGCCCAGTAACACCATTATTCTCACACAGCACTCAATCCCCCATCAAGATTCACCACGCAATTATTAGCATACTCATTTCGAGCCAGAAACACGGCTGCATCTGCGACTTCATGAGGAAGACCAAAGCGTTGTAAAGGGATGCTGTCTTTCAGTCGAGATGTTTCACCTTGGCCAAAGTCTGGAGAAGTATAAGACGATGCCTTTAAATTTTCTAAACCTCAAAGAAACCCACCTGCAGTCATCGGCGTCTCAATGTACCCCGGAATAATAGCATTCGAACGAACGACTACATCCCTAAACGAACTCGCAGCCTCCACACACAAAGAACGTGTCAGTCCCAACAGACCAGCTTTAGAGGCGGCATATGGCACCGCCCCAGTTCCCCCCTTTGAGTGCAAGTAGGGAAGAGATGTTGATGATACATCTTGAAGTTTTGGCGGGGTCGGATTCGCCGTTGGCACTGCGGTTTCTGATTCGATTGCGGATCGAGGCGCGAAGTAGAGCGCGCGAGGTTAGCATAGCTCCCTCAAGGTTTGTGCGTAAAATGTGGGAGATTTCGACTGGTTCGGTCTTTGGAAGAATATTGGATACTGAGATTCCAGCCGCATTGACAAGAATGTCGACCGGTTGCTATTTGATATATTGTTAGATCTGTTGATATTATCTATCTAGGGATGGGAGTGGAGTTCACCATCGCCTTTTCTAACTCTCGCATCCATGACCTTGTGTCTGATACATCGCCCACGAGTAAGCTGATTCTATCTGATGTGGAAACTAATGTGCCCTGTCTTGGCTGGGGAGTTCCCGTTGCTGGGTCTTGCTTTGGGTGCTCTTCTTTTGGTATCCTGGGCTTCAGTCCGCTATTGACTGAAGATGTATAGTCATCTAGTCGAACAGCAGCATTTAGAAGTCGTTCGTAAGATCGGCCAACTATGATGATTCGTTCTGAGCCTTCTTGGAGGAATCTCTCTGCTATTGCGAACCCGATGCCGGATGTCCCACCTGTTATCATGCAAGTTCGGCCAGAGAGTTTGTTTGAAGATTTGGAAATAGGGAGCTTGTCTTTGGCTGGCGCTGATGAGATGGCCCTGTTAGATAAATGCGATGTAGGAGATGGTAAATGACGCCGAATGGGTGAAGATAGATTTTGACAGAGTAGAGATGATACTGGTGCGCCATTAAGGCAAGAACACCGTATATAACTCATTTTTATGCACAGTAGAGCTGGATATTATCTGTTCGGATGTCAACTATTGAAATGCAGGACAGGCTGCTTCGGGTCACCTTTCATTATTTAAAAACAGTATACCACAAGAGGTGAATGATTGTACTGTTATATTTTCCAGGCTGTGTGAGATACTGATATAGAGTTATAGTGAGATTCATTAAAAAAAAAAAGAAAATAGACAAAGGCCTCTGATGACATCACTGGAATCAGGACGAAGTAGAAAGTAGGCTTGATGCAGCAAACCAAACTCCATTATCGAAAGCTTCAGCACGGACCATCATCCTGAGACCACGCGCTTCTTATTCTAAGGCACCATTTTATTCTTCCTCTCAACGCGGCCCACAGTTTACTTTCTCCACATCTTGAAAATGGCTTCTTCAGCAGCCCAACAGTCCGAATACGTGACCTTAGTGTCAGGGGATGGATTCGAATTTGTCATTCCCAGAGGTACAGCGTGTGTTTCGGGTACGATACGACGCATGCTTGAGCCGTCGAGTTAGTAATTTTTTTTTTTTTGCCATCTCTCTCGTTTTTGACTATGAGATATAACAATTTTCTAACTATTGTTTTCTGGGATAGGTAAATTCTCCGAAGCCTTGACGGGTCGTTGCGTACTGGAAAATATCAGTGGGATTGTCCTAGAGAAAGTGTGCGAATATTTCTTCTACAATCTAAAGAATAAGGATCAGAGCAATGTGCCAGATATGGATATCCCACCAGAGCTGTGCTTGGAGTTGTTGATGGCGGCTGATTATCTGGATACGTAATAAGGTCGGTATACCTATCAAACCGTTTGGGACTTGCTAAGGCTGATGTCAATGGTGTCTAGGGATTATTGGCTATTGTGATGATTTATGGGAAATGAATTTGCCACGAATATTTCGAGCGAGTTGGGTTCTCTGAAAGAGTTTTCTTTCTTTCTTTCTTTTTATTTTTTACAGTGAATATATTGAGACGCTGTTGAGGCTTCCAGTGTATATTTCTTATCAGGTATTTAAGAGCAGCATAAAGTCATCAGTATCCTGAGGACAATATCGAACGGCTCTGGCTCTTCCCCTGCTGCCTAGCAGAATCGTGTCTTGCAAAGCCGCCACAGGCGTCTAGACACAAGCTTAGCCATCTGGCATCTAACATCCGACCTTACTTTATGGACGGACGTTCTAAAGAAGATGGCAGATCAGTCAAGACAAATCTCCCTTCTATTTAGTCCTCATATCCACTGTTCCATGGGTGGCAGGACCTTACTCCAGGAGAAACATGCCTCTCACTTCATGGCCCACAGGAAGCAGCATTAAATATAGATGTCAAACCCTTTGTTTGCAATGAATCGGCCAGCCCTCATCGACCTTTTGGAGCGGGCCGTGAAACCCCGCTCCTTTTGTTTCCTTTCGGTGCCTTGTCTTCATATACTTTTTCCTTTCCAAATGCCGCATCGGCAATCCGGAGATAACTCACGACCCCTTGATCCACGACGGCCATTATGACATTACGGTACCCTTGTCGCAGGCGCATATAGAGGTTACGGTTCATTCTCTCGCCCTGCGGTGGGTCCAACGGTGTACTGTCGAGTAGACTTCCTATCTGGGCCAGGGTAGGCACGGTCGTTTGTGTACGAGCGTTGACAACAGCGATTCGGAAGTCCGGAGGAGGAGGGGCAGTCTTGCGGAATGGCGTTGACGGTTTGTAGATATGGAACACGACACGGAATGGCGGGGATGTACGTGGTTGAGCGGTAAGAGCAACGGGGTCATACCAAGGGATAAAAGCTAGCTTGCGGTAGATGTCATCTGTAAGGGTTTAGAACCACCATGTCGCCCATATACAGGGGGAGAAAATAACTCACTATAGTTACGATGGATTCCAGGGCCTACGAGGGGCCCCACAGCTGTGGTATTGGATTTGTAGAACCATTCCAAGAATCGTCCATAAATCCCTGCTAACCCTGGACCTTGTCTTGACATTTCTGCAGTTTCAGGGTCCGTGCCCGTATCCGTATCATCATCATACCACCCGGGTGCTCGAATGACCGAATAACCTAAACGTTTCAGACCCGTGTAAACCGAGAACCTCTCCATCGTCAGCCCCCCGCATCCAATGAAACATGAATATGCAGCCTGCAGGCTCATCGGAATGGAAGATCCCTCTGCCTCGCATTCATCATTACAACCTGCTAACGAGGAAGGCCATCTAATATCCAAACTGCCTCTTTCCAATAGATAAAGTGCCTCCTCTGGAAGGAGCCATACTCGGTTCCACCGGTCTGTACGGCCTAAGGTCTTGAAGAATTGGCCCTTTGGATTCGGTATACAGACGCACGACTCAGACGGTACATTACCAATCCCTCCGTCTGCCTGTTTTGTCTTTTGGGCGTCCGTCTCCGCGCGGTTTTGCGGTGCATTAGCATTATCCTCCGCAATAGTGTCTATCGTTTTGGACGAGAGTAGAGACGGTGGGGGTGCCGCGCCGTCAGGTGTATAGAACCCTACAACTTTGTTTTTTGGATGATGTACTCGGGGATGTGAGAGAGCATTGTGCATAGCCTGCCGTGAGGCAGCGAGGATATCGGCTTGTAGGAGGGTGGGATTTGGTTCGAAATCTTTTTCACCGCGTTTGGGGAGACTTGTTTGAGCTGTGTCTGTGAGGCTGCAGCAATGGTCAGTAGGTGGTATATTATGATGGACAATGGTAACCAAGGAGACACTGGAAATGACTGACAATGAGATATTGTTCAACATGCGAAAGTCCTGCGTCTCATCCGACAGGTCGGTTTCGAAGTGTGCCGCGGAGTCATGGGAGGAAAGATTAATGGCAGCTTCATCATTATCTGTCATCTTGGTCGGAAAAGAGCTCTAGTGGTCTAAGTATTGTTTGGCTCGTTGGGGTGAAAGAGAAAAACAAGGCGCGATGCGCGTGACGGAAGTCTAGGAGCTGGATAGATACGCAATAAAAATCTCGTTGGCCCGAGCTTATCAGATCATCAGATCCACCCGCATCTTCTCTTCAACCCGTTCTTCCTTCCTTCACGCCTCGCAGCTTGATCGGACCAAAGGCTGGGAGAGCTTAGTCTTTTTCTTAGTTGTTGTACATATAATGTCTAATTTTACTGGTAATAAACTCAATTACAATGAGATTCTATCTCAGGTGTGTTGCACACATTCTCCACATTACCATGTCTTATCCCTCACTAGCTCTATGCCCTTTTCTAACGTCATATATTCAGATCTCCGTGAATCTCAACAATGCACTTAACACCTTCGGTCCCAGCTCCTCGCAATATCAAGCAATTCTCGAAATTCTCAAAGACAACCTTCAGAATATCGACCGCCATAGAGACTATGATGTCCCCGAATTAGACCCTGACACATTAAGCCTTGCGCTGGGGTTTTTGGAAATCGGAAATAAAGCATCCTAGAGCTCTTAAAACAAATAGGCTTCCAAAATGCAGACTCGCTATGTGCCCGAGATGACGCAAGGCAACAATTTAGGGGGAATGTGGAGTTCGCAGGCCTATGCCAACTACTTGACATGATACTGCATACGAGGCGAGAGTCCACATTTTATGAATTCAATTCATCAGATAGGAATGGTGGCTGGTATCAAGATCTGGGCTGTAAATCTTACACATTAAATTGGGGTTACACCGTTTGAAAGCCACACAGAAAATCGAGTGGCCCTTTGGCCGAAAGAAGGCTCCTTCCTGGAGCTAACCAAAGCTAACCCAAACACCCCCGATTTTCCCCCGCCAGCAAAGAAGACAAGAATCAAAGGCTATCAGAAACACCATGCAACAACCAAAAGGCAGAAAGGTTTAACTCCGGACCCATGCATTCGTAAGACATGATCAGGCTATGCTGGATAGCATGATGTAATCAGGAGTGATTGCGACGCAGTCTCCCGTCACGTGTTCCCCAGCCTCGTCTCTCTGGTGGGCTGGTATATAGATTGGGTATTGCATAGGTTCACTACGAGCGAGTGTAGGTGGGTTTGTTTATACTGGTGGCCGATTAAATGCTTGGACGTAGATAGACTCGCTCAGTCTATTAGTGGCTTCTTTTGTTTACCGACAATCGCTACGCCAAGGTGGCGCAGGGCGTTCTGATCCGTAGGCCGTACTATTGAAGGAAGCGGCAACATGGGGTTGTCAGGATTCACATGAACGGCTTCTCGAGCCGCTAGCTCGATAGCTTCCATTTCCTCTTTGCACCCGGCGTGGTCAAGAGGACAAACAACAATTGGGTGGCGAATGACAATGTCTCGTGCGGACGTTAGGTGAGCCTATGAGGTCAGAATGAGTGAGTTGTAAGCTAGAAACCGAAGAGAGAATGGGGAAGACAAACCTTTACCGTCAGATAGTATTCGATCTTATAGAGACTCGCTGTGGTTGTGAAGCCGCTAACAGCATACATAGGAAAAGCGGCTTTGCCTCTGGGTAGGATTCCTTCTGCATCTCGCATATCTTTTGCCGGGAACACAAGTCCGAGATTTGTCAAAAAACCTGACGGTGGCAGTTTCACCCCGACCGGCTCAGTTCTCTTCGTTAATGTTTTCACTTTTCTTTGTGGTTCGTCGCCTTCATGATTGAATATGATCTCCTCGTCGATCCCAATGGTGATCTTGCTTATTGTAACCTTCCTAGCCTTACTTATCCAATCCGGGTTGGGTGAAAGCTTCACGTAGACGCTCACTGGGTCAAGAGGGCCATAGGACCATCTCGGTAATGATATCCCCAACGTAACCAAGTGATCCGACACTCTTTCTGCGGACTCGGGGCGATTGTACATTCCGAATGTGGACAACGTATCATATCGAGTAATAGGTACAGGGAATGAATACTTCCTCTGCTCCGAATGTCCCTGTTGAACCATCACCACAATCTCATAGTATGTCTCCGCCGTGCGGCTAGGGAGCTGCATGCTGGCGGGGGGAACCCTCCTGGATGCATCTGGCCCCCCACGCCCGAATGGGATAAAAAGCACAAATGGCAAATCCATTGAAATGACCTCTTCGTATTCTCGACCGGCTGGACAGCGAAAGAGGAGCATTTCCTTGCCCACGGTGTCCGTGATTTCCTTCCTAGGAGGTGCCAGGCGCTTTTTGGTCATCGAATCTGCCGAAGGATGTATTGTCTCGCGCCGATGAAGCGATATTGTAATAAGTGATACGTGGACGGGAGCGGTGACGCCGACACTTGGCCTGATTTCGACTTTACCTTCAATACGCGGCTGAGGTAATGTTTAGTAGGGAGAACTGGCAGTGAACTTAGGAAAACAAGGGAGAGACTCACCATCGTCGCTGATATACCTGGGTAACCGATCAAAAAATTACCATTCGGCGGGCCCGACACTCGCACGAAGGCGGCCATGATGAGAGCGCTGTACCCGCACCACCATGGGCACGCGGCACTTGAGGGTAATGCACTCCGGGAGCTTTCCGGGCGGTAGACGACCTCGACAACCTAGATACCTTGAGAAGGTACATAGAGATCAGAGTTGACGAGCGATTGCCGCTTGATCGCGCTGCGCCGGGAGCCTTGCCTGCAGGTGCAGTAAGCGGCTCCTCGGACTCGAGCTAGGAAGGGTGAGCGAGTCGATTGGAGTACCAGCAGACCTGGACCTGCTATTCTGGAGTCAGAAGATGCAGATGTCGCAGGATCAGAAGTGGTGAAACTAGAAGCCGTTGAAATGGAGACGGGTGTCGCAAAGAGGGAACTGTTTATTACCGCCAATGTGGGGTGGTGAAAGGTGATGGGGACGCATTCGCAGCGGCTACGGCCAGCCTCGCCTCTTCTGCTGTCAGGGATCTGCAAGCAATCGGAGAATGGCCCTCTGCAAACTCCAGTTTCGACCTGGTCTGTCCGCTTAATCCCTGAAGCACGCGATTCACCCCATCCAATAAGTATTGAGGGGTTGTTCTACCGTATGTGTTGTTATCCTGCGGCCTTGTTGAGTTACAGTGTCCTTAATGATATATTACTCTCCTAGCAGGTATGATCTACAAGACCTACGTTCAACATTCCCCGCTATGAATCTCTTTTCTTTCTTTCTTTCTTTTCTTTTTTTTCTTTTGCTCGATCTTCTTTCTGTTGAGCACGAGCACTCTCAACTGTTCACATAGGGTGATCTAGACCATCCTCGAAAAGACGTGGGAATCCTGGAACGAAGGGGGTTTTGGTCCTTCGGCACATGATGGAATAGGGGATTGGACTTTCCGATCGATATTCACATCGGCAGTAGAGTGTCCAATACATGGCCTTCTGAGGTCCTGAAGTCGACGTGCGTATGTAAATGAGGCCCTTGGGTTGTCGCTAATACACGCTTTTCAAATCATCGCTACCTCCCGGTGGAGAGCCATTACAAACGAGACCCCGTGATCAAGAGCTCCTGGTATAGGCTTCTCTTTAGGGGCTAGGACCCTCCCTACTTTGGACATATAACTCTGTTGGCTCCTACAGGATTGCAAGTGAGGAGTCAAGGCACAGTAGAGATGACATATTTTTTAGTCTTGGTTCCTCAGGCATCCAGGCACCACCCCATGTATTATGTAATTTGCAGAGTGGCCGGTTGGGAGCTTTAATAGATGTATTGCTTTGCTAGAGTCTGTTGATTTCAATAAATCGTAGAGCAGTCTATAAGTTGCACCTTGACCGGCATTGTCTTCTTTGGAGCCAGCCAGCTCAGGTCTATTTGCGGTTGCCCTGTGCAACAGCCATGACATCGTCTTTCCCCACTGCCAACGGCTTAGCCAGAACTGGAATTCATCCTTCTTTCATCATTCAGGCATAGATAGGTATCCATTATACGCCGGCGAAGTGACGCCTAGATCCATCTCCTGTTCGTTCTGAAGACTCCTTCCCTGCATATCTACTCTAGTCCCCGACGATGCCTCCCACTAATCGCCGCCGAGTTAATACCACTGCCTCTTCTCGCTCAAGCCAGGCGACGCTATCATTCGGTTCCAAATCCAGAATCACCAAGCCATCTGCAACAGCCCCAGCTAAGAAATCGAAGGACCTTAACACCGTGACTACCGTCGTTCCTGAAAACACCTCTCATGATGCGGCCTCCCGGCTTCAAGACTCACCGATTATTCCCTTCGAGCCGCATGTGGCGGAGGTTGTGGTGAGAGACCAGGCAGAAACAGAGATGCAAAAACTTCTGTCGGAGGAAGATAAGAGAGCAATGAATATGACAGAGCAGGATCTACGGCACTACTGGAGCAAAGAAGAAGACAAAAGAAGGGGCCCTCGAGGTGGGTATTGGGCTGACTATTGGGATTTTGGACCGAGTTGACTAACAACTTCTTTTGAACATATAGTTCATCAAGAGGAGCTCTCATTGCATGACAAGATTTTGCGACACTTCGATCTCTCCAGTCAGTTTGGGGTATGTTTGGTCATCTTCCATTTCCTGGCTCCTAGAGCTTCTTTTTTCCTTCTTGCCTTTCCTATTCTTTTTTTTATATGATCTAACCATCAAAGTAGCCCTGTATCGGGATCCCTCGACTAAAGCGTTGGAGACGGGCAAATACGCTGAAACTCAACCCACCCCTTGAAGTACTGGCTGTACTGCTGAAGCAAACCGATGATACAAAACAGAGAGCCTATGTCGATGAACTGATGAGTTGAGGAGCTAGATACCACCTGGGTCAGAATGTGCCGTGTACGATGGCCCCTTCATGAAGGAGGGCTAGTATGGGAAGGTGCTGGCGTTGGCTTCTATAATAAGCAGGGCGTTTGGGAACTTTGTACATACCCTTTCTAATGTGATACTTTTAATCAGTATGCTGGCTCACCCCTCTATATAGGACGTGAAATTAGTTCTGTATTGCTGCATACTTTTGCATTACTGACCGTTGGATTTTCTGGCCTTCCTTGTTTCGAAAATTCTTTGAACGCCGCAGACAAGCCTGGTGGAGAGGAATCGAAGTATTGTACCAAGTAAATTAAGTAAATTGTAAAAAGTCTACGACATGTTCTAACTGGTTTGTCAAACACAACATGTGATAGCCACATCTAGCGGACACTTGATCAGGTTGCACATCTCGGATTATATATGACTGCGGGCAAAGGTTCCGATTTCCGTCCACTTTCTTAGTTGACCTTATATATAATCTATTTATAGGTACACCCTAGAGGAAACACGGGTTTCTCTTAGTGACCCAACTCAAAAGAATGAAGAAGGACAGTTTTCAAATTCGAGCTACCTTAGGTTCTGACAGGCGGGATACTACGCTCCACATGATCTGCCCGCATTGTTTTTACATGGTGGGTTTTGTATGCACACACTAGCTCTAGCCTGCAGGTGGTTAATTCGCCAGGCAGCGGTGATGTTACATTCGCACTGCGAGCCGATACGCCTCCCAGAGCTCCTATTAGCCATATATCTCGACTTCACATGGTCTATTTCTAAAATGATCGGTTTTGCCTTCTTGCGCTACAGAAAACCCTGCCAGATGCTACCAGATGTGACATCCATGTAGGTATATAACATACGGAGCGGTTGGCGTGTGGTTTCACCAAGGCAGCTGCATATCTTACTGCCATGGGGGTAGGTACTGGCTACACCTGTATCACGTCAGGGGCGGAAGTATCTCGACGCCAATGGAGGACAGAATTCCAACCTAGTAGGTTCAGCTTCACCGTCCATGTTACATAGTGCCTTTGCTTACATTTGATTGGACATTTAGGCCTTGTTTAAAAGCTGGTAGCTTTGACCATGGACGCACACATCTGTCAGTTCGACGTCAACATCGGAAAAGTCAGACGCATGTGACGCAAGAGTCAAGGATAAAAGGCGACACTGCAGCTAGAGGGAGAGGTACATAAGCCTTTCTTACGTCCATCGCGGTAAGTAGAAATCTAGATCTTTTCTCCCAACAACTTCCACTCATTACGAGCTAGGCAATCCTTCTTGAGACAATACACTCCTTTCTGACAATTCCAAAGCATATAGTTTAGTATCAAAGCCATTATAGTGATCTACCGCATCTGCGAAAATGAAACTTCCTCTCGTCTTCATTGCTGTCCTTACTGCCGGTCTCTCTAATGCCCAGCTTGGAAATATTCCTCGCTGTTCTGTGAGAGAGTCCATCAACCTACCCACGACTTGTTAAACTGATGTTTCCTCCCAGGTGAACTGCTTTGTCAATGCTCTTTCTAAAGATGGATGCTCTGAGTTGACCGACTTTTCGTGCCACTGCCAGAAGACTGGGCTTGTTGAGACTGTCACTCCTTGTGTGCGCGACGCCTGCGATCAATCAGACCAAGTCGGTGCGTGATCTTGACCTTTCCATACCATCTCACTACTTGCCAATTGATTACTTATGCTTGGGCAGCTGTCTCAAGTGCTGTTGTCCAGCAGTGTTCCCAAGCTGGCCACCCCATCTCTGTCCCACCTGTGACTACCGGGCCCAAGCAGACGTCTGGCCCTACCTCGACAGCTGGATCTACAACTTCAGGGGGTATGGGTCTTCCTACAGCTTGCTCGTCGAGTCCTGGCTCTTCTTCGCATGTCCCTTCTTCTTCTCCAGCTTCATCCTCGGCCAGTCACTCGCCAACTAGTTCTCGTTCTCAGCCGCCCGCAAGTTCCTCTGCTCTTTCGACCGGCGCGGCTTCACATAATAAGGACAACATGGTTGGCGCGGTTGTTGCTGCCGCTGCAGCTGTTTGCATGCTATAAATCCCGTCATAATCAATGTGATAGTAGATGTATCTACATGAAGTTAGGGCAGATTGTTTTGCAGCAAGCTCTCTTTCGTCGCTCGAGACTGTATGACGATGATGAGCGTTTTGGTTTTTGATTTATTTATTTTCTACACCATCCTTTTGTCACGCATTTTCTGCGTCCTTTCGGGTGTGAATTCTCAGTTAGCGGAGATTATACTGTAATCGTGGAGGACATTTATGAGTTTATGAGGTCAGATCTTCTTCATATCGCCGTCGACTCCATCCAATGGTATTTGGCGAACGACCTATTTGAAAACTTAATGCAACGTTTGAATGAAGGACGAATCCTTTCGTTTCCGTAAGTTCGCAGGATTCCTTATCATGGATCCATGTAAAGAGCCGATTGGATTAATATCCGCAGGACCCTGTTCGATTTGATTTGATTTCTCCTTTTTTTCTTAATCCTTTATTCCCTTTCCTCATAATATTCTTGATCCGGCAAAGTGAAACTCACTAGAAGCCAACCGTCCTTTCCATCCAATGGCATATCATTATTTCATCATATCATCATCATATTATAGCACTCATAGTAGCCGTAACTGCCATCATGCAAACCGCTTAAATTCTGTGACAAAGAGATCCATGGAAACACCAGTCCTGCAAACCCATATAGAAAAAATAGAGATGAAGGGATATGAACGTAAAGAAAAGTAGAGGATGATGACCAATCATTGCCTCCGCGTAACGTTTCCAGGTGAATTTGCGCTCAGATTTCTGTCCAAAACAAACAATAACAGAACCTAGCGTAGGAATTTCTACTTTCTCTTCTCTTTTTCTTTCTCACTTCCGTCAGCGTACATCCTCGTTCTTTTTCACTGAGCTGAATAAACAGAAACGAACAGTGACAGGGAGAACCCACCTGATCCAGATAAAGAGTGTCAACCGACTGGCCACCGAGTCCGTCTGTTGTCCGGTTGGCTGGCAGGCAGTCACTGTTGTTAAATGCCAGCTTCTATTGCTGTTCCCTGGTTGTCGTCATCACTATTATCTCCTCCTTCTCCTCCAACATCATCCTCGCCATCATCTTCTTCCTCGTCACTACTATTGAGACCAAACTCCCAGAAAGACCCGGCCTCGAACTCGGTAGAGCAGTCCGACTCATCTGCATCATATTCCGAATCAACAAGAAAAAACAGTTCCAGGTCAAAGTCATCGAACAGACCAAATGGACTGTTTATTCTCGCTGCGCGGCGGCCAGTGGCGGTATGGTCAATCGGGTGCACGGCGCGGTGATGAGCCCTGAGACTGGCAGTTGGTGTGCTGGCTGGATCGATGCCGTTCTGCTCAATTTCTTCCTTGTTTCCGATATCGATAGCCACGGTGGGACTATGTCCGTTTACAATGCCGTTGCTGGGAGTAGCAGTATTGGCGAGCTGGGTGTTGTCCATTGCAATGGTGGGGGTGTTCTGGTGAGTAGTAGTAGGAGCCCCATCTTGAGAATCACCTGGTATATATTAGAGGCCATGATGCTAACTGAGGAGATAGACTTGACTTCCTACCAGGATGATTGGTGTTGTTACCATTTGTGAGCTCAGTGCTTCTCGTCCCAGCAGTGCGATTATCATGGTCAGTAGCAAAGACATCTGGAGATTAGTAGTTAGCAACAGATGGTCGTAATACTGACAGCAATACAGAGACAAAATCCTTTATACCAGAGAAGTTGAGGTCGATTCCATTGGCGCGGGGATCGATTTCGATCATTTCACCAACAGCAATGTCTTCAATGTGCTCGACCTCTGCGTCAGAGTTCTCTGAGTCGTGATTTGCATTATCAGTGCGCACAAGCTGGAGATCACCGTTTACATTGACAATCCGGAAAGTGTAGACAGTGTCATCGCCGACGCTGGCATTGTAGTTGTTCACAGCGCGGGGGACTGTGGCCGACTGACTGGTTGCAGCAGATGGACGAGCGCTAGAATCATTCATCTGCAGATTCTGCGTATCTCTGTTGGTGGTAAGGCTATTTGACGACATGTCCTTACACGTAGTATGTTTTCTGTTCAGAGATGCCTTAAAAGGGTTCAAGGGTTTCTCCAAGCGAAGACTGTATGATCGTAGAACAGGGTGTGGAATAGATATAAAAACAGAGCCAGGTGCAATTATGGTTTGTGTTTATCAAAACTTAATAGAAGGCAGTATGGACAATAGAAGAAAGAAGTGAAAGAGTGAACTGGTTAAATGATTTAGTTCGAAGTGTTACTGTTATGGTGCTAGGTCACGCACAGTGAAGAAAATGGCCTCACCACAGGCACAAATCAACGCGTTGGGTGCAATTCTTCACTGCTGGAAGGGATCTCTTCTGTACTTAACGCAGGCTTATGGGTCAAGAGATCTCCTGCTATCAGGATTTGATTGTGGCATTGTTCATCTAGACTAGCAAAGTATCGTTCAGTTCCTTTCCCTCAACATTGTCTTAGCATAATAATATCTACACGCAAGGGCAAATTTGTTCCTGATGTAATTATAGTAACATACAGAATGCCCAGAATTGTTGATTCAACATACGTTGAAGTTGTTTGCAGTAAAATTATCATCATGGCGTATCTTCATGACATCTCTCGACGAAATAACACTTCTACTTCGGAAAATCTAAAGCTTTGAGAAAACGCCTTATATGAATCTGATTACAAGTAGAAAGTCTTTGCATTAGATATAAATCGGAACTATACAAAGATATAATGTCATAAGCAATATACAGTATATTCATCATGCCAACGCAATGGTAGAAGCACAATATGCAACGATAGGAGATGAAAATAAATAGACGGCCATAGTAGAGGGAGAACAAGCTGTGGATTGTCGGAACTGACTACAACTTTGAGACATTTATGGTACCCATAAACGTACAAACCCTCCAACCTCCTGTCGGCAAGTCACACAGCTTCCGAAATTATTCATAGCAAGACTCACTCGGCATTCTTCACACACGCAAAGACATCGACATGGCCAGGTAATGATCGAACGTGGATTGGTCTGGCAAATCACACACGGAGGTCCGCTGGGCCCAAGTCCTGATGCCCCAGACTCCCATGTCTGCCCGTTAGAAGGCGACGCTTGGGAGCGCCGCGAAAGGATGAGCTTTTCTAAGATTTCACTCTCGTCTTCGATGGTTGGCCTACGCTTCCCATCGCTCTGTGCCCCTGCTCTAAGCTGGGGTAGTTTCGAGGATAGCAGGATCTGTGCTCGCTCGCGTTCAACTTGCTGTTGAAACTGGCGACGGGTCAAAATGCGGCCTTCTTGCCCGGCTGACAGGTGGGCAGCCAGAATCCGCGCCTCTTCCCTGCTTTCCTGGTCCCGAGGGTCAAGGAGGCGTGTAAAAGAGCCAACGTCCATGAGTGATTCTTGAGCTGGCGAACTTTCCCGGGAAAATCCTGCCGGGAACGGGTTGGCCAACGTGGGCGTGCGACGACCATCGGATTCATCCTCCCATACTGAGTCGTTTGTAGACGTTGATATAACACTGGTCGTGTCGTCCATATCTCTAATTGAAGGAACATAGTCCGCACTATGATCTTGATTTCCCCATGAGCCACCAGCCTTCCACCAACTATAGAGTTTCTCGTCAAGCCGTCTTTCATCATCCTGTGCCCAGTTGATTGTGTTCGAACGTTCCCGTTTACGCATCTCCTTCTCCACATCGAACTCGTGGTTATCCGGCAATTCCAGCTCGTCATTATCAGTCAAAATCCAGAAATCTAAAGATTCCGTAGTGCTGCCGCTCCTCTTTTCCTGTGTATTTTTTCTACGAGGCCCGACAATCTTCTTCAGCCACTGCGGCCGCGCTGCGATCCCCAACTTACCGAGCAGTTTGTCTAAGCCGTGAGCAGTCCATCTAAGAATGAGATAAAATATTGCTCGGAAGAATGAGAACCCATGATAGCATCGAAGCGCACCTCGGAAGGCACCAACGCCGCCAGGATCTGTGTGGGAACGAAGGGACCGGGAGCCATTTCTAGGCTTCTCGATCTTCTTCTCTCGACCGTATCCGCTTTCCCACTCTGACGGTGCATGGGATATGTCAAAATTCATAGATTCAGTTTCAAACAGTGTGTCTTGGGCTCGAGTGTTCCGAGTTTGACCGAAACGGTACGTCTGTCGAGAAAACTCAATCTCCGTTAACCTGTCCTCTTCCAGCCACGTCATATTCCGAGCGACCACTCCCTTCCCTTCATTCAAGAATACTGCTTCACTGGCAGCAGTCAGGGCGGTATAGCCGATTCTTAACAGAGTGGTGTAGAAGTCCTCATGGCGGTTGAAACGAACGTTGTGTACCTGCGTTGAACCTTGCATGTTTTCATGTGCTGTTGCGAATCTTTCTCGGAGTGTCAATCGCTGAGAAGCGTCTCTTGGTAGTGAAAAGGCCGTGATAAAGAGAGCTAGCGAGTAGATAATCGCACACACGACAATGCCAAGTAAAATAAGTAGATGAGGGACAAATCCCACAATGCAGACCGTTGGAAATTTGAGTACCATACCGTCGCTTCCTACAGACGAGCCGGGGAGTAAACCCCAGGCCATCGTCGACATAAAGCAAAGTCCCCAGAAAGCGGTGTTAGCAAAACGATACCGGCTTTGCTTTCCAAAGACATCCAGAATATTCGAGGTGAGGCTGTTACAGCATGAGATTAGAGCAATCAAAAGTAATTCCGGAGTGACATTCATCCGCTCTAAGACTTGGGTCCTGCTGAGAAGATGAAGGGCGGATTGACTACTGTCACCGAGATCTTCCTTGCTCCCATTCTGCTTGGGCAAGCCAAATAAGCCCAGTCCAAGAGATTGGCTGATAGTTGATTCTGCCTCAGCAAATGCGAGTGAATGTTCAAAGATAGACATTCCGGCTTCCGTTACGACGGCTCTTCCTTGCAAAGCACACGACAGGGTTTCCACAAAATGATTCAAACAGAGCCGCAAAAATACTGGCCACAGGAGAACAAATGATCCGTGTGAATTAGTAGATGCATTAGCAGGGCGGCCCATGTTGACGGCTAGGCATGACTGCTCGTCAGTCTCCCACGGTAGTAGTGTGGATCCAAATGCATTTAAAAAGCCCCCACTCCCTGCATGGTCGAACAAAAGCCGTTTCCCGGTTGTACCGTAGCGGAGAAGTGAATAATCCGGAGATGTCTGACACCGAATGGCGCGGAGCAAGGAGATGATCTGGGACAGGAATAGAAGAATAGGAACGATTCTCAACGCTAACCGCCTGGTCCAGTCTAGGTGGAGTGGTCGTCTGGTGGATGCGTATATGGTGATCCTATTTAAAATAAGGGCCTTTAATCATTAGAATCGCGTAATCATGAACGTCCTCCAGTGCATTATGGAATGTGCTTACCACAGTGAAGCAGGCTAAGGACCACCGACTCGTCAGGTAGGAAAAGAAGCCACTAAATCGTACCACTGCCTGGAATATATCTGTGATATGATGGCTTGCATCAGCTTGGGCTACAGCATCAGCTACTCCTTCTCCGGTAGCATCAGCAGCCGTCTGCATTGCGGCAACCGCTGCATCGCCTCCTGCCCCTGTTCCAGTCGATGCTCCCCTAAAAAACGTAGCCATCTCTTGTAACCCCACCAGTCTCCCAATCCGTCTAGGTAATGTAGAAAACGCGAAAACTTCTGCCTGATAAAGACCCCGCAACGGAAGAGCGATTAGATCGCGAGTGGATGATAATAAGGAATGAGTAGTTAGGGTCGTCGTTCCGTTACTGACAGTTTGTGCGGTTAATGACGGGGCGGCAGTTTGGATATTCCGAACGTTCCCAGGGTTTTGCAAGGTAGTCATGGTTAGTTGTTATTCAGATTTGAATCAGATCACCGTCGTCAGCCCGATGAAGGAAATCCAAATTTGGAGTTCCCAGCACTGGGCAATCAAGGCGAAAGAGGTCATCCGTCTGCGGAGAATAGAATGCGGAGCAAGAAAGGAAAGAAATGGGACAAAGTATCACCAACAACGCATGAACTAGAAGAAAGGAATAGGAGCAACAAACTCCATGTGCATCGTGGCCACACATACAATGGGGTTCTGGTTAGGCAAGAAAGATCAAGCACTGCAAACCGTCGACTTTCTTTCCTGCGGAATTGTCGGGGAGTCCAACTTGTCATTCTTGGGGGGTGAAGGTGGCGCTAAACTCCATCAGGCGCACGGATCTGCACATGTCATTGACGCAATTTCATACCGACTCCACCAGAATAGACAAATTTATTCTCCTCTCACATGTATTTGAATCTATCTTCCACACATAATATCTAATATTTATAGCTTAATTTTGGAGAAGTATTTATGCATATTCCGCATACCCCATGTAGATGGTTAAGAGGTGTACATAGATGCCAAGGTGCATCTAAGATATGTGGCCACTATCATAGTAGATTTCATGGATTCATTTCATCAAAGTTAAGCTCTATGGACATGGAAAAGACACCAGCTCCCTCGTCACAATCCCCACCCAACTTCATTAAATCATTATAGCCTATACATCTCACTACTGCTTCGCACACCGTCAAAAATGCAAGTGTTATCCAAAGGCACGTACTGCCGGGTAAGTACCTTTAGTGCTTCCTGAGCGACTAGTCCTCCTGTAAGGGCGGAAATGTTGTGTAACTCGCCACCTTCGGTGCGTCGTAGCTCTTGGACGGCATCCAGGATTTGTTGGCGTGCATCATCATCAACGGTTGCTGGATCATCGCGATTGAGCGTATCGATGATACGATTGACGTGGGTACTCCACACTGTTTCATTCTCCAACAACTCGGTAAGGTTGTTCCCTTGAACTTCTGTGATGACGCTATCCAGAATTTCAAATGCGATATAAATAGGAATTCTGGATTCTGCATTGCTCAAGTTATTTCGAATCATTTTGAGCGTGTGGGCATCGTTATCTATGCGGGGAATAGCACGGCCCTTGATAACCTTGATGTGGGCGGCATTCTTGCAGAAGAGTTCAATCTCTTTAACCTGGACTTCAAGAAAGCGGCAGCCTTCCAACTGTGATTCGAGTTTCCTAACGATGTTGGTCACCTCTTCCATGTCCTTTCGCGCCTTCATTTTATAGATGTTTTGAAGAGCAACATAGTCGGCTGACTGAGCTTTCATATCGGGTAATGATCCTGATAAAGGCAACACTTTGTGCTTGTCATAGAATTCTCGGACAGCTGCTGCGATGATCCAGAAGTCGGTAGATTCTGGCTTTAGGTTCATGCATTCCTCCGTCTCGAATACTTCGCGAACCGAACTGCGCAAACTAAACGGATTTAACGCTTTCAACACTGCGGCAACCGCCTCATCGTAGTTTTCTTCGCCACCTTCAGGATTATTTGTTCGCGCGCTTGACCGTGCCATCTCCCTGAACTCAAACTTCTCCTTGTAGTTAGAAGGAACGTTTCCGTTGTGCGTTTGCTTCCACTTCTCCAGGTAATGAAGGAGTAATAATATGTACGGCACATGGCCATGCTGGTGGTCATCCATGCTGTCCAAGTTGCTGACACTAGCAGCCGCTGCAGTCAACTCTGGCCAAGGAGTGAGAAGACGGAGATCCTGTGTCGTTTCCGGATCCGGGTGTGTCTCTACAATAGGGAACAGCGCCGGGAGCTGGACAGAGAAGCTAGAGTAGAATCCGACAGAACGCACATAGATCACGGGAATATTATACTCTCTAGCAGCGCCGCAGAGAGCGTCTAGAGAAGAGCTTTTCATGGGACCCGATATCACGACCAGCTTATGCGTCGGGAGAAAGGCAGGATCCTGTAAAAGCTCTGTAACCGGCTGGCATTTCAATTTATTAGCATGAAGGTCGTTTTTGCGCATATTTTAATGGAACTACGTGATGTACCTTTTGATGGAAGCTGCCATCTACGTCGGGATTGAGTTCTCGTAACAACCGGCAGGTCTCTTCGGCTCTGGGTTTGCCCAAACTCCCTTCTTCGAGAAAGAAATTCACCCCGAGGTCTGATTCGGTGACAACAGCAGGATCAACGACGGTAAATCCTCCAATCCCCGGTAACACGAGGTTTTTGAGAGTCTCCACGCCCGCTACCCCTGATACACCGGTGTTTTGGGCGGTCCAAGGTCCGTCTGAATTCACTAGAAGGACCCAGGAGTTTTCAAGAGCTTGTTGACCACTAGTAGCCCATAAGCGTAGTTGGCGGTCATATTTTCTTTCTTTGGACGAAGGCCCACCTAGGGCATTATGGAAAGCCTCGGTCATAACGGGCGGTAGGCACAATAAGAAGCAACAAGTCGGGTGTATGAAAGAGGGTGAGGAGAATTCTGATACGTCAAGTATCCAGCAGGAGTCCCTAGCAGCACAAGGGGTACAGTCCGTATCTGGGTATGAACGATTGCCTGGTAGATGTTGCGACAACCTAGAGCGACTCCGCAAGTACTTAGACGCCCGCTAGTCACCTGACGGACCCTGCGACGGCGGCTTGAAGCGGACAAGCCAGGCTATGACGACACTGCCCCGCCTCAAGGGATTTCCTCTGCGATTATTACTTGCATGATTGTGCTGGAAGAGCGGATAAGAGAGCCCCGAGAGTTGCTGTCGGTTCATTGCATATGCCATGTCCCTTTCCACCCCTCTGTGCGGTGGTGTCCCTTTGTAAGTGGGCTAATTCTCTGGCTGAACCATTGATCTATTGGAGCTGAGGACTCCCCACACTGCCACCTGTGGTTCCTCCCCCAATTATTTGCAGCCGCTAGAGAAGTTGACCCCGGCACGGCATAGCCACCAATTAATACATTTGCAGAATCCGATTCTCCCATCTCGTTTCTCCTATTTATTCTCGCGTTCGTTCACATCCTTTTCACCTCTCCTCCTCCCGACTCCCTTCCACCATTCCTCGCCTTCAATCCACAATGGCCAGTATTGTCGAAGAAGCAAAACGCGCAGCCGGCAAGGCTGCCGTGCAGAACCACTACCCTAAGGACGCTAAATTTGTTGGAATTGGAAGCGGTTCTACAATTGTCTACGTCGTCAAAGCCATCAAGGAATCCGGGGTAGACACCTCTCTCACTAAATACGTGCCAACAGGCTTCCAATCCAAACAACTCATCGTCTCCCATGGATTGACGGCTGTGGACTTTGATTCAATCCCGGAGGGAACTATTTTGGATGTGGCCTTCGATGGTGCGGACGAAGTAGATGACGATCTAAATCTAATTAAGGGTGGTGGTGCCTGTCTGTTCCAGGAAAAAATCGTTGCTCTCCAGGCGAAGGAGTTCATCTGCGTCGCAGGTAAGTGAACTCAGTTGCGGTGAGCATAGGCCTATGAACGCTGATACTTGATAGACTCGCGCAAACTCCAGTCTCGTCTTCTTTCCAACTGGAAGTACATTCCCATCGAGGTGGCTCCCATTGCCGCGCATCGTGTTGTCTCCGCACTTAAGGAATTGGGCAGTATTGAGCCTGCAGTCCGCTTGAGCTCCGCCCCGCAGCCCAATGTTCCTACAAAAGAACCACTAAAGACTGATCAAGGGTTTTACATCATCGATGCTCCGTTCAAGACTCTGCTTACGAAAGCGGATGTGGCAGCAGGCAAGGATGGCAGTGGAAAGGATGGGGTGTGGGAGGTCGAAAAACTCTCACAGGCCATTAAGCTGATCCCTGGTGTCTTGGATGTAGGGATTTTCTCCGGTTTTACTGGTCCACAGGCCCAAGCACAGGGCGGCATCGGAGGCCAGAAGCCCATTGCGGCTTATTTTGGCATGTCTGATGGCTCAGTATCGGTAAGAAAGGCTGCTTAGATATGTTCCACGTACAGTTAAAAATTGTGTGGATGATATACGGTTAAGAGATACAATGATGATACCATTTGGAGATTAGCATAAACTTGAGTTGTTTGTGTGATCGGCAGATCATGTACTATGGAGATAAACCAGCGCAAGGCGGTTCAATATCAAGACCACGTTTCAGATCATAATGAAATTTATCATAGAAGCTGGTTATTTGCATTTATTTCGCCCCTTTCCCTTTAGCTTCCGTCTCCCCAAGTTCACGCACGTAAATGTTGACTGTGCCTCCGGCTATATCATCTTTCCCGTCTTCGAAACCGGGGCTAATAGCTATTGCCAAATACTTCCCATTGCTGCTAAAGTCTACAGCAGCAACGCTTGACGGATACTTCTGGTATTGCCTAATTCTCCTTTTCGCAACCCCATCCCAAAGGGCGACCACTCCGTCCCCACCTCCAGATGCGAAGGTGCCATGAATGGGATTGAATGAAAGCGCATTAACTGGGAAAACCACATCTACTTCATCTGATGTCTGTCGGTGGCACTTGAATGCATATTTCCGTGCTTGCGACTCCGCAGATGGGTCGAACCACTCAACTGCTACTCGTCCCTCAATGCTCGAAGAGGCATATCCTGCATCGTCGGGCATGCAGGCCACGGAGCGAGTCATGAACTTGAGACTGCTCTCCCTTCTTTGCCACGGTGCCACCTCGATCTTATTCGGAGCTGTGCCGTCCGACTGCGCTGTCAGAAGAGCCAAAGACTTCAAATCATATATATTTAAGGCGCGCGAGGCCATTGCGACGACGAGTTTTGTGGCGGTAAGAGACATGGAAAATGGCTTGGAAGGAAGAGGAATAATTGCGGGAATAGCGTTCGTGTTATCGGTACAGTGTACATGTAATGTGGAATCCCACGAAGCCGATATCACCAGGTTGTGTTCCTTGCTGTAGACAACGCTTCGAACACCTGCATCGTGGCTGCTGAGTACGGTATGCGTAGCCGATGCTACGTCAATCCTACAGAATATTAGCAACATATGCGCAGTGGCTGATACCTCAGCTGAATAATTACTGACACTCACTTCTTGACGTCCCAATCCAAACCAGCCGTGTAGATCTCATCTTCGTTTGCGCCGAAGCACACATCTAGCACCGGAGCGCGGTGCTCAAATTTTTGCAACAATTTCCCTTCCCCTACATTCCCATTCTCATCGCGCAGCTCGTATAGATAAACGTTCTTATCCCACGACGATACAACGAATCGTGTAGAATTAGATTCGGGAGAGAACTTCAAAGCCGAAATAGCGTCTGACGGAGGGGAGGTAACGGTAAATTGATCTGAAACTCCATTAGCTTGAGCCTCGATTTCCATACGGCGACGATCTTACTCGATGCCATGGTCTGGGACAAAGCACTAGATACGGCACACTGTCTGGGGTTGTTGATCGAGCGGCGTCATTGAGCCTTTGCCTTTCGGATCGTTTTCTGCCGGGTCTCGCCGCCCTAAGATATTCTGCCATCATCGGCGGCACAGAGCAGCAACTCAATTCGTCCATATCACCAGGCCCCTTCATTTTCTATACTTTCTCCTCGCGCGGCTCACCATGCCGTTTGCACAGTTGGTGATTGGCCCTCCTGGTGCGGGCAAGTCCACATACTGCAATGGGATGCATCAGTTCCTCGGAGCGATTGGCCGCAAATGTTCCATCGTGAACTTAGATCCCGCAAATGATAAGACGTCGTATCCGTGTGCGCTGGACGTCCGCGACCTTGTAACGCTGGAGGAAGTCATGAGTGAAGATCATTTAGGGCCGAATGGAGGTATTTTGTACGCGTTGGAAGAACTGGAAGAGAACTTTGACTGGTTAGAGGAGGGCCTGAAAGAACTTGGAGGTAGGCACTTTCTGATGCAATGTGCTGCAAATCCTTCCAGATTGGCTGATTGACATGCTGGATGTTACAGATGATTATATCTTGTTTGACTGTCCGGGTCAAGTTGAGATCTTCACGCATCATTCCTCGTTGCGCAACATTTTTTTCAAAATACAAAAATTGGGATATAGAGTGCGTACTCCTTCTCTCCTCACCAAGTAGCTTGCTAAACGGGACAACCACAGTTAGTTGTAATTCATTTAATTGACTCCTACAACCTCACACTGCCGTCAATGTACATATCCGCCCTCTTACTCTCTCTTCGTGCCATGCTCCAAATGGACTTACCCCACCTCAACGTTCTGACCAAGATCGATAACCTATCGAACTATGCACCCCTCCCTTTCAATTTGGATTTTTACACAGACGTGCAAGACCTTACTTACCTCCTCCCACATCTGGAAGCCGAATCGTCCCGGTTGTCACATGAGAAGTTCGGGCCTCTCAATAACGCTATCATTGACCTAGTGGAGGAGTTCGGTCTGGTATCGTTTGAGACGTTGGCTGTGGAAGACAAGAAAAGCATGATGAATCTATTACGCGTCATCGACAGAGCTAGTGGATACGTGTTTGGACCCGCTGAAGGTGCAAATGACAGTGTCTGGCAGATCGCTGTTCGCGAAGGGCTTGGGACCATGGATATTCGCGACATACAGGAACGATGGATTGATGCGAAGGACGTATATGATGAAAAGGAACTCAAAGAGCTGGAAACCGAGGCAAAAGCAAGGGAGGAAGCTGCACAAACTACGGGCAAAGGCACCGACAATATTGATGACTATGATGAATTTGCTCGAGGGCCGCTACCCGATAGTGGCGTGAAAGTCGTACGAAAATCATGACATGAAACTTGATCGTTTATATAATGTACATATGTATCATAGGGTATCTCTAAAAAATAAAATCCGTCCAATATGTGACTGATGCTTTTCACATTCAAACACCAACCCCCATCCACGACTTATCGCCGCAATCAATCATCATTTTCATCATCACTCGCCATCTCCACATCTTCTTCCATAGCTGTGGACAATCCATCTTCCTGCCCTAACTCCCGTACCAAGCCCTCTAGGACCCCTACTTCTTCCGTGTCTCGGAGCCGCACAATCTCCTTTCTCGCTCGTCGAATGGCCTCTTCCTCAGCTTTCCTCATTGTCCCGGAAACCCTTATCACGCGAAACACACACGGTCTTGTTGTAGCCGCAGCAGCACCTTTCGGCCGACAGCCATTGCCGAATCCCGGCACGCCAGACATATAAGTTAGAGCGGTCCAGACGAGACGCAAAGAAGCCCGCGGACAACGGATAATGGCGGTCGATGTAGCCGGAGACAAATATTTCACTGGAAGACATTCAATTAGCTTACCGCGCCTTGACAAAAGTAGAGCAGAAGGTAAGAGGGAAGGGGTAAATAATAGCTTGCGTACCACTAACACCACCTGCTCCAACCCCCCCGAGTCTACCTATTCCCCAATCTCCAAATATCTCCGCTACTTCCTCCCTCACCATTTTCGCAAGTAGTCCGGGTGTCAAGGCATCTGATGTGGGCGCGTGGATCTGGAGTTGCGACTGTGCTTGAGACGATAGGGTATATTTGCGTTGTGGTGTTTTTGACGGCCACGATGAAGGGTCTGGATAGAGAATATCTAGGAGAAGGTAGCGGTGTTTAACGCGAACCATTGATTCGGTTTGGTTTTTCCCTAGTCGTCGTCTTGGAGCTTTTTATCTTTTTTTTTTTTTTTTTTTTTTTTTTGTCTGGGGGTTGTTGAATATGAAAAAAGACTCGGGTATCTCCTAGGGATAGCCAAAAAAAAAAAAAAAAAAAAAAAAAAAAAAAAAAAAAAAAAGAGCCGTCAGTATTGTAGGTAGACCTTCATAAATAAATATGCAGGAACGTCAGGCGGCTGGTAATTAGTATACTAAACTGTTAGTAGGATGTGTGAATAAAGTGAGAGATCAATGTGTTCATGTCGAGATAGGTGTTTCGCCAATCGGAAGTGGGGAAGCTCGAATAGCCGTGCCACCACAGTCAGCTTCATATCTCCTCCACAAGTTACTCTACTGTTTGTACGACCCGAACCGCTTTCAGGACAATATGCAGCAGCTAGAATATGCAATAGCTGCAATTTTATAGTCTAGACTCTATTCAGAGGAATCGACCACTACTGCCAAGCAGTTCTTGAGTCTGGATGGGTGATAAATTTGGCCCCACCACCAACAACTAGGATTAGGTTGACAAAGTGCACGTGTTAAACAGTATCCGTCCAAGCTGCATTTAATGGGTGTGAAGTCATAGTAAGGACATTGTCATTATTTTGTAGAAAACACAATCTGCTGGAACTATGGCACTTAAAACATGGGCTACTAAGCCACCGTTCTATCGTAACTTATCAAAAACCAGATGCAGGCTGCACCTGCTCAATTGCGTGGAATTCGTCAACCCTATCAGCTAATCATACCACATGTGCGCACTATAGATTGTAAGTTGGGAACAGGATAATATGAAAGAAATTGGGGGAAAAGAGAACAATGCAAAACGCAAGCTATCATAACTCCAACGTCAGACAACACGACGGATTTTTACGAAATTACCAGGATCCCACTCTGGCCACTTCTTCCGTTTATAGAAAAGGAAATATCAGAGAATTAATAAATCGGTATAAATAATTAAATGTTGACCTCGACACGACCTTCCGAGCCACCCTTCTGAAGGGCAGGAAGCAGGTAGGTGATGTCATCCCACGGGTGTCGGTAAAGACCAGTGCGCAGGCGCTTCTGATCGAGGTAGTGCGCGATCAGACCCATGCTACGGCCAAGAACGAAGAGGCCGTTGAGAACGCCCATGCGCATGTAGTCCTCGACTTCCTCAGGGGAGAAGGCGCCACAGTTGCGCATGAGATCAACGAAACAGACAGCAACACAGCCGTCGACGTTCAAAATGAGATTGTCCTTCTTGGAGGTAGTGACAGTCTCAACAGCGATGGCGTAGTCAAGCAGCTTGGTGTTAGGGAAATGCTTCTTGGCGTACTCCTTGACCAGCTCCACACGTAGATCAGGGTTGTTACGAGACTTGATACGATGTCCAATACCCGGGACTATTCACGCGGTTAGTAATGTGCTTATGCTTGTATTACAGTTAGAAACTGGGGTTCTGCGTACTCAGCTTGTTCTCCTTTCTCATTCCGTCGACGAAATCACGGGGGCTAAGGCCCTTGTCGAAGGCCTTAGTGAACTCCTCAGCAGCGCCGTCGAGGGCACCACCGAAGCGAGAACCAATAGTAAGCAGACCAGAGACCAGGGCGCTGATCAAGTCCTTGCCTGCACGGGTAGTGATAATAGTGTTCATGGCACCAGAAACGGCAGGACCGTGGTCAGCGGTGAGCATAAGAACCATCTCCAAGAACTTGCTAGCATAGCTTGGCAGACGACGACGGAACCACAGCAGAGACATGACACCGCCAATGCCAATATCCTCCTTAAAGACATCAGAGATGGGCATACCAGCGTACAGAAGCTCTTGGCCACGATCATCGGAGATAGTAGAAATGAAGGCAGCGGGCTTACGAACAAGACCCAGCTCCTGGGCCCACGAGTAGTCGATGGGGATCTTGGGGGGAACAGGTTCGGGCTGAGGCTTGATGATGCCCTTCCGGACCTGTTCATCGTAGACCTCTCTCAGCACTTGAGGGAGCTCCTCGAAAGTGTCTGGAACGTAGATACCAGCCTCACGCATGGCCTTGTTCTTGTTCACAGCCGTCTCCAGTTGGGAGTTGGCCGAGGCACCGGCGTGGCCAAACTGAACCTCCGTCTTGAACATGCTGGCACAGGTACCAATAGCCCAGGCCACAATGGGCTTGGTGATAATACCCTTCTTGACAGCCTCAATAACACGGTACTCCTCAACACCACCAACCTCACCAAGCAAGAGGAGGATCTTGCACTCTGGTTCAGCTTGGTAGCGGAGCAAATGATCAATGAAAGTGGTACCAGGGTAGCGGTCTCCACCAATAGCAACACCCTCGTAGACCCCATCGGTGACTTGAGAAACTATGTTGTTCAATTCGTTTGACATACCACCGGACTTGGAGACGTAGCCGACAGATCCCTTACGGTACAGCTTAGAAGCGACAATATTGTCCATCATACCACCAGTGTTACCAATCTTGAAAGCGCCGGGCTTAATTCCCCCGACTGTAGCAGGGCCAATAATAGTGATGCCCTTCTCCTTGGCAGTCACCAGTATCTCACGAGCACGCTGTGTTTATGTTAGCTAGCTGTCATGTATACACAAGCTGAAACTGGTCACATACTCTCTCCGGAACACCCTCCGCAATGATAGCAATGGACTTAATCTGCGGACATTGCATCAATTCCATCGTGGAGCTATATACGGAGCGGGAAGAAGCGAAGTTGACAACAGTGTCAACATCGGGATGCTTGGCCATAGCCTTGGAGACATCCTGGTAGACAGGCAAAAGAGTCTCACTGGTGCCCCAGTACCTATATACCCAGTAAGCATTATTCCTGGAATGATGCGGCGTTTATGACCTACATCTTGCTCACGAATTGGCCACCGAAGGTGTAGATGATACCAGCGACGGAGGGAGTGCTGCGCTTGCAAATGAAGTCGAAGTCAAGCATACCCTGCACAGCCCGGGGCTGCATACCACTATGACGACCGTCAGAAGTTGTTCATAATCCCACCCCTCCGCTGCTCAGGGTACTCACTATACGAAGCATCGTGTCTTGTTGTGAAAAAGGGTATGGGTGAAAGGGGAGAGCACCCGGCTGGGGGGTTCGAAGCGAGTGATGTTATCGTTGGCATTGGATCCGCCATTGGCAGTGTTGACCAAAGGAGCAGAAGCGGGCATGATGGCTGATTACTCTGGCAATTCAACGTTGGTTAGCTTACTGTTAACTAATTGAAGATGGTAAAGATCTGTGAAGTATCGAGCAATTCGAAGCGATGAATTGGAAGTAGTCTTTATAGCTTGCACCAAGCCCGATAGCATACATACCTGTCAACAGAGCACTCAAAAACAAGATCCGTTAATAGAAAAAGATTAGACGTATTATTAGGGGAATAGGCAAGAAGGCACAAGGGATGAGAAGTAGATTAAGAAGCAAGTCGCGATGGTGACAGCGACCTAGCAAGAAGGGGGATGTGTAGAAGTGGGAAAGAAAGGAGGGAGATGACAGTAACCAAGGAGATTGAGAAAATAGAATTGGAGGGGGAAAGCTGGATGATGGAGTGGATTGATGGGAAAGAAATGGAGAAAGTTGAATGGAGAGGGGAAAAAAAATAATCAAATAAAAGTATAAGTAACAAACAGTATGTAATTTTTCGAAATTTGAACAAAAAAAAAAAATCCCCCGAAAAAACTAGCTAAGAGGAGGGGCAACCATATCGGGATTCTTGCGATGGGGTCAGCATTGATGGATCGCCTGTATGGTATCGTACCTTGGAAACGAGGTACAGGTCGTCTGGGTCGGCTGCAAGTTGGGGAAAGCGTCAAAGTACACGGTTGAAACTAGTAGCGGAATTGCTATAATAATAACTACGGAGTATGGGACCATTAAATAACTAGGACAATAATAGGACCCGATATTATGCTATCTTGCTAAGTCGTTTCATAGTCAAGATGGAATACTAGTCTGCTAGAAACCTACGGAGGAAGGATATGACTCCGTGATACTGCGGAGACACCAATGTCGTAACGCTCAACAAATCTAACCCCCGAGTCTCTGCTTCTTGCCTTCTGTCGTACCCAGCCAGATAAGCAGGGGCAATCCAGCTGCTGAGCGAAGATCGTACCAACCCAAAGCCCAATGAGATACACCGCCGAAGCCCTCTGGACCAGTAGAATGTCGTCGTAATCCTCGTTAAACTAGGTATCTACGAAGTAAGAAGGGAAAGGATACATACATCATCGAGACTGAAGAGGGGCGATCTGGTTGGGATAGGACAGTGAGTGCAGTGGAGCCCTTTCAATGGTGCAGGAATGGGGCTGATAACCAGCTACCAAGGCGCCACTTAGGTCTCCTCCGTGCTAAGCTGTACTGCGTAGTCTAGTTCATGGGCAGTGCTCACCGACACTAAGGGAACTGACCATCCCCGATCACGAGGTCGTTTCCGCTGAGGGACCCTAGTCGCTCAAGCCTCAGGCCTACAAATTTCCCAATTAGTCAGGCTGTTCAAAGAGAGGATTTTTCTAGAATGGTAGGGGATTTCCCATATGGCCTGCGGAAGGCTAGAGGCTGAAGATTGACATCAATGGTCAAAGTATACAAAGACCTCATTCTAGCATCTCTTGATCCTTCACCGAACCACTTTCGCTGATATTTGGACTATTGTCTCATCATGTGTGACCCGGTCGTCAACAGAACCGAATCCGAACCCAACAAAAAAAGACGCATGCCTTCCGGAGAGACCGTGAGGGCGCAAATCGGCCATCAAAGGGGGTTCAGTATTGAGGCTACAGCGTAGGGCAGATACTGAGGCCTAAATACCCGTCCCGAGAATCCCCAACATAGACAAGTTGGCAGTCTTTTAAGTCCGGCCCGCCTTTTCCCCACTGAATCTCAACGCCGCTAACCCACTTCCAGCGATGACGGTCCACTTTTAGCCCGAGCTCGGCCCTGAATAGTTGTCGATACAGGCGGTGTATCAGCTGTGGTAAGATACTGCGCCTACAATGGTCCAGGTATCCATCCGTATTCCCAAAAAAAAAAAATCACCACTCCAATTCTTCGTTGGCCTACAACTCCGTGTAGACCACCGTTAACATCCCCGACGTTCGGTCAGTTTCTTTTTTTTTTTTTTAATTAATCTCCCGTCTCTTTTCTTCCTGTTTCTCTACCTATCTTTACCTCTTGGAAAGTTAGTGATCAGTACGGCGACTACCTACTATCTTTACCGCCAAGCCCGGAAATAAAACAAAAATATTTTTGTTTTCCTCTTCTCTTTCCTTCCCCTCCAATTCCTCCTGTCCTATACTCTTAATCTGGGGTTGACTTCCCATAGCACCTTTCTCTCATCCTCACCCATCCATTAACTATTTCCTTACCTCTTCTTACTTTCGTCCTTTATTATCAGATAGTTTCGATTGTCCATCATGTCCGCCAAGTCAATCCTCGAAGCTGATGGCAAGGCCATCCTCAACTACCACCTCACTCGTGCTCCCGTCATCAAACCAACTCCTCTTCCTCCGTCTACCACTCACAACCCTCCTCCTCGTCTTGCCTCCCTCTACTTCCCAGAAGATGCTGCCGTCAAGGATGTTCTCGACCAGGCGGAGGTTCTCTACCCATGGTTGTTGACTCCTGGGTCCAAGTTCGTTGCTAAGCCCGACCAATTGATCAAGCGGCGAGGCAAGAGTGGCCTGCTGGCTCTCAACAAGACCTGGGCTGAGGCTAGGGAATGGATCGAGATTCGTGCTGGAAAGGAGATTCTGGTTGAGACTGTTACTGGCGTTCTTCGTCAGTTCCTGGTTGAGCCTTTCGTCCCTCATCCTCAAGAGACGGAGTACTACATCAACATCAATTCCGAGCGTGAGGTAAAACTATTCATGGACAAATTCAACCACAGGAACAGGACGCGCTAATATATTTTAGGGTGACTGGATCCTCTTCACCCACGAAGGTGGCGTCGATGTCGGTGATGTTGATGCCAAAGCGGAAAAACTCCTTATCCCCGTCAACTTGAAGAACTACCCCTCAAATGAGGAAATTGCTGCTGCTCTGCTGAGCAAGGTGCCCAAGGGTGTTCATAATGTCCTGGTGGACTTTATCTCTCGGCTTTATGCCGTTTACGTTGACTGCCAGTTCACCTACCTGGAAATCAACCCCCTGGTCGTCATCCCCAACGCGGACGCCACGTCTGCTGAGGTTCACTTCCTGGACTTGGCTGCCAAGCTGGACCAGACTGCCGAGTTTGAGTGCGGCACCAAGTGGGCTGTTGCCCGTAGCCCCGCCAACTTGGGCCTAGCTGCTCCCTCGAGGGATGAGAAGGTTAACATCGACGCTGGACCCCCCATGGAGTTCCCTGCTCCCTTCGGTCGTGAGCTAAGCAAGGAGGAGAAGTTCATCTCAGACATGGATGCGAAGACCGGTGCCTCTCTTAAGCTTACTGTGCTCAACTCCAATGGCCGTATCTGGACCCTTGTTGCTGGTGGTGGTGCCTCCGTTGTGTACGCTGATGCCATTGCTTCTGCTGGTTTTGTCAGTGAGCTGGCCAACTATGGTGAATACTCCGGTGCTCCCACCGAGACTCAAACCTTCAACTACGCCCGTACTGTCCTCGATTTGATGTTGCGCGCTCCCACCCACCCCGACGGCAAGGTCCTCTTTATCGGCGGTGGTATTGCCAACTTCACCAACGTCGCCTCGACCTTCAAGGGTGTCATTCGTGCTCTGCGCGAAGTTGCCCCCGTCCTGAATGAGCACAAGGTCCAGATCTGGGTTCGCCGTGCTGGTCCCAACTACCAGGAGGGACTTAAGAACATCAAGGCTGTTGGTGAGGAGTTGGGTCTCAACATGCATGTGTATGGACCTGAGATGCACGTCAGTGGTATTGTACCCCTTGCCCTCCTCGGTAAGAAGACCGATGTCAAGGAGTTTGGTGCCGCGTAAAATGAATGATTTTTTCTAGTTCTACTTAATTTAATCTTATGTGTGACTCTTTATATTCCTGAACGCATGGCATGATATGGTTCCCATTTTATTCTCCTTTTTTTTTTCTTTTTCGCTTTACATGTTTGTTTTTATTTATTGTGGGTAAAGTTCAAATGGAACGACGGGATGAGCTCGTCGATCGATATATCGGTCCAGCGAGAGGGATGTCCATTGTCCTGGAGTTGGTGTCTCTAGACTTGATTCAAACAGAGTCAACGAAGTTAGTCGTTAATACAAGATATAAATATGTCTATATATAAAAAATGATATTGCGTAAACCAGTGATCAATAAAAACAACTGAACAATAGAGTGCGAGAATCCAAGAAAGAAAAATTAACAAGCACAACTATTGTGCACGTGACACAATCCCAGCCTGAGGAGATGCAAGATCTGTGTATAGTTGAAAACCAGAAGCTCAAATAAGCTTAAGAAAAAATACCACTAAAGCCCAAAACAGGTCCACAGGAGCTACGAGCTTAATTCCCATGCACGAGTTTAAGATTTAATAAAATTAAGCTGTGTGGTGGGCTAAAAAGATTTTCACAACGGTTCTTGAACTTCCGCACGCCCGAGAGTGAAGACTCGGACGTGTGGATGCGGGCTGGAGATGGCATGGCGCACGGGACGGGCCATTGCAGATGCCAGATGCATGGGAACTTAAACAGACAAGGGGCATAGGGTGGGTAAGACAGTAGGTTAATTATAAATTAAGCCTATGTTTGATATTTATAGTCATTTGGATTGAAATGTGGTTTTGGTGCTTTTACTGTTCTGCAGGACATATCAGGTAGTGGGCATTGTGAGTTTGTCACTAGTTAGTGATAGAGAATTTCTCCAACACTACTGAATAAGTACAGATGGTTAACTTGCTGGCTAGATTGATAACCAACCTCAAGTTTTCTTCACTCAAGCTATAGTTACAGTAGTAGGACAATATGTTGGTGAGTATTGTGCATACAATAGAATGTTTTGGTGAGGCTGAATCAAAGCGGGGAAATTCCGTCGGGCGAATGGAAGTCGAGATACAGAGTAGTTAATAAGCATCTTCAGATAACATCACTCAGGTATTTGGTACTTATTAGTTGTTATTGGGTCTACTTATTTTGTACATCAAAATCCATATTCAAGAGCTAGATTCCATTTGTATGGATGCTTACTGGATGGCAAATATTTCGTCCATTTGCTGTTGCTCTAATGTGGCTATTGTGGACGTTAGGTACAGATCTTTTTCCAGCGATATATATTCCTCGATGAGTCTGCTCAGAACATCATAGAACTGCTTTGCAATGGGTCTACGAATATATTGCGCTCGAGCTCTTTAAAAAAAAAAATAAAGAGAAAAATGAAATAATAAGTTTCTAGTTTTGTATACATAAATAATATTGGTTTTATAGGGACACTAGAGTGTAGGTGTGTTGGGTGTGGTATATAGAGCTAAGGAATATCAAGCCCAACACCATCTTCCCTTTCCTATGCCTGTTCTATATTTTATATCAACTTAACCTCTTCAAAACAGGAGTCATCTGACTGTCCTGTTGAAAAAAGTTGTCATTTCAGAAGGACCCGTTGGCCGTAAACGTGTGAATGGGGATCTGCTCTTCCCAACATGACATGGCTACTCGAGAGAAGTTTCCTTGGATCTGGATCACCTCGAAATCGTTCAAATAGTACTCTATCGTTCGGTAGATACGACATGCCCGTAGCAGGACGCGAAGGGGCCGTTAGACGTGTTCGGTGTTGTGGAGTTGCATTTGGTGGATCGCCTAGAACGGTCTCAGTAATCTTTCAAAAAGAGTATAAATTAGGACATACAATTTCTTTTGTTTCCCATAGGTCGGTTGGGGGGTGGCATTGTAGTAGTATCGGGCCTTCTTGCTTTCTTTGAACTCCCAGTGCCGCTACGTTGATTCCTGTTTATCTGCTCCACCCCTTCTTGATCGACGGGGAATATATTCTGCTGACGAGAAGGTGTTTGAGGTGGTATGAATGCACCTTCTAGTTGTTCTAGTGCACACATTGGAGGGCTATTTCGAGATCCTCCAATAGTATTTAGCGCTTGGGATACAGAGTTAGATGCAGCGGTTTGCATTTCAGATCCCATAGCTTGAGATTTCCATGTTGGCATTATGGATTATCTTGTCCATTTGAGTGTTCAATGCTGAATATTTATCAGTCAGTGTTTTTGCGAGAAATTCCTGGTAGAATCTTTTCCAATCAGCATACGGATTACGAAGCTCCGTGGCGGGTTACCAAGCCGCACATCTCTTGCGTGGTTTGGTATGTCCAGAAGAGCAATGCTCGTCCCGCACATTCCATTATTGTATTTGGATCGAGGCCACTGAGCACACTAGTTTTGTAATCCTCTGTCGGGTTCAGGACGGTTGCGACAGCGTCGTCTGGGTTGATTAGGAGAGTCTGACAAGCTGGACACAGACGTTCACCGGGTATAGGACGCGACCGACTGAGGGCATCTGCACATTTCAGACAGAAAATATGTCTGTTGGAGTAAGTATATTGGGATTCCTCGGGGTAGTAGGCAACTGTTCTTGTAGATTATGAAAGACTTACGAGCAGGTAGTGACGACTGCCCTCTCCTTCAGCTGAGATCGACACTTCAGGGAGTTGCATCGCAAGAAGAAATCCATATTGAAATGCTTGATTGAGAACGTACGAGGATTGCTGCAGGGCCCTCAGGGATGTTGGTGAAAGTAAAAGGTGCCCCGTTTGGGCGAAGCCGCTGGTCAGGAGACCACCATAACCTCAACTATATGGGCCGGGGAAAGAAAGGTGAAATAGGGACAGAGGGATTGTACCTAACGGCCTGCCTAGGGACTGTCATTGTTTTCGCTCGATTAATATATAATATAGGCCATATAATTCTCTCAGAAACCCTCCGATCTTATATATTAGATTAGAAAAAGAACGTATTTCCAGCCGCATCGCGCTTTGTACAACGCATCTTTTCCTCAAACTCCGGACCAGGTTCGTATTCCCGCCACAAACTGGCGGGAAAGATATGTTTGTTCCGCTCATACCAACGTCTATCCACTACCTTGGTCAGTGTGGGGTCTTTATCAGCTCCCTCGAGCCCATTGTGGCTTTGTGTTGACAAAGGGTTGTCCGTAACACTGGCTGGGGGAGGTTTGTTGGTGTAGTCAAACAGTAATCCGCCGGTACGAGAGAAGCTAGGTACACGATTGGCAATAAAATAGTAAAGCTCGTAATGCTAAATGAAAGTCTATTAGTGTACGAGTAAGAGGATACTCTGGGGCATAAAGCACTTACATGTGGGATGATTATCTCCCCCTTCACAAGCATCAAGTCATCAACACTAACCCGAGCCCATTCACGGCGATTATCTCTACGCCCTTTGGTCGCTCCGCTGTTACCACCGACTCCCAATTCGGCACCCACTTTACGACATCGATCGAGAAACAGCCATACATGGTCCCCTTTTTTGACCTTGACGGTTCCTGCCGGTATATTTGTTCCATCATAAAAGATAAACGGGATCAGAATTTCAGTGTTCTTGACGGCGTCCTGCATCGCCAAGAATTCCTTGCGTAGCGCGTCTCGAGCCTCTGCTTCCGCCTTTATCGTTGCTTTGGTCATTGCTTTCGGAGGGGGCGGTGCATTGGGGTTTGGCGTAATTCGACGAGAAGACGGTAAAGAACCGTCATCTACAAGCGTCTTTGAAGCAGATCGCGCGATACTTAACTCGCCCGCAGTGGCGGTGGAATCGTTCCCAGTATCGTCATCTTCCTCATCATTTCCAAAGGACAGTTTGCTCTTAACAACTGGCTTCTTCTTTTTCTTCTTCTTTGGAGGCCCCTCGCTTTGTGGCGTCGAGGTACTAAGTTGTACGATTAGCGACACAATGAAGACCGGAAAACTGCGCCACGACTCACCCGTCAGTTACGTCGCTTGCTGAAGGGGTAACGCCTCTTGAGTTACCAGATGTAAGCCTCCCCAGAGACTTATCATGTGCCTCTCTTTCTTTCTGCTCTAAAACCTCCGCGCGACGTTTGCGAAAGTCGGAGAGATGAACCAGACCAACCGTCTGCGATTTTAGTAGGTCCTCTGCAGAGACAGTCTGACCAGTAAAGGATCGTGGTGTTGAGCTGTGGCTATCATTTTCTGAAGATGTCATTTTGTTGGAATTCTATGGCTTAGTCAATGAAGAGTTGCGTATCGCAAGTGCAGCTCACATGAAGAGCCATTGATGGACGTGGCACGTGACTTCGAAGAGCATTGGAGAACAAAAACTTGAGAGCGGAGGTTCCCCAAAAAAAAAAAAAGATCCTTCACCGGGTAATATAAATAATATAAATCGCAACACTTTGAAGTCTTTATATTTATTCACATACATGGAATTGCGTACTGTTCGCTTCAAAATGGTATCGCGTAGGCCAGAGACCTTCTATGAACAAACAAGCCAAACTTCCCGGCCCTTGATGCGACCTCCGCAGGATCCCATAAAAGTATTTCTTTGTGTTTTCACCTCAGTTGTATCCATCCCGAGAATCAAACATCATGGAAGAAGAGGACGACGATTTTTATGATCCTGCTGACGCAGTGCCTGTCGCGAATCCTCAAAATCCCCCAACGAATGCCACACCCCAGCAGTCAAAAGATACCGAGGAGGAAGAAATTGAAGTTGAAGAAGATGAAGTACGTCCACCATGCCTTGCTTACTTGATACGTACTAAGATCGTATCTTTTTCAGGACGAATTTAACATCATCACGGAGGCTGCCCCTGACGCTCCACCCCCGGAACTGTGAGTCGACATGCCAACAGCTCAATTTGAGAGCTCCGTCTAACGCTTGGACAGCCCACATCCCCGTCATGCCAGCCTACGATCTGAGGCTCAGCGACCCTCATCCGCAGACTCTGCCAAATCTGCTACGCCTACGGTGACTCCAAAGGTGGAATCAGTAACGCCTGTGCCTGTCAGCGCAAGACCCGCCGTGCCACAAAAGCCGGGGTCTGAATACCCCCCTGTCCACGCGTCAACAATTGATGTGAACGCAAACCCGACTCATCCCACTACTGGAAAGCCCATACTTTCGACGGATATGGATACGGATTTCCCCGAGGATGACAAGCCTTGGCGACGGCCGGGGTCGGATATTTCAGACTATTTCAATTACGGATTTGATGAATTCACCTGGGCTAGCTACGTATTAAAGCAACAGGAGCTTCGGCAGGAGGTCGGGGACCAGAAAAAACAACTGGACGATATGCAGACCTTCTTAACTATGGGACTTCCGCCGATGCCTGGGGGCCCTCAACCAGGAGGACAAGGAGCCGGCCCCGGAAGTGCGCCACCGCCGATGCCAGGCATGCCGGGCATGCCAGATATGTCTCCGGAAATGATGCAAGGTATGCTAGGCAGTATGATGGCACAAGGTCTGGATCCCTCATCTATGGATCCTATGTCATTCATGCAGCATGCTCAGGCTATGATGGGCGGACAATCCGGCGCGGGCGGCGGACAACAAGCTCAACCGGGATTTGGTGGACAAGGAGGTCAGCCTCAAATGGGATTTGGAGGTGGTTATGGCGGAGGGCGAGGGCGAGGTCGAAGATGGTAGAGGGATATGGGATCATGTTTCTGTCACGTTATAATCATTATAATGCCCTGGGTTACATTCTAGGATGTGCATTGGCTGCGTAAATTAATGTACGCCATCAGCAAAATCAAATACTTAGTCGATTGTTTTGATCACGTTCTGATTTTTAATTGCTCGGAGGAAAGGAGCTAGTTTGGAGCTTGATGGCACTCATGGCGTAGAACTACTCGCCGTTGTGCTTTAGTTGCCCATGACTATTCAGAAAAGTCTTCGAATTTAACGGTGAGCCGAGATTATCGTATCGATTTGAAGGCTTTTGAATGCAAATACAAATCCCGCGGACTAGAACTACTGCGCATCCAATACCCTCGGCAGTGGTGGAAGTTATCGGATGGTCTTGGCATTCTGGAAATTTCTCGCGGGTGGCCGAGCCCAGATCTTCTTCTTCCCCGGTCGTCCTTTTCTTCCTTTCGCTCTCCAGACCTCCATCCTTCTTTCTTCTGCCTCCTCCACTTGATTCTACGTCGATCCTCGTTCTTAGCCTTCCCGTCAAAATGGTACGTGATAATTTCCTATGCGCACGCACGAGTTTTAGTAGCTTTCGTTGGAATTTTTCATTTTTTGCTGTCTTCGTTCCTCCTTGAAAGATCAACCTTCCATTGGCAATCCAACAATGTCTTTCAGAGCAAGCTTTTAGCGTAATTGCTAATACTTTTTGTCGCTTAGTCTTTCCTTCGTAACATCAAGAACCTCACCCCTCTTATGGACCGCGTCCTGGTCCAGCGCTTCAAGCCCGAGACCAAGACTGCTTCGGGTATCTTCCTTCCTGAGAGCAGCGTCAAGGAGCAGAACGAGGCTCAAGTCCTCGCCGTTGGCCCCGGTGCCCTTGACAAGAACGGTCAGCGCCTTCCTATGGGTGTTGCTCCCGGTGACCGTGTCTTAATCCCTCAGGTATGTTGGCTGGTGTTATAGACCATGGGTTCGATGGCATGGATTCGGAGCATAGAGTCTCTGGTGTGTGAGCTGAATCTAACGAAGACTTTGTGACAGTTTGGTGGCAGCTCCATCAAGGTTGGTGAGGATGAGTACACCCTCTTCCGGGACTCTGAGTATGTTTCCTCATGTTTCTTCAGATCTTAGTCGCACCCGAAGCTGTCCACTAATATCTAAATAGGATCCTCGCCAAGATCAGGGAGTAAAGGAGTTCGAAATGAAATGACCTCCGCTTTGTCTTTCCTTCGGTCCTGGAATGAGTCTGTTCCAGTCGAAGATTTGTATTATACCATACAATTGAGCTTCCGTCACGCCCCCCGACAAAACTTAAAAATCGCCACAAAACAGAAATCCTAACGAGATCTTGGATGGAATCTGTTTCCGTTCTTGTGTTCTTGGACTAATATTTCCTTTGCATCTATCGTCTAAAGCGTGAAATAACTATTTGTTGCATTTTATTGGATGCATGTACCTTAAATCTAGCAATCACCATCTCATACGCAGGCTGCGGGATGATATGAGTATTCAGATATGATAATCTCCACTCTGTCTCTGTGTCTTATAACTGCCTAGTTTCAGCAGGTCTCGTACAGTATATCTAACCCTCATCTCACTATTGGTGCTGCAATGGGCAATGCATTTTTACATCGACCGATGCTACATCATTGCGGCAGATTTAAAATCCAATGCCCAGTCACACTACCAATCTCTCTCCACAACTGCACTGATTCTCTCTATCGCCCTCTCACCTAATAATTTTCCGAAGAGCTCTCGACGATATTCAGGAGACATCTCAATGAACCTGGAGAGCATCCCAGTCCTTTCCTCGGGAAGGCCAAGTGCTTCAGATTGGCCTTTTGTGTTCTTTCCTTGCCCTTCGTTCTTTAAGATAATAAGGACAGCCTGTGCAGCGAACGGGTTTAACCCTGCGCGCCTAAGAAATATTTCCCAGGTTGTCTCTTTCTCCATAGGAGGATTACTAACCATAACCTGTGGTTTTGGGTTCCTTGGTAAAAATAAAATGTGTCGCGGGACTTCAGCAGCCACATTGGGTAATTCGAAAGCATGTTTATGCGTCAGTGAAAGGACCCATCCTGCAAGGGCTTCTGGAGAGGTAGGAACCAAGAACGGGATAATAGTCGAGCATGAGCTCAAAGAATTGCAGAAAGCGATCAACGAAATCAAAGAGGCTCGCGTGTTTTGGTCTACCACCCACGCAGGTTTCCTACCATGGGCACTTTGACCGGGGCTTGTACCGTGGGAGATGAATAGATAGAGACACTCGTAGCGTGGAGCGAGCAGGAGGATCTGTTCCCTGAGCGGCGAGTTTATGAATTTGAGGTCGCCTTTCTGCGTTCTCCTTGGAGTATGACCTGGTAAATATAACTGGGAAATCGTTTGGGACGTTGTCAAGAGAATCCCCGTAGACGGTGAAATGATAAAATCTGCCTCTTTTGGCAGAAATTGGCTGTTATCCAGCTGGGTTGTACTCCTGAAGGCCCCCAAACCCCTAATCGTGTTTCCATAGTCCCTATAAATCACCGTAGGTGCATTATTCGCCTTTTCGATGCATTGAATGAGACGGAAGTGATTCTTCAAGAGTGCAGTTGAAATGAAGAGGAAAGAGCGTCGGCCACTTTGGCTTTGGAGCTGAGGAAATTGTTTTCCTATAAATGTTGATGTGTCATCAATATTCCCAAGTTCTTCCGTATTGCTTTGCTCTTTGACAATGTCATCTTTTGACTGGCTGCCCGCAAAAGAAGGACTTTTTGCAACATGACGCCGGTTCATGATCCTCCCCCTGGTTTCCATGAAAGATGATAGTGATCCGAGAGAGGCTTGCAGTGGCAACGAAGATATGGAGGTACTTTTCTCTTTCCTAGAAGATAGTGCACTTTGTTGAGTAGATTTCTTTCTTTTATGTGAAGTTTCCTCACTAGTGTCCCTCTTTCTGTTTTGTGGCAGAGCTTGTTCGTTGCCCAAGGGTGACAGGCGTACCGAGAGAATGTCTGTATCCCCTAGATGCTTGTTTTTTCACCGATGAATGAAGCATTCATTGAAGATTCCTCGCAAGCATCTAACTGCATTACTGAATGGCTCTGTGTTCGGATATCCAGCGATCCAACTGGACATAAAAAGCCCGCATCATTATAATGAGCTCTTCTACCATTGTCACAATAGTTGAATGGTGCTTGAGGCTGTGTGAGAGAATTTGTTGTGGGTGATTCAACAATACTCGTAGGGGTGCGTTCATTGAAGTGTAATGAGGAACAAATGCTAGATGAAACACTGGTAACATCCTGAATAAAATTCTTTGGACCATTGACTGCTCTTGTCAGCTCAGTCGTGGAGCAATGAACAAGAGGTAACTCAAGTCCAGGTTGATTTATTTCTTCAAGTCCGGGTTTAATCGGGTCTAGTTTCAAATTTCTCGTGGCATCGGAGGGACTTGATATCCAGCTATCGTGGAGACAAGTGCTATGGGAATGTGAATGGTCTAGACACTGTATACTATCCCCGCCGACCGGTTTCTCAAATCTCATAAATGACTCTGGCGAGACGGGGCTAGGTAGCATCTGCGATTTTGCATCCGACGATGGGCTCCTGCGGTATGTATCGTGGACACTGGACAGAATGAGAGGTGGAGGTTCAGGGAAAATAAGATCATCCTACATACATGGGGAGATATTTAGTGGATTTTTCATCATAGCATCAATATTAGCTTACCTGGCCGAGCCTTGTTTCACTTGAGAAAAGTTCTTCCAACTCGTAAGCCGACGGTGGACTACATTGTGCGGCATTCTGTATTAACACCAAGGAGTCTTTAGTGCAGCTGAGCTTCTCTGCCTTTATTTCTTCCATGGCTTGATTTGAGTTGCTCAGGAAGTGACTCTGGGGTTTGTCTTCCGTAGAGACCTCTAAAGGCTGTAGGTCGATGTCACTTTCGCTGTAGATTAAGGGACTCCGAGAAAGTAGCATGTCTGTATCATGGACTGCTGATAATATAGGTGTTTCCAGCCTGAGATTGTCAACATGGTCGAAATCTGGCAAGCAGTCATCCCATTTGATCTCCCCCTTTTCAGCTTGGATGATAGATGATAAGAAACGGACACCTCCTTTCCTAATATTAAGCTTTTCTTTGAAAATATTCTGCTCGGGGGAGTGTTGAATTCCCTGGAACTGTCTGTCAACAACACTGTGTTTCAGCTCGGGAATAGGAATCTCGCAACTCTCGTCGATATAGCTTTGGGGGTCGACTGCCGTGAAATTGTTAGCGATCCCGAAAAACCGAGCATATTCCAACAGACAATGGTTCTGGGGGTTCTCCATTAAGATGTGGGTATCGGTTGCAGCATGCCCAAGAGATAATAGGTATAGTTAGTGTCAAAATAGCAACAAACGACATGGTCCTAGTAATATTCAATTCCGTAGTAGTGTTCAGTCCAACCTAAATGCACGTGCACTACTTCCCTGGGCAATTAAACATTTCGAGACAAAAGATAGATCTATCAACATTGCGGACGAACGAAACCCTTCCGGTCTTCGTTATTGCCCACTATAATCGATAGGTACTCACCTATCGCATAAGAAGTAATAGCTTAAAATAAATTAATCCTATCTTTATTCAGGGGTTTGGAGTCTGTACACCTGTTCAGACATAGCTGACTCGCAATTGTTTAAAGCTGTCCATTACATCGAGCTCGGATATCTAAAGCAAAATATATATTTACAGACTTGAACGTCCAACAGCTCCTCGTATATGTCCATACGGTAAATAAATATACAAGATGAAAAATGCAAGAAAAAAGGATAAGTTAGGAATCTCTCTAAGTAGAAGGTTAAGATAAATATAAAAATCAAATATCAAATTTCTCCCCGACTGGGAGTCGAACCCAGGTCTCCCGCGCTTGTTCTCATATGAGTGACAAGCGGAAATCATGACCGTTAGACCATCGAGGAAGGAATTGAAGTATTGCTTGATGTACGCTAATATAAAACACTGTATTGAACTCATAACTATTTCAGAGTGCGATGAAAAAGAATTCCCCCCAGGTTGCTCCAACGCCAGCGTCGTATGTGTGTAAGAATAAAAAGATAGTGCTCCTAAATTCAATCATTATAGTTTGATTGGCGTGAGCCATCTTTGTTAACAGCTGGCAAGTTATAAAGTGCAATGTATTCTTCCTCCTGTGATTTTCCTGCCGGATCGAGGACAGGGCGCTCAGCATGGCAAGCTACCCGAACAGCGTGGCGACGGTGTGGAGCAAATCCATAAGAAGCGGAATGGTTCTGTTGAGAAATTGTTAGAACTTGAAGAGTCTCTTCGTTGAACCCCAGGAATTGTTACATACCGTAGTTCGATTATCCCAAATAGCCACATCATTTTCCCCCCACTGGAAGCGAGCATGAATCTCCTGCGTTGTTGCAATAACCTCGGTGAGGTATCTGATAATAGCATCACTCTCAGTCTTGGGAATCCCAACTATCTTCGTCACAAATCCAGGGTTGAAAAATAGGCTATTCCAGCCTGTAACAGGATTAGTCCGAATCAAAGGATGCTCTGTGGTGACTGGCTCGCGGCGCACAGCCCGCCCAGCAGCCCGTGTGTCGGATGCCTGCATATCTGCTGAATGGAGAGCAGTTAAGCCCTTTAGGTACGTCTGCATATACGGCGAAAGGGCATCATACGCCGCATATTGAGATGTCCAGAGGGTGTCACCACCTCCTCCCCGAGGAGGTCCCGTCAGAAGCTTCAACGAGGTGTAAGAAGGTGGTTGGACTTCGTAGGTCACCTTAGTTAAGCAGTTAACTCAAATGTACCACAAAGGTTGGGGTAGTCCTCATACATCAGAGTGCCAAAGAAAGCTGGGCGTAAACATTGCTCGTTGGTCAGTGGAGTTGTCCCCAGAGAAAATGACATGGACGTCCTCCAAGCCACCCTTCTTCGGGACAGCGGTTGTTGCATGCTAAAGGTCATTAGATGCAAGTCATTGCTGACAATCGAATGGAAGAATTCCCGTACCCTGTGCAACTTTCCGAAATGTTTCCCCAGCTCACGTTGAGCTTCAATGTCGAAATCCCCCTGGTTCCTAAACATAACGACCCCGCGGACGGCAACAAGTCGAGCTAAGTCGTTCTTTTGTGCATCTGTTAGCTTGGAGAGATTGACCCCAAGGACCTCTGTTCCGATCTTTGGCGTGTAGTCGAATATATCAGTCGCATCCTGCAATAGGTTACGAAATTTGGTATCGCCCTGGAGGCCCTTATCTTCGTATGGGGTTTCTTCTATAGGGCCCCAGTGGACATTGGGAAATGACGGTAGTAGATCATCATAGGGATAGTAACCGTGGTGTTCAATGGTAGTGCGTCCTGGCCGGTACTGAAACTTGTTGTCGCTCTTGTTGGCAGTCTCTTTTTTGGAGAGGGCAATCGGGTTGGGTGCTAGGACTGGATCCTGTAGTAAAGGTGCCATGTTGGGTTTGGATGTGCAGAAAGCCAGTGTCTTTTTCCCGTCAAAGTTCTTGAATAGAGTGAAATGGTAGTCTTGCTCGACGGCTATTTGTAGTGTGCTTCTATTATTTATGTATAAGTTATTAGTACCCTGACAGCTGAGCAAAATATATACACCACTTCCCAAAACTCGGAGGCCACAGAGATGGCACCATCGCTGGTGAAAATCACCTAACCGATAGTTAAAATGGCACTACAAGGAGTCCTAGTATAAGGAAGTTATCTATGGTTTGTAAGCTTCTATTGAGAGCCCCCAGAAGCGGTGAATCGATCACGTCATGTACTCGTTGCATGTTGGAATGTTGGTGTGGGGCGGTCCTAGGAAATTGAGTCATCTTTAAAGGTTCTCAGTTCTATGTCAATAATTCTTGATAAAGTGTCAAAGAAGCAACAAGATGGTCATGACAGGAGGGTGAGAATATTGTGGTCGACATAGTGGTTGATTGCGCTGGGATATTCCCCGTCGACAGGCTGGTATCTGTGAGAGCTTCTGATATTGCCTGGATTTGTAAGATTGGACAGCCTCAATATCAGCTGGCTGATAGACGGATTATCATGGATATCCCGTTTTTCATTATGGATCGGCCCCCAGTAGCCACCAAATACTACTCTTTGGTATGGGGCAGTATCTCGGAAATCTAAGGGTCAGTACATTGGAGAATGGAGCGCCAATGTGGGGAAAGCGGTGGATAAAAATGAACTGCGGATGATCACGCAAGGCGGCTAACTTTTGCCTTTGGCTAAGTCTATAACGAAGTTCATAGTTTACTGTACATAATAGTCGAAGATGGAGTCGCTCATTGCTTTCATTGCTAAATCATAGTTGCGGATTTTTGCAAAGGCCCTTAGCTGGATACTGTGCAAGACAGTAAGTAGATTGCGCAGAAGAGATATATTCCCCAAGACTTGACCATCGCACAGTATTTTTGGCTAAACTAAAAAATAAAACGCCTAACCTTCATCATGCTAAATCACGTAAAATATCCATCTTCCCTTTAACCATGCACACGTAAGGGGGAAGAATTGTCATAATATACAGACAAACAAGTCGGCACGCTGGAAATAAATTAAGTTTTATAGACCAAACCTCCCTTCCCCGATTGATGGCGGGCCCATAATTACCTCTTGAGCTTGTTCAGTTACTTCCCCAAGGCGACTAGCAACACCTAGAATGCCAGTCTCCACATCTCCGAGGACAGCGGCAAGGTCATTAAGAATTGTCCTGGGCGTTCCCACAGCCGTGCTATCACGACTGCGCGAGGTCACAAATTCATGGATCTGTCGCTCTAAGGTTGATTCCACACCATGTAGATGGTCTTCGATTTCCTTCAAGTTCCGAGTGTACTGTTCAAGGACAGTGCCCATTTCGTCAGAGCGCTGAGAGAAATAATCCACAAGATTGACTGGTACACCATTGACAGTGGTAGTAGTAGATGGATCACTCTCGACATCATCAGGAAGGGCCAAGGTATTCTTACGGGTCGACCGCAACGATTGTCGGTCTGACACCTTCTGGTCCTGGGCTGACCACCATACAGGCCCTCCAGCTGACTGGTACTGCAATGGCAGTTTCAGAGTATCAATCGCGCGGAAAGCGACTTGTGCTTCCGCTGCATCCCGTGCCACAAGGCTACGCAATTGATCGATATCGTGAGCATCATTTTCCAGAGCGTGCTGCATTGTCTCTAGTTTCCCCTGTACAAACTCCACATCGTTCGGAATGGTTTCGCCTTGCACCGCAATGCTGGGAATAATGTTCGCGACCTCATTGCACATCTGTATTTGAGCGAGAACTGCCGAGTCGAAGCGCTCCAGCTCTGCTTTGATTTCATCGGCGCAGCTCTCAAATTTCGTCGTCGGTAAGAGGTTACTGACATCCACTTTGACCCCAGGGACCATGGTACTCGTTGACGCGGTGGACTGTGCCGGTTGTTGAGTTGTGGTGCTCTGATTTCCAAAAAGGGACAAGGTAGGTTTCTGGGGCTGCTGTTGTTGCTGCTGCTGGTTGTTTAGAATGGACCCGCCTCTGCACCAAAGTCAGTGTTATGCGCAAAAATTTCGTAACGTGAAGGGCTACTCACAAGAGACCGCCCCCAGTGGTTGTAGAGCTTCCTAGACCGCCAAACAGTGACTTGGTCTGGGGTTGCGTGGTGTTACTTGCACCTGCAGTGCCGCCGAAAATACTACCGGTCTGTTGTTGAGCGGATGAAGCTGCTGTAGCGTTCCCTAATAGGCCCCCGCCTGCTGTGTTATTCTGCTGTTGCCCGCCTAGGCCTCCAAACATGTTTGATTCAGCTTGAGTCTGTTGGGCAGTTCCACCACCCGAGTTCCCAAAAAGACTACCCGCTGGCTTTGGCTGTGCCGCTGAATTGCCCAGATGCGCGAAGAGACTAGCTGTTGCCCCTTGTGGTGTTGACGAAGTACCTGTTTGGGTTTGCGTATTGGTACCGCCACTAGTTAAGATAATTATTGATTAGCTTGTCTCTATGCCGTCAATTTGCATAAATTGCCAATTAAACCAAGGAGGCCAAAAGAATAAAGAACATGGTTGTTTAGGGGGAACAAGGAGAATAGGTAAGAAAGGATTGCAGTGTTCGTGCAATATGTGGCAAGCGCTAGGCATATATGAAACCACTGCAAGATAATAGAATAGAAGAAACACGCAAGGCCAGAAGGTTTTGAAAGAAATGCCCTTACAGGATTGGATTCGCGGAATTGGTGTTTAAGGATAAGCCGCCTGAAGGTTTTGCGGAAAACATTCTGAATGCTGGTGGAATGCGGTCGTCCAATTCAAGGGGTGTGGGTGAGCAAAGAACCGCAGGGAAATCGCAAGACTCGAATGAGACCTACAAAGACGCGCCTGCTGGGAGATACCAGGTAATAAATGATAGAAATGTTCAACCCAGCCAGCTTGATGGAAAGCTGGTTGATCGGTTCGCTGCAGACACTTAGCTAGCTTCGGGCTAGGATTAGATAGGGAAAGATTCACCGGCCTCCGATGTTCAGCCACCATCCCGATCTAATTAAGGCAACTTTGAACAAACCTCATCCCGTTCTTGGTTGTGGTAAAACTGTATTGTTGACTGAAACCAACCATGTACGTTGCTTGCAGGTACCATCTGGATTCACACTGATATTGCCTTGCGTCGGTGAATTCGCACTGTGTGGGAATCACGGTCTCTGCAAGATAGAATTGGGGAATACTATCTGACGGTTTTACTGCTTTCAGTCTCCCCCTTTGCTAGGCTCTACCATCTGGCTCCTAGCCTAGTCGCGTGAAGATAGTCGTATGCTTAACTGGTTTACGGGGCTTTGGCAAAATTGGAGCATATTTGATATTATTTGAAACGTCTTCTGGATTGCTTTATGTTATCTATTGCTTCAATAATCCAGAGGCTATACATAAGCACTTCCTTTTATACCATACTTAGACAGCGTCTGAAATTATTATACCAGCTGTGCTAACAGCACAATGTCTCAAGAGAGAACTTCCAGCTTGGCGCCTATATGTGTGGCTGCGACACATGATGAAAATGCCTCCAAAAAAGAGTCAGGAGAACACAAACCATGCTATTCTAGTTCCAACTACGTGAAAGGTGTAGAATGGTATGGCTGTATAGGATCTTTCTTTTTTTCCGTTACATGGCTTACTTTTATACAGGTCCCCGGATGGTACCACGGTCCTGACAGATTCAGCAGATCATAATATAAGAACATATATATTGTTGGTTATCATGTGTAGACTGTCTGGACTCCAGCTCACCGTGATTTCACAGGCCGCCCGATCTTTTAGAGGAGAAGCCGTCACCGCATCAGCTGTCTCCTTACTCTGTTCTACCTTCCACAGAGCCAACTTATGCTAGCGCGATCTACCCTTTCTATTCCCTTCAAGATCCGTCTACCACGCTATTTCTCTCGTCAGTTCGAGACCATCCGATCAGGCTTGCATCTGCTCTAGCGCCTTCCACATTGGCTACCTACTCTTTGATCCATCCGACAACTGAAGCATTTATAACTCCACATTCCTTAATCTATCCTTCTGCACTGGGAGGCACACATTTCCTAACAGGTTCAGATAGCCTTATATGCCTCTTTGATGTGTCTCGTCCTGGCACAGATGGGCCGGTGGCGTGGATGCCCACCATACCTAGTAAACGTAAACAAGCGGTAGGTGGTGGAATTGGGATGAAAGGTATCATTTCAGCAATGGCCGTCAGCCCTGATGGTGATGGTGTGTTGGCTGCTGGTACTTTCTCTAGGCACGTTGGACTCTATGATTCGAACGGAACTGGTCAATCTCTGGGCACATTTAGCATTGCAAGGACCGAAGCGGACCGCTATATTGGTGGCCGAGGAGTTACTCAACTTGTTTGGAGCCCTTGTGGGAGATATCTTTACATCGCAGAAAGGAAGAGTGACGGGGTTTTAATATACGACATTCGAGTCACGGGACAGTTGCTTGGCTGGCTTGAAGGCCGTAATGCCATCACTAATCAGCGAATGAAAATTGACATAGTGCCAACTCGACAGGGCGAATCACATGAAATCTGGGCTGGAGGAACTGATGGATATATGAGACTGTGGAGAGATCCAGTGTCCTCTGCTGGACCGCGAAAGCCAGCTTGGGAATGGAAGGTTCATGATGGTGAGCAGCAACTATCCATAAATATAGAAGCCAAGTATGCTTATACTCTATAGATTCGGTCAGCAGCACTGTGCTACATCCATTGGGGAGTATTGTTGCCACAGCATCCGGGCAGAGACATTATTTAGATGATGCAGTTGGTGACAAAGAGCTTTCCCCTTGTTTTGATAATAGCTTAAGGATTTGGTCCATGCCATTTTTGGACTGCAACTTCGAAGGATGACATCAAAATAAAAGCTTGACCAAGGCGGTATCTACCAACTGCCGAGAAGATTCTCAGGCCCGTCTAAAAATTTCGTCGTGTGGTATCCACTAATAGCTGAATACGACCATAGGGATGTACAGGTTCAAGTAGCCAAAGATTGGAACCACCAGCTTTGGGGGGTTCGATCGGCTATAATATGCCGTTGCATAGCCTTCCTAATGTCAAAAATAACGCACAATATCAAGATCCCTGCAGGCCCTTTGTCTTCAGAGTATGACCAATCCGTGGAACAATCCGATTGTTTCCTATTCTGGAGCTATTGACATTAAACATCGCGTCTGACGCGCAGCCACCAGTTAAAGATGCCAACGCTGATTGGTGCGACGAGCAGAACAATAAACATGAGCCTCATCTCCCCTGGCCACAATGTGCATGATTTTACTGGCGCTAGTTGTAGAAGAGGTACTAAAAAAGGCACTAGCAACTATCCAAACAATATGCTACTTCTGGCATGCACCCTATTCTCTTGCACCCAACAGTCCACTAAGCGAGGGAATTCACACTCTGTGAATGGCTGTTTCTGCTTATTTTGGAGTTGTTGATGAATGATGCTGTTATTCATGTTTTGTTGTATTCATTTCGCCGGACAATAGAGCTGGCATTTCTATTCTTCAAGTTCTTCACAGTCCATGGGCTTTATTATTGTCTCTCTTTTCTTCTCCAGAGTATCCCCAAACATAATTTTCTTCATTTTTTTAAGTGCTTTGCCTAGGTTAACTATCTTCTGACTGTTAAACTGCCTTTGCTGCCTTTACTGCTGGTTCTCTTTGGCCGTGAAATAGTCTCATCTTTTTCTAAGCCTCGTTTTGGTGATTCTGCATACTTAAGGACTTTCTGGTGTTTTCACCATTTGCAAAGATGTCTGGATATGATGAGTGGAATGTTGCTTATGAATGGAGCTCTCTGTCACAGCTGGATCAGGCTCACGCATCTGTTCCTGATATTGGACCCGACCAGAACAGTTTCCTCCTAAATAGCGAATTGTGAGATTTCCCTTAGCAATCCAATAACCTTAGAGCTCTAACTGACATAGCATGATAGTAGCAACTGGACTGCCGATGGAGGCCATCTGAATGGAGCACGGGTTGGAGGTAATGCGCAAGCTCCGCAGAATAACATTGTGAATTATGTTCAGGGCCACGGCCTGAGCATTGGACCAAACAAAGAGCAGTATAGTACCTACTTTGATGCATTTATTGAAAAATACTGATTGTTTGATGTTTAGACTTGGTGCCTCTCTGTCTGATGTCGAGATGGTACCCAGCCCTCCTTATTTTGCACACGAAAACTCCACTGACGATGGATTTCTTGCATCTCAGTATGTTGGCTCGTCAACATTTGATAAGAAAACTCATGAGCTGATATGCTATACTCAAGCAGTTCCTTTTCTCATGAAAGAGATAACACTGAACATGCACTTGCATCGCCGACCGATAGTTTTGTGCCAGAGCCTACACCGTCCATGAACGAGAATAATTCTACGTCTTTGGTTCCAGATTTGGTTGACCTAATGGACTCTGCTGTGTCAAATCCATTTCATAATACTACGCTTTTCCGGTCTCATGAGGACGCCCGTGCTTTTTATCAGCCCAGTGAGCCACTTCCTTATGACCCAACTATTCCTCGCGCACAGGAGCAAAAGCAGGTTGTTGTGAGAGAGATGTGCAAAGCTATGCTCAGCGTCGATCATGCAACAGATAATGAGGGAATGATTCTACCATTCAAGAACGGCAAATACTCTGACGAGCGAGTCGAGGCCTGCTGCTGGCAGACTTTGGTAGGAATACCAAAGAAAGTGACGCTACTACCCACTTTGCTAATAATGCTTCTAGGAAACCGTTATTTTGCGTCAAACTACTGGTCCGCTTCTAGCGGCGTTCGAGCCCAAGGGAAAGATTCACGATGAGCCCGGCACTTTTGCTGAACGAATGACTCGCATCATCGAATGTCTTTATAGACATAAGACCGTCTGCAAGCATATCTTAGACCCTCTTTATTTGTACAACTTAGTCGACAATCCAGTAGCAGCTGAGAGGCGTGTCGAGAGCAACAAGCTCCTGAACAAACGCAAAGGACACATAATGACGGCAGGAAAAGAGGCTCTTCGAATTGGAAATCGTCGCCAGCCCCCAGCAGCCAAAAAGACCCGAAAAACCAATGCTCAGAAGGCTCCTAGAACCACTAGGAAGACAGTGTCAGCCGCAAGAAAGACAGCTGCCAGGAAGGCACCAAGGACAGGGACAGTGAACACATCCCAGAAGTCGACTAATTCAATCAAATCATCCCACTCGGACACCTCGGACTGCCCAAACGATAACACTGCGATGTTTACTCCCTCCAGCATAACTGAAACTATCCGCTCCGATACAGGCACTCACAGCAACGCAGTTGCACCTGCCGGCCATCTGAGTTCGTCCTCCTTGATTAACTCGCAGGCAATGTCCTACTACTCTCAGCCTATGGTGAGTGGAGAGTCGACATACAACGTCACTTCAAGCATGGCATACCCTGCTCGTCCTGATGGTCATCATGCATACATGTCCACCGTACAGCCCCATCGCGTGCCCGCGCCAATCTCCCATCCCATGCCTCCAGTGGATTTCATGGCTAACCCTGTCACTTCGTTTTTTTCTCCTAGCCCTGTGGCAAATATGCACGCTGTTCCAGCTGCCATGGGTGAAGGTGTAGGCAATTGCAACCAACATATGGTCCCTGCGTCTCCTGGGCAGATTCCAGTTCGTCGCGCAAGGGGTGGCGGGCGCAAACGCTCTACTGCTACAACAACAACTGACTCGGGGCATTCTTCTTTTATTGAAATGAGAAAGCGCTAGAGAAAGCGACCAACCTTGTTTACTTTCGGCAGTGACGGGTTCTAGAGCTGACGTTGCGCTTGGGGATCCTTTCTATGTGACTTTTCTCTTTTTTAAATTTGCTGCTTTCGTTTAATGCTTTTTCTTTTCCTTCTCTTCGATCTCGGTCATTTTCCCTTCGTGGCGTGGTCAGTAGGCAAAGCTTCCCTTGTCACAAAAGACACTAGTGGCTTAAAGACAGGGATATTTGCCGAATTACTCATCGTCTTCTATTTGCCTCTCCCCTCTTTTATTGATTATTTGCTTCGTTTGGTAACTTTGGGAGGAAGGAAATGGGAAGAGCTGAAGGGTCTACTACCATGCTTGATCTTCATCTGCCTTGGGGGCCACTTGACCTGGATAAGTGACCTAGATGGTTGGAAGTTCATATCTTAGGAGGAGGGATTTGGTTTTTTTTACATGGGTATCATGCCTTTTATTTCTCTTTCATGTACAATAGCAGATACTGCCATGGAGTACCGGTTTATGTTCTAACATCTGGGCAGAACTCCATCTCCGGCAGGTTGAATGCCATATCTTTCATAAGGGAAGTTCTCTAGCGTAGGAATATAATCACCCCATCCATCATGTAGCTCACCCGGTTTACCTGATCCCTTCATCCTCTCCGCGGACAACTCTTCCGCGTCCTTTTCGGGTGTAGACTTTTCCTCCTCTTTGTGCTCTCCCGTCAACCCTGCCAGTACTTCCGCCTCTCGGCCCTTATACGCTTCCAGCAGACCCGGATGCGGACACCAGACGACCCTCATCCCAGCTCTACGACCCGCCTCCACACCAGGGACCGCGTCCTCGAACACGAGGCACTCTTCCGGCTTGATCTCGACCTCCCCACGCTGGCGCAAATTCGCGTTGACGGTTTCCAGCGCAAGCAAGTAGATATCTGGTAAGGGTTTACCCCTTCCCTGACCAATTCGCTCGTCATCACCCAGTACGCGCTGAGATTCAGGGAACAGCGCGAAAAGATCCTGCAAATGGTCGGTCTTCAACTTGTAGTTACGGTAATGAGACGACGTGGCCAGAGCAATATGAACAGGCTGATCCGTGGTTTGAGTCGAAATCAATTTCGACAAGAGAGTCCTCACTCCGGGAAGAGGCTGAGAGTTCGGGAATTTTTCGGTCTGAAGGGTGGCCTGTCTGGCGGCATATTCCTCGCGAGTAATGGGAAGTTGAGCCCAGTGATGGAAGATTTTAGCGGCCTAATAGAGAGCGTATTTGATGTGTTAGGAGCGCCGGTTGATGTAGTACAGGTCATCGGGTTTCCCATTTCAAAGACGAGCTTTGCCAGGGGATTCACTGTCTGGTGCTGACGGTAGTACAATACCTCTGTCTGTGGTCGGCCCTGTAACTGCGCTTTGATTGACCATGGAAGCAAGGATTTGCCATTCTCTTGCAGAATCTGATTGGTGATCTCAGTGTAGATGTCCTCCGAGTCGATCAGGAGTCCGTCCATGTCGAAGAGACATGCCCGTATGCGGGGCAAACTGCGGGGAGTACAGATTTATTAGTGTTGATGGATTTTACGTTTCGAAGGGATTTGGAAACCTACCTCGAAGGGGTGAATGCCATGATTTCTTCAGGGAGTGTCCTCGATAGCGACAGGAATGGAAGCCCAAAAAGAGTTGACAACGCGGACGAATGGTTACTGACGAAGAGAAGGCGGGGAATGGTGCCTGAGGGAGAGGGGCCTATCAGTGTAGAGCCTAAGGTATTTTCCCCATCGGACCTGGTCGGTCGGCGGTCGGTCAATGTCCATCCCGACTCCGTGCCATCTCTCTCTCTTATTATCAAACATAACGAGACGCAATCATATACAAGGAGCATGGGCCGCTCCACAGTTACTCACAGTGATAGCGAGGAAGAGGTTTTCCACGATGCACGATTCCCCGCCAAGGAAGAAGCCGTGAGTGTTGAAGCAGCTCCTTCCGTGTCCAACCCCCGTTGCCATAGTGCTGATATGAATTATGAATCCCTGCAATAGCAACTTCTCAAGGAATCTAATTCCATCAAGGCTGAAGCAAATCAGTTATTTACAGCTGCCTGCTACGACCAGGCTATTTCCTGCTATGACCGTGCCCTAGCCTCATGCCCGAGCTACCTTGATTACGAAATTGCCGTTCTGCGGAGTAATATGTCGGCATGCTACCTAAAACTAGAAGATTGGAAGGCATCGGTGGACTCTGCGACCGCATGTATTGACTGCCTCGATAGAGTAATTCCACCATCGGCAGAAAGTGATACGGCCAGTACGAAAGACAAGCAACAGGACTCTGAATCAACCAATGCCGTGGTAGAGATCTCCGGTGATGACGACGAAGAGCAGAAGGAACTCCTACGCTTGCAGATTATGGATCAGAGAAAGCAGGATGTTATGCGGATACGAGCAAAGGCGCTAATGCGCCGTGCACGTGCGAAGTTACAGCTTGGTGGATGGGGAAACCTACAAGGTGCTGAAGAGGACTACAAACTGCTTGCTGGTATGGATAATCTTCCACCAGAAGATAAGCGCGTTGTTCAGAAGTCTCTTCTTGAGCTTCCTGTAAAGATTAACAAGGCGCGCGAGACTGAAATGGCGGAAATGATGGGCAAGCTCAAAGATGTGAGTTCCCATATGGTTGGGCTTGTTGGGCGCTCGATCAAGTGCTCTTGGATCAAGCTAACTAGGATCCCAGCTAGGAAATGGTATTCTCAAGCCATTTGGGTTGTCCACCGATAACTTCAAATTCACCCAAGATCCCAATACTGGGGGGTATAGTATGAATTTCCAATCCTGATATTAAGGCTGGAAGCTTTTTGTCGCTCCCATAATTGTGTATTCAGCAACCTTTGGTTTGAATAAAACGATTCTAAGGTACATTGGAAGCCATGGCTATTATGGTTAGTGACTGCACTTAGAGGTTCTTTGTGGATCTTCGCATCACCCCCTCGGTCCTCGATGTGGTATGCCTTTTTAATGTACCAGTCTAATCCAAAGTTATTCACAGTCCCTCGAATGTGCCTCCTAATATAGCAACATATTCACTATCTATTGATATCTGAATTGGCATTATAATTGCAACATGCCTATGAGGACTAATTTATTCAAAGTGGATCCAAAGTTTATACACTCACAAAGCATGGGTCTGTCAGCATGTATCTAGAGCTACGTACCTTGGTGCTCCTTTCTCGGAGTTGTAAGTCCGAGGAACCTGTCAATTAGAATACTGGAAAAGGTTAATAAATAGTACACATTTCTGGTTTTGAAAACGGTCCATAGGACATTCGCGCGATCTTCTAAGCCAAATCTAGGATAATTTCTTCATTGTGAAATATGTTGTTATTTATGTTGGCGTCAGATCTGCAGCCAAGGAAAATCGTTTAAATAATGAGGCGATGCCCCCATGCAGGGGAAGATTTACCCATGGAGCAAGCCATTGATGCAAGGCTTAATTTAACCATGGGATCCGTCTCCTCTATTACCAGTAATCTTATTCTGTTTCTTGTTTTAGGAATTCATCTTTTCTACAATTACGTACGGAGTGTATAAATATTTGCTAGCTGACTATTAGAATGATCGGGAACTGGTTATCATCTGCGTCTGGGCCTCTTTTAGTTGACGATTCGGGGCCCGCGGTATCCGAAAGATGATTCAACATTAACCATCGACAGGTTTTTTTCTTCCTCCACAATCTACCTACGCAGGACTGCTTTGGCGCCAATTTCAAAATATTTGGAAACTTTTACTTGGCACCGGAGAATTGACCCCTTTCTTCAGCATACTAGTTGTGGGAGCCGTTCCCACGTGACTTCATATTGGCTCACATTCCGCCAGTCTAGGGAGCCGTCCCGTTTCTCTAGGCTCCCTGTGATCATGGGGAAGCTCTGGCCTGGTCGTGGAGATGATGCAGAACCGCCCGTATTTCTTGAGTGGAGGTCATCAAAGCTTTTTATCACATTCGTGGTTGTATTTGCCGTCTTCACTGTATGCCACCAGATTGCTTGGCTCCCAAAGCGAGGTTACCAATAAGCCGTGATGCTAATGGATTCTAAAACAGGATATCTTGCTCTATGGACTAGTATGAGCCTGTATTCTGCAGCATGTTATACCCTAGCGACGGCTTGCTGATATTGGTGACAGATTGTTCCTGTAGCTCCCACGGCTTTGCGCGATCGAGTAGGTTTATCTGACAGCGAAGGTAAGTCACTATATTCTCTCCAAGTTGGCTTATCTTTATCTTTCTCAGCTAACAGGATCCATTAACTAGTACAGCGATGGACGTCCATATTATTGGCTTTATATGGAGCTTCTATGCTATCTGCTTCGCGTAAGGATCGCCCGTCCTTGAAGGTAGCGCAACACTTACTAACCGAGTACTGTGTCGCAGCTATGGCGGGCTACGTAACTGATCGAATCGAGTCCCGATGGTGGCCCCTTATGATTGGCCTGATTGCCTTGGCCGGTGCCACTGCTCTCCTCTGTGTCGGGACTAATATAGGCCTCTGGGTGGCCGGACGATTGCTCCAGGGAGCTTCTGCGGCCGTGGTGTGGACAGTAGGATGTGCCCTTTTAGTGGACTCAGTGGAAAAAGAAGAACTTGGTCAGTCTATGGGCTATATTGGTATGGGAATGACTCTTGGCATCATGGGAGGACCTCTTCTTGGAGGAGTCATCTATGAAAATGGAGGATATTATGCCGTCTTCGGGCTAGCATTTGGGTTGGTCGGACTGGACATCGTGTTCCGAATCGTCATGATCGAGAAGAAACATGCCGTCCGATGGCTCTCGCCTCTCCAGGAAAGAAAGGACAACGAATCACCTCAAGCGGCTCCTGGATGCGCGGACTCGGTTCAACCGTCACCTGCACCGCTCAAAAAGCGGCCTCTGGGAGCTTTATTTATCCTACTGGCTTCCGAGCGCATGCTGGTTTCCTTGTGGACTTATTTTATTGTTTCCATGGTCTTGACCTGCTTTGATAGCGTCCTGCCTCTCTATGTTGAGGAGACATTTGGCTGGGAGCAAACCGGCCAAGGGCTTATCTTCATTCCCTTGTCGATTCCTCATCTCCTTGATCCGTTAGTGGGATATATCATCGACACGTATGGGGAGTCCAGACGCTACCTTGCTTCAGGAGCACTCTTAGTCAGCGTTCCACTCCTTGTGGTCCTCCGATTCGTAACGCACGACTCCATGGGGCAAAAGGTACTGTTGTGTGCTCTCCTGGTGTTGATCGGACTTTGCAACGCAGTTTTGATACCGTCGATTATGGTGGAAGCTTCTTATGTAGTTCAGGCTAAGGAGGAACGGACCCCCGACATCTTTGGGAAAGGCGGTGCGATGGCCCTTGCTTATGGGCTTTTGAATTCGGCATTTTCTGCCGGTACTATCATTGGTCCTTTCTTTGCGGGATTTATTCGCCAAAGTGCGGGTTGGGGAACGATGGCGTGGGCGATAGCCATCCTTACGGGGGTGTCGACAATCCCGACCTTGCTTTGCCTGGGCGGGTTTTGGTTCAAAAGAAAGAATAATACTGATGGCTGACGAGCTGCGATATCTACGTCTCCATTAGTCCTAGTTAGATTATTATTATTGCTAGTGTCTAATACTAATGCATCCAACCCCTTCTCCACAATCTCCGAGACTCTCTTTCAGCCAAAACAAGCCCTGTGGAGATCCCGCAGGCTCCGCTGTCTGTACGCCTGACGGTTCCACAGTCTATAGACACGCACCTCAAGATCATACATATATACGTTTCTTCCTGTTTGTTTTGGTAGAAACGATATCCGCTTCATAAGGAGCATCCACCGTAAAACACGACAATATACAACTACAATAAGTGGGAAGGTATACTCATAAAATCCACGGAGTATAGGATCTCTGAAGAGAATGTGGATGATCTCGAGTCACAAAGGAAGCGCGGCATTAGCCTCGAAGATACGGCACCCACGGGAGAGTCATCAAAGCGTCGTTCCCAACAATGGGTAGATTTGCTGGTTCGCGCGTTCCTAAGACAACGAAAATCTAAAGCTAATGTTCGAGCATTGATAGCCACGATTTATATATCCTTTAATCGAGGTTGTCGTTGCCCTCATAGCTGTTAAGCCTTGCCCATGTTGTATACAGCCTTCAAGAGATTCTAGAGCTGAAGCCCCTGCTTCTCCTTCAGTATTCCGTGAATTCTAAGATAAATACTCATTTCCAAGTCTTCGTCTTCTACGCTCCCAAGCTCTTCAATTTCGATCTCCTCACTTTAATCAGGAAGAAACCCTAGAAGACAAAACTTCCTGAGCACCAGTAGTTGAAGTCCGTGTAGTCATCGCCCATGCTGCCTAGAGGTCTAACAGGTGGGAAGCATTGATCTACGGGTACGTTGGACAAGGGCACGTGTCTGTTCTGTAAGCTTAGTAGATCGAAAGAAACATAGCCCTCGTATTGATCGTAAATATGCGAGTTTCCGGAATTTCGTCAGTTTGGCATGAGAGCGCATCCTCACCGCTGCCCCTAAACCTGGCATAAGAAGGATTTCCACGTCCGGAATTATAACAGGATTGGTGTACTTCCAAAGATAAATTTGCCTGGCAAGTTGCACCATTGACGGTGAAACTTGTGGAATTCTCCCCCGGTGAATAATCATAGCCTTGAGTTATTCGCTTCTTAACCGAAGCGTTTTTGTATAAATCTTGTTTGGATTATTTGCACTTGAGGCCGGAGAAGCCGGTAATAAGCTCGGAAGACTGACGACGCTATCTGAGTGTCTTGGTTGTTCCAACCTCATCTTGCCATATGCATCGTTGAGTGGCTCCAGTTGCGGACTTCTTGCACTGGAGCCAGCACAGCTGCCTCTATTGAGGATGGCTTCTGGCGAAACGATTGGCGAAGATTCGGGAATGCTTTCAGGTGTCTCGAAGACGAAAAAAGCGTCTCGTTCCTCCCCAAGTTTCATTGTGTAATCTTGTTTGACGCCATTGACTCTGAACTTAGCACGGGTCATACTGTCAGAACGTGAGTTTGCGGATAAGAACGGGACCACAGTTTATTGTACCTTCATTTCGAATGGTTCGAGGGCGGAGAACTCCTCAAAGCGAATGTAGAAAGGGGAAACTGCAGCGATCCTGTCGCAGAATATCAATAGAAGTCTGGGAATTAAAGGTGCATCGTTCAGTTACTATCTTCCTGTTCAACAACAATGACACCGGCAGTGACAAATACAGTCCATCCATCTTCGTTCGCGTTGTTGGTACTGGCCCCCTTCCTAATCAGCAGCTATATCACCTGCTCGTGCCTATTCTCGTAGGGCAACAGAAGCGGTGTCTACCCTGTCCTGCTCATCTGGTTAACGTCCACTCCCTTATTTAGCAATAAGAACATAATGCCGTCATTTCCCTTCTCTGCTGCCCACGATAGCGGGGTCCGACCATCGTTGTCTTTAGATTCCACATCAGCACCCATATTCAGTAATAGAATCACTACTCCTTCATTTCTGGTCTTGGCAGCTTATGCGAGGAGGATCTGCCATTACTGTCTTTGGGATCTGCAGTGTGTTCCTTTATATGTAGTGTATTAATCAAGTCGGCCAGTCCAAAATATGTTGCTAGATGCACACCCTCTGTCACGTTTCTTGGGATATGCTGGATGTATTTTGAGCACCAGCCTCCTTGTTTAGAAGCTAACAGAGATTGTAATAAAGCGGATTATTTAGCAACCGTTTCTAAAACTTTTATCCACCAAGCAGATACCGGTACCAAAAGGTACGTATTGCAGACGACTGAAATTCGATTTTGCTTTGGGAATTGGCATGTTCGCTCGAAATATTCCTTTGTTGTGTAATGGAGACAAAGCCACTCTTTTGGTCCGTCGTAGTTAATCTGGCACATATAGAGCCAAGGGTATCTGCATCAGGGATGAACTTTCATTTAGACCTGTCGCGTCAACCCTGATAGCAAGAGTGTGTTGTATCTCTGCAAGAGAATATCCTCTCTTGCTGTAAGTTAGCCAAGACGAAGTCCGTAGAGCAAGGTCTTGGTACCCTTTCGGTTGGCTTCGAATCCTGTCTACCGCTTGCTTGGAGGTTTCATCTAAACGTTGTTCTCCACGAGGTAAATTGCCAATGCTATCTCAAGGTCTCCTAATGTTGGTTGACCCAGGAGGAAGTCTATATGTAGTTGTGCAAGGAAAAAAGTATGGCAGACTTTAGACAATGTATTCAAGGATCTCATTAAATAGGAAAGTTACTACACATTCCATTCGCTGCATCGACGATGCTACGTCGGACTATGCCTCTGATTTCTGGGGAACTTGATCCACAAAGCCTGGAAGCCTGGCTATTCACAAAGCATAGGATATCATCATCCTTCGCACGTATCATTTTCTGTACGGATCCTTCGCACTGTGACATGATCTCTTGTATGGGTAGCGAGTTGTGAATAGATTCAGTCCTGTGTGTGCTTGGACACGGAACAATTCGACGATTATGGTTCTCGGGATTCAAACTATAGTACACATCCTGGAGAATTGTTTGGTGACCGAAATCAATAACTCGATGATTTCGTTAATTGTTGGCCTGGCCCCTTTTTTGCTGTGATTGCCATGCAGATTCTTGATTTTCGGAGGAAAAACCTGCCGACTTTGCCGAGCTGTTTTAGAGGTCTAGGAGATATATGTAGTGTTTTGCTTCAGTTGAGATTGGTAGTTGCAATATGCATATGAAATGCCAGCATCAGATCCTTTTCCATATTTTTCTTCTCGTGGCTGATGATTGTTGAAGGTAATATGGTCTTCCGCACCTGGTATACCGGGACAGAACAAAGTCTGTTGGATTTGGCTGAGCCATTCCTGGAGCTTATATGAGTCTAGTAGCTACTGTCCAGTCCCAACTCTGGCTGAGGACCATAGTCAGTTATAGTGAGCCAATCTAGGACTCTAACCTTATGACCATCATCTACCGTTTTTCCTATTTGGGACACTTCTGCCCCTTCTTTTCAAACGGTTTTTGCGACTTGGTCGATATAATTAGCATAATGCACTGTTCATTCTTACCGAGTAAACATACACTTTTCAACAACCTCAGCTGCCACCTCTATTCTAGCAACCTCCACGGGGTGGATTACATAGGTCTTTTGTGTAGGCAGCAGCAGCAACAGCAGCGTAGGGTTGCCACCGTTTATTTTTGTGATCATCGACGTAGGCACAACTAAATGACGCATATTCGGATCTACAACGCCGGAGTGAATGAAATAAATACACAGAGACCAACTGATCTTAAACCACGCAGAACATGAGAAGCCTTTTTCGAAACTCAAAGCTAATACTGGCTATGCAAAACTGCTTTTTAGCATAGAACTCAGAGGTGCAGCAGGTAAGGGTACCACGATGATGTAAGGGCCTAAGGTGGAATATTATTTACAGGTATGAACTAATGCTACAGCTTAGATTATTTGACTTGGTCCTGCAATGTAAGGTGGCTCTGTTCACTGCCGACCTTAGACTGTAACACAAGCATAACTGCAAACTTCAGCAGCTTGTACAGTGCTTCTACTGTATCCAACGGGAATGTGAAAGCTATTTAACATGTGTGTACTATAGCCAGTTACGCATTAAAATTAGGAATGAATAGGTCGGGACTGCTATAAACAGCTATTTTCTTGATCCTTTACACTCAGTACCCTTCAGGCAAAATTCGGTCGAATTCAAAATGAATTGATTTGCTCTCAATTTGCAACATTGCAGAAAGCATTCAGTCATACTAGCCTACGCAATTACCACCTGAATGGCAAAGAGATAGGAAGTCTTCCCATATAACACTCAATATGTGTCACGTCTTGGAAAAAATATCAGACACCACTGTAATGTGCAAAGGCGGCAACGGATTCCAGGCACCATAGACAAAGCTGGCTATTTGTTGTATGTTATCTACAAGTAGCCCGATTGATATTGAAAATATATCCTGCTGCTGCACTCATTTATTTACTTGATTAAGATCACATTTATGATAGACAATTTCATTTATGTAATTTCCACTCACGACGATGGTTATGTCTAGTCTATGACACTGGTGTTTCCATAGTCAATTGTGCTCCAGCAACTGGAAAATGTGGACGGCCGCTGTATCTCCAGTAACCCTATGTATAGGTGTTTAGATAGGAGGCTATGAGATGAGCTGTCGCCTTAGAGCTTTTTTCGGTGGTGAGGAATAAGTCCGAGAAAGGCAGGTCTGGTTACATTTATTGGGGTATGATCATGTGAGGGAGTCCAAATAAGGTCTTTTCTCTCACCCTAATGAGCATCGGGCACCATTGTTGATCATTCGACCGATGTTCCCTCTAAATGCACAATTCTCGAAGCCACCTGCTAGCACACAAATAAAGCTATAAAATTACAACTAAATAAACAATATAGTAAGTAGACTTTTTGGTGTAGAATAATGGATGTAACGACGCTATATAGCTAATATTTAGTATCTCAGAGTTGCTGGGAAGCTGTATTTACCTCAACTATTTATGATAACAGGTGCCTCCATTATTTTCTTGCTTTTAATATTATCTTCCTTTTCCTTTGCCGCACATAGTAGACCATGTAGCATTTTCTTGTTTTTAGTAGCCTGCCTAATATTATTTTAAAATAATACAACGCGTGGTATCCATTTGACTGGCAAGACGTTAGGCAATTTAAAGCCCTTTTCTGCTGCAGTTTGCATTTTATCACCACGCACAAGTGCAGTGAAAGATACTAGAGCTTCAATGCTTGCACTCTATAAGCAGTTTCTATCTCGCTCATGTAACGGTGGCCTCAGCCAATGAAGCTCAGCCCTACACGGCCTAATATCCTTCCTGCACAATTGAACATTACAGGATACACAGCCAAAATAACTTGTATACAGCATTACAGGCCTTTGCCTGAGAAGCAAGAAATTTACACCAATGACACTTCTTACGCGGTGACTGCAGTTGGATGGCTTGATGGGTTCTTGGTTGCTCTTCTAAATCCTAAGGATTTTTATCTCGCTTCCCTGAAGCTGATTCCTGTAGCACTAGCTTAAAAAGATCTTCATATAACTCCTCTCGGAACTCAAGATGGGACCTCTGCTTCATGCACTGCTGCTTGTATGCTACTTTAGTAACACAATAAGCATTAATAATGGTGACATCAGGAGTCCAGAAAAATATTGGCCACCAAGAGCGTAAAAGTTTTTTTGATGAGTCTCATAGCTCGTGGCTGATTCGCCCGATCTATACCTCGCGTATGAAAGTTATAGTCGTTCATCAGTCGAGGGATTAGTAGCTCTTTTGTAGGCAAACCATTAAACGGTGGACGAGTATTCTTAGCATTTGTAGATGTAGTAGCAAGGTATTTGCGAAGACGAGAAATCCAATCACTTTCTTAATATATAGTACGTACCGTTGACATAGCAGTGGCTATATTATTATCCTGCCATGTAATACATAGCACTTTCTTGACACCAGATGGAATTCCTGATGGAATAGCATATAAAATATTCAATGTCTTGGATTCTTTAACTCTTTTAGAGATGAAAAATTTTTTGGAATGTTTTAGATGCCTTGTGTAGTTTCACATGCACCAACTCCCAGCTGTCGAAAATGATAAAACAGTGGTATAGTGGCAAAGTAGCTACCCATATACACGGTATGTATACCTTTTGTGCCTGAAAGGCAGACCTTGTTGAACGCTGTGGTACCATTGAGCGAGCCAATCAGATCCTTTTGCTTTTTAACCTCCACGAGAGACTAATGGATCTCTCATATCCACTAAGGATGTATCCTTAATCTGCAAAAGCAAAAAGCGTATATCCCTGCTTAATTGATTCTTTCGGCATCTTAAATGTACGATGCGAATAGCCAAACCCTCGGATCATAACCTTATCCAAAGGAACGGCATGCGATGGCTCCCAGTACTGCAAGCAGACAGTAAGCAACAGAGGGCTCAAGCCTATACCACCCATCTGATTAGGCTTCAGATCAAGCTTTATAGCCTCTTTTACCGCCTCAGAGTCAGGATCAGGAACATCACAGAATCGCTTAATTTGTTGGAATTGCTTTAATCCGATGAACCTGCGTGGCATATGAATTGGCTCCTTATCTCTCCAGTAGAATTCATCACTAGACGAGATACGAACCCCCGTATATATGAGAATTGCAAAGAGCACCTTAATATCATGCTATTCCCGACCAGTTTCTCCTGTACCTTTGGTCCTTGCATATTTATTGGTGTTTTTTGACAACATGATAATCAATTCCTCTGGAATAAATGAGAAGAGGCTGTAAGCACTGAGATCAGTCCCAAATGGGATTTGTGCACGAGAAGCAAAAGGCCTAGCTATCTCAAGAGGTCTAAAAACAATATCTTGCGGAGGAGGGACATCACTGAGTATTTGCGCTAAATCTAGCTCTATAGGCTTAGTTGGAAATGGAGATATAGAAGAAACAATTGATGGAGCTATGGAAGTAACTATGTAATCAGGGCACTTTGGTCCCTTTGGTCCCTTTGCAAAGGATAGCCCCATGAATCCATGAAGCGACCGTGTAGAAAGTATATATTAAACGTGTATGGCTTCATTGACCATTTAGCAAATCACAGGGGCGAGAAAATATTTCGACAAAAACGGAAAGTGCGAAGGCTGCCAGCTAAAATCCTCACCCAACTTGTTTTATAGCTTCAGTCTGCGCATGGGTCATGGTTTCCAAGAGGTTAAAAGCTGACATTGCTCAACCGGGGTATTCTATTTGTCTAGGGTAATGGCGAGTGAGGGCAATAATGATTGACATCATTTGGGGAAGCCATGTTGGCGATCCAAAGAACCAATCTACAGATATCATGATGCCCAACCAGGCTGGGCATCGTAAATACCAAGATAGGCAGCTATGAGGTCATTCGAATTACTTGGCCTTGCCAGTTGTTCACCAACAGTGGCCTAATAAAAAAAAAGAAATGAGAATCTTGCGAATGTCTTTTATTTTCATGGATGGTATCAACACGGCCAGAATTAATGGACATACAATTATCCAGGCAGGTCGCCTTTTCTGTATGCTTGTTCCAAATCCCAGGAGCCCTTTCGAAGGGTCGGAGAGCGTCATCTTGCCGGAGGTGAGAAGGTGAAAAGAAAAGTCTATCAGAGTCAGATCAGAGGAAATAATCAGGTGTACGCCTCGAGACCATGGGTTCTCCCGCACGCGGGCACGGATCAAACTGTAAGCTGTAAAATCACACGTCAGCATCAACCGTACGTAACAGGGAGCAACCGGGGGCCACACGTACAACGTATACTTCAGATGCTCATCAATTTCCATAATTGCGGCTTGGTTACCGCACCGGTAGCAGTAGTTTGGGGCTGGAAGGTAAGAAATTCGATTAGCAACGCCCAGGAGGTCATGGTTGGCCACTGCATCCATACCTGAAAAGATGGTGACTACGTTTCGATCCTGCGACCAATTATATCCCTCCATCACCAGCTGATGCGCTCGTGCAACCAGAGTCAAGCCGTTGTTGTGATTAAACGCTTCCGAGATATCCTGCCCAAATGTGTATCCAGCACCACGGGGAGATATTCCCCAGCCGCATCGATCGTCGGGATCGCTCCACAACAAGTCACACATCGGTCCTTCATGAGGAACCTCCTGAATTCGATCCAGCGACCGGATATTATCGAGTGTGTCGATCGACGGACTCAGACCGCCGTGGAGACAGAATATCTGGTTTTCAATAAGCGCGGTGAGGGGGAGATAGTCAAAAAGATCGGTGAAGTATTTCCAGACGTTGGCATTGCCGTATTTGCGCAAGCATTCGTCGTAAAAGCCGTAAACTTGCGTAATCTGGCGGGACTCATGGTTTCCTCGTAGAATAGTGATACGCTGGGGATAACGGATTTTAAGGCAGACAAGGAGCGTCACGGTCTCAACGGAGTAATAACCCCGATCGACATAGTCACCTAGAAATGATAGCAGTGAGCAAGAATGTCCTCGGAGGGTTAACAGGGACAATTCCTACCCATGAACAAGTAGTTCGTATCTGGGTTGGGCCCTCCGATGCGGAAAAGCTCCATTAGGTCGTGGAATTGGCCGTGAATATCACCACACACAGTCACTGGGCATTTCTGCAATTGCGAGTCAGCCATTTGAATCGACCGCCGGGTCTCCAAGGATCTCCAGTATTCTCAAAAACAAACACGGAAAACAAGAGAAACATACAACAGGCTGCACGTTTGACTCCTCCTGCAATACCTCTCTAGCCTGTAATAAAAAAAAAATCCATATTAGAATCGTAGCCCATCACCTCGGTCTACAATCTCCTCATATGAGCAAAATCCCAAAAGGCAACGCACTCGGTCACATAGTCTCCGAACATCCTCCTCTGCGAGTTGCTTGCAGCTCATCAAGTTTTCGATCCAACCATCCAGTGTCGGTATCGACCCAGGGTCGGTGGTAGGCGACAAATGGTGGGGCTCGGGCGACCGCGCCGCATCGATTTCCATATTGTTGTCCATTGCAGCGACGACGAACAACGATGAAGGAGGACGAGAGAGCCCTAGATTGCTGCAGTCGAGGAGGGGCAGGAAAACCAGGAGGGGATGGTCTCGTGAGGTAGGCTTTGATCTTTTCTGCTGAGAACAGTGATCCACACACTCACGGGCGTACAGGGGGGAGGGCTTGAAAACAGAATTGGGAGAATACCCAGACAAGCGGGCGACGAGAAGAAAACCCGAGGGCTGGAGTAGAGGGGAGGGATGGAGAACGGCGGATAAAACGATGGGGAAGGAGGAGGGCTGACTGTTGGTGGTGTGAAGGGGAGGTTTGCTGGCTGCCAGTTGGAATGAATCGAGCTTTGGCCGCTTTTGGGCTGCTGCCGTGCGCCACACCGGCAAAGCCACACTCCCCAGGATCGCAACCCCGCCACCTCCCTGCGCAATTTTGTGCCTTTATATGCTAATTCAAAGTTGGTAGGTATTTCAAATTAGACTTCTCGCTACTAATTATCATAGACTCGTCACATCATAGACTAATACATAAACATAATCCGTTCCAGCGTTACAGGGTGCACCAGAGATTTCCCCCACCAAACTTCTACTTAGCCGCGCGCTTAAATGATGTCACCGCCAAAACCGCCGAATCCTCCACCTGCGCCGCGTCCACCAGCTCCTCCTCCACCAAAAGGCCTGCGGCCTGGTCCGAATGGTGCATCTCCAGGTCCGACCGGATCATATCGTGCTCCAGGTGGTATCTGCGGGTCATACCCACTGTTACTTCTATCGCCACCGAATAGGGGATCATCAAAGGTTGGGTGCATTCCACCCCCTCCAGGTGCTAGGCCAGGACCGATACCACCTCTCAGAGGGTCATGGGGGCCAAGACCAGGGGGATACAGGTCTCGGTCTCCGATATTCAGGGGGTTTCTACCCCCCCAGCCAGGTGGGTATCCTCGGGGCGGTCTCTGGATCTCAAATTCGTCTTCAAACCCCGGTGGGGCGAAGTCTCCCGGAGGTACAGGCCGGCGTGGTTCTGCCGCTAAGGGATCATATAAAGGATAGGGACGAGATGGTCGAGGAATAGGGTCATCTCTCAAAGGATTGCGTGGAAGAGGCCTCTCTCGAGATTCCCGTGTGGTCTGACTAGAGACTTCGTAACCTTCTTTGTAAACTCCAGGGGCGAGCTTTTGGATAACATTGATCTTGAACAATGCTATCAAGTCATTTAAGCGCGATGGAGATATAAATACTTCGCTCAAGCGGGCTGGTGGCAAATCCGCACTAGAGGATATGGGTAGAGAGGACGGCGAGATAAAGTCATTGGCGGTAACATCAAACGACGTAGGCTTGTCATCACCTAAAGCCAGGGCCAAAATGACAGCATTGCTCCCTAGTCGATTGATTTTAAGGAGATACTGCATGGATGATCGAGGGTGAGCGTACCGGAAGGAGATGGTGTCGTTCACGTTCCATTCTGATGGCAAAGAGGGATTGTCTGAGGAGCTCGCTGCCAAACCCGACAAGCATTAGAAACGACACACACTAAGTTAGGAAGGCAATATCACAAACAGATTGTATGCTCTTCTCCAAGTCCTGCGAGTCTGAAATCGACGGCGACCATACAAGCGTGGCCGATGAGGGCGATGGCCTCGTAAGGAGATTTGAGGCTGAACTCAGTGGTCTCATCGCCCCGCAGAGCGTGATCTGCAAGTGCCAGCACATTGTCGGGGCGTAGAGCGTCTGTGTTTGTGGCCATTTTGAATGTGGAGTTGGAATGGGATAGCTGGTTAAGTTGCGTCAACCCCACTTTTCCCAAGATAATAAGTAGGTAATATCCAGACAGTAATGATGACAACAGCCTGCGGGGCCTGTCAGATTAGTCATTGGCTCGGCCGCCGAACTTTAGCGACTAAAAAATTTTCGTTATCCCGGCAATTAAATTCGCATGAAAAAAAAAAAAAAAAAAAAAAAAAAAAGGTAATCAATAGTAATAAAAAAAAATACAAAGCTATCTAATTTTTCCTTAGTTAGATTTATGAAGGATCCTTGAACTGTAAGCGCCAAGCCAACTTAAAATGTAGATTGTCGCGTGGCGAAATTAATGCGGCAACGTCCCCGGCACCATCCATCACCAATATATATATAGTTCGAGGCTTCCTCCAGCCACATTGTTCCCGGTAAGGCAAAGCCCTCAGCAGTCTCCCACAAAAGAACACATTTGTTAATTTGTAAGCTTCTGTCGAAACTTCGCTAGTATCGACGAGTCTCCAACTAACTTATGGTGATTACTATTAGTCATACCTTTGTTGGTGCGCCCTCAATTGCCAATTCGGGTAGTTTCTCCAACTCAAATCAGACTATTAATTTCCAAAAATCAAACAGCAACCTCCCAGCAAATCTGTCGCACTGCGGTATGCCACGATTGGGTGTGTTACTAGCCCTTCCAATCCACTTCAATCATGCCTAACATTTATGCAGGTCCCGCGTGCTTGACATGCAGGGAAAAATGTCGCAAGTGCGATCGGACTCGTCCTGTTTGTAACCGCTGTCTTTCGAAGGGTCTGGTGTGTGGTGGATACCCAGAAACCTTCCGTTTTTGTGGCATTGCCAGTCGCGGAAAATGGAAAGGTGCCCAGGTCCCGGTCGGACCTCGGAATACGAAGGCGAAGAAAAGTAGAGTCGTCCTACAGCAGGCCAACATACAGCCAATTCAGCGGGGATCAGCGTGTACTTCTGAATCTCCGGTGCAAACGCAAACCCTGCCAAATATAGAGAAGCCTATCGAGAATGAACCTGATCCGTCTGAAGAAATTGTACGAATTCTCAATTTGCCGGAGACAGAGACTCTCCTTTCTCACTGTAAGCTTGGCTTCAGCCTTACTGAAACCTCTCACAAGAATGAAAAAAAAAAAAAAAAAAAAAAAGAAAAAAACAATAACGTGGCTCTCTAGATGATAGCTTCATTTGTGCCCACCAGATTGCCGAGATTGGCGCTGATGTAGATAATCCCTATCGATCATATATTCTTCCATTGGCACGGAAGCAGATTGGCTTATTATATGCGGTGCTTGGGTTGTCGGCGTCTCATCTCGGACAGTTGACTGAAAATACCACGCTGCAAGTGTCTACCGCGGTAGAATATCAGATGAGAGCAATACGTGCACTGAGCAAGGAGATTCGACGAAGCCAGAACGAAACTCTGTTGGAAGATGAACAAGATGCTGTACTCGCTATAATCCAGGTTTTGCTGCTCCAGGATGTATGTATGGTACATGGGACTCTGTGTGTTTCTATCTAACACTACTCATAGATTGCTGAGACTGGCGTTTCATGCAACGGGATTCATATTACAGGGGCTATGTCTGTTTGCAAACGATTACTGATAGCCGAAGGATTAAGTGGCCACCGTCAACGGGCTGTGTTTTTCTTAGGTAACTTGGCTTGGTAGGTCGCCTGGTGATTATACAGTTTTTCTACATGGGCTTACAAATGGCAGGCTTGATATTGTACGGGCGTTTGCTGGCGCAGAGCGATTATGCTTTTCTCAGGATATCCGGGAGATGGTCGCGTGCGCGAGTGACCTTAAGTTTGAACTGGTTAACGGGTGCCCCAGGGATGTCTTTCTGATCATCGGAGGCGTTATGGAAAAGGCCAAGGAGTACGCATTAGGGTGGCTGACATGGGACGAATATCAAATTGCACTACTTCTGGCCAAGCACAAACTATATTCCTGGGATCGGAAAGGAGCTTCGTATCCGAACAGCGACTCTCGCTGGATGGCGGCGGCCGAGGCCTTTCAGTTTTCATGTATATTACGGATCTATCGACTGCTAGATCCACTAAAATCAGCCAACAGTCCAGAGATACAAGACTGCGTGACAAGAATTCTGGATGCCACCGCCCAGATTCCCAAGGATTGCTCAATTTTGGAGCTCTTAATCCTGCCACTCTTCATGGCAGGAACGGATTCGCTTTCCACGCACTCGCAGTATTATATTCTGGCACGTTTAAATGAAATTGAAAGGAGATCTGAGTTTCGAAACCCAGTACCACGAGACTTGCTGAAAAAAGTGTGGGATGCTCGGGTTGCTCTAACTTCCGAGGAGGATCGAAATGTGTCGTGGACGGAGTTCGTGAGTTGCTCTGTATACCTTATAATTTCATTGAAGATATGCTGATATTGTACAGACAAACTCACCTGAATTAGTACGACAGCATGATTATCTTATAATATAAGATATTCACTCGTGGATAGCTCTAAATGTGTTCCTTCTTCTTAGAAGTATATGGAACGACATTTGAGGTGTCGAAGAGTAAAGTATCTACTGTTTTGGCACAAAACCCAACTCAATACAACATGTAGCTTTCAACAGACAAACCATCGGGCCGATATTTCTTTCTGGATTGGCATTTTCCGCTCCATTTCCAGAAAGACGTGGGCTTGGATAAGAAAGAATTACATAAACTTTTTGTGTGCAGAAATCCCTGCTCCTATCATTGAGAATAAGGAAGGGAGGGAAAGAAGTACATATTAATAGGAAGTTGGAGCTGGCTATGTCCATAGAATATAAGGTTGCTTGCTGAGCTTCCTGTCCAGGTAATGTTCTCCATAGTTCTACAGCTGCCGAACCTGTACCTTGTCGCCCGCAAGCTTGAACCGAGACATTATTGAATATCTTTATAAGTTATAATACTGGAATTGTAATCCCAAGATAGATACCAGTTTTATCTGAACATAGCATAAATGTGAGACATCTCTGTTCTAGATACACCCCTAATGTTTTCGGACCATTGACGCCACCTTCTTGAACAACTTCAACGAGTTTGAGCAGCCCAGTATCCTCTGTGGTTGCATGCATTTTACCCCTCGCATTTGGTATAGAAAAGCAAGTAGACTGGTGATCACAATTATTTCCTGTCCATGATTCTTGGACTGGCCACGTTCAGGAAGTAGAAGCACACCTTCGCTGACGTCAGCTGGTAGCCAAACAACGAGTCCAACGTGCTGATAAATAGCCAGTACGTGAGCCTCTGGAGATAAATTTTGTGAGATCGACGGTGTAAACTCTCCTTCATAGCCTAGATCAACCAGGAGGTATCGAAAGAGGCTGTTAGGACCTGGATGGATCTGCCATTGAACGAGCCTTTCAGGACCATTCTTATGTTCTTTTAGTCGAAAGGTAAAGAAGGGATGTGGGATTTGGTACTCTCCTCGGATGCTAGGATCGAGGGGATATGATGCTTCCATGGGAATACAAACAGGATCGTTTTGTTTTTGATTGGAATGGGCTATCAGTAGAGATTGATCTCCTGCAGGGGTCGGGATGAATCTGCTGATATTAGAAAGAGAAAATTTATAGTTATAGGCTTCTTACGCATCAACTATGGCATCGTCATCTCGAAGGAGAGCTCTGCGTTCTACTTGTATGTGGACATTTTTCTCTTCGAGCGTATCCGGGTTCAAATTCACAAGATACTCAACAGGAACGTCCAAACCCTCACCACGTGGCTTTGTCATAAGCCACAACTTGAGATTATAAAGATTGCTGCCAAACATAGCATCTTGGATGGTGTTTATATGGCGATCGGAAATATCATACAAAGGTAAATGTGGTGTAAATGAGTCGTGACGAGGTACATAGAGTACTCGAGTGAGCTTGCTTGCGATGTTGCATAATAGAGGATCGGACGACAAAATGAACGCGGTTGTTTTGGGTTCTGGTAGGCACTTGGCCTGACGAGAATCGAAGCTCGGAAGAGGCGAGGATAAGCCTGAAAGACACATAGGTAGTATTCAAATGGAATGGAATTTTTAGACTGTCAGATGTAGCCACCAGTTATACGGAGCAGAGTTATATATGCCCGTCCATATTGATACGGTTCGTCACCCTCTTAGGAATGCAAGATTGACTCATTTTGCCAAGAGACAGCTGGAGTTAGTGATATGCCGTCTGAGCGTGGAAGTTCAACATTTCAATTACGTGAAGAATGCTGGAGATCGCATCTGCGGCGGGACTTGCCGTAACAGGCAAGTCGGCCAGCACGCAGGCATACGCCCACTCTATATAAAGGGAAATACGAGGTCCACAACAATTGGCCGTAATAATCCATCTCATACATTCCATCAAACATGACATCCTCCAAGGAATGGCAGAAAATGATTAATGGCGAGTTTTACTGGGCATGGGATGCGGACCTTCAGGCAAACCGTGCCCGATGCAGAGCGGCCTGTCTCAGATTCAACGAAGCAGGCCAGGTATCGAGACGTCGAAGGGTAGAACTATGGAGAGAGTGAGTGATATGTCAGGTGCTGTATCGTTTGTTTTCTACAACGTTAATGAACGAGTGTGCACAGCATCATTGGAGACACACGCCCCCTCCCACCGGTCCACGCCGATCCCGAGGAGGATGAGAATCTCTTTAACGAAACGGATCCTTACGTGGATCCCCCGATATCTGTGGATCATGGATTGAACTTCAGAGTCGGCAAAGGCACATTCTTGAATTTCAACTTGCTGGTCCTTGACACTTGTTTGATTACCATTGGTGAAAGGACACTTTTTGGTTCCAATGTCTCACTCTACGGTGCTACACACCCCATGGACCCAGCCGAGCGAGAGGATTGGAAGGACCAGAAGCAGGAAAGAAGATTAATATTGGAGACGATGTGTGGATTGGAGGCAGCGTTGTCATCTTGGCTGGGGTGACAATCGGACGAGGTAGCACTGTGGGAGCTGGCTCGGTTGTGACCAAGGTAAATACGTTGAGGGTCCTCTCGATTACAGTGGAATATCTGTGCTGATGGCAGGTGATAGGATGTACCCCCATTTCATTTTGTTGCTGGAAATCCTGCCCGGGTCATCCGGCGAATCGAGACAAGCATGGACCCAGAGCAAAATTTGCACAGAGAAGGGAGATTTTAATGAAGTGAATCTTAATACCTAGAATGTGGATGTGTTGTTTCTTCTTAGACTTCCACCAATTTGCCACTATTATTGTATTAAGAATCATATGAAGCAATACATGCCTTGGTTATTAGATCTCTTCCTATGTCCACGAACTTGTCTAAACCAAAAGGGCACCGTGATCTACTTCAATTTTTTATACGTCATATGTTAGATTTTTAAATGCGAGACAATATGTAATGATTTCATATACTGTTCCTTATCACACTCGAACTTTCCCACTGATGAAAGCCCAGCCTGTTCTACATCATCGAATTGTAATCCGCGCAACGGCGTGTCCTCCGGAACTGCTTGCTACGAGTTTCCGCGAGCATCAGACTTATCAGCAACCGTCTAATTCTACATTCCAGAAAGTCTAGACCGACTAAATAATACACATAGAATATGTGCATCCTCTCATAGGATAGGATCAGTGAGTCTCACTCCAACCCAGCCTTGTACGTCATCATGACTTTCTAAATGATGTTGCCATTGCAACTGTCTATCGTAAACAGGGCCCTTGGAAGCTGTATAAGTACGGCGTCAACGTCCTCTCAGGTTTAGATTATTCTGACATTCAAAACCAACCAACAATCAGATTGGAGCGTATTATCACATTTACGTGCAAATCTGAAAACAATCATGTCAAGATACAGCCCAATTGTTCAGGAGCTTCGCGACGAGCTACTTTGGGAAGTCGATGACCTCGAGCAGGCTGTTAAAAACGCTAGGAGATGGGACATTCCCGAGTTGGACAAGTATGGCATAATCTCGGCCAGAGGCTTCCTGGACTTTGCTGACTGGCTGGTCCGAGGCTGGGTCCCAACTGAGGCGACCCAAGGTCGGGATATCTACTACATTCTCTGTGTCTTTTATTTCATCCTGTCCCAGGAGCCGTTGGGCTCTCGTCAGACACGAATTGTCCCCAAGAACATCAATAAGCCGCTCAAGCCGCTGTCCGACTGGGTGGTCAATTTTGCGAGGGAGATAGGAAGAAGTATGGACAAACCATCCTCAATAAACGAGGCGGCCATAACGAGCTTTCGTAATTCTCCGCTCTATCGTGTCTTCGAATCCGAGGCAGATGCTCCCAATTGGAAAAGTTTTAATCGTTTCTTCTGTCGGAAGCTGGATAGCCCTCGTGAAATTGACTGCCCCGATGATGATCATGTTGTGGCTTTCCCTGCGGATTCCACATACGCTGGGGCCTACTCGATCAGCGACGAGAGTGAGGTGGTCCTCAAGCATGTCCCATGGAAGGTAAAAGATCTTCTCGGGAAATATGGCGAGACTAAGCTTCCTGATGATAACACTCGCACCTATGGGGAGATTTTTAAAGATGGACTCTGGTCCCATGTTTTCTTGAATTCCTTTGACTACCACCGCCAGCATTCTCCGGTCTCAGGAACGGTGGAGGTTATTGATGTGATCGAAGGCGCCGCCTATCTCGAAGTTCAGGTCAAGATGGACCAGCAGGTTGGCCACAATTACCTGGAGCTCTGTCGCCGGATCGGTGAACGTGAAAATAATCCATCTGGTATCATCACCCTCGCAGCCCCTGACACTCCAGGCTATCAATTCCTTCAGACGCGAGGAGTCATTATCATCAACAATGACCATCTGGGCAGGGTCGCCGTCCTGCCTATTGGAATGGCAATGGTCTCTTCTGTTAATGTGAAGAGAGAGCTGCAGGGGCAGAAAGTCAAGAAGGGTGATGAGATTTCATACTTCGCCTTCGGCGGGTCCGACTGTGTGATGATGTTCGAGCGAAGGGCGCGAGTTTCGGGCTTCCCTGATTCTGACCCAGCCTCACGAGAGCATTTCTTTTATGGGGAAAAGTTGTGCAGGGCATACTACAGAGAGGAAAGAGAGGTTAAAACTTTTGGATCCCGTTTCGGTTTGCCTTCCAGATAAAGGATGCAATTGATGAGCTGGACAGAAGTAGCTGAGAGGAACCTCATGGTATTGCGTATGTCGTTAATGTGCATTTGCTAGTGTTTACGTGCATCTTGAATTAAGTGTTGTTGACTACTACATGAGGACCACTGGTTCGGCTAGAATTTTATTTCTAGACCAAGCAGTAAAGAAGAAGAAAAATAATGTAAACAGCATGTATTACACTCTCATAACGATCCTAATAACCATGTGACTGCGACTTGGGTATCCTGCCCGAATAGGAGTCGCAACTCAACAATATATCCACAAACATCTATAACATTGCCTTGGGGAATTTCTTCATCGCCTGTCGCACTCCCAAGTCCGACAGGATTTCCTCAGTTCCTCCCAGAATAGCATCGAACTTGTAGGTCCGATGAAACATCTCGACGACTTTACCCATGCCACTCTGAGTCAATCCACGACCGCCAAAGATGTTGGTGGACATATCGGCAATCTCTTGTGCAGACCGAGTCGCGTGAGACTTCAGCAGAGCAATCGGTCCGCCTAGGTTCGAGGCCTGTTGGGCGTACGTCATATGGCACATTTGGTAAGCGATGGATTCCAACCAGGCCTGGTTAGACTCGCAGAGCGAAATCATCCGGGCGAGTCTACGATTCGATTCATGAGAAGTCAGTCTTTGCTTCAGATTGGAAAGTGGGGGAGGTAATACTTTTGTCGCATGACAGGCTGCTCGATCAATTTCTTGCCGAAGACCAGACGTTGGTTGCACCATTTCAGGCACTCTTCGACGACGGTCATGGACATACGGATCACAGCGCTGGCCATCATAAACCGTTCATGGTTGAAGTTGCTCATGATTACGATAAATCCCTTGTGCTCTTCGCCGAGTAGGTTCTCTACGGGCACTTTAACGTTCTCGAATTGCACATATGCTGTGGCTGCTGCGGTAGAGTACGAGGTCTTAATCTGCTTAGTCTCTACGCCGTCGTCGCGCGGAATTAGAAGCACAGTAAATCCCTTCTCTGTTCGGCAGCCCGTGACAAAGTAGTCAGCGAACATGCCGTTGGTGATCCACTTCCTGGTGGAATCGGTCAGTCACGGACTCTGTAGACATCGGTGGAAAGGAGTCAGTCATTCATACTTGGTACCATTGACGATGTAGTGCTTTCCATCGGGCGTCTTCTCGGCCGTCGTACGAAGTCCAGCCACATCGCTACCCGCAAATGCTTCGGTGATAGCTAAACACATCTTCTTTTTACCCGACAGAACTTCCTCGGTGACTTGCTCACGAAGAGGAGCATTGTGAAGCCACTGTTGAACAGCCGTTAAACTAATGGCCATGCCTGCCATGTTCCCATCCTGGAAGCCTGTCAACAGTTAGATATTGACTTTTCCAGGGTACAGAGATCCAGACGACGAACCTCGTGCATTACTTCTCACCATCTCCTGTGTGACGATCATGTCATGTATATAGTCGAATTCTTTCCCATCCACGGCGCCCCCGACCAAGGTTCGACCATGCAGATGCTTCCCAGGACCAAGACGCATAGCCAAAATGTTTGTTTCAGCCATACGGTCAATCAACTGCTGACTGATGTAGGTACCATCGCTCTCCTTCTCCTGAGCCTCGGGTGTGACATAGCGGCTGGTGAACTCGCGCATGGCGCGCTGCAGCCGCCGATGGCTGTCCTTGTAGTAGGGGCTTTTGAACTGCGGGCGTAGCCATAGGGGTTCTGCGTAAGGAACGGCGCTCAGACTGTCTGGTTCTGGAGTGGCGATCTCGGGCGTCTCTCCCTCGATTGTGCCGATGCAGAGGTCGTCGCGGTACTTATCCAGCACCTCCTGACGGTGAAGGTTGTAGAATTCGGCGGTGGCATCTTTACCGGCAATCTGGGAGAGGACCACGCTGCCACCGGGATGCGCGTCCAAGAAATCGGTTAGGTCATAAACTCGATGGTCGATGATACACCAGAGCGAGTCTTCGGAAGCATGTTGCGCAACCTCGGCGCGGGAGAAAGTCTTCGACATGGGGGGAATATGTGGCAGGAAGAGTCAGGAGGGTCAGTCAAGTACCATCTGGAGAGGACATGTGAGGGAAGATATAAATAGGAGCTCTCTGCTGTCGTTCACCCCATGTCTGCGTTGTTGTTGCAGAGGAACGCCAATCAGCGCGACCCCATTACGGAATTCCCGGCTGCCGAGGCAATTACCTGATCGGGAACGCCCCCGTGCCAGCCCATTTCGTCTACATACTCAACAGCGACGCGCCCGCTCGGTCCAACAATTCGGCCCACCTTGGCTCCTCTGCAGTATCAAAAGTACGTCTTTGCTTGGGGAATGGGAAGATCGCTAATCGCTTCTGTCTAGTTCGGATTTGTGCATACTATCCGGAGGTAGCCGATTCTATTCCTGCCACTCTTAAGCCATGTAAACCGAGTACGACAGTTCCAATCTTAACGCACCGTGAACATACACAGTATACCGTCCCAGGCAGAATCGCCGCCTTCAGGTCCGTGGAATTATATGGAAGCGACCTTAACACGTTGTTCCCGTCCTCAACCAGTCCCTGAATGTATACGGCCCGCCTATGGTAGCAACTGATGGACCGCACAATTCTCTGTAAAACTGCTTGACTTATTGAACCTAATCAACAGAGTAAGTGGGCCCGATGGTCTATAAGGAGATCCCGCACGGATCCAGGAGGAACCTCCGGATGATTTGTCCGGTGTGCCGAGGCGACAGATTTCACACCTGCGCACACCGACTCTATGTATCGAACACCAAAGTTTTCCTAGCACGCACTTCGAGACCATCGCACAGAAAATCGCCGAAGACACCATCAGCATACACGGTTAGCCAGTATTTCCCTCCTTGACATTTGCCAATCTCAAATCGGCCATTCGGATTGTGGAATATGTGAGTGACGCATGTCTGGAAGTTATCGGAGCGTCTATCCATACACGAGTTGTATGGGAAAGTATTTAGTGAATAGCGCTTCATATGGCCAGATCTTGCGCTTAGCAAGACTACTAGGCACACTATTCAACCAGGATATATCCTGGAAGTCCGTTAGATCAAAATTACTTAAAAGCATGGCGTTCATGCCCTCCCCAGGAGATGTGTCGTTGACATTCCACGTGGAACCGGCTGTTTGGCTACGCATTGGCTGATCGCAAGATGCAGACGCTTCCGACGTGACTCTCTCGTATGGAATCTCGGGAGCGGCGATACATCGCCGGGCAGAAATACTGTAACTTTGATATATACGCAAAAATTCAAGCGCGAAGTACCGCGATCGAGAGATAGCGCTGTCGGTAACCTCCTCTATAACTGTCGGGCAAATCCGTCCTGGAATCAAAACTGTGGCCGCTGTATACACATCTACTGCTTATTAGTTCCAAAAGAATTGTCTGATGTGCGCCAGAGAACGAACACAAGATGTTATACCACCAGGCTGGGAGTGGGCCTGACGTTCCATCGGCAGGAATATTATTGTAGATTAGCTCATTGACTCTGAGGAACCTTGACACATATCGCAGAACACTGAAGCGCGTTTTGAGGGAATCAATCATTTAGCGAACAAGCGGATCAGAAGCCACAATATCGCGAGCTATGCAATATTTTGACAATATAGGCCGAAATAAAAGCATGCGCACGTGGAACCGAGCCCCAGGGTACTTTCGATATCATCTTTGGTCAGCCGAAGGGCCTATAACACATCAGAAGTAATCAGACATGGGGAATCCTGGTAATGTACATACGGTCCATTAACACAACCGTGTCATATTTTGCGTGTGAGCTGCTGCTCTTGTGGGTTCTGGAGGCAAGCAACAGTTTGGGAAAGATGTAGGCCTGAACTTTGCGCGTCACGAATGGCTAATCCAATGACTATCCAACATTGATGTGCCAAATCCGTACTCTGTAGATATTGCGCCATGAGAAGAAGACACTGGATAAGTCCAGAGGACCTAGGATTCCAGCGGTTGAATTGCAAAGTTCTTTTGCGCGCGAGAAAATGGCATCTGCTGACGCTTCCCTCACCCGTAGAGGAATTAAATCTGCTGAGACCCCAATGCAAAGATGACATTGAAAGTGCACATTGTCATATTCTCATCCGACAGGAGGGTCTTGCCCATCCAGGTCCTCATATATTCAACTCACAGCTGGATAGTATCCACGAGCGGATACAGTGGGAAGACGGAGCACCAATAGATTTCCATGACACTATCTGCAGTCTTGCGTGGAGGCGAAACACAGTTGGGCACGGTGGATGGCCTAGCTTTTCTGCCAGAAATTAGACTGGAGGGCGCCATCCCTAGGATGGAGTCCGAAGTCCGTCAGTGTGGTGACGACATTCACTTATCCACAGCCATTTTTACCTAGCGCATAAAACTAGGGGCATGGAGCTACTAAAGACCCTGAGCCGGTGGATCCTCCTCCACTGCACCCACCATCGCATTTACCCCATCTACACGTTCTACTGCTTGTAGGACTAATTTGGGCGAGTGCTAGGATGGAATCATAGTATGCTTGCTTGCAATCGTTGCACCACCTCCTAGTGTGATGCGAGAGATACTGCATGTCGAAGGCCGTTTCCCGTTGGTAGCCGCAGAAATGTTATTTTTTATGCGCGTTGCTCCATTAGGGTGGCTAAGGGAGTATTCACAGAAGTATACTCTCCAATACGTAGGGGCGATACCGAGCACAGCGGTGAGGTATACTATATAGATTGTCAGATTGCCCAACGTTCCGTATTCAGTTACGGCTATGTCGTGTAAATTCACGTCCACGGGTCTTGCTTACTGGGGGGTATCCTGATTTCCGGTGAGCAACCCGTTTCTATACTCGTCGGGACAGAACCCGGACTCTCTAGATGTCTGATGCAACTCTCCAAAGTCGCGATGTAGCTAGATTGGACGTATTTTAGCAACTCGTTTGACCCACGAAAACATCTGCAAGGACCTACTTCTGGACGGCACCCTACTTTTCCGGCTCCCTAGTGTAGGTACATTGTACACCTTGATCTGACCTCTTGGTGCAGGGTCCACAAACTCGATGGGAAGAATGTTAGCACTACTGATGATTCATTCTGAAGAGGTCTTGGTTGCGGTGGATGACGTCGCATCGGACCTTGCAAACAAGGTATTCGTTGCAGGCCACAGCAGCCGTACGCCGTTTGGGCCATCGTCGGTCAGTGATGTCAACCCGTTGATGCCCTAATGAGAGACGGACTTGTTCATAGGGAGAAGTTATATAGGAAAGGGAGAAACTTGGAGCGAGTTGCGAAGAAGTGAGAAGGCTTGGCGCGGGATGTTCGGGTTGTGGTTCCGAGTGCAGCCTGAGGCACACTGAAAACATGTACTGGCGTGTCACTACTGCCTGTTTGGCGAATTGGACAGTATATACTTGGTGATTGAGTTTACATGTAAGTAGTTATACAATTGGATATGTACATAAAATTTCATACACCTCCCAGTATATATTTTACGTTTATGTGCGTTCACAAGAAACAATAGAGGATACCGATCTGACATCTGAATGGCTTTTCTACTAGAATTTTTTTGCTATGGCTGTCTTCCACCTTACACGAACATACCATATAGCAAAGGCGAACTGTAAAAAGAAACAACGATAATGTTCGATTGCTTTTATCATGAATACACTCGTACGAACATCGACCGAGTGTAGAAATCTATCGAACAGAAGAGCATAAGTGCAACAAGCATAGAATAATACCCTATGCACATTCATCCAGGGAAAAAAAAAAAAAAAATTATCATTCAGCCCTATCAAAGAAAACAGGGGCTGTACAATCCATCGTATCTCCATCACTGCAACCTCGAAAATCATACTCGAACAATTATCGAAGTAAGTGGTGCATAGAGTCATATCCACGGCTTAAACGCCAATGGGAACACCAATACAAGGGAGAGCCACATTAACACCGTTGTTCTATTCCGTTAGATGTGCCTTATGTACCTGGAAAGTTAACACTTACAACGTTCGGCCCGGAGTTGTCGCAGCAGGCAACGGTGTCCTGGCAGTTGCCGGGGATGAGCTCAACTACTGTATCAAGACAAGTTAGAAATTGTCATGGAAGATTACTGGATGGGGGATTTACGAGAGCTGCAACCGGTGTAGTGACCGGTGTTCAGGCCGGGGAGAACGCCGCCATCGAGAAGACCAACGAGGCTGCTATACTTGTCCTGGCTGAAGTGGGTGTCCTCGGTCTCTCCATTGCAGCAGAAGCGGTTGCCACCAGAGCATTTTGCGTACAGCTCCTGGGCTTTGTTGCCAATCTTGGGGTTACCGGGTTGGGCCAGCACAGTGGCAGCGAAGAGAGCAGCAGCGACGAAGAACTTCATGATGGTCGATCTGTTGACGGGAGGACTTTGAAGAATTGAGAATATAAGAAGATCTGAGAAAAGATGATGATGATGATGAGAATGGAAGGGACGAAGAGATTTGACGAGTGGAATTGGAGGAGCTTTTATATCTTTTGAGCTCGTTGTCTGAGACTATTGAGGGCTTCTGGCCGAGTCTATTCACATCCAAAGCACAGCATATGCTTCTGACCGCATCGAAGAAAGATCCCTTACCTGGCTAAACTGGTGACGAACTATGATCAGGATCGATGCCCGCTTGAATCAGTGACCCAGAACTCCGACCTAAGAGTGGGATACCTTTCACAGCGTTGGAAGAAGTGGCAAGCGTATAGCTGCATCTCCCCTGCAGAGTACCCCAACGTTGCTCTGCGTATCCAACGCAAGGACTCAAGCTGCTAGGATCCAGGAACAAGCTACTTTGAGCAACCCATATAGTTCTCCTGGCATAGCGATCCGAATTTCCTCTCGTAAGTGTTGTAGTGAAATTATAAACTGCTACAAAGATTCTCCAAGTGTATGATTTCAATATTAGAGAGGCTCAGTCGGAAGCAAGATCGTATCAGAGTTTACAGTGATTATTTTTCTTTTTCTTTTTCTTTTTTTTTTTTTTTTTTGTTCTGTTTTTAATCCCCGCTGCGCAGCGTCGTTAGAACGTAGGAGGATGAGGAAAGAGCTAGGAGCCAAAAATAAGGTTGATTTAGGATGACGATCGACAATGTGGCGAAGGGCCATGGAGCGCCCTCAAAGAGACCACTCTGTGTGTTCCTACCCGTTTAGTCATCGATGAGAAGAGAAATAATTGAAGCATGATTCATGCATTGATGCAGTTGCCAAGGGTGTACTGGCTTATTGGGAGAGGGAAGCATCAATCTCTACACCAGAGAGGCTGGTCTTAGCAACGGTGATGGAAGGTTATTTGGAATCTAATTCTGCATATTCCAGCCTCGTTGATCAGAGGCGTTCAGCTCATCGAAGGAGGTCTCTTGGAGAGTACTGAATATTGACCGAAGAGTTTTATCCCTTGCCAGTAGGGAGCAGTCGTAAGCAGTGAGTCTGGATCGTGGCTTTCTGCCACAGAAGAAATGGCGATGGCGCGGATGAGATTTTTAAAGTGCCAATAAACCCCACTGATATGCAGTGGTTCGCAGTAGGACATCAATAGTGCAGTTCGCTCTCGAGGTGGGAGTTGATAGGTCACAAACGTTGCAGAAGCAAGGGGTTTATAAGTAGAGTGTGATAAACATGGCTCACCCATCCAGCATAGCCAAGTTCTGCATGGGTCTGCCTTCTCTATGGCCTTACGTAGTGCTGCTACTGGTTGATCAGTATGTCGATTTCGAGCTACCCGTTATAGCCTTACATAAAACATCTCTTTTTCAAGGTCTATGCACAGTATATGTAGGTTTAGTATCTAGACTCTTGGATGATCTTTGAGGAGCATCTCTATCCACAAAAGCTCTATATTCCATCTTATGCGAAATAGAAAATGAAACCAAAGCAAAAATGGTCCACTCCCAGACACGGGATCTATACAAATATATTCAACAACATGAAGCAGGCTCTATAATTACCAGCTGAATGATTCCTCGACATATCGAATCCCTTGGTAGCCCTGCAGCATGGCCAGATGCACAGCAGATCGAGCCTCGTCTGCCATTGTGGGCGGTCCGCACACTAACACAACAGCCGAGCAATTCCTAAGTTGCGCCTCATGCGCGTGGGCGAGAATGCAAGATTGGAGGTCGGGTCGGCCTCGGTGCATTTCAAAATCCTTATCTGGTATTCTGTTATTCTGCATGGGGGAGTATGGATTGGCTGCATCCACGCTATCGCTGTTATTGCCTGTTGATGTGATGTAGAACGAAGCATGAAAGTCATATCGAGAGAGAGCTGGACTCAGCTCGACGGATGCAATCTGACGCACAAAATCTAGCTGGCGTGTTGTCCAGACTAGCTGGATGTCTTGGATGTGGGTGGTGGGCTCGCCTGGGGCAGCAGACCGATCAACGTGGTCTTGAATATACGGTAAGATTGCCGCAATTCCAGTCCCACCTGCAACAAAAAGAACTGACTCATACTTCCACAAGGGGAACTGTTCACCGTATGGACCCTCTAGGAGGATTGTTGTACTGAGGGCCCCGTCCGGACATTGCTTGCATTGTTGACGGAGAGAGCGCGTCCATCCATCATAGGGCCGAATCCAAAAGATCAATCTAAGCTGCGGCGGGGTGCTGTCTTGTGAGCATCCCTCAATGGACTGTAATTCGGAACTAGAGGCGTCAGAGAGCAGAGGAACCTGGGTGACATCTATAGACTGGTGGTCTTTTGAACCGCGTATTAACGACAAAAAAGACGGACTAGACTCCGTCTCAGATGACCAATATCCCAGGGTAAATGGATGGCTCTCCCATCCCGTAAATCGGAAAGGCTGGTATAAATAGTAAAACTGTCCGGCAGTTGGGCAGATGAATGAGGATGCAGGCATCATCTCCAGCCGAATCACATCAGCTTTCTCGTCGTAAGTGGCCAAACTGCGAGTATATTGGATTCCCTTTCCAGAATGGAAGCGGACATGGAGGTTGCAGGAAATAAGGCGAATTAAACGTAAGACTCGATCAACTCCCCAGACACCAATAACAGGCCACAAGTAAAGCCAGTATTCATGTTCTTCAAAAATAATCGTATGACTGAGAATAACACGTTAGGCAAGAGGAGATAGAGAGCAGGGCGCTACTGACTAAAAACAACCGATGAGGGCTACCACTGAAAACAGAATGTGAAGAAGGAGGAATGTTTCGTAACTTTTCCGACGAAACCAGTCCACAGCGGTAGGCAAAATAAGAAGCATCGCTGTCATTCCCTGGAAATAGATCAGATGGGCAAGATAGATAAGCCAAGCGGTGCAAGCGCATACCACTGTGCCCCATAACAAATAGGGTTTCTTAAGCTTTTTTGACGCATGTCCATCTACAAAGGATGACGCTGTGAGAAGAAGGAGATACATATTATATATAGGAGGACTTACTCTGAGTCAATAGTACAAAATATAAAATTGTATGTATCGTAGCTTGAAGAGTTGCTACCCAGGCCACGTGACGATGAAATATATTAAATGTAGCAAAACTCCAGCCGGTTGCCCAGAGAAATACGTTATTTCGACCGGCAAAGAGCCACAGCAAGGGAAGATTGGCAAATGACATTATACCTGTGCGATCGGCCACATAACGCAAGATTTGAGAGGAGATTTTGGGCCAGCTTGAAACCGGTTAACCAAAAAGAATATTTGATATGGAGTATCACTTACTAGATGTTGTCCGAGAAGACCCGATAACTGGTAATGGACAGGAAAATGCTCATACACCAGAAGAGAAAGACAACTAGAGCTTCGATGCGCGTGGGAAATGTCCAAAAAAAGAGATGTCGGCCGTGAGATGGCAACGGTGCGGGCACGATTAAATGGGTCTCGGCCCAATTATATACTCCTTGAAAAGGTATACATAGAGTGTATACTCCTCGAGACACTTTGCGGCATGTGTCGAATCGCCGGGAAAGGTCAAGTTGCTGAATCATACGATGCAGGATGCCGACGGCTAGAATGCCGGCCCAGAAGCCATACCCAGCAAAGCTGTTTCGTCAGAGCTGCCATGGAAAAGCCCCTGGGCAGGGAGGTCAGTGACCTACCCATATGCGAAATGTGTCCATGTCTCGTACTCCCAAGTATCCTACCATTAGCAACAATTAGCAATTTAGGTAGGGACCTGAATTAGAGAAACCCACAATTGTCCGATAAGTACGATCGAAATGCGACGAGGATAAGAGAACGGGAGAATCTACATGCAGAGTGCTAGGAAGTTCCTGATAGTCAACAACTCGCATGTGTGTAATCGCATCATTGGTTAAATTTTTGGCGAGCTGTTCCTGGGGGATCAGCTCTAGTTGGCCGGCTTGTTGGCAGAGGGTAGCCAATTGGGAAAGGCCTGGGGCTCGCTCTGACGGGCGGCAGTACACCTGAGAGGCGGCATAAATGGATGTGACTTTCAATGGATTCTGACAACGAGTTTCCCAGACGCCAACTGCAGAACTTCCACCAAATGTAATATAGGTATATGCAGTGTAAATGGCCTTGACGCAACGTTCATTCGGCGGGATAATGCCGGATAGAACAAGACCGGTATTCAATTGCAAGACGAGCCAGTATAGTGTACGCATGTCTGGGAGGTAAGGTATGATATGTCTAGTAGGGAGAATATCCGCCTAAGAACTGGTAGGTACATGGAGAACCCGACCGGAGCATTACGGGTGAATCGATAACACTCTTCGGTGAACCGGGCAATGAGTTTAGGGAATACTCAACTGTGTGATGTGAGAAAAGTTAGCAGCGGGGTATAAATTGGACAATCGCTAGCCAGCGAGATAAACTTGTCCCACGGACTGCGCTGTCTGGAGGAAGGTGAGAAAGTTTGAGGAAGGTGAGGAAGTTGTGAGGAGGGGGAAAATTATCAGATGATTATCAGATCAGACGGGATGGCGGGATATCAGGTTATCTAATCTGATCATCTCCGATAGCTGAGTCATCCGCCCATAATCGAATCAAGCGAGCCGAGCAATCAAGCGAGCCGAGCAAACAAGCGAGAGCCACTACATTTGTCTGTGGGCTAAATATATTTCTATTATTGTAAACATCTTCCTTCTAAATATAACAATTACTATAGTATAGTTGCATCTATATATAAATAGTATATATTGAGGATATGGTTTTCTCTAGGGCCTCCTACATTCAATGGCTCTAATAGACCAGTCACCGTTAGATTCTCCCTGCGGGACGAGACCACCGCCTTTCACCTATCAAATGTCCACACTAATTATTGCGGCGGGAGGAAAAAATCACCTGATTAGCTAGTCGGGTTTAAATTCAGGTACACAGAAACCAAACGAGTTGGCGTGAGTATGACGAAGGAGCTTGGATAAATAAAACAAGTGGTAAAACATACAAAACTTATAGAAGCCGACTATGCGCTCATGGATAAATAGAAACGTCGCCTGGAAGTGAAGCTATTATCTTATTATCATTTCTAATGTATACTGCTGATACTACTAATATAGTGTTGAAACTCCCTATCTGACTCACTATTATGGCTCTCGTAGAACTATGTTTTTGTGGGTCGAATGGTTTGTCTTGATATATATTATACTAAAAAGGATAATATTATTAACCCCAGCGCAGCCTGGAATATTAATTAAGTCTTCTAAGTATATAAGGTACAGTAACTGTTGCACACTTATACAGGTCGGAACTGCATAAGTGGTTCTCGGCGCTCACCCTAGTTCATTCGTCCATAGTTCGAGTGTTTGACCTCGTCCACCTTCAATCTTCAACTTCACACTACTTAATGAAATGACCATGTTCTTCCTCTGAGCTTTCGTGTTTACAGTAACTCTCTAAATAGCAAGATAATAACTAGTACATAGTAAAGTAACTGGAGAAGCTTTCAAGCTACCTATTATATAAGATGTTTCATAGCGAGTTAAGTATAAATTAAACAAGGGAAAGAGAAATCAGGGTGCTCTATAAGTAGTGCGATAGTATTTTCAAATTTGCTGGTGATAGACGCCTGTATGGCCAAAAGCTACTATTGCAGGCCATGGGACGTTTCATCCCGTATTCCCCGATTAGCTGGGTAGAGGCCAATCAAATCAAAGGGCTTAAGTAGAGAGTGGAGTCCAGTAGTCATAGCAAGCTTTCAAACACCCGAGGAGCGTGACCTTGATGCTTCAGAGGCTGGCTGTTCTTTAGAGTACTGCTTCATAAACTCTTCAGGGACATTTCGCCCACCTTTACTAACAGCAATGTTTACCACTTTAATAAGGACATATAAGGTAGCACAAATATATTACTCACCACGTTTTAACTACATCTAGGAATATTTAAGTTACCTATGTATAAAAAGACTCACCACAGGAATAATACTGTCTTTGTCGGACGACGATACCCCGGATCCTGTTCATTTCCCCAGACTTCTCCACCTCATGGAAGGTGGGGATCATTCGGGAGGAAAGAGGGGATCGGGGTTCCCCCTCTTCCAATAGAATTTGTCCGGGATCAGCATCCCTCCCTTCTCTGAAAGTTTCCCAATCATGCGACTCAATGGACTGCCAAAGTTTTGCCATTGTTTAACGTTATGCTGCGGATGCATGAAGTTGTACTCCTATGTAATACCTCCCCCCGCTGTATAAATACCCCGTGGATGCCACAGGAGTCAGCAAGCCTGACAAAAGCAAGCCTGGCATAACTTCCTTATAAACCATGCATAGTTATATTACCAGTCTCGTTAGCCTTGTTGGGGTTCTTTCCCTTGGTTATACTGCCGCAACACTGCAAAATATCACCAATGACTCGTATTTCTACGGCGATTCACCTCCCGTTTATCCCTCACGTAAGGTTTTCCCATTTCTCGTCGATATAATTACTGATACGTTGCCCTAGCCGAGGGCACTGGGACCGGTGAATGGGCGTTAGCCTACGAAAAAGCCAAAAAGCTGGTCGCCAGCCTTACTCCTGAAGAAAGGGTCAAGCTGACAGCTGGAGTTAATGCTGATAATAGCTGCTCAGGAAACATACCCTCTATTCCACGTTTGAACTTTCCAGGTCTTTGCGTCTCCGATGCGGGGAATGGTCTTGTAAGTGATTTGATTTCGTTTAGTTATCTCAACCTTGTTTGTCTAGATTATAGCTGACCTGTGTAGCGTGGCACAGACTATGTTATGGTTGGCCTAGTGGAATACATATAGGAGCGAGGTATAGCTCTGGGCTCTCACAAGGGAGCATCTGCTAACTTGCTATGTCATGTAGTTGGAATAAAGCTCTTTCCCGGCAAAGGGGCCTCCACATGGGTGGTGAGTTTTACAGAAAAGGTGTACATCTTCTCCTTGGGCCTGTTGTAGGGCCCATTGGGAGAATTGTTAAAGGGGGCCGTAACTGGGAAGGCTTCTCAACAGATCCCTACCTCAGTGGCGCATTGGTTTACGAAACTGTTTGTGGAATACAATCTGCAGGTGTGGGTGCGTCTACCAAGGTGTGCATTGCAATGGAAAGCCACGGACGCTTAAGAAACTAACCCACACAGCATTATATACTTAACGAACAAGAGACGTACAGAAACCCTCAGAAACTTAATGGTCTCGACATCGCTGCTATCTCATCCAATATTGATGACAAGACCATGCATGAGCTGTATCTTTGGCCATTCCAAGACGCTGTGCGAGCAGGAACTGCATCAATCATGTGCTCTTACCAAAGAATTAATAATTCATATGGATGCCAGAATAGCAAGACCCTTAATGGGCTATTGAAGACAGAGCTGGGCTTTCAGGGTGGGTCTCTTTACTTCTGGTCGTAAGGCTTTGTGACTTACCGACCACAGGATACGTGATTTCTGACTGGGGTGCCCAGCATGCTGGAATTGCTACAGCCAACGCTGGGTTGGACATGGCCATGCCATCGACGAAACTGTGGGGGCCCAAACTCACCGAAGCTATCGAAAATGGGACTATGGAAGCATCTCGTTTGGATGATATGGCAACCAGGTTCGTGAAGCGATTCGCTTCTGCGCGAGTTTTATACTGACGATGATAGAATTCTGGCAACATGGTATAAATTAAAACAAGACGTCAATTTCCCACCCTCAGGCATAGGGATGCCCAAGGACGTCAATGCAGATCACCAGGTTATCGTCGGGATAACCCCGGCGTCCAAGCAAACCCTGCTTCAGAATGCGATTGAGGGCCATGTGTTGGTCAAAAATATCAACAATGCTCTCCCCCTCCGGTCTCCCAGGTTAGTATCAGTCTTTGGCTATGACGCCAAAGGACCCGACAGCTGGAGCACCAATTTAGAGTTCTGGGGATATAGCCCCCCGATTCAAGGAAACCATACCTTATATGTTGGTGGGGGATCGGGAGCCAACTCACCCGCCTATATTAGTGCGCCCCTGGATGCCCTCCAGGCGCAAGCATCTCAGGATGGCTCATCTCTGATATGGGACATCACATCTCTGGATCCCGCTGTGAACCCCACCAGCGACACTTGCCTAGTTTTTATAAACAGCTATGCCACGGAGGGTTATGACCGGCCGGGTTTGGTAGATGAGACTAGCGATGTCTTGGTGACTAATGTAGCCAGCAAGTGCGACAGCACAGTTGTGGTTGTCCATAATGCAGGAATCCGCCTAGTAAATGCTTGGATAAATCACCAGAACGTTACCGCTGTGATATTTGCCCATCTTCCTGGGCAGGATTCAGGGAGGTCTGTGGTAGAACTACTTTACGGCAGATCAAACCCTTCGGGTAAACTCCCCTATACCGTCGCAAAGAAGGCAGAAGACTATGGACAATTACTCCATCCAATGGAGGCAAAGGAGCCATTTGGACTTTTCCCCCAAGATAATTTTAGCGAGGGGATCTTTATTGACTACCGTGCCTTCGATCAGCAGGGAATTGAGCCCCAGTTCGAATTTGGATTTGGACTATCATACACGACCTTCGACTACTCAGGCCTGCACATTGACACTGTTAGCGCGATCAACACCCCATATCCACCGCCAGCTGCAGTACAGGAGGGTGGGAACCCGCATTTATGGGATGCCTTGGTGAGGGTGAGAGTGCAGGTGAAGAATAGTGGCTCGGCGGATGGTGACGAAGTGGCTCAACTTTACGTCGGTATTCCAAATGGCCCAATCCGTCAGTTACGTGGATTTGAAAAGGCGCATATTACGACAGGTTCCACAGCAAATGTCATGTTCTCGCTGACCCGTCGTGACCTGAGTGTATGGGACACCAATGCACAACAGTGGTGGTTGCAGCCCGGTACGTATCAGGTATTTGTGGGCCGTTCCAGTCGGGATCTCCCTCTGAGGGGTCATTTTACACTCTAAGGTAGCATTACACTATGGGAAGAGGCATTTATGTGTCAATTATGCATTCTAGGCCTTCAGCTCCCTTGGCTATTGTTGAGGAAATTATAGCCGGCCAATCATTTGCTTTCCTGGCTGTCATTTTTCTTAGCTATGTTCATCGCAGTGTTAAATAGACAGGGGCACAAGTTGGTCCTTGCCTATTTTTCTTTTTCTAAGAATCTGCCGCACTCAGACAACGTTTGCTGCTACCCACTGAGGGGTTGCATGTTAGCTGCATTGTAGCGTAGCGATCTCGGTGGTGATGGTTCTCAACTCCAAATCAGCAGATCTTTGACTTCAAGTCCAACAACCATCTATCACTCTCGTTCCATCATGAAGATTAGTCTCCGCGATTTTGTTCAGCAGAATGGCTTCACTAGCCCGAATGCCGACCATTTGGGACTGGATGCTTTGATTGTCGGTGCTGGTTTCAGTGGCGTATGTTACTGCATGAACTTCGGATTGTGTGGAGTTTAAGGCGAATGGGCGACTCCCATCGACACGTTCTGGGCTTGACAATCTGCGGATTTGCGAGCTTATTCTATATGTATGATCAGAATGGCCAGACAGCCGCATTCAATGGGCCAATCTGCATAGAATTCGATCCCACAGCGGCCACAAGCCATGCCTGGAAATACCGGATTAATAAGTTATCGAATGCCACGCTCTTCCTAGCCACGAAGTCAACCTACATGGGAGGTACTTTCCCTGGGAAGCCTTTTGAGAAGTTAATTATACGGCAGGTATATCATCCTACCATGCCGAGATTCGGACGGTGCTGCAATCACTCAAAGGATTTTCCGCAGAGATGCAATAATCTTCTGGCTACAATACATTCCTATCGTTTCAACTGAATACTTGTACCTGCATCTACTCTTTTTTTTTTTTTTTTTTTAACTAGAATTTCACTTCTCCAGCACTTTCTTGAAAGTGAACATTATTATATATATAGGCCATCCATTCTCTCCTAGTACCATCGTATTCCCTACATTCTCTATGCCTGTCGCATTACAAAACATCAATAATTATTAACTAGTCATTTCATATGCTACAGAGCGCTCATGGATATCTTTTTCAAGATGCTTCTGGCATACGTCATTTTCCACCATGTGTCGAAAGAACCCATTGTCCCTTTTTATTAACTCTGCGGGAGGCCCGAATTCCACCACCTTTCCATTGTCAAGAACCAAAATTCGATCAAAGTCGACTATAGTTTGAATACGATGCGCGATAACAAGCAATGTAGTATCGTTGCAACAAGACCGAATCGATTGTTGGATGAGCTCGTCTGTTTCTTTGTCAACAGCGGACGTGGCTTCGTCAAGAATCAAAACGGCCGGTTTCGAAAGTAATGCTCGATCAAGACACAGCAACTGTCGCTGTCCATGGGATAGATTGGACCCTCCATTGGACACTGCAGTATGTAACATGCTCAAAGATGTTACCCCTTTAGCAGACCAATGGACCTGCTCTAAGGAATGCAACAACACGTCTTCGCCGAGCTCACCGAATGGGTCAAGATTGGAGCGCACGTTCCTGAAAACAGGACTGGGTTTTGAGGTATAATTGCTAATCGACTGCGTAAACATTCCAGCTTCGTTGTTGATATATCGATGCTATCTATCCAAATCTTGCCTTGACATGCCTCTAGGAACCGAAATAACGTCAGTGCTAGCGACGACTTCCCTGCACCTGTGCGGCCAACAATCCCGATGCGTTGCCGCGGCTCTACATGAAAGCTGACATTGCACAACACTGGTGGCAGGTCTTGACTGTACCCTACTGTGAGATCTTTGACGACAATCCGGCCGTCCGTAGGCCATGATAGAGGGGCGGTATCTCCCATGCCACCTTCCATGGGGAGGTTCGAATACTCCAGTATCCGTTCGATGCCATTCATATCCATCTCCAGGGTTGCGTAGGTCCGGCTCAGAGAAATCAGGGCGAAACATAAATGGTTCGTGAACACCATTGCAAAACCAGCTATGGAGCCGGTAATGTTATTTCTCCATATAACAGCGAATGCTGTCGCGGTGGAAAATAAAGCACCTAAAGCATTGACCCAAAATGTGAACCACTGATTAAATAGACAAAGATGCCATACAGCCTGTGCGTGCCGATCGATCTTGGTATGAACGGCCATATAATAATATGTACGGCGATACGCTCGGATCGTCACTATCCCCTGAAAAGCTGAGCTGAATTGTTGATATATTGGGCTTCTGGCAATACACTCGAGGCGCTTTACTTCGCGAGCTGCTGAAAGGTACAGACGAGTGTACCAGAAGGTTGCATATATTAACAACATGGCAAACGGGATCAATATCGGGCGAACTAGTACGGCGCCCATAATGACACATATGCAGTCCATGCCGGCACTGAGAAACCCCATAAAGTCGAACCCCAGCCGAGAATCCATTAGGTAGAAATCAGCCGTGAACCTATTGAGAAGACATCCTATTGGAACTGCATCGGCCCATTGTAATGGTGTTCGTAGCAAAACGTAAAGGAGCTGGCGAAAAAGGCTTTTAGATGAGCGAAGAGATATCGCAAGAGCAACATAAGTTCGCAAAGTTCCCAGTAGACACGCTGCGATTGCAAGTCCAAAATAGTTTCTTAGATAAAACCACACGTCAGAGTCGTTTTTGGTCCAGATGCTTACCCACCAGAACTATGCCAAGTCAGTTGAATCTTTTAAGTTGACATGAGGCGACTGTGAAACCTAGCTCATTCTCAAGACTCACCTGAGCTAATTGAAGAGCATTATAGGTGAGATAACACCCAGAAAGAAGATACCAATTAGACCATCCACCAGAGGATTGAACATATCGCTGAAAGAGAGACCATTGATGCGCCTTGCTCGCGAGTCTCATCTGGCACAAATTTCCTGTATCTTTCCGAATTTGTAGGCTTGGTTATGACCTGACTTTGGCCATTGTGTTGAAGAGCTGTATCATATGGAGGATGAGCAATATGTTTGCGAAAATATAGCCCGGCGGTTTTCATGTTCCTTGTTCCTTGTTCCTGTGTTTGAGAGTGTTGAGCATGACCCTCATCTCTCGTAATGCTAACATCTTCATCTCTCCCATTATCCAACCGTATCATGTAGTCAGCCTTTGCGATACATAGGCCAACATGGTGCGTAACCAAGATTCTAGTCCGTCCCTTAGCCAATTCGCCTGTCAAAGCATGATCAAACAGATGCTGAGCCGTGTGGACATCCACAGCACTGAAGATATCATCAAGAAGAAGAATACCAGCTCGGGAATAGATAGTACGTGCAAGGCTTATACGTGTCCTTTGCCCGCCACTGAGATTGATGCCGCCGGGTCCGATATCAGTCATATCACGCTCTTCAAAGTCATCGATATCGTGGACCAATGCACAAGCTCTCATAACATCCCAATATCTCTTTGGCTCAAACGGCAGTCCATAGAGGATATTATCACGTACAGTTCCGGCTTCAATCCAGGGGGTCTGGGCCACGTAGACCATCATATTATCAAGAACCCACCGTCCACAACGCTGTAGGGGGTATAAATATCTCCATAGGGAGGAGGATGCGGTCTCTGTACTTTCCCAGACACAATGTTACACTCGCCTAGTATCGCTGCCAATAAGAGGCTTTTCCCAGAACCAGTAGGACCTGAGACCAGACTCAAACCATGGGATGGGAAATTCACATTGATATCTTGCAATGTCCCCACTTTTTTGCGAGATGTAGGAGAATGGTAGGACAGAGTGGCGCTTATAAACTGGATGTTCTCTGACGCAGTCACACCTTCTTTCTCGACATTGAATCCTGAGAAATCTGCCATGCGTTTTATGCTCACGTTTGCAGCTATAGTACCAGAGAGTAGCTCGGGCAGAATTCCCAATATGAACTGAAGGTACCCCAGTATGGAAATACAGGAAATGCAATGGCTGGCGTAAGCCGTCCATATAATTTGGCATACACTCCACGGGAAATGGTTGATACCAGTACCGGACCTAGAAGATGGAGAGTCACGTATATGACTTGCCAGTTAAACGATGTCTGTTGCGCTTGCAGCTCATTATTGCGCAATTGATTGATCTTCGCCTCCCATTTTCTCTCAAGTCCTGCAAACTTCACCTGTCGAATACCCTGCAGGACCTCCGTCATAACGCCTATCTTCGTATTACGGGCCCTCATCAGGGCATTCTCCGCAGCGGAGCATCTTTTAAGACAGACAGAATGCAGTGGGAAAAGTAAACACAGGGAAAAAATTCCCGCCAGGAGGCTTTGCCATCCCAGAAGTCGACCCAGCAATATACAAGCAACGATAATCTTCATTGGCTGGAGAACACAGCTATAGAGGAACCCGGCAATTGTCGCGATTCTGGGCGCATGTATTGCTACTAAATTTGTTATATTTTGAAGCCCTATGCCACTTTCTTCCTCTTTATGACTATTAGCCAACGGCGTAAGATTCACTGTGTTGTCAAAGAGGATGGCGCAAAGCTGCTGCGTCATAGGGATGGATATTCTGCTCTGAGCAATCCAGAGTAGCCAATTCTCAAGCCATGAAGAAACCCCAATTCCTAAGCCTAATGCCAGTGCCAATCTCATAAGCGCTGCATGATGTGTCTGTTCCTTAGTTCGTGCTTCGAGTAGTAGTATCATCTCCCGTAATGCAACATGGGGCGTGAAAGCGAGCACTGCTAGAGGTACAGAGAGAATGGTCTGGTAGAGAATATGCTTTCGGTATCAGAGGAACAGCGTCTTCCAAAGCGGCCTATGAGAATCAGCAGACTCCACTCGTTTAAATGTATCCTGTAAGGTACTCGCTCGAGTCCTGCCATCTAACTCTGGAAGAGTTTCAAGGCTGATATTGGGTTCGATTCCGATCTGTCGAACAAGGGAGCAGCCCAGTGGAAACATATATGCCCAATAATTGATGACGATCCCTCTCCATCAACTAGTTTGCCATCACGGAGTCTACGTCGGCGTCGCGGGATTGAAAGACTGACTAAAATAGTTGAGACTGCCAGGATCTGGCACACATAAAGTGAAATAAAGTCTTCATTTGAGTTTTCGAGTGGAGGTATAGTGTAGAGCTCCACAGTCATGGTAACCATTAATATAGAGCAGCAAAGCGCTCCTTTCAGTCCCATGGCATACTGAGGTGTATGCAGTGGTTCCACAGCAATCATCACATACTGAGCCAACAAAACTACCTATACTAGGTCAGTGTTATTCTATAATTGAGATACTTCTTATCTTACCCAGGTAGCAAATAGCAGCCATGCTTCCAGAACGAGGTGCTCAGTGATACTGATCGCGGCACGGACGAAAGCAACTGCACTCCCAGCAAACATCAAAAGGACCAGAATCCATGGTCGTTAACCTCTCCTTGTCATACCAGTGCTATGTCTAGATATTTTGTCTAGCGTTTCGTCATCGTGGTTATGGCTCTGTCTTTGATGCACCCTTCCGCGGGAAAAAAGGTGCAAGAGAATCTCTCGTATGGCCGGGACACATAGCTGGAGCGCCAGTCCTAGACTGGTAATATGTGTGATTAGGCAGAGCGTTCTAGGCTAAGCATCGTGTGGTGGGTGTTGCATGCAGGGTTGAATCAAGGGGGTGTAAACATTGCGGCAGCCATACACTCCTGGGTAACCAGGCAGACACGTTATCTATCGATTTTATGCTTTGCATATTCGCACGGTCATGCTAGGCAGCAATATATATCATGCATATCAGGTATTATGTGTGGGCATGGCATCCACCAAAAAAAAAAAAAAATCAACTTTTCCACCTAGCTGCAGTGGATTTAATGATATAGGTGGTTCAGGTTGACGAGATATCTGGACTATGTACCAAACCATGCCTATATAAACAACCCACAATTAATCCTCCGATGTAAACACCTCGTCCCAATGTTTTTTCACTCCCTCACACACCCCTGATCTATCCTTCCACGAATCAAGCGCATGCTCCAGAGTACATGCCACCGTCTTTGTCTCCTCCCACGTCACCTTTTCAGCATCATATCCTATTCGTTGCAACGCATCCACGCTATTCGTCCAGATCCGAGTCGGCTTTCCATTATGTAGCGTCTTCTCCAGGAGGACCTCCCCTGGATTAAACTCTGGATCGTGCGCATGTATAAAGAACCCGCGAACCGACCCTGTTACGCAGTGATCTTTGACACATGGGTTTTCCTGCCTGGTCCGCTCGTAATCTTCTATTGGATCCGCCTGCAACATAGCGGGGCGGATGGTAGGCGCATGAGGATGGCTCCAGTCGACTATCGGCTCGCTGACGGTGTAGAACTCTTCCCCAATAGCCGTTGCGGCCTGGATGAATGTGTCATTGTCACCTTCACCGGGCCCACCTTGGCATAGAAGCTTGTAGTAGAACGACGGCCCGTAGTAGTTATAGTAAGTGGCCAGGAGCAAGGTCAGCCAGTGACTCTTTTAGAAACGAGTAACACTCCGGCCTCGGTGGCCGGACGCGCATTGGTAGGTGGTTCAGGTTGACGAGATATCTGGAAGTATAGTGGTGAGGCGGTATTCGTCCAGAAATCCGGCCAGGTGACCAGGCCAGTCGAGGTGAAGGACTTCGATGTTAGTAACTGTGCGGGATCATGCACCGGGATGCAGTCGGCGTCCATCCACAAAATAGATTCAAACGACGAAAAGAGTATTGCGAACGATTTGAGCTGGAAATCCTCAGTAGTGTCGTGGTAATTTCTCTCGACTGGTAGAATCTCGGAGAGAACAATGCATCGGGCATTCAGCGGCGGGAGAACCACCTCGCAGACGTACGGCTCGTACTCCTGATAATCCCGCATGAATAGTTCCACGGGCAAGGTAGATCCCGTCCGTCGCAGCATGCGTAAGGTGACCACGAAGGTAGGCATGTAGTGGCCCCCAGCTGCTGATACAATCCCCTTGGTCCCATTGCGGTAGGCGCGATAGTTGCGATTGTCGGCTATTGTGTGTATATCTAGCGTAAAGTTGTCGTGGGCATCCTGTAGAGGCTGGCAGATTTCATCAAAGTTGTACACAAGGTTTTCTCGAGGAGATTCGTAGACCGCATCAAACGGAGGCATTCCCACGGTGCCGATGACTATTGGTGAATCACATTGTGGTCTATGTTTTTCAAGGATGGCATGCAGCTCATACGCCAGCTGAGCCTCACGATCCGAAAGGAGATAGGGAGATGTCGAGGTTAAGAAGGAGCTGTTCCAAAAGAGGTATATATTGAGGAGAAACACGGTGACTATTAGGGTGATGGTAATCCTCCGGGGCGGGAGCGAGTGGAGGCAGGCCTTCTTTTTTATATACGATATGCCCTAGTCATGATCTGGAGATAGCCGCCTGGCTTCCTGAGGCTGAGTGGACATTCCAAAACGGGATCAAATGTACACCCGCGTAATTTTGGCCTATTTTTAGTGACCGTAGAAAATACATGCTTCTAGGGAATTAGGGCCTTGGCTGACAGCAAGTCCATCCCTATTATCGTGACCCGAATGATGGTCATTCGTAGTATCTGTGCGTACGAGAGATGACGGTCTATGGTATATAGCAATACGGAGAGGATCCATGGTAATATTTAGGAGACCCCAACCAGACATTGTCATTCTGAAGGAGGGCGCCCGGTAAATGCGAACCTATCGAAGATGGCCTATGCTACCTCCCAGTAGTAGGCCAGAAAATGGCACGCGGCCAGCCAATATATATATATATTAGACCAGTCCTTTGCTTGGGCGTTTTGGCGGAGCGGCGAGTGCTTACGACACAACGCTCATATCAGAGATTCAGGGGATATTACACTTAGTAGTAGGCTAGCTAAAATTAATCTCGCTATCCAATTGACTAAGGGACGGCGGCTAATACAAGCCACTTATCCTTCCTCTATTGGTGGTGTCAGGTAAATCCTAGCTCTACCCCTGCACGAAGCCCGAATATCCCACGGTCATTCCGGAGCAATCCCCTAGTGGTTTCAGTGTAACTGCCAGGAGCATCAGAGCGTTAACCTTGGTAGGAACTTACCATGATAGCTAGTTATATGCGACGAATAAAGTGCCTCGGCTACGGATGTCTATGTATATGTACTATCATTTAACCATTACTTGCTATAGGATGTTCCATCTGATGAGATATTAGTGGCGGTAAGGATCAGTAACTGACGAGAAAGTGGGTAGCTTGATCAGTCCATGTCCGTACTCCAATAAATAGTCAAGCACTCCAGCCCTCTTTCTTGCCCAACTGCAGAGTACGGAGTAACTAGTTCGGGTCTTCTTATTAGTAAGGCGGCGCAGGAGGGATCATCGGTGATCCATGGTACAGTAAAACCCGTCTAATTGCAAAACCAATATCGGTAAAGCGCTAAGTGGGTCTTAACTTCCACTTATAGGGCAGGATTTGTTGCATTTATCACAATAAGTGCAATTCTTAGTCTTTTTCTCTACTCATATACATATGCATATACAGAGTTATGATCACGTGTAGTGCTTGTGATTGGCTAGAGCCGGTTTCTATAACTGCATTCCTTCTCTAAATGCATCCAAAATGGCGTTCCGAATTGATTGCATTTAACAGGGTTTTACTGTACTAGCATGCAATTAGGAGGGGGATTTTGGCAAAATTCATTATTTATTGTCGGATATTTGGCTAGTCCTGAAGAGGAAATAGAATACGATTGGTAAAAAAATGTCTTATTTGAACGAATTTAGCTGGTTGGGCTCTTCTTGATTATATTCTTTTTGTTGTGTGCTTCGTAAGGGGTTTTACCCCGATCTAGTCACATGATTATGGTCCACCCACGGCCATATTATTTGTGTCGACAATTAACTATGGTAATATTGATTATTCAGCACCTTTCTCAGTCAAATGTTGTTGATGATCCAACATCATCGGATCGCGTATATTTCCTATATTAGTTAGTTTGCATTCTTCATTTGTTTACCTCGCCTTTATAAACGCGAGATGTTTTGGTAGTTTAGTTGAATCAGAGACCTAATTCAATGAAGGATCGATACTTGCGAATACGCGTAGTTTTATGGTTGACAATTTGACATTTATCGATTGTGACATTCAACTCAAAATTACCACTAATCAGTTAGCGCCAGCTAAATTAGCCCTACCAGTTAGAGCGCACGTCTCTTACTCTAGACGCTGGAGTGGAGATAAGCTGCATTCTATCTGCCAACCAGGCTGTAGGTTCATATTGCCTAGCTGGCGCTATATTAATGAAACTGTTCACTGCTTGTTTGCATGTGCAGCTATTCATTCACACTTGAACTAGAACTAGCAATCATTTATCTGTTTGCTGAGAGCAATTGAATTCTAAGGGCGATAAGTGCTGAAGTAAACTCTAATATTACCTGTTACGCGGGTATGTGATACTTCCTGCTCTTCTTCTTTTGCTGTGACATTTTCTCTTTTTCGGGGGGATCATTAGGGGCCGAGCAAAGGTTTCCAGCCAGGTGAGGGGCAAATATTAGTACGATCGCCGCCCTCAAATTGAACGATTTCCAGCCTAAGTCTTTCGCGCACCTTCTATCCATGAAATTATGATGCCAGTATTTGCCAACTCCCACCGACAAGCCCTCCTCTTGCTCGCTTTGCAGATTTCAATCCTTCCCAGCATACTTGCGAAGCAATGCTACTGGACTAGTGGTGAACAGGCTAACGACGAATTTGCTCCCTGTTTTCCGGACAAAGCGAATAGTGCGTGCTGTGGAATCAATAAAAAAAACGACCAACCAAATGATTTCTGCACCTCAAATGGTCTCTGTTTACCACAGGTTAGACGGTGGTCGGGCCTCTACTTATTAAATGCATGCACAGATCAGACATGGGATAGTTACGAGTGCCCTAAGATCTGTGACTTGAGCAGTCAGTATTTCGTCGGTATATGTCATCAGTGTAGTACAGAACTAACAATAGTCTCCTCTTTTTAGAAATGAGTCAAGGTACCGCCATTCATATCCTTCCGTGTCCGAACAGTACACACGGTATGAACTCTTGGTGCTGTAGTCCCAGCGGTGCCGATTGTTGCGATGACGCCTTTCAAATGGATATGGGCACCTTACTTATCCCCGCCTCGACTACTTCCTCGAATTCTACCTCAACCGCTACCGCAACTACGACCGCGACTGTAACCGCGGGCACGACTAGGATCAAGGATAGTGGCACGGAATCCAGGACAACTGCCGTCGGGGCTGCTGTGGGAGCTGCTTTGGGTGCGTGCCTCTTGGCGGCTCTCGGAACAATTTTGTTTCAACGGCGGACATACAAGAAGAAGCTGCAAGAGATGCAACAGATTCAAACTACTCCTGTTTATTATTGTGCGCACACTACTGCTGAGACTCCAAGTGAGTTGCCTTTGAATCCCAAACCCGCCGTGTTTGAGTTAGGGGAGGAACGTCAACAGGATCCAGCTGGCAGGAGTCCGTGACTGGTCCACTAGGTACAAGAGGGTATACACAGATGGCTATTTAAATGGCGAAACGTGTATAAATGGGCATTTTGTTCTTTCAATGGTCATATCCATGTGGTGTTGTATATAATATAAATCAATAAATAATAATTTGTCAAACAATGCCTCCAATTACTTGATTTTCTATTGAAAAGAGATGCTGTATAGTATAAACGCATACGCTATAGCATGCACCGGCTGACACAGCTGTAAGGTAAATCTTTAGACAGGTTAAGATAGATTTGGTGAACATAAAATGCCCATAGCTCTTAATGGTAGTGCATTATCACGGGCTAGAGAGCATTGTGTCCTGTCAAGCACAGTATGTCCACGAAGGAATTGTTGGGAAACAAAAATAAAAACGGGAGACCTTCTTATGAATAATTTAACCCATTGTGCCCTCGCTTCAGTGATCAATAATGGATTGTGCGATATGTCTCATCAGGCCGATTTCCAAGTCTGCACGAGGGCTGGTAGCCTGAGCATCCTATGTGGTATCAACCCCTCACACCAGCTTGCTTATGTCCCAGAGTATCCCACAGAAGCCTTAAGCCATTCAGTGCGCATACAAATTGTAACGGAAACAATATAATCCGCCTGACTTGGTGATGCGGAGTATCAGACGATCGATTCACCCCTGAATCCTTTAGATAGTTGAACACCTCAATGAGAATATAGGGAACCACTTAGTAGGCTCAGTTGGTTGAGATACTGCGATTCCTGGTGTTTCAACTGAATGACATCTACTTCTTAGTTAGGCCAGTTGGCCTGTAGCTAATAGAATAGCTCCCTGCGCATCACTTCCCCTGAATTTCACAACACAAATTTATGTGCTAAAGCATATGTCTCGATATCCCTCGACATGGCACCTATAAAATAACTTGAATTATGTAAGCGTAAAGGGAAGAGTCGAAGCTTTTATCAGGGCCATTCGACTGAATTGAATTGACAATTAAATGATTTGATGATCTGAATGATATCATGAAGAGCTATCTAGAGGATATTTATACTCTCATCTTGAGCTCATTTGGCCTTCATGGAATCTAGTGGAATTCTACTTCTTCTTTCCTAATTTGGTAGCCATCCGAGCAACCGTTATCATGCGTTGAAGCGTTTAAAATTTATGAATATGCAGGCAGAAAACTAGGTGGGCCCATGAGTGATCAGCAACTGAGCCAAGGTGCCATGCATACTTCACGCTGGAAGCTACGAAGTACGGTGTAGGTAGTTGTACTCTCATCACAGTTTTACGTAGGCACAACGATTTTAAGAAACCTGGCCGTTATGTGGACAATCGACTTCTAAAGACACCCTTAGTAGAGATAAGATCTCGCCGGGACCGGTGGATTTATTGGGAGACTATTACTGCGGTGACTGTTTAAAGCAGCCATTCCAAAGTGTAATAAACTCGGAGGAAGAGCTTTGGTGGGAAATGTCTTGGTATAAGGGGCTGCAATATAGGCGTACTAACTACACACGAACCAAATGGTCATATGACTGTCAAAACGTGTTCGCGAGGCACAATTCTCTTCAATTCAGGGGCTCTGGCGAGCTGACTATCTAGGTGGGTGACTAAGTGCGGCCACGTGACCATACCGAATATGGTAGGTCCCTAACAAAACGAGTTAGCGACCCGCTATCAGCCGAAGCCTTGTCCGGAAATCTACAGTCACGCATTATCTTTCGGGAACGGCAAACTCAAAACGGTGACATTCTTGAGCTTAAAAAATGTATAGTTAGGCAATCTGTTGAAGCTTAATCAGCGAGCTGAAAGAGCTTTGATTCGTCATATCCGCCAAAATACTACCAAACCATTAATTTTCTTATCTTCACCTTCAAAATCTACACACCAGCTTCATATCAACACTACGCGCAGATATCTGAAGAAAAACGAGGTCTACGCCTTTAGGCCTCGTCGGAAGCCATTTCATACAGGAGGCAAAAGAGACTGCGGCTTCAGTGGGGACTGGTAGTGTGTGATCTTTTCAGACGAGTCAAAATTTGAGCTCGGTTTTGATAGTTCGGCACCTTAGGTACGGCGTAAAAAGGGTCAAGTGTTTGAATCACAATATCTACGGCCAAGTTTCATATCAGGACGGTCAACTATAGGTGCTTAGAGTTGTATTTCATATAATCTTCGGCCAAAGCTTAAAATTCTACCGGATGGCAGTCGTATGGACAGTTTTATTATTGCAACAAGATTTTAAATGAAATTGGGCAGCCATATTATCAAGAATTGGCTGAGCTTCAAGAAGATGCAATCTGGCAAGATGACGGCGCGAGATACCAACCACACTTCAAAGGCTACAAAAGCTTATGAAGAATGCATTTCTCTTTAACAGATGGAATGGCCGCCTTCGTCACCCGATCTTAATCTAATTGAGAATCTATGGAGCCAGGTCAAGCAGCGTATATCTAGACGTTATATAATCCACTCAATTGCTGAATTGTGTGGAATTATCCAAAGGGAATGGGATGCATTCGATCAGGTTGAAATTCAACATTTATTTGAGTCTATACACAGAAGGTGCTTTTAAGTCATCAAAGCTAGGGGTGGCCATACAAAATACCCATAAAAATAAAGCTTAGATGCCTAGGAAGCGATAAATTCAATTAAAAATAAAAAGATATTTTTGATGGTGATATTGTTGATAGAAATGGAGTGGTTTTTTTTTTTTTTTTTTTTTTTTTTTTTTTTTTTTTTTTTTAATTTTAAAAAAGGGGGGTTTTTTTTTTTTTTTTTTTTTTTTTTTTTTTTTTTTTTTTGATATGAGACATTTTACCTGGGGTGGCACATAATTACCGGTAGGGTACTGTACTTGTTGGTGACATGAGGTAAGGGAATATATCCAGTCTTTTGAAATAAATCGAATGAAAAGTGTACCTCACATCTTCACGGGTCAGACTCCTGGGATATGGAACAGACTTGGTTCCCAGTACATCTCAAATAACAAACCATCGCCCTAATATTTGCCAACCAGATAAGTTTTATATTTATCCAAAATCTGAAACTGTGTTAATCCATGTGATTTCTGTGGTAGGCGCCATGGCCAGAAAAGTTACGGCCTTGACCAAATTGATGGCGCGGACCGTGGTGCCGGTTCTCCCATGCCGAATCCATAATACACAATGGTAGGCTTATTGTTAGTCTCGAAACTGTCGGTAACTGATTTTATCTGTTCAAGTTTGAGTGCGGCAAGACGCAAGACCGGAATGTGGAGGTATGATATGGCTTTTTCGGTGAGGTTTTCGATAATAGTTGCTGTAGGCTGGACTCATTGAGGCTGATGATATGTTCGACTCACTCTTGAACCAAGTACTCAATTGCATTGGTATCCATATACTGGTCTGTGTCCTTGTGTTCGTAATTTGGGGCGGAGTAATGTGCTGGACTTGTTGGAGCCCACCCGAATCGTCTGAAAGGGGGCCTGGTTTCTGGAACCGGGTGGATTCCAAACAGAGAAGCAATATTATTTGCCGCCCTTCGCAAGAAATGTGCCGATGCCGTCTACCTCCGTTTTGGAAAGTGTAAAGTATTATTAGAAAGGTGGGAGATACGTCAAGCACCATTGTACCCAGAGATACGAAGACGTGTTTCGGTGCCCCATTTATTATAACCTGAGGTGTTTCCGTTCTCATTCCTCTGTAGGTAATATACAGGGGCTATTTTCCTGAGGGTGAAGTGATTTTGATGGTCACGATCAAATAACCATATCCGTGAATCATTGCCAGTATAGCCCCAAAATGTAAGTCCTGACCACCAACAGCTGTAAAAACTTGATTGGTATCAAGGTTGTTGAGAAAGATTTTTCCGGTCTTCTTCGAAATGATCATAGCCACCGCCACCACTGCCGGGAGGTAAACTTCCAGATGAATACCCTAGAGCAATGGACAGAAACAGAAATACATGAGCAAAGTGCATATTGCCGCGAGGTCAGAGAAAAGTAGGAGTAGAATGAAAAGACTGGTTTAGTTTGTAGAGATATATTAACATGGGTAGGTAGGTGCCGGTACTTATAGCTTTTTGCCTTCTTAAACACATACCAAACTGTCAGGGCTACATTGCTTCTACGGACAATATTCCCAATTATAGCAGTGGAAAATGCCTTCTATAACGTCTCGATAGTAGAAGTAACAGTAATAGCATTCACCGCAGCCTAGTACAGAGACTCTGTATACAATAAAAATCACTTCTAAAGGTATGCACAGCCTTTTTCATCGAGTTTTCTAGACAAGAGTTCCCAACCCCTTTTTTGCGAGGCATTTACGAAATAACCTAGGAACTACACCCTTATCTAAGTCCCACAGTCGCATTCACATAAAATAATATATAACTGTTATAGTAAGGCAGAGGAGAAGTATAAGACTAGTTATAATGCTAGCCACTATGTAGCCAAATACTTGGTAATGGCAAGACGGCTTTGCTTTTTAATTTACTTATATTTATATAAAAACAGGATAAATTTTCGTTTATATTTATTACCCTTACTAGCTATCTTTTATCGGCTTTATATACAGGATTCAGGATGTCGGGTTCTTACTTTATTGAGATTGGCCCGTATAGCTCAAAGCTTCACTAGTCAAGCTGCAACAGGTTAATAGGACCTCAATCAATAGCTTAACTAATTAAATATATCAGGAGCGGGAAACAGTGTGGTACCCGCAAGTGTGGAGTGGCTGTATCATGTATCTTATTTTGTTCTCAGCAGTGCATAATTTAGCTGAAAGGGTCAGTATAAAAGTAACTACAAGAGTTTAATAGTTGTCCCTGTGATATATGCATAACCGAAGTAGCCATACTTTAGGGCCTGACCTTCTCTGTCCAATGGAATAGACTGAGAAACAGTAGGTAACAATAGGATTATAGTGGCCTTCCAAACTCAGGATTTAATTATCCATACATACAATACATGTTAAAGGGCTGTTCATGTTATCATACTTCATGTATGCAGTGTCGTCATGTTATACACCTCCATCAGCCCCTTCTAATCCATCCGTGCACGTCGGGTCCTTCCATATCTCCCTCGCCACGCGAGCTTGCACCTCTAGCTCTTCGACATCCTTATTATCACCAAAGAGCTCTGCCACCTGCTCTAGAGACTTCTGCGCTGTCTCTGGAACAAACAAGAATGAGAAGACAGTTGCCCCGACACAAAAAATACCAAAAAAAAGAAACGTGCCCCATCCAATCTTGAGAAGCATCTCCGGGACCACCACCCCAATAATGAAATTGGACAGCCAAATCATTGCCGTGGCTGCGCCGACGCCTTTCGCTCGCTTCGAGCTAGGGAAGACCTCCGCCGGTAGGACCCAAGCGAGTGGTCCATAGGATATTGCGTAGGATAGAATGTAGATATCTAGAACACAATTTAGCTACAGAATAAGCGGGATGCCAGGGTAACATACATATCAGTACAACGCAAAACCAACCTGCCGCTTCATGGGAGGGCCAATCTTCGCTGAAACGACCCATCAGTCCTGCCATTACTAGATGTGGAATTGCCACGAGGATTCCCCCCAGGACAGCGAGCTTTCGACGGCCGATACGGTCCAAAAGTATGAGAATCGGAATACCACCGATAAGTTGACAGACGTTAACTAAACCCGAAAGAATGAAAGACATGTCACTGCTCTGCCCCAGTGCTTCGAAAAAGGTCGGTGCATAGTATACGAATGCGTTTATTCCTGAAAACTATTAGATAGTCAGATATAGTCCTTCAGTTCAGTAATTAGGCTACATACTTGCTGGAAAAATGGAATGGCCAGGGCTACTGCTGTTCGTCGAATATATTTAGGTTGAAAAAGTCCAATCCACTGCTGCAAGCCAGTAATCCATGGTTTGGACTCATAACTGGGATACTCGCGCGCAAGAATTTCGTTCTGAAAGCGGACTTCAGACAGAATACCCTTCCACTCAAGCTGCACCTGCTCATCACGAGAGGGGCGCTGACGTAGCTTAGCCAGAGCTGAAAGGCTATCATATTTACGTCCCTTCATAGCGAGCCATCGGGGAGAGAAAGGGAAAAAGTGGATTGCACAGCCGACAACTAAGGCAGGGAAAATCTGTAGTAGAAAAGGCAGTCGAAAGGCCCAATCGCTGGGGATCGATCTATTGGAAATATTAGAGGAATCATTACATTGGGAGAGTATAGAAAAATGACCTTGTCCCATAAGTAATCCAGTATGCCACGATTGCTCCAATGACGATACTGATAGATCCCATTACAAGAAGAGCGCCTCGCCAAGCGGGGGGGTGCAATTTCCGAGATATACAACGGGCTTCCCATGGCTAGGGTGCCTACACCAATGCCGCCGATGAATCTTCCGGCAACCAGAGAGTTGTAGTTCAATGCGGCTGTTTGGATAACAGCACCCACAACGAAGAATACTGTGGCGACTGTCAGGCCCCATTTACGGGACATCCGGTCAGCAATCGAAGGCAGGAATAAACAACCAACGAAGGCCCCGAGCTCCAACATCGCCGTCATAAACCCCACATGGAATCCATACCGTGGGTTATCGGGATGTGTCTCGGGGTATTGGCTCCGGAATTGGGACATTACTAGAATTAGAGAGATAACCCCCTGGTCTGAAGATCAACACAATCCGGTTAGTTCTCATTTTTGGGTTGGAAGATTCGACGTACCATAACCAAAGGAAAATCCACCGAAAGATGCTAGTAGTGCTGCTCCAAACACATATGGAGAGCGCAGGATATCCCGCAGCTCTCCGTTGTCGTACTTTACCGGAGTGGTCAATAGAGCTAAGGCGTTTCCGCCAGCAAATTCATCATGGTCAGTAAACGGTTTGTCGATTGTCTTTTTTGAGTCCATTGAGATGTTTGTGATTGTATACTTTGTTGCCGCAAATTAGCTACCAAATACGTAGCATTTAAACAAGTCAGAGAAAAGAGTGACCGCAATCAGATATATATAGTGTAAATGTAGAGTGCAGCCTAAATGAGTATTTTTCTCCGCAATTTTGCTACTGATCTCCACTTTTACCCCAAGCTGCGCAATCCGGGGATTTCCCCTTAGAACATTGAGTTTGAGAGAGTCATATATGACTGGTCCATTTTCGCGGAGGAATTTACCAACCTCAGCCATTACCCAATTAGACAGTTTTCCCTATGGGGTGGTACCACCAACCAGAAGCGTCAATTGCAGAATCAACCTCAGGCTATATGCTACGAAGCTGTTCTTGGTAATAAGCTATTCTGTTTTTGAGATGGCTGACAGCTAGAAGATGTTAATAGTGATGTAGAGAGATGTGGGGTAAGGACACCCCGCATTGGCCAAATGGCATTTAGCGTGGGTAGAAACAAGGACAGGAAGAGCAACTACGAAGTCTGAATTTTGCAGAAAACGTGCAACAAATTGGTCAACTATCATTAGCTCAAACGATAACGCCTATACAGAGATCCAAAGTCTAACAATAAGCAAATTATCAGCGTGCTGTATTACTCCCCAGATATTGTTTTATCATCCCTTGGCTCTGGCTGCGTACTAGTAAGAGTGACGGCAAGAACCGACGGAATAGCAATAACCAAAGCCCCCATACAAAGACCCCAATCCATAGCGAACTGAGTCATCGGGGCTTTACCAATTGCGTTAATCCGCCAGGCCATTGCCCCTCCTGCGGCCTGGAAGGTCTTATATGACCCCACGAGAATAGCAGCGACGGCAGGGGAGTTGGACTGGGCCCCCATAAGCCAGTAGCAGAATGATTGCCAGAATGCATCGTATGAACCATAAAAGATATATAGAAAGATCGGCCCTACGGAGATAGAGCTCTCAGTATAGTCAATATCTTGTTTCAGACCCAGTTCTTGCCGTCGGGTTGACCATTTTTGAAATGCATATCCGCCACCCCAGATTGCCATGCCAGTCACGAAGAGGAATAACCATCCGAGTCGGGCTCGGGTGGGACGAGTAAGCTGGGGCATGTCAAGCATGAAACCCATGATCAGACCTCCGAACATCTGGGCGATCCAATAAAGCGCTCCATTAAGCGACCGGGAACGGATGTTGAAGGTTTTCCCATTGACTTCATTTTGCTGGTAGGAATAGAACACATTGGCACAGAAGAATAGCGGAAGCATGCACAGAACTCGCCAGTGGGACATGATGCGAACGGTTCGAACGCTGACTTTTTTCCAGTTCTTTTCCTCTTCTGTCGGCGCTTGCAGCTGCACTGTCCGGATTGATGATGGTGGACAAATGAAGATACCGATCAGCCATCCGACCGCCATGATGATCAATAGTGCAATGTACGTGGCGTTGGATACGGTGCCACTTTGCGAATGATAGTTGAGTGCGAAGCTTGCTAAGGAGCCAACTCCACCACCCAGGTTGAATACGATCCAAAACGTAGCGATAGCGCGACCTTTTTGAGATTCAGGAATATAGGTTGTCATGATGGCGCCTTGAGCCACCCAGAGGAATGATGCGCCGACACCTAAAATAGCACCCGCTGCGATAACAAAAGCCCCGTTGCTGGTGGCTGGATTATATTAGCATACAAATACGGAAAATTATGGGATGCCCTACCGTTGAAGCACAAAAGACTCCCGGAGTACAAAGGATACGTCCATCCTCCTATCAATAAACAGACACGAGGACCAACACGGTCAAAGATGGGCCCGACTACGAACAAAGCTGTTCCGGCTGTCGCAGAGAGCAGAGCAACGTTGGCATTCGCAGCTACCGTCTGGTCTACCTGTCCGGAGCCACCCAGACCGGTGAGAGCATTATACATCTGGATAGACGGTTAGGAGTGACTAATATTGGGACAATTCGATACCCACTCCCGGACAACAAAAGCATATAAAACTAATGAGGAGTATCTGAAACCAGGAATTGGTATACAGTCCACGTATTGCGCTTGAACGTTGGTTTCTCTCCATTTCCATCATGGGAGTAACTGTCCGATTATTAGAATCATTTGCCATGTCAAAATAGATCAATGAGCCGAAGACAAGAGTGAAAGCAGTCAGAAGGACCACCGTTTGGAGCTTATTGTTGGGTGGACGCGCCACATTTATTCGATCCTGATCGGCGAAGTACCACTACCATTGGGGAAATGTTATGTGGTAGAACTGATTGGGACTCATCAGCACTAACAGGGTCCGTTGATATTTGGTGTTAGATATGTCTTGGATATAATTGGTGTATCGGCAGGAAAGGATGCTTCGAAAGATGCTTGATTGGAGGCCCAAGTATCAGACGGAATGTGCTTCTCCACAGAACTCGAAGCGAACTGCTGATGCATAACACGATACGACCTTGCGAAGTAACCCCCACGTGGAGAGACGGATCGGATGAGTGGAAACTCGATCAAACGTGCAGTTAAGTACCACTAAATTTCTCTTCTTATGCAACGGTAAAAGTAAGCTGCTACTTGGAAATAGCACCATGGATCTAGAGGGCTTGTCACAGCTGCAGACCGAAGCGGTCAATCCGCGAACGCGACAGATCGACCAGATGTCAACTCTGGAATTGTGCACGGTCATCAACCACGAGGATCAACATGTTGCTTCTAGCGTTGCATCTTTCATTCCTCAAATAGCCCAGGCTATTGATGCGCTTACGCCTCGCGTGCGTCGAGGGGGACGAGTGATCTATGTTGGCGCGGGCACCAGTGGACGGTCAGTCTAGCGCATGTTTCAATTCCACAGCCTCGTACTTCAAAAAAGAAAATATGATGACGAATGATTAGCGTGACTCAGATTGGGAATCCTCGATGCGTCAGAAATCCCGCCGACTTTTGCCGCTCCGCCGTCTCAATTCATAGGCTTGATTGCGGGGGGTGACGCCGCTATTCGGCGGGCTCAGGAGGGTGCGGAGGATAGTATTGCATCAGGGGAGGCTGATATGATCGCTCTCAATTTACGATCGGATCTCGACAGTGTGATTGGCATCGCTGCCTCGGGGCGCACTCCCTATGTGCTTGGATGTTTGGCATCAGCGAAGAAAACCGGTTGTCTCACGTTGGGTGTTGCTTGCGCCTCACCGTCAGCAATGAATCTCAGCGGAAATGTTGATTTCATGATCTCCCCTCTGCCTGGACCGGAGGTTGTTACGGGAAGTACTCGACTGAAGGCTGGAACTGCCACCAAATTAGTACTGAATATGTTGAGCACCGGCACCATGATCCGCGTCGGTAAAACATACGGAAATCTGGCAAGTCTCCCTATCTCAGTACCGCTGACGTCAACTGACCAATTGGCTAGATGGTGGATCTCGTTGCATCAAACGAAAAGCTAAAACAACGGTCGCGCAATATACTCCGTCGACTAAGTAAGACATGCGATCTAATGAAAAATGCCGACCTGGACAATCTGCTTGATCAGTGTCAGCGAAGTGTCAAATTGGCCCTCTTAGTCGCGGAAACCGGACTCTCTGTAGAGCAATGTCGGTGCGATCTCGAGTCTGCGAATGGGGTACTAGCAAAGGCCTTGAAGAAGTCCACAACACAGACAGAGAATGACTATATCAACGGTAGACAGTTTGCCCTCTGCATCGATGGCGGTGGAAGCAAATGTGCTGCCGTGATCATAGACCAGACAGGAACGATCATCGGGCGTGGGAGGTCTGGACCATGTAATTTGTAAGTACCGAATTATAGGGTGTGGGACTTATACTGACTGTCGCAGGACGGATGGCCGCAGTATGCAAGAGGTCATAAGCAATCTGGTTACCGCAACCCAGAGTGCCATGGATGAATGCAAGAAGGATCAAACAGTCGCAGCATGTTCCCCTGGTGTAGCATCTCTACAGGGATGTTTCAAGACCGCCTGGATTGGACTAGCGGGCATGGACCGGAGCGGATATCGAGAAGAGCTATTACCGTTACTTCGTGAGAAGTTTGGACTGCATTCCCCTGGTTCTCTTCGTCTAAGCAATGATGTGGACCTGTTGGCTGCACTCATGTCTCAACGTCCAGAAACCAGATCCGTTATTATTCTAATTGCTGGCACAGGTAGCGTAGCAATGCGTTATCATCGGGACAGCTCCGGGGGGGCCACTCGCGTCGCTCGTTCAGGCGGCTGGGGGCACATCTTGGGCGATGAAGGAGGCGGATATGCGATCGGACAGCAGGGAATCAAACTTACTCTGGCATGTCTCGAGGAAAGAAGGCTCGGGATATGTGAGGAGCGTCTTGGGGAGTTTGAGGATGCGATTCTTCGACAACTTGGATGTCTCGTTCCCGACCCTAATTGCATTGATCTTGTCAGTCAACTTTTGGCTCAGAACCAGCGACCGAGTACCAAATCTCAGATTGCAGCTGCCGCGGAAGCGGTTCTGTCTGTGGCAAAACATAGTGAAAAAGCGATGATGATCCTGCATGACCAGGTTCGTCATTTGGTGGATCATACGCTTGGACGACTTCTTCATCCTCAATGTGCTGGATTTGTGTCCGACGAGGAAACCGGACTGGTTCTCTCAGGGGGAATTTTTAGCCATCCGACATACCGGGAACTCTTCTTGGAGAGACTGTCTGTGAAAAGGGTGAGTTTCGCCTATGTGGAGCGAGTTGAAGATGCTGCCTTGACTGGTGCTATTTCTTTGATGTCAAAACCGCCAGGACTTTCGCCATAAAAAATAGAATAAGAATAGAACTTTAGACTTTTTCAATAGCCTTCTACTTTATAGGAATCTTAACATGCTGTATTAATTTGATTTATTATATTTTTCTACAGAGTCTTGTGGGGCGTGCCATAGACAGATATTTTATTTCATGAAGGCAACGAAGCCAGTACAGTGCATAGCCGTACTGCTCGGTGATTATGCATTATAAACAAAAACAAACTTCTGTTTGGCTATTGTCTGAAGTTTGTGGTAGTGTCTCTGCAAATAAACATTAGGATCTTGTCTTACTACTTACTTATCCTGCTTTTTAAATATTGATGCCTTATCTAGATAAGTATAGCAACTGAGAGTGCAGCCAGAATGACAATCACATCGTCAACGTAACGCGGGACAACAGTGAACGCAATGTAACGACAAATCCCAATTCACAGCTCCTGCTTCAAGCACTTTTGGATTTGCTTACTTTTCTTTCCTCGTCTCACTTCGTTTCCCATCCATTTTTCATAACCCCGCTATCAACAATCACCGCTCCGTTTTCATATCCAAACAAAGCGATCGAGAGTTGACGATATGCCGATGAACTGGAACTCTGAAGCTGATGCAAAGGTAAGTAACATCCTACCCCTTTTTAACGGATGACTGACATGTCTCTCGCGAGGGAAATAGCTCTTCCTTGGAGTTTTGGCTCAGTTCGATGGTTCTAAGCCCAAGCTGGATTTTGAGAAGCTTGCCCAGTACATGGGATCTGGTATGTATTCATCAAAGTTCCCGTGAAGGCCAGAATGCAGTTGACGAAATAGATTGTACTGCCTGTGCCGTCCAGAATAGAGTCGTTCGTCTACGCAGGATGGTCGAGTCGGCAGACTCTTCCACCACTCCTACCAGCACTCCTTCCAGCACTCCCCGCAAGCGTAAGGGAGCTGCCGCTCCCAAGACGCCGACCAAGAAGAGCAAAGTGGTGGAGAATACTGCCGATGAAAGTGATAACGAGAAGATTCTCCTCAAGGCTATGATTAAGAAGGAGATTGACGGCGACTCCAAGGATGATGCGTAGGTGGGATCTGGAGAGCTCCATGTATTGGTCTCGTAGAACTTGGTGAGATTAGTTGTTGTTCTTGATTGGAAGATAGGGTGTTGGACAGTTAAGGTGTTGTTCAATAACAGGTCCAAGTTAGAATTTTTTTGAGTATAGCGATGCGCAGAGCGATATCTGAACGAAGGATCGTAAGCCTCTTCAACAGGAGAGCACAGCGTAGCCTGAAACCATATGCTGATGCCCAGTGTACTGTCACCCCTTCAAATAGAACAATCTAAGAAATGTAAGTTAATACCAATAGTCTATGTCGCCTTCTTTAACGTGTCGATGTTCAAGATGCTTATGGCGTTTCTCGTCTACCTTTTCTCTCTATATGAACAAGATAGGCTCCCTTGATAAGAAGATTGAGACCTTCATTATCATGATTATCCTCCTCCTCGATCGACATCGCCATGTCATTTCTTTCATCGATCCACTCGTACATTCAAACAAGTCGTATTAACTGTCCTGACATCGAAAACTCCTCCGTCCACATATCCTCATCTTCCGATTCAAGAAACCTTGAGGTATATCAACTGCGGACTCTACGTCGAAATATACGAGAAAACCCACAGCAAATGTGTTGGTGCCAGTCCCCGGCGGGAAGTTAACACACTTTGCCGGCGGAAACAAAGCAACCCACACTCATTATGCGAATGAGGTACAGAAGGTGAAAATATCGCTCCCGCCTTACCTGAATAATTACCGGCGGGGAATGTGCACAGAGACTTCAACTCCATGGACAGAGCGCTATAAGAGACATGGTCGCACTCTATTCCACCAGCCTCTTAACCGTCCACACAACATCCCTCACCATGGCATCTGATATGAAATCTTTCTGGTACAAAGCCGATCGGTATCTGGCGTCCACTGGGGTGCCATACTCTCCCGTAGTGATATGCAAGACCCAAGGTACTCGGCTTTATGCGACCGACAATCGCCAGATCCTAGACTTCACTTCGGGCCAGATGAGTTCGCTCCTCGGCCATTCCCATCCGGAGATTGTCGATGCTGTAAGAAAGTCAGTCAATGAACTAGACCATCTCCTCAGCAACATGATCACGCAGCCCGTGGTAGATCTAGCCGAACGACTTGCTAGTCTACTCCCAGCACCCCTCGAGAAGTCCTTTTTCCTCAACACAGGGTCTGAGACCATCGAGGCTGCCATCAAAATGGCCAAGATATATACTGGAAAATTCGAAATTGTCGCCCTCTCCGCCAGCTACCACGGCCTCACGCAGGGTGCCGGTTCTGCGACCTACTCGGCTGGCCGTCGGAACGGAGGCCCGTCGATGCCAGGTCAACTGGCCTTTCCGGCTCCATATGCGTATCGCGCGCCGTTTCGCAAGGCGGATGGCTCCTATGACTGGGAAACAGAGCTCGAGTTCGGGTGGGCACTTATTGATCGACAGAGTGTGGGCTCGTTGGCCGCCTTGGTCATGGAACCAATCCTCTCCACCGGTGGCATTCTAGATCTACCCAAGGGGTATCTGAGGCGTATGAGCGAGAAATGCAAGGAACGTGGGATGCTCCTTATTCTCGATGAGGCCCAGACAGGACTAGGCCGCACAGGGCAGATGTTCGCCTTTGAAAACGATGAGGTCGTGCCTGATATCCTGGCACTTTCGAAAACACTTGGTTGTGGTCTCCCGTTGGCTTCGGTTAGTACCACAGCGGAGATCGAGAGGGGATGCAGAGAGGCTGGCTTCCTGTGGCTCACTACTCATCTGAATGACCCGTTGACAGCGGCTGTGGGGAACAAAGTGCTTGAGGTGGTGGAACGAGACAGTCTATGCCAACATGCAGCGGAACTTGGCAAACAGCTGCGCGAAGGCTTACTGAAGCTTCAGGTGAAATACTGGTGTATTGGTGACGTTCGTGGGCGTGGTCTCCTACAAGGTATCGAGATCATTTCCGATCCTCAGACAAAGGCACCAGGTTCGGAGTTGGGCCAGCAGGTTTCCGACCGCGCGATGGATCGTGGCCTGTCTTGCAATGTGGTAAATCTGCCAGGAATGGGAGGAGTCTTTCGACTCGCACCTCCACTCACAGTGAAACCGGCGGAGATTGAGGAGGGATTGAAGATTTTGGACGAAGCGTTTGAATATGTACTTAATACCCTCCCCAGCGGTGAAATCAGCAGTAAAGCTGAATGACTTCATACGGAATGATATTCTATATATCTATCCATACCCAAAGGAGAAATCTAAATTCTATGTGAACTAAATAACAGAATATTCCAGGTCTTTTGTCTCTATGGCCATAATACCCTCAGGGAACATATGCTACATCTGATCCTCTTCTTCTGGCCCGGGAATGTGGTATCGGATGGATAGCTTCCTTTACTTAAGCGAGCACCAACCCGGAGGCAACCAAGGCAATCATTATCTCTGTGTAAATAACTAGATATATCAAATAGTGATTACCCTATGCACCAGAAATATACCGGTACGGTTGTGCAGGAAGATCTGGTAGATAGTGATGATTCCAAATGCAAGAACTTGGGCTGGCATCCACTTCTCCGGTCCGATCTATTCTTTGTTAATTCTGCCGAGAGAAATTGGAAAGGGAAACATACACTTTGAAGAAGACTCGAAGGAATCTCCAGTACAATGATCCCCAGGAACATCGATTGATTCCTCGTGTTATTGTATTCTGGTTTACCTACATTCACTTTGCCGCAGTCGCCAATTCTATATGATCGCGGTCCTTAATTTTTCTCTTTGCTTCACCTACAGTGAGAGAACCGTTTATAGAAATTTTCGATACTGATCTGGTGCACGGCATATCCTTTTCCGGCCCGGGGTGGTGTTGATAGCCAACAGGCCATTTACTTGTGATCACACTATTGAGGAGCTTTTCACGATAGCGCAGGATGAGATATCCAGGCTCACGTCATCCGTGATGAGCTACCAGCGTCGCCACTATGATATGCAACTTATAAGAGCCAAGATGCGGCTGATGCGGCGTGACGTTGCTCTTCGTTGAAGCTCCATGCCAGGAATCCCCCGAGTAGCATGGTAGGATGGAGAAACAGAATCCTTTTCAAAATCTGAATGCACGTACTGTGGTGTATTATATCGTCCTTCACGAGGAATGATGCGCACTTGTGATAGGCCATCTGCTGCATGGGGAGAAAGGTCAGATTTCCTGCCCTATTTGGATACCGGCCACGTTGGCCACTGAAAGTGATACTTCAGCTGACGGACCCCCAAAGTTGACGGACTGGTTATTGCTCGTCGTAAACTAATATAGCCATCTCATTCCTTGATGTCGAAATTACAAGTGACTCACCGTAAGCGCCATATTACCATCGCCTGGAGCACTGCCTACGGACAATATTGTAATAATGTCTACGGGGGAGCAGCGAAAAAAAGTTTGATGCCAGACGTGCTCCGTTGCCCAGTTAAGTGCGCTTTATCTTTGCAGACAAACTCCAGCGAACTCACATCGAATTGACCCAGGAGAAGGTTACAGGCCGTGACTCCGCTTGCGCCGGTCGTACACACGGGGCAGGCTAAATGATAGGTCCATAGGAGTTTCAGTTGGGTAAAGGGTTTGCTGAGCTGTATTGTTTCGACAGCCCGGTTCGATCACCTGTATATTCTATTACGCCGTTAGTGTATCGACGCATACCAAGTGAGGTGAGACCCGCTAGTGTTAAAAAGAAATTTAATAAAAGCTCACATCGTAGGATATCACAAGCTCGCTTACTGATGTCTTCTACTTAGCGACTGAAACTGCCCTTTTCTAGACAGTTACCATGATACTATGGCTGCCACAGCCATGCACGGCTCTAATCTAAACAGCGGCGAAACGTCTTTACCTAACCCCTTCTCGTACCTGACAAACCCCAAAGCTTCCACCCTAGAGTCTTTTATTGGTATGACGCAACTATGTTGCTCATTCTCGTGGTAAACCGGCTGAATGATGCGATGTGTAGGTGGAACGATTCCATGATTTTGTCACAAATACCACTACGCCACAAAAAGTAGCACTATATCAATTTGTGCGTATACTCGTATATCTGCGTAGTCTGACAGATTATCATTTAAGTGATCTAGCATCGAGATTTTGTCCTTGGACAACTACTTCTATACAGAAAATACATTTTTTTGCCCAGCAGCAGGAATAGACTGAAGGGTATTTTGAAGAGACTTGGAGTATGATCAGACTCGGTAGTATGAGGAGAACTGGGATTGGGAATGGACTTTCGGCAGCCAGCCGGCACTAGAACGAGTCAAAGTCCTATTGTCCCATACGTAGGTGCCTGAAAATTTTAAAGTTTACGTGCATTGCGTTCAGGGCAGAACAAATCTGGAGAAAAGGGAAATTTGAGCTCGCTGATCACCCGCTTATCACCCCAAAAAATTATGGAACGAGGCTTTATAGAGGCCACTTGTCTCAGAAAGGATAATAGTCCTGCTTGGTACACACCGGGTATTTCAGCTGGGTCTTCGTCCTAATTTTAAACGGGGACGGCTCAACTTTTGAACGATTAAAAGGACCTATAGCCTGCTACCGGTAACCAGAGAATTACCCCAAGCTGCATTAGTAATGCTTGCGTAGGACATCTCCATTCCAACAAGTATTCATGGTTATCACAGGATATTTTATTGACGAGGATTGGAATTATCGTTAGACTCTCCTTGGTTTTGTTCAGCAGCATCAAATCACCCACCAGGTGCTTGCAATCACAATATATAATGCATCCAATAATAACAATATGATGTCAAGCATTCAGGATTCTGTCCACTCGCTCGACCTGAGCAGTGATATAATTAGTGATTAGCTGAGTTCCAAGCATTGCTCATGCTATTCAACTCAGTTTGAACCAACTCCTAGGCAAAATGAAAGCGAACCCAAAGAATGAAACCATAGAGACAAGCTGGTTAGAAGCTTAATTCCAATCATTTCGGGCAAGGGAGCAGAGCAAATGGATTGTTGATACTTTAAACAAGGTTATATATATATTTACCTTCTTTTCTTATTCTATTAACAACTTTACTAGATTCGAAACCTAGCAATATACATCAACGCTAGCCCTCGGCGCCGAGAAGTGTTCTACAATCTCCAACCTGGATCACCAAAACTTGATGCAAAAACTCGGTGGAATTCAACATTTCTTATCTCTCAACGGGCAAATGGCCTACAGTCCACTTTAATAAATTCTGCCCGGAGTATGAAGTTTAACACATTATTCTTAATCAAGAACAGTGGCGCCTGATCGAGTATCTTCTTTGAATTACCCAGCCATTCTTTACATTTACGACCCCTCTATCCAATACCAAGGATATAACTATTTATATTATTTTTGGGATATACAACAGGCTCTTTGATAATCTTGAATTTCGGACAGCCAGCTAAACATAAAGGCTACCTTGGAAGCAATTAATGCCTATAGCTCTTGACGCTGCATGAAAACTTGCTTTCTATTGCGCCAACATAATCAGGTGCATGGTGACCTTTTGCAGTTGGTACTGTACTCGATCCTGCAAATAAGATTCAGTTCTTCTTGATTAAGGAACGGGAAACTAGCGTGAGAGGCATTGTTAAATCTCCCAGGCTTACTTTGAGCCATATAAACAATGTCTATCCTCTACCCAAGCATTATTAAGTACTCAGTAATCCACAATACAGAGATCAGAGGTTGAGATTCTGGATTTGTGTACAAAGCCTCGCTAATTAAACCAATCTAACGAGGTTGCTCAGCATCTCGAGAGTGGTAAGTGAGGATTATATCCTTGTTTAATTTAAACTATTTTAATAGATACTGTCTCAGTGGCAACACGCATATTCTAGAAGGAGATATACCTGGCCCTCTGGCACGTTGCCTGGGATGTCCTCTCAATTCCTGCAACTAGTGTAGGTTTTGAAAGCCTTTTTAATTCCGCTCGTGATGTATCACTATCGCCATGTCTCATTGAAAGCTACTACGATCCAGGATCTCACGATGTATAAGTGTATGTTAAGATTCGACGTCGAGGGAGAACAGCTGGCGTTTATTGATGAGTATCTCTTAGCAGAAGAGGCAGAGGCGGTAGCTGAAGAAAAAGATACATAACTAGTGGATAAATTAAATCCGATTAGTGATGATAACGAGCGTGATTAGGATTTACACTTGTTGAGAACCAGACTGCTCCGCAGGGAGTTTCCCAACGTGCCATAGTCAAGATACGAAAAAGACATGCATGTAGGCCAGAGACTAGGACCAAGAACCTGTTAAATCAGATAATGAAGCAGAATTTCCACTACCTGGATCCATACTTGAGGCGAGTAGCTCTCAATTGCGTGCTTCCGGTAGGGTTCGAAAGCGTTTTCAAAGGAAGGATGATGTATGGGCATACCATTACGTCTTTAATAGAGATAAATTCATGCAAATCACGCTTTAAATAGCACTTACTTCTTATCTACACCTTGTATCTGCATATGCTATATAAATGTAAGCCTAGTACCAAAAAATACGGCCCACAATATCCTTTCTCGCGCCTATAGTCCCTCTTATCTCTACTGTCCCCGTTGTCCCATTTGTCACTGCTGTCCCGGTTAGCCCCATTACCCTATTATATAGGTTCATGAACCCTTGACACACAAACGCATAAATAGTTGTCAAAGTTGACGGATAAATACAGTTATTACATACAAATCAAAACAGTGCTACTCTTTGTGGTGTATCGTTATTTTTTGACAATAATGCATATCAACAGGATATCCACGGTTGCGGCGGTATGGATGATTCAGCGGCTTAGTGGCGAATCCGCCCGCCGGGGGGCCCGTGCGCTCAGCAACTTCAAATATCCTGTATATACCGCCGGCAGCTTTTAGGAGACGGCGCGCCTTTTCCCAGTACAGTCGTAAAGGGCTAGAGCTCGTTTAGAGAATGAGCACACAATCCCCTGATTGTAGGTCCTCCCCGAAATGCGCTGCTTCTTGACGCTTGCGTTCACTCTATTATTCTCCCAATCTTTGGCAAGGTATCACCACCTGCAGTTGTGGACCCTGGTGAGCCCAAATGGGTCGATTCATCATTAACAAGCAACGAGAAGGAGTGGTCGTCTTGCGCAGCAGAGATAAAGTGAAGTAAGACCCTGGTGAAAATAAGGAGTAATTAGTAGTCAGATGTGTTATTACAAGGCCGAAACAAGAAAGTGATAAGCTGTTCTGAATTATTTTTAAAGATCACTTGCCTTTAGGGAACGCAACAAACTGAATGAAATGAAGGACCTATCTAGCAAATTTAAATGAACATGATATATTAAAAGATCCGCTGCGAAGGTCATTAAACCTGAAATCGTAATGTAAACCCAACACCACAATTGTATATACCGCTCATCGAAGATCATCCGCATATCCGAGGATTTCCCGGCAGTCATCACAAATAAGTGCGTACTCCAGGAGCAGTCGGTACATGTACACTTGCATATCCTCCTTCCGTAGAACTTTCTCTGCCCAATGTTTGCCATCCATCGCGACCTTCTTAGCTACAGCGTCGTGCCCGGCATGATTGCCGTATCCGAGGAGATATTCCATAATACCGTATATATCCATGAATGTTGTGTCCATGGGGATGAAATGCGCCCATGGGATTAGGCGCGAGTCGTGCCATTCGTTGTAGATTGTGGCCTTGATCGGAAGCGAGGTCGACTGGAGAAAAGCTCGATACCCGCCACTGAATGAGTTACCGTCGATATCCGGAAAGTACTTGTTCTGGTATTGAGGCTTCATTGGTACCATAGGGAAAACTTCAAAATATGGGTCACTGTATGACATTGAGATCCCGGAGTTGGGGTAGCATTGCAACCCAGTGAAGCCGACATCGGTTATTTGGCGAGTAATTTGGGAAGCTTGCCACTGCGGCCGATGCCAAATCATAGTACTCAAAATCAGGAAGCCGGAAATCGACAAAATCTAATTACCCTTTCCGAGCTGTCCAGACCGACGTCGCATTCATCATTGAAAGGAAGCGGTGTCTGGAATCCAGTCCAGGTCTTTTCTCTGTTCCTCCCCCCTGATGCTACTCCGCGCCGGAAGAAGATGTCCTGCTTATGGGCCCAGTCCCCCCCATGATTATCTTTTCCACCAGAGTACAACTCCTCATCTGCCCAATACATTGCAGGGGGGATGAGGATATCGTTATTAATTGGAAGTTTCGATCCCCCAAATAGTGGAAATAGCTTATGAGTCGTCCTAATAGTGGTCGGCTTAATAAAAGAGCCATGCAAAGCCTGGAGCTCAGGCCGGATACAAGGGTCTTTTGACAGTGTCCAGTTCTTGATATATCCATCTTGTGATAAACGAACATAGTTATAGAACTCCGTTAAGAACTATTGAGAAGTATCTTCCTGACTTGGATATGCCTCTTAACGGGATGGATGAGCCTCGCATAATTGTCCCGTGAGAGGATCTTGCCCAACACGTTAGGAAGGACCACACATCCCGACGCGTCCTAAATCCGAAACGTGTTGTGTCGGAATATATGACCCTTCCCGACCTGAATACGGAAGAGCAGGAGCCATATGACCCTGGGTTCACGAATGGAGACAGGGAGCCTTACTGGCATTCAGCAAGAGTCGCCTGTCCGTCTGACGGCCCTTCTCGCAATAGCGATATTGCAAGCGTGGACTTCGCCAATCCCCAAGCCAAGCTTCCATCTATCCCGCCGGGGTGCCTCCTATTGGTAGAGCCGTATGGTTTCGTACTATAATGCGAGGGCTAAAGCCACTGGCTTGTCGGCGCAACTCCCGTGGCTTGATCCCCAATATGATACATCATGATAGATCTGATCGAAGAGTTCCTCTATCATTAAAGCTCCTTTGTCTTTTGCGAACCGGTGCCATTCCGCGAATCCAGGTGGAGGGTGGCGACCGCGGCGGCGACGGTACAGCTCGGCCGCATTCTCAAGCGAGTCGCTTCTGGCAAGTAGGTCCGCCATTGCCTGTCGGCCGCGACAATAAGTGATCGATCGGATGTACGGGGGCAGGATTACGATGAAATCCCCATGCTGCGGTGAGGGGTCCTAGACATGTAGAGGTAGATGGCACTGAGGTGATGATAGAATGACGAGCAGTCTAGTCAGGACGTTGAGTCAGATTTGACAGCCGTCAAATGAAACTTCCGAGGCCGCAAAGCAACATCTTTCGGCGAGCGGCGTGGCAGAAAGGCCAGAAGACCGCGATATTGATTAGCGTCAATTTACATTAGATAATTCGTAGCCGTTCTATCAGAAGAACAAGAGGAATAGGTATAAAAGCAAAAAACTAAAAAACAAATAAATAAATAAATAAACTGCTGCAGACTGTAAGGAGCAGAAAATATTATAGAAGAATCTGTATAGTGGGTTGTTTTGTAGAGATGCGCACTTAACAGAGAATAAACGCAGAGGATGGGATGGGGTGAGATACAAGGGAACAAATCTTTCGCAGCAGATTTAATAGAGGAATTGGCACAACCCTCGTGGGCCTGCCACTGTGGATCTCCCAGGGTCCCATATCCTGTAGTACCTGGCAGGCTACCAAGGTGACTCCCTAGGTACGTACGCTGTACCAGTACCAACCGGGATGAGATAAATAGGAGTGAAGTGGGCCACTCACCCTAAATGAACGTGCTCCGCGCCAATCTAATTTTATTGCCTACCTACCAGTCACCTGCTATATGTACCTAATATTACGAAAGACACCAACTACGTACTAGGTACCTAGGGAGTAGACAGCTTAAAGCCGCCTAGATCTCAGTCACATTCTTACCCATATGAACTTTTACTACAGAAAAGGGGAGCGAAATAATAATATTCAACCGATATCTTGAGGTAACCGTCGTAGAAGGAGATTCCATATCTTGTTTGGACTTCGCAACGCAAGTGCATGGATCGATAGACTAAGGAAGATCTCGGGAGGAAAATGGAAGCACCATGATAAATAATACGGCGTACTGGTCCGTAAGCGTGCGTGTTATTCGGTGGAAAATCACTGGGACCTTAAAACTTCCTAGGCAATCAGAGATTTTCAAGCTACAAGGCTAGCGTCCATAAGTGAATACTATCTTACCCACGCTAAACTACCAAACTAATATGTAGTTAGTGATTTATTTATTGCTTCAAGCCCGATCATCATCAAGGTTACCTTCTCTGTATAAGTGCACGAAGAAATTGTGCTTGTGGCGTAGTTTCAGGGCCGACCCGACGTAGCTGAGATCCACCAATATTAACATTTGAGTAAAATAGTACAGGGTAACTACAATACAGTAATTAGTGCCATAATTGGGTTATACTGTATTATAAATAGTCTTCGTACTTGTGGCGAGACTACAGACGAGGTGAAAGTGGGCTCGCCTAGCCGCTGGGAAGCTAAACCACTTTCAGGTGGTCAGGTGACGACCCGCCTACACACCCACAAATTTTTGGCTTAGCGGTTATTTTTCATTTCCTTTCATAACAAATTGTCGATTCCACGCGCCCGCCTGGCTGTCAACAATGGCGGATCTCTCGAAAGAGGTAAGATAATGGCATGAAATCAGTTTAATACTGGTCGGAGAGTAATATTTACCTTATTTAGCCCTGCTACAAGGCGTATCTGCACAAGGGAGCGAAGGGAGAAATTGACTGGCCTGAGTATAATGAGGTAAGTTTTCACCACATTTTACCAGTTCTTAACTAGTATAATACTGATATCCTACTTTTAATTTAGGAGACATTTGAGGTCGATGACGGTGATGGTAATACAAAGACTATAACTGGGGTGGTGATTTACCCTCGGGAAGTGTTCTGTCGTGTAGAGGATTGCCCTTCAGGTTCTGTGAGTATATCAGTTAGATATCAGTTAGCAACTAGTTACTAACTAGTATTCTGAAACACCATGGATCTACAACCAATCTTCGCAAGCATGTTTCGCGTCATGGGATTATGGTTAAACCGGGCTCCGACGGGAAGATTAGTCTTGCAATGTACTCTAAGACCAAGAGTAGGAAAAATATCTGACTGGTTATACACTAGTTACTAACTGGTTATAGAGTGGTATCTTTCTCTTTTTCCAGATGATACTTTTAAGTCGCAAAAGCGGATGTCTACTACGGTCAATACTACACCTAAGAAAAAGCAGGTTATTAATCTTACGAAGTATAATAATAGTCTATTACTAGTTTTATACTATTATACTAATTGTATTAAGTAGTTCATCTCCAACTGTTATTACTATACCAGCAGGTGGAATTGATGAGGAGCAGTAAGCTACTAGTACCCTGCTAACTAGCTACTAGTAACTAATTAATACAGACATGATGATTCTTCGCCCCTGAGCTCCCACTCTTGATGGATAATGAGGTATGTGATTAGTTAGTAACTGGTTATATACTAGTAGCTAACTAGTATTAGCCTGATCATGATGCTATTCGTCGTTATGCTCGCTTGCATCATGGAAAGCGTTCCCCATGTGGTGTCTGCCGAAAGAGAAACAGTGGGCTTGGAATTAGTATGTTATAAATACAGGTTTAATACTAGTAGCTAACTAGTTTAGAATGTGGCCAACGCCCCTACTGTGAACACTGGAACTTGTTCAAGGTCACCTCATCTATTAACGGTAAGGGCGTTGACCAGTCTGGTACCAGTAGCAAACCAGTTCCTGACCAGTCACACAATGCTGAAAGTGACGATGGTGAGGAGGGTGCTGCAGGTGATACTGAATGTCATGGCGACAAAGAGTCTGAGGGCCCTGATGATGCAGATGCAGATGCAGATGGGGGGGGATGAGTAAGGGCTATTAGTTTCTAACTAGTTACTAACCAGTCAGCCACTTTATAAGCACTAATGTTGCAATTTGCCTGCTTGGGAACTGGCTGCAAGCTAGTTGGTTTATTCAGAAATAAGTTAAATACATGGATTTTAATAGCTACTGCCAAATAGCTAGCTGAGAGCTAGTTGTTGTTATTTAGAATATCAAAACCTTCGAGGTTATATAGTATACTTAAAATAATAACAAGCATATTATAAAATATATATCATAAGAATTTTCCCTACTAGTTATAAACCAGTAAATAACTGGTTCTATACCAGCCACCCACTCCCTGATGTGATTATATTTATATATAGTTAATATACACGGTACTTAATAATACACTATATAAATTTCTATTCCTCTAATTAAAAGACCATATTTGTTAGATATTCGGAAATTGACTAGATGGGCCCCTGACTAGTTCAATATCTGTAGGAGATGTAGCCTGTGCCTGGTTCACTTGTGGCTGACTCATAATAGCCTGCGTAGAGACCTGAAGAGGTGATAATACAGGTTCAGTACTAGTATATAACTGGTTAGGGACCAGTCCTATACTAGTAGGCCCTTGGTTTAGCAGGACACTTGGGTCTAGCCTCCCATTTGCCACTAGGCTTGTCAATAACTGATACCGCTCTAGCTGGGCTCGTTGCTGTAGCAAAAGTAAATCTGCTTGTTGTTGCTGACGAGATATTTCGGCACTATTAAGCATTGCTCGCTGATGAAGAGATGAAGAAGTACTAGTACTACTATAAGGACTAAAACTAGTTAGTAACTGGTAAATAACTAGTATTGTACTAGTACCTTGAATTTCTTGATTGCCTGTTTCGGGGCTGTTGTCTGCGCCCTCGTCCACGTGGTGATCTTCTGCCTTGAGAGCTCGAATAATTTTCTGGACGAGGAGACCCTGAAGATGAGACTCTTTGAGATTGTGATAGTTCGTTAGCAGTCTCAATAGTCTCATTTGCACGTTCTGTAGGGTGCTGCTGTCTTTGATGAGATTGTGATCTCTCCCGCTCACGTTTACGCTCTAATAGTATACTAATAAGTAACTAGTATATAATTAATTAATGACCGGTATTTACTTACGACCTCTTCTTAAACTCTCTGCGAATAGGTCTGACCCACTTCGCTTAGAATAAGAATGCCGAATTCCATAGAGATCTCGAGTATCATATTGTGCCATGTCTCGCTTATCAAGGTGATAGCCACTATATACTAGTTAGGTACCAGTTAGGTACTAATATAAAACTAGTAGTTACTTACGTTTGTACCGCCTTCACAATACTTAAAGCTCTTCCCATTGCTAGCCCCTTCTCATGAGTTTGCTCTGCTGCATTAGTATGAGCTGTAGCTTCATCAAAGTCTTCAGAATCCATGCGAGAGCGGGATTTATTAAGTCCTGCAGCTATAACTGGGTCAGCTTTATGAAGAGCCCAACCCTCCTGTTTTGATTCAGGATCAGCAGTATCTGTGAACTAGTTAATAACTAGTATTTTACTAGTAGGGAACTAGTACTTACGTAGTAGATGCTGGACCAGCTCAATATAATCCTCCTCACTCTCACAGTCTAGTAAAGCCATCATTCGCTTGAAAAGCTCTGTATGCTGTTGACATTTTCCAACAACCTCTTCAACTCCACGTAGAAAGTGAATACGACAGAAGATCATAACATGCTCAACATGCCACTGCCAATCTTCATTACTATTAGAAAGGGTTTGCAGAAAATAGCCAAGTCCTAGAAAGGTACTAGTTAATAACTAGTTAATAACTGGATTTAAACTAATACTTACCTTCCATTTGTCCTCTGTCCATATCAGCAATAATACTCCGAATTCCTGAGCCATGAAGATATTTAAATCTTAAAGGCTGTCCTGTTACCTGTTCAAGAAGCTGAGATACTTTAGTAAATATTATTTGATACCCTTCAGCATCTTGACGATTGATAAAAAACACGAAGTAAAGTAACAACTAGATTTAACTGGTTAGTACTAGTTATTTACTAGTAATATACTAGTTATATACTAGTAGTAGGGTACCTTACTCTTTCCATGATCTCGTGACATGATCGCAAATACAACCTCTTTAAGGTTATTTGAACGTAGTCGCTTCCATCCCATATCTATCTCAAATGAAGAGAGACAGATTGAAGAAGATGGAGTTGTGAGTCCAGGGCACATATTATTATAATAGTATCCCCATCTTGAAAGACCTCTCGAACATAGTCCTAATTAGTTAGCAAATGGTTCCAAACTAGTTTTATACTAATAATATACTTTTATTTCTGGCCTTCGGTTTCTCATCCACTGTAAGCCCATAAGGCCCTGTCCTTCTGGGTATAGAATAAGCTTTGCTTTTTGAATAATAAGAGCAAAGCGATCCATATTCACAAAGCTTTGATGAAGATCAGTAATATGATTAACATCATATCTCTGGCATAGAGCTTGGAGCTCTGGACTGCGCAGAAATGAAGCTAGAAATTAGTTAGTTACTAGTTAGAAACTAGTTGTATACTAGTAAGTAATAGAGTATACTTACACAGTGTTAGGTCTGGATTTTGCAGACTTTGGATCAATTCTCTAATATCTGCAATAAGCTCTGGTGGTGCTTTTTATTGGTGGTGGAGGAGGATGCTCATGGCTTTCCATGTGATGTTAGGAGTATATAAGGGCATTCATGGAGATTCTTTGGAACGATAAGATTAAACACCACTTTACAACCCAAATGGATAAGCTTTTGAGGTCCGGATGGGTGATCAAAACCTGTTGTACTAGTAAGTAAGTAGTATAATACTAGTAGTATACTAATAGCTACTTACCACAATCATCTTTTCGTGTTATATTTGCATCCATTACTCCACACTCCTCAATATTATCATGGACACGCTGGTTAATCAGACTGACTAGTAGATCAATATCTGTATTATTAGAAAATTCAAGATTTTTGATCATATGGTCATCTATGTTAGGCCCGGATTGACGATTAATACAAGCAAGAACACGTGAACGTGTTCCTGAGGGAGGTTGATACTGGTTAAAACCAGTTAGAAACCAGTGTAAAACTATTATTAAAAGACTTACCTGCTCAGACATAGTGATAACTACTGGCCGACAGGTTGAATTCTGTTGGCGGCATATAGTTCCACGACGAAATGCTTTTAAAATACCATAGTACTTCCTAATATATATTAGTACAGTATCCTGTTAAAGAGTGCAACTGGTAGAAAACTAATATATAACTAGTATATAACCGGTACTATACCTATATGCCTGTTTCCTTTTTTCATTCCCCTATTAGTTCAACACTTCTTCGGAGTGCTTGTAGTGTAGACCATAGCTCATTATCTACCTTGTAGTGATGAAACTCTTTGATTCTTGATGGAAGATAGGGACAGATCTGTAATCCACGGCAAAAATACTTTGCTCGCCAGGCCCTAACACCAAGAAAAGGACATGTTGTCTCTACATCACGGTAATGCTGCTTTGTTGCATACTGAACCTAGTATATCAGTTAGCTACCAGTGGTATACTAGTTCCTTACCAGTACTACCTTTTGAAAAGTCTGTACTGGAGCATTCTTCAATTTTTGAGGATCTACAGGGATAATATATGTATATCCCTGCTCATTGCTTTGAGGATATTCTGGTACATCAAGTGCATACTCCATTTTATAACTAATCAGTGGTGTCTGATGTCCATTTGTAAGATAGCGTGGAAAATCTCCCTTAGTACTAGTTAGTAACTGGTATATAACTAGTACCATACTGATAGTGTACCTACCGATGCAATTTCATTTGCTAGATCTTCAAGTGTTGACTCTAGTGGGGCATCCTCTTGCTGGGGACTTCAGTTGAGAGTCCATCCTGTAGATTCAAGACAAGCTCCATGGTGATTAGTCAAATACTGGTATAAAACTGGTTACCAAGATTCAAAAATGTTTTGAAAGATGGTAAGAGGAATGAAAGAGAAAAGAGCCACTAAACCCAAAAATATTTCCCTCATAGGTGGGTCCTCACATGACCTCTAAAAATGGTTTAGCTTCCCAGCGGCTTGGCAGACCCACCTTCATCCCGTCTGCTCCCTGTACTTGTGGCCGCGGGCCGGAGCCTTAATCGTGGGTGGCTAGCGCCGAACCAAACTTTCCTTCCATCCTAACTACTGCTTATGTATCTATTGCATACGATTCGATATCCTGCTTCCTTTATACCGTTACAAATCCCACATTCAACAAATTTTTTCTTTTTTTGTTTGGTGGCTTATGTATACTCCTTCCTAGCTGTACCTAAAACTTCGATCCCCTTTCTATCCAGATAGATCCATATTTTACCATATCATATAAATTTTCATTTTGTCCAGGCAGTTTGGCAACTGAGATTTTAACTGGAAGATAGAAAGCCGCCGGAAGTATCTAAGCAGGAAATCTAGTAACATATAAATAAGAGAAGGTGTGACAGGTGAGTTCTAAGATACAAGAGAATAATAAATAATTTAGGAATAGCGCCATTGAGATTGTCAGTGATTAGGAAATCTTCAACTGGTCCTTTCTGACGACGGCAGTGTATTAGTCTTAGCGGGCTGATTGGGTCCTGCTTTGTTCTTCCGGCATCTCAACTCTAGGGCCCGACTCTACTGGCATATCAAATACATTATGGCTCAAGTCTCCTGGCACCTCAGGCCTTGAATGGTTTCGCTCATCGAGCATTTCATAAGCCAAAGGACCTTGCTCTCCCTGGAGCTCACTTGGGTGGGAATTAGCAAACTTCTGATGTGTCAGTCGGGGCTCCATCCACTCCGTGCCTGGTTTTGCCCTGTGTCGTCGCATAAAAGTAACGCTAGAGCACAAACCAAAGCTGCACCGGTAACGGAACCCCCGACTGCTCCAGCTATGCTACCGCCGGATAACGAGCCTCCGTGAGAATCGTCTTTCGCTGAGTCTGGGGTTGATTTTGATGAACCAGAGGGGACTGAGTCCGTGCTCGTCGTAGGCCTTACGGAGCGTTTGCTGAATAAAGTCTTTCAGTGAAGAGCTGTTAAACCCGTGTTCCGGTTCGGTTATGGTTGCGCCGCCAGTTTCACTTTCAAATGGTTAGCTGGACCAGCTGGCAGCAGAAATCGTAGGGTATTGGAGAGATGCAATTAAAATCATGAAATCGACAGACCTGCCACCAATCACGCTGTAAATTTTAGTGGGAATCATGTGCTCCCTACTATTACCTGCGTTGAAATTTGTCATCCATGAAAGGGTGCTCAGGTCGAATGTACCCAAGCTATTACTGAGCTTAGAGCTATCACAATTTCGCGACTGTGGGTAAAATTCATTTCCTTGGTAGGTATGATTCCTCCAACAACTAACATGGTATTTTTTCTAGGCGTCACACACTTGTGTTTAATGCGAATAGTATTATCATCGTAGACTTGAATCTATCGGAATGAAGGCAACGATAAGACATATATATTCCCGTCAGACTTTTTAGTCGTCGATGACATACCACCGAATATATAGCTGCTATAATTAGCTTATATTAAAGAGAAAAAAAAAAAAAAAAAAAAAAAAAAAATTCACTTAAGGACTTACATGGAGTAGGATAATAGATCCTGAGCCGCGGTAACAACACTGCAGCCTGACATTCGCCACCTTGGAATATCGCCCGATGTTTGTTGTGTATACCATGTCTGCTTCGCAGTATCGAACACACTAACATACTCCATCGAGTTCTGCAGCAGTCAGCCATAGGGTATAAGGTTAGTTAATGAACGGATAAATAAGATACCTGGTTCGTAGCATTCATTTGGTTGCTCGCCAAGAATGAAAGCTTTTCCCCAACAGGATGCGTTACCCACCAAAGGCAGCTATAACACCTTTGTCGCCGACAGATTCAATAAGGCCCACGTATCCGGCTCCGATTGTTCCATAATTGTTTATAGCAGATGTGGAATAATTAGTCCATTCCAAATTAGCCATGTTTAGGGAAATAAGCCCAGACACTATGTACACATCCGCTCCTGGTGTCCCGGCAAAGCTGGGGTTCCCAGCCGGGTGAAGGATGCCAGATAGGTAGTAGGCTTTTTTATCGACTGAGGACCGCATCGACCCTCCTTCGCTAAGTCTTACAAGGGGAACGCCCCAAAACCCGGTGTTAGTCCAGTTATTGACTGCGATAATATATCTCCAAGTTCCGAGGGGTGGTACTGGGGGGCCACCCCAGTCACTAACGTAGCCGCCGTAGAAATAAAGATTTTCACCGTCAGACCAGGAGGCTCCATTATTTATCGTGGGTGGATATTTATCCGGATGTGATGCGTTATAGGGCTTTGAAATGTAGTTGAATAGGTCAGAATCTGAGTTCTTCCATGACTTGGAAAGGTCGACAGTTTCAAGATCGTAGACTAGTTAATGTCGGTCAAAATTCTCAAGGAATAACAGGGTCGGAAGACAAACTTGCTTTCGTGGTGATGGTCCCATTTGGTAAGAGAGTATGCATTTCACCGCCATCGATAAAGAGTGTGTCGTTATTGATAACCGCTGGGAAGTTTAATATGTTAGTCCAGGAGACATGAGAGACCTGGTTATTGTTACGCACCCGTGTTGAAGAGGTGAGTACAATTTGACAGGGCGAGGGTAGTCCGGAAAAACATAAACAACAAAAGTAGAATAAAAAGAACTCCCGCCATATTAAACGTTGCTAACCAGACGACTATAAAGAGTTGACTTATTAGGCATTGGAAGTTATGCGTTTGATGGGAACATACCCTCCGAGAGTAACGTAGTCATACATTTGGAACTTCGAAATTACTGGGGATGGGAATCAGAAAGTTGCAGATATGTAAGCACATAAAATTAGAGGGGCACACACAGCATCGACGAGAAACCAGGCGATAAAAGCTACCGCTATAAGCATGGGTGTCATTCCGATACAGAGCAGACTAAGTCGAGAGGAGGAAGGAGAGCTCTCTTTAGTTGTGGGTAATGAAAGCTGGTACCATTGGTCCAGGGACATACTAAAACGCCCAAATCCTGCGGCGAACGGCCCGCTTGCACGATGCATTGGCCCTGGTTCTACTGTAATTTTCACGGGGTGCTAATTTTTATGGCGTGGGCCAATACTTTCCAGCAAGGAACGGGACTGGCGCTTTCTTTCATTGCATGGGATTAGCAAACATGATCCTAAGTACTTGGTAGGGTGCTCAAATAATATAACAGCAACATATGTAAGCGCTGCTGCTCAAATATCTGGCTCTATCTGGCTTTATATATTATGCGTTCAGAGTCGTTTTGGGACCGAAGCATACACTAACTCATGTCGATCTTAGTAGAGAAACACAGGACCGACTGTTAGCCCAGAAATAGTACTATGTACTGTCAATAAAATTTTCTTATCACTCACCCCCAAAAGGTGCCATGATCCCAGTTCGAGCGTTGTTGTGATATTTGTTGTAATTCGGCAATTTTCTATATTGTCACATACCCCGTACTCAGAGTATCGTAATCACATCACAAATGTCGATCGACCATGGAAAGCTATGAAGATCAACAGTACTTAGTGGTGAGCCGACGAAGGAGATTTCAAATCTGGCACAGTTCATGACCAACATGCTCAGTTGTAGAGTGCCTTTTCTAGCTCCGGCCAGGATTCTGTACGGCGTCGTTTATCTTCGGATTGATGCGCTTAAATGTCGTCAAGGAAGGCAAATCAAGAGGAGGGGATTCGGCTAATCGAGGAGCGGTCAATTGGCTGTTTATACGTCTCTTCAAACCACCTAGAAAGAGATGCCAGAGAAAGATAAGGCTTTAAATGAGTTGAGCGCGTAGGGCAGCCTTCTGGCTATTTGAAATAGCTCGACGCGTCCTCTTAACCATCTTTAAAGCAAAGTATGATGTCTGAATAAGCAATTTTGTGACTTCGATATAGGCAAATTTATATAGGAAAAGGCGAAAAACTAAGCAAAGATCTTGTATCGGGGGTTAAGCATATTAATATGGAAAATCAAATTAGACACCGTGTTCCTTTGCTTATACCGGAGTTTTGCTTAAATGGGTGCTGCTTATATAGGGTTTTACTGTAGTTACCAAAATACTTCGCTTTATAAAGGCGAGGTAAACAAACGAAGAATATAAGCCAACTAATATAGGAAATATAAGCGATCCGATGCTGTTGTATCATCAACAACATTTGACTGAGAAAGGTGCTGAATAATCAATATTACCATAATTGTCGACATAAACCATTTCCCCATATCTATATTAAGAAACTACTGATATAGATTGTTCAATCCCATGTGATTTCTGCGTTCATGTGAGGATGTCTGTGCGTTTTTGCGCCTGCTTGCTTACGCGTTTTGGGCACCGCTGTCACTTGTCCGCACCCTGCTCTTTACCAGGATTGGTTAAAAAGCTGTTCTTACTACAGTATCCTGCTACCCTCCACGGAGGTAGATAGCTGGTGCTGCCACCGCGGCTATAGGTTATTATCTTACTTACCACCGCTTGAGCTGGCTATACAGTCTCTATTAGACCGGTATTAGGGTTGTCTATCTTTTATAAGTTATCGGCTAAATAATCTATTCGCCTTCTCCGCCATTGGCAACACCGACAAAATTGTTTATTTTCAATATATATATAGTCCTAGAGGGCCGCATCTACCACCGTTTGCTAGATATGGCAGATCCTGGTCATAGCATGCATTTGTTCTATGGCGAGACGGTACGTGGTCTGCGATCGAGTGTTAGGCATCGAACGATATACTACATAGAATCCGCAATTTGGTTACTTAGGTTAATCCCTACGTGTGGAATTTGGAATGTGCTATTAGTTAAGTCCCGGACTAGAAAGCACCCCTTGCCGTCGATTTTTTTATCCTACCTATAGGTGGAGAGCTCGCTGTAGTTATTACCGTGGAAAATCTCCGCCAAGTGGCTCCGCCGTAGTTTATTCTAACTTTATCTTGCTACTATAAGCCGCTCCAATACCTGCTCCTCTTTGCACACGGTACTCCGGGCTGGGGGTTTCTTAATAATTCCCAGCAAAACCTGCTCTGAATCAATCAATCAATTATTTCATAAATCATCAAATTGCTCATATATATGAGCTTCGTCATGATCTATCTGCAGGTTAGAGATAATTTTTGAGCGTGATCAGATCTGTATCTGTTCGAAGATATCTGCAGATATTTGCCGAGCTCTAGTATAAACAAACTGAAGGTCATAGTTAATGGTTGGAAATCTCTGTATAGTAACGTACTAACCTAAGTTTTATTTTAAAATTCCATCACCATCTACAAGGAAATTAGGAATAGAGAGGGAAGAGGGAAGAAATGAAAAGTAGAGAGCTATATATGACCACCTCTACTCCGTCGATGCTGACCTTGGCCAGAGAGACCCTGGGTCGTCGTCACAGCTAAAATATCCTTGCTTCAATGTATCGGAACATATCGAGGATGATTCTCATAAATAATACAGAGCGAAGCCTTTCTCTCCTCTGCTGTAGCCGCTTCCTGGAGAGCAGGCCCGTGGCCTTTACACAATATCTTCGTTCCAACGGCAAACATGATAGCCCCACTCCACGTACCCTGCCTTGATAATTAAAGGGAAGTTGAAGGTCGCTCTGGGGTACTCACCGTCCTCGGAATGCGTCCATTTCCACACAATGCTCTGCAGCCGCTCCCTTCGCGGTCGAGAGCCTTGGCCCCGTCGTTTGCTCAGCCCTTGAGCACCCCTTGGCCATCGGCATGCTATTCGCGGGGCACCTCTTAATATTGCACGGCACATTGCACGACGTGTTACCTCCGACACAGGGAGAGAGTAAGGGGTATTTAGTCAGGCAGGTAGGCTTCCCCGTCAGGACAGGACTACCTCCCGGCTGCACCGTGATAGTGACCTGATTATCGTACCATGCGCAATCAGTATTGTCGACGCACGACGGCCCGATGCAGGGTCCAGAACTGCAGCTCTCCAGGAGGGTCCTAATACACCCACCACCCTTGTTGCAGTTGGAGCCCGAACATCCCCCGCCCCGGTTACATTTGGCTCCCGAGCAGCCGCCGCCAGAGACACAGTAATCGCCCGAGCAGTGTCCCCCTTCCATGCAATTCTCACCAGAACCCACCTCCCCCCGGGGGATGGATTTTGGGCTCGTACTGTCCCCGCCGCGTGTGCTGCTAGGTCCTGTATAGTCTCCACCGTGTAAACAGTCGTTGTTGGTGCAATCTGGCCCCTTTGTGCAGCCGTTACCGGTGCAGTCGTTGACCCCCAGATCCGGCGTGGGGGTGAGAGAGTTGTCGTTGCCAGGGATTTTGGTGGGTGCCGGGATTATGGGTGTGATAAATAACGGCGGGCTGTAGCCTACAGTGGACAACCAGGTGGTAAAGAATAGACAACCCCATGGGTCGCTGCTGGTGGTGGTGGTGATGGGTGGAAGACCAACCAAGGTTGATATTAATAACGGACGATTAACTTCGCCAGGCGGCGAAGTAATCATCCTCCCTGAAGGCACCTGAATCCTACTGGGCTTGTACGTGTTAACAGTTACGCTCTCTATTTTCGAGGAGGCAATGGTAAACTGCTGGTAGTTAACCTCGGAAATGAGGAAAATGGTAAACACGACGGTAGTGCTAAGCAAGCCTTTGGTCACAAGTATAAAAGTAGTGTATACAGTGTGCATTACCGTTATATAAGCAGGGACGCCTGGATAAGATTAGTGCAGCCAACAGGAGCGTTAATAACTAGGTTGAACTAGTCTTACATTATATTGTCAAAGACATTACAGAGGTCTGTTCAAAATATTTTTTCGTGCTAGTAATTTTAGCGTTGTAAGACTGTGTAAGCTCCCACCATAGTAAAATATATGGGAACAGGCTCGAAATCAACTTTCTATAAAATAGATACAAAATTGAAGCTATTTATGTCAACTCTGGTAAATCCTGGCACCTAAAAATTTTCCCCTAGACCCGATGACCCTCCCACTCTCGTGTATTAGTTCCTGTACAACCTTTTTTATATTTATTTCCTCCTTCCAATCTAATCACATCCTTTACATGACGAATTGGGCGTTCAATACAACGCTGGATTTGCTCCTGAGGCAGATTATCCTATGCCTTATACCATTGTTTCTCCATAGTCTTCTATCTCGAAAGGCACCTCTTGAAGTCGTACGCCGCTTTAGCCATGGCCAGGCAGGTTTAATTGCATTTAGTTCTGGAGAGTTGCCTGGTCTAAATAGTTAGTAAGGACCTCTTGAGTAGTTGTAGAGTATTTACCTAGCCATTGAATCGGTTTAATCCCATGAGTATTGTACACAAGCTGTTAAAAGTAATAGTGATAAGCTGGTGCTCCATCCTTTACAATTATAGTATCAGGATACTTACGCATGCAATTCTGAGCAAAAGGAAAAAGCTTGGGTAGAAAAATCTTCTTCCAATATCTATACCAATTTATCCCACTGTGTGCTTCTATTTTAGCGGACAGCCAGGAGTACAGCCGTTTCAAAGTTTTATTCTTTGCATGGGAGTTTCAAGCTCCTATTCCTCATTATAAAAAGGTTCTAGTTCCTTATTTAAAGTATTAACCTCTTTCTTAGATTTCCTTTCTCTTGAGTAGTTTCTGGATTCCAAATATGATAAACATCGGAATTCGCGATCCGATGACTCCTAGCGCCTTGGAGAGCGCTCCTAAATCGCTTCCATTCCTTTAGATAGTAGAGAATAAAAGAGGGAGAAAGAAAGAGAGCACCCGGTTGGTGAGCGCGTTGGTTGCGCAGTCAATACATTTATTACCGTTATTCTTCCTCGTAGGCTACCGGCGTGTAGCTGGTATAGTCTTCTGCCACCCATTCCTGAGCAAATGATCATAACAAAATATATAAAGGTGTAGCGGGCAGGACCCGCAAACGCTCGAGCCCGTATACCAGGCACTCGCGAGGTTGTGTAGAACTTGTTGGAGTATAAAGCCATAAGGGCGCCTGCTGTAAAGTGCTAGAGCCCGTTTGACCTCTCGGGCCAATGTCCCTATTATCCCTGTTGTCCCTACTGTCCCCGTTGTCCCTATTGTCCCTACTGTCCCCGTTGTCCCTACTGTCCCTACTGTCCCTACTGACCCTATTGGCCCATTGGCCCTCGATCAATGTCACGTGACTTCCCACCTTGTTTGTTTACCGCTTGTTTCCTCTTCCCTTCTTCCTTTCTTCCCTTCTTCAACGATTCCTTCTTGTACATAACCTATCTTGTAGGTTCTATGGGTTCAGCCCATGACACCTGCTTCCTGTTCGACCCTGCTTAGTCATCATTTATGTAAGCTAGTTCTTAACAACGTAACCGGAAAGCGAGCGAGCCATAAAAGCGAGCGAGCCACCTCCGTATTGCATATAAAATGTCACTTTTTACAGCCTTAGTATCTCAGCCAATCTTATAGCTACGGCGTAGTATTAAGTCCTTCTTATTAAATGCATGCAGTAGAACATATCTGTATTTTATTCAGAATTTTCAGAATTTTTTTCTTCACTATAATACAGGACAATCCCTAGTACAACTGTATTTAATCCCCTCTTTATGTAATATATAGCACCACTTACATTATAAGCTTCGAGGTTTAATATCTGCTTGTACACTATTATGTCAGTCTGGATTCCAAATTCTAGGCTGTATTGACAGGTTGTTGTTGAAATGCTAAGATCACAAAAAGTGCCAGTTTGTATGTAATACGGAGGTGCTCGCTCGCTTTCATGGCTCGCTCGCTTTCCGGTTACGTTAACTACCCATTCAATAGAACAAGCAATCGCTTACAACACTCTAGTGCCCCCCCCCCCAACTACAATAACTAGTACTGATGACTTAGTAACAAATTTACCTGTAGTGTTATATTGAGATTGATCGCGAAAAACTAAACAAGAACTATTCTAAGTATATCATATATGATAATGCGTGCCCTTATATCCTTCCTGTCAGTAGTCAGCATACCATCCGTATACCTTTTGTAGTGTCCATTATGGTAGATTCGTATACCATTCCACTACCACCTGTTGTAGTTTCCATGGCAGAGATCACGTGCTCAGTTGTGTCCTGATCGGCATGTGCTGCTCAGTGGGGCGGTGTATGAGCGAACTGTGAGGTGGCGGCCCCACATTCCGTGTCTGCCCTTAACTAGTTGATGTGTAGGGGTCCATAACACCTTGCTCAAAGGCCAATAGGCCATCGTGACATCTTCGCCACAAAGACCTAAAAATGGGTCTGATTACTACTTCTGTAAACACGCATATGACAGGTTCAGAGGTGGGCGGGAGGCTCTCCACCAATGCAGATCATACTAATAAAATATAGTACGGTTACATCGGGCACGATTAGTACCCACTGGTGCCTTATTACAGCGTAATGCGGGAGATTGCGCATGTTTAGTTTCCTGTACAGTGGCTCCGTTAATCTCGGAGTAGGCCGGAGGCGTCCAACGAGAGCGACCCAGGGATCGCTGAGACCTGGTTGATTCAGGCACGGGCCATAGACTAAGTGCACAGCAGTAATAGTAATTTTGGACCAAATGAATCACCTTCTTCTTCCATTATAGACCAAGTCCTGCCTAGTGCTGTTAGGGACCTCACTCTCATTTTCATTGGCATGTTGATAGTGGGTCAGAAATTATACTTTTGATTGTTCGATACATCTAAGTTTCGAAGGCGAAGGCATGATAACAGGAGATACAGGATATAGAGTAGACCGCACAAAAAACAGCAGTGAGGTAGTATGAAACCGCCCCCCAACCAAAATAAAGTTCCTTAACCATTGCCTTATCATTCCACTTGCCTCGCAAGGCAGCCTAGACCGGATGTTTCTATCGGTATCTGGATGTTGAAGAGCCACTTAGTCTATGGCGTTTCTTTCTAAGGCACTTTACAATCTGTATAGAAGCAATTACCACGAGCAGGAGTGCCAGTTGGTACGGGAAATGAAGAACCTCGGTGGTAGCACCTTTCATCGAGCGTAGAATCTCGCCATGGGACCTATCCACCTGTAGATATGTGGCATCTGGGCGTGTCGAATGTGCATCATGAAGGTTTTTACGCGGAGTGTTGTCGATGACACGGTGAAATACGGGGTTTTGCTTATCAATACCCGTAATCGGTGGCTGATGTTCTGTATTTTGTATGGGTTGATCACTTTGAGATTTTTCTTCAAGCCATCGTTCGAAATCGTTCTTGGGTCTCCATTTCTGCAGGAAGCGTGACCTTTCTCCAAGCACTCCATCCATTTTGTAGTGCAGTGCAGTGTACGACCCCTAACTGGACTTCGCTGCAAGGTCTAAAAGTTAGCCTTCGGGATTTAGGTAATAGAAACATAACACTTACTGGTTCAGTTGGTGTATATTATATAAATTTTGCAAGCAGCTCGCAGTTTTGGAGAGCAAATGCAGGTCATATGTACTAAACTCTTAAGCTCACGCTGAATCGCGTCACTGCGCACAGAGGCTAAGGTCCGAGGATGGTTCGGGGATGTCCGAGGATGTCCGAGGATGTTGCTTGCGTTAGATGACCAATACAAATTGGGTCCATAGCATGGGTAGATGAACTTGATGTTATCCTGTTGGGTTGGTCGGACCATTTAAATAATTGGTTGTATAGAGTAGGGGTCACCTGGGTGTCGCGCTAACAAGCATAGACATGTGATTCTCATCTTGGTGCAGTAATAGTTCCTCCGAGTGGCCTTATTTTCCCGCCAGGGGGCTAAGCCTGGCATTCGCGCCCATCAAGATTGGACGAAGAGAATATCCTTACGGATAGGATAATTATTTCAGCGCAGGGGATGAGGCACCAATGCAGAAGCGAAATTGGTTGAGGGTTTCCTGTATGTACAAGTTAGTAGGATCCTAATTCACTATTTCCGTCGTTAAGCATTTTGTATCTCTTGGTGTCTTTAGGTTGAAGTCCATTTGACCCTTGTATGAAGAACTCAATATAGTACCAAAAAAATTCATGCATATCAAGCATGGCATATGTAGGGTCTCTATACATTATGGTGTTGTCCCTATCAAGTAAAGAGCTTTCTATCTCTTGTATTTTATTGCGAACATACACATCAACATCCTTATCGGAGATCAAACGCCACCATTTCTGGTGAATAGACTTGAAATTCTTCAGGTGACCCTTATTAACCTACATGGGTTTCTGGTTCTAAATGTGTTACAGCTCCTGTCAAAACGTCTTGCGATCGACTCTATGGGCCAAGTTAAAGAAATTTTGCTCGGGTTGGGGTGCATAAAATCTGCTCGGTGTGTCGAGAATAGAGACGTAGTAGTTAAACAGTGTCTTGGAGGGCGAAAGGAAGAAAAAGGCCGCATTCATGTAATTGTGTGCCACATAGAATTCTTCTCCAGGAACCGGATATAGGCCTACTCTACCCACCAATTATAAAGTCCGGAGAGCATATACATTTTCGGTAGAGGCAGGTGAATGCTATTATTTACGCCCTCTCGAGGGGACAAAGGCTGTTGCATAGCAGTACAAGAGTCTTCGAAGATATCGTTCTAAATATTGGAGAATAATCGTATCAGTGTCCATAAACATGATCTTTCTCATAATCCGTAATCTTGCACAAGTTCAACTTTGCAAGGGCATCGATCCAACAACTCCATTTAGGCTTAATCCTTTCTAGTTCAAGGATTTCCGCTGGAAGAATACTAGCAGCCTCTCTTGTAGGAACACTCCATTGTTCTTGAGGTGGTTTGTATTAGCCGCTCTGGTCAATTGTGGGCTAATGTGCGAAAGCCGGTTGATGTTAATTTGGCTAGCCTACTGCTTAGTCCGATATTCGTTGAATCCCCCCAGATAAATTTTCGATTATAAGCGCTCCGTCGCTACGCCAAAGCGCCCGAGAAAAAGACTATTTATATGTTTTGTTGGCTGGTGTCGCGCCACCGTCCAGCCTACCGCTACCCAATTTTTTATAAGTTCACATAAACAAAGCGCCTCTCCTTTCCCATAGCCCTATGGGATATGCCTCTGCCGATGTAGCTGTGGACCAACATGTAAGCAATGCCGTCTGCTGCCTCACGTAAGTAATGGCTGGCACTGTTCATTCGTTTTGATTTGATTATTTAATCTCGGAATTGACAGGTATTATGAATACACCACCATGGTTGCAGAAAACGGTAACGCTGTTTATGTTGGATGCATAAGGATGTTTCCATCATCAAGTTCTACCATTGTCACTGTCCGCCAAGACCCTTCCAAAAGCACCAGATTACCGCCCATTTGACCATGTGCGCACAGTCGATTTTGATTCAACTTCTGTCCACAGATTCAAGACTTTTTGTCACCGCGACCACGACTCTAGAATCTTCATTACAAGGGGTACAAATCCTACACCTACCTCAACGACAATGACATCCATAAGCACCCAGCCCTCAATAAATTTGATGGAGTCTAAAAATACCGGAGCAAGTGGACTGCCAACGGGGGCTGGAATCAAAGTAGGGGTGGGTGTCGGTGTAGGCGGACTTGGCGTATTTGCGGCTATCTGGTTCTTGCGTCGACGTAAAGCAAATAAACCTAATCCCCATGGAAATTCCATACAGTGGTCTGCATATGCATACTATGGCGGAACCGACGGAACCGACACAGGTGCGAAAATTGAGTACAGATGGGATGGGCTTCCACTCTAACTTGACTCAACAGCGGATCATATTGACAACACTCGACATGGCTTAACGGTTAAGCTTTCGTTTCCCTAAGTCTGTTCTACATATACCCTTGCTTTGCTTGCATTCGACTGCGGGAACTGTTCTGGATGAGTCCATTGGTTCTCTCTTCAATCGTTTGCAATAATTCATGTTTCAGGTACACTGAGTTCAATTTCGCTCTAACCGTGTTCACGTTATTCTAGACATGTATACGATGCCAATGTTCGACTTTATAACTACTTATTTCCTGTGTGTACGGATAGGAGAACGATTGTACTTATTTGATATGAAATAATTTGTGAGTAAATCTCCTCTTATAGGCTTCTATGTGCCATGCTGATGCTGGCACTGCCCGAGCTGAGACTGCTTGTGGAGTGTAGAATATAGACCTTAATATTGGCAAGTTCACTGCCATTATTTCTACGCCTCGAGTATTTTTTTTATTTTTTTTTTTTTTGTTTCTTTTCCTCTTCTTTTTTGGCTTTTAGCTAACTGTTGCATCTCCTAAAAGTAAGACCATGTCTTAAATGTAGTGAACGTTGGAGCTGCAGCATCAATGAACCCAACAGTTATAAGTGCTTGAGGTGATCTACCCCCTGAGTGCGTCCCTGGTATAAAACATAGCGCCAATGTATAAAATAAGATAAATCTGCCTAGAGTATGGCTTTTTAATAGGTTGAACAAGGGGCCAAAAATGCGAAAGCGCTTCCAAGTAGCCAACTAGCCAGCGATACATACATGTAATCTGTTATTATTATTGTGCTTTCGGAAGTGAAGGAAAGGTAGAGGCGCCGGTGTCTCCCGGACACTGCCGTGGATTAATAGGTTGTCCATCCCCTCTGCGTCCGCCTACGAAGTATTATTATGAACCCTGCACAGACCCACCTTCGTTCGCTCGAAATTACGAGATAGTTAAGACGATCTTTCGGACCACCCCAACGATTGGAAGGATGTGCGGACTGTCAGCCAAGCACATCTAACCGCTGCAGCTAATCATAGCAATTGGCACGGGGGTACTTTTGAATGGATTAGAGCATCGCCTCAGCCTCATAGAGACGGGCGCTAACTCCAGGACCACGACCAGGGTATATCGTTTATAAAAAGAGCATTTCCATTCCCATTCCCTCCCTATCTCCATGTCACAATGTTGAAAATTACAGAGTATAGCTCGCGCGGGTATCGCCTACGCTGGAAAACGCCCAAGACACTGACAGTCACCCTGTTCCTTTTCCTCATCGCGTACCTCCTTTGGACCAGCCCCATCTCGGTTTCGACATCTCCAGATCTCCTGCCTGATGACCAGGCGCAGCTTGGACATCAACTGTATGCCCTCTTTGAGAAACATAGACCGCAATGTGATTCCCCAAGAATGCACAGTTCTGTAGGAATACGTCGGTTTGACGCCAACCAGGAAGCTCCCCGAGAAAACTACATTGACAATGCCGACGAGATCTACAAACCTTTACAGGCTGCCCACGATGGGTTACGCAGGATATGAGCGTCCTGGCTGATAATCGCATCTATCAGGCCTACCAATCTGGAACTAAGGGGATTGTTTCGGCGGCCGGCGGTCGCTACCTACCTACCTTCGTGGTCACCCTGCGTATACTGCGAAGAACAGGATCCACCTTGCCTGTAGAGCTATTCTTACGGGATTATCTTGAATACGAGCCGTATGTCTGCGAGGTGGTTCTCCCGCGCTTGAATGCTCGCTGCATTGTTCTCTCGGAGATTCTACCTGTCGAAAATGACAATTCCCATTATTCCATTAAGCATTACCAGATTAAATCATTCGCGATCCTCTTTTCCTCGTTCGAGACAGTTATATGGATGGACGCCGATTGCATCCCGCTACATAATCCTGCACAGTTACTAACATCCAAACCCTTTACCTCGACCGGTCTAGTCACATGGCCAGACTTCTGGGCGAATACTGCCTCGCCACTATACTTCCAGATATCCCGTCAAGCGGAACCATCTACCACTGCCCGCCAGTCCACTGAAGCCGGCGTGTTGCTTATCTCCAAAAAAAAAAACTCACTGGAGGACTCTGCTCCTAGCAGCATACTATAACTACTACGGGCCCTCGTTCTATTACCCGCTCCTCGGCCAGGGCGGGCCTGGTGAAGGTGACAAGGACACGTTTCTCCAAGCTGCGACAGCTGTTGGGGAAAATTTCTACACAGTCAGCGAGCCGGTAGCTGACTTGGGTCATCCAGACGAGTCGGGCAGGGGAATTATCGGCGCTGCTATGTTGCAGGCAGATCCGATAGAAGATTATGCGCTGACTAGCCAGGGTAAATGGCGTGTTAAGGACCCTTCTGTGGCGGAGCCGGTTCGCGGATTTTTTGTACATGCGTACGGTCCAAAGTTTAACGCAGCAGAAGACATCCTGGGGGAGAAGGCGCATTACAAGGGAAATCCGAGTCGGGTCTGGACGGCGGGCAAGGATGCATCAATTTTAGCAGGATATGATGCTGAAAAGGCAGCGTGGGAAGAAGCGAAGACTGTGGCATGTACGTTGGAACATGCGTTCGATACGTGGAAGGACAAGTCGGGAGTTTGCGAGAGGATGCGGAGACATTGGGAGGCGGTTTTTGCACCATAAAATTAGTTGTTGGCATGTTGTACCTATGGGAATAGCTTTGTCCATAGGAGTGATGTTTCACTAGTGCTCATTATCTAAATCCACTGCAGGTTGGTGGTAGACGTTGCTTCTCTTAAGTGAGTGTTTATTATTGGAGAGACAGCCATACACACAGAACTGTACCTAATATAGTAAACATACACAACATTATGTTTGTATCTGTAGCAACAGGGGTGTATTGCTGGCTTTGCTCAATGTGATGCTGCCCATCATACTACGGAATATGCCTCGTGACCCGGAAACGTAGGGCTGTCGCAATGTTCACAGCCACTTGATTTGACACTTATCAAACACCAAACAAATGATGCCTAGTTTAGAGACGCTCTGCTTCATCACACATATCTCTGGCCTAGGATTAATCCTCCAACTATGTATCCCGGCAATTTGAGAGATTCTCGTACATTTTTCTTCCCTCCGAAGGATACGTCAAGTTGGGAGCCACAGCCACGATGACGAGACGCCAGTCAGGTTATTTGGACACAGCACAGGAGCAACGAGAAGAGTTCAGCGATCCTGGATCCTACTTCTCTTGACGACTGCTGGAAGTGCAGTGACATTCGTTCATTCCGCGATCAGTATCCACAAAGAGCTCACTCTAGAATCATGGCTGCTATTTGCAACTAGGTTAAGTGAATCAGACGCTCTATTATTAAGTGTTATTGACTCCGTAGAGGTGACACGGCCCTAAATCTAGAAAGAACGAAACGAGATCTATTCAGAATGTAGGGCTACTCCTGTCCGAAACATCTAAAGGAACTACCTATAGAGGTGGCGGGCAGATTGAAACTGTGTGGTGCGTGACCACATGATCAACATAGGGAGAAGCATGAAGGAGTCTGGGATTCGGGAGGTACGGAGACACCCAGGAACTAGGCTAAATACATATCGACTAAGACAGTGCAGGCTGGCACCCGGACCAGAGGGATAACCGGACGTTCCGACATATGGACTGGGAGGTCAGGTGATCTAGGATCCTCTTCGAGCGTTTTTTGGGTAGGGGGGAGGACGCAGTAGTGTTTGCTATGTTCAGTTTACTAGAAAACGCGCTTGTTTTATCTGGCTAACACTGTCCACCTAGTCACATAGGTTAACGCTGTGTATGGGTACAAGGGATATATGCCAAATGATAGGGGGACTTATAAGTTGATAGGTAGAGAGAGTGTGTATCTATAGTATAGCTCTTAGAACTTTACCCCTCCTGGTAGTAGTAGCCTTTTCAAGCTTAATTAAAACCAAGTGCAAACTTCAAATCTATAAACAAGTGCGTGCAACCAATTCAGGGAATCTTTATGGAACCAAAGTTGGCTTTGTTCAGTTAAATATATACTACCTAAACCCTTTGTATACAGGTTATTAATTTGGTTCTCTTGCTGTCCCATGTCTCACTGTGTTTCCAGGAAAGCCAAAATTCGTAGAAATCCTCATAATCCTCCTCTGATGGCAACGGCATTGGCTCCGAATATTTGTCATTATCATCATAGAAAATTTATAGCTCCTCCGGAGGAGAAATTGGTCGCTCGTCACTTTCTCTATAGCCTTGCTCCGTGGCTAATTATTATAACCAGAACTAATTCCGGCGGCTGTGAAGATGGTACTTATAGTAAGCATACTTATTGCCTAGTCTCTACCGCATTGCGAACCTGCTTCAGGCTTGGGAATTGCCCCTGTGATGCGGCGTCTGCGAGGCTAAGGACTCCTCTTACCAAGTGTGGAAGGGCATTGCTAACAGGACAAGCGAGATGTAGTGATCCGATGCTAGGTGGAAAAGCCTGGACCAGGAGCCGCGAAGCTGCAGGCGAACCTGCCAAGGACCACCTGTATAACTCTCTTGGTTTAAAAAATAAGTATTCCAGAGCAGTGAAATTTTAAAAGGTTAAGGTGTTGTGGACCAATCCCGCAGTCGAAGGTCGAGGTGCAGCAATTTAAGGGTTGCGCAGTGTTTGCTGAGATACTTCACAGTATTAAATAGCTGGAAATTATCTCTGCTATTAAGCATTGGGTAACATTGTTCGGGTTGCATAGGATAACAAGTAGCCTTGTAGATTAAGGTGTGTAGACTGTTACATAAAGAAATAGGGCCTTTAAGATCCTCTTTACTAAATCTACTGTAAGTAATACAAAGGGTCTTAAGATTTGGCAGGAAAGAAAATAAATTCCAGCGCCCAATGCCACCACACATGTGGAGATAAGCGTCTCCAGGCATGTATAAAGTTTAAAAATGGCAAGCATATATATATCCAGTCTACGCAGGTATGGTATAATTGCCTTGCCAAGGCATGCAGAGAAATCTTAATGGTTTTAAAAAGCAGGCACGGAATACCGGCCGCCTATAAATCTAACAAGAAAACACTGTTAATTGGAAATACGTGGACTTGAAGGCTATAGTGTTCTAGGTTAGGTAATTCAGTAAGTAATATAGTAACTAGATTACTACTTAATGTAATTCCTAGTGCATGCGTGCTTTTCAAAGCATTTTCCAAGCCTCCTTATTATTAATATATTCCAGCAAGTATGGGTTGACATAATTCTCTTTACAAGTATGGCAGGTCTTATCGCTGTGTTACTGCCCGCATAAAAAAGAAGTCGGCCACCCCTAAGTATATTATAGAGCGCCACGAGTCACCATATCCAGGTGTTCAAAAGTCGAGCTGTAACTTTAACGTAAACAAGTAACCCACTAAAAGGTGGAATTTCCCCCTTAGACCCTCTAGCGAGGTAACCAAAGTTTTGGGCGTTATCTTTGGTGGACATTATCAATTCAAAATCCTTCTCCGTAACTATTCCCTGGGATATTGGAAAGCAGAAATAGAAGTGTTGCTCGGAAGATATAATTTATAATTCAGATTTTCTATAATACTTAACCAAATTTATCTATTCATTCAACAGATAGCACATTCAATAATCCTCTGATTCATCGCTGAATGCAGCTTCATCATCATCATCATCTTCTTCTTCTTCCTCCTCCCACTCCTCATCATCAAAATCATCATCAGACTCAGCATTTAACATCTTATCGTACATCTCCTGCATCAATTCTTTTATCGCCTGTTCATGCCCCTCCTTCAGCTGGAACAGATCCAACAAGAGCTTCTTAGGCTCCCACTTCGTTGCATCAAACTCCTCCATCTCATACAAAGCTTCGGGAAGATGCGTAGCAAAGAAAGCCAACACCATAGTCGCCACACCCATAACGTGCTCCACAGAAAGTGAGATACTGGCCTCATCATGATCCAGCCTCTTTGCAAGAAGAGCGGCATCACGCGTCTGGATCAGCTCGACCAAATCTGTCTTCGGAATGATGACGTCCCCGTCACAAGCACAAGCCTTGATCAATTCGATTGTGTCGTCCCAGTCAAGGGTATGGCGCTCACACAGGAGCGCAAGTAACAGGAAAGTAGGACATTTATTATGAGCATTCTTTCCCAAAAGAACCATAGAGAAAGCATCAGCCTCCGCTTCCAGTCGTCCGTTGAATGGTTTCCAGAACTCCCTGTGCCAGGGATCGGAGACCTTAGAAGAAGAGTGTCGTTTGGCCTCTTGCATTACTTGATCGGGCAGGTATTTTTCATACCGGGTGAAGGTCCACATGTTCCAGAGATTGTCGAGTTCTTCGCCCAGTTTGGTCTTGGTCGCCAGGTCGAAGGACAGCCTCGGTGGGTCGCTGTTCTCTCTAAGGCTGTTTTCATAGTCGGTGATGCTTAATTTGGCGCATTCGCGGTCTTCTTTATCGCTACTTTCAGCGAGGGTGTTGCATGCATCTCTATAGGAGAGAAGTCTGTCGTGTTCCGCCTCTGATACTTTGAAGTGAGAGAGTGTAGTCATGGAGTCCACGTAGCATATTCGCTCCTTGATCTCTTTATTCGTGGCTTTGGAGATCTCCACGAATGGGCGCGGGGGTGCCAGGTAGCGAAGGGGATTCATTTTCGTATATTGGATTTGATTTCTGATGTGTTTGGAAGCTCTTCATGATAAGGAAAATTTCTGACCATGAAGGCAATTCTCAATTGTGGGGCTCCCGTAGCACTCTAGTATTGGACTGATGATCTACTCTACCATCAGAATAATAAAGCTAGTCCATATTGGGACATCGCATGAAACAGTCAAGCGAAGTGGCGAGAGTATGGTGGGGAGCTTCCCAGCCCTAGCACCCTGCCCTAATTATCTTATCCCAATACGGTCTGCATGCAAACCACATAAACATCATGTAAATGTGTTTAGCTGAACGCGACGTCCAAGGCATGGTCATCACGGAAAACATAGGATACTGCATCGTGCCTCTGTTTCAATAATATTATTCTCCTGACCCTGATGGGTAAGGCTCGACATCATATGGCGTTAGACTTATTAAGCCCGTTCTCGAAAAATGCGCTGAGCGCGTTCGCAGACATTGAATTTCTTCTTCACCCTAGAATAATTAATTTACAAGCACTGCTTTCTCTTGTGAGTCTTCTACGGTCCCAATGTGAACACCTTCCTCGTCTATTTATCTTGATATCTAATACCTAGAAAGGCCTTCAAGGGCAAATAACCACCTGGAAGAATTGCAGAAGCTTTAGTTCAGGCTCGGAAATGACAACTGCACCTCCATGCACAGGGTCTACCAGGTGGTCCTTTTTAGCTCCTAACGATCTATAACATCCTAACTATCCTACTGACTATGTGGGAGCCCTTTCAACTAGCTCAACAAGTAGCACAATCCTCACCGATGTCAAGGATGTAGTTTGAGTCTTGATCACTATGGATGAGGATACGAGCAGACCATGCGCTGTTACACGGTAAAGCTGGTCACTGATAATATTCCTCGAACTCTGGCTGACACCTCGAGGCTCCTATCCAGAGACTCACTCCCCGCCATATCAGTACTCTCATCCAGCGTAATTAGGGACCCCGGAGCTCTTAGCGATGTGGAGTTGCTGTAGACGCTCCAACAGCTACTAGAAGGGTAAACAAGGGGACTTTTTCAAACCCCCTCGAGGCACTGGGGCGCCGTTTTGGATTTTGTGATAACGGTTGTAATGGGTGCGGACCTGTCTACAGACCCGGATTTTACTGCTGGTTTGTTGCTGTCTATGGATTCAAGTCTGAGTGGAAATCTAGTGAACTTCAGTAGTGCCAAGTGACGGCACTGTGGATTTTTATGTTTTGGAAGCAGCATCCACAGGTATGATGGATAGTGACTTCCCTAGTGTGTAACGGACCTTACAATCATCCACGACGAAAAAAAAAAAAAAAAAATAAAGGGAAGAAGAAGAAGGAGAATAAAAGGAAAAAGAGCAAGGGAAAAAGGCAGAGCAAGAACAAATTAAAAGAGCATCGAAGTATGGTCAAGATACTAGATTAGAGAGCATCAAAATTCGAGGAAAATCGCTCCAAACCAATTCACTACCACGAAACTCTCTGCTTCTGAGATGTCAGGGAGCGAATGCTTATTCAATTCAGTGCTGTTTTTTGTGCGTCACAGTGGACGCTGTCCCTGCAAATATTGACCGAGAAGCCCATGGAGCAGGCCAGGCAAACAAGCTTTCAATGTCCTGGAGATCCTCACCAGATACTAGGTGATCAATCAACGCGATGAAAATGTAGGCACCAATTCCGGTGAACGTGTGCCACCTGCTTCCGATTAGTTTCATCCTCCTATAGACGGGAAATAAAAAATAAAAAAAAAAAAAAAAAAAAAAAAAATATTAACAGAAGAACGTAGGGCCAGAACATACCACCCGTGAAGCTCGAGTAGCCACGCCCATGGAAGTCCAACTGCCGCCCGTGTTGTTCTGAGCCAGTCGCACAGCCAACCATCCAGCAGCCAGACGGAGTATCCGAGATGGAAAATGACTTTGTTAGAATCAGCCCCTCCAATCATACATGTACTTTATGTGGAGGGATTAATTAACGTACATGCCCCAAATCGAACCATACCCCATACTTGTTGCCTAATCGCTGAATTTTCCGGCGTGCGGAGCTTGACGAGCTGCATAGTTCGGATTCCGATAATCGCGACACTACCGACAAAGAATATAGCGTGCAGGATTAACTCGTCCGTTGATACATGGTATATTACTATTCCAGTGAGAGCTGGATATAGCACGAGACCCGCAATGAAGGAGTCCCTGCGTCGAGAATTGACGGTTAAGACGCGGTGCAGGACAGGAGTGGTCGCAAAGAGCATAGACAGGTCATCCACTAAGAAAAAATACCATTTTAGCGAACGGACTTCTGGTTCAAAAGAAACCAGTAATTGACAGGGGGTATGCGAGACCTACGCATTTGGGTGTGGTACTGGAGGCTGGCATGGTAGATGGCCGAACATACTCCGACAGTCATCAAACCCCAGTAAGGGAGGACGCGAATGAAACCGGTGTTGGATTTCTGTCGCAGCTTGTAGAGCCCATAGATCGCGTAGAACACTGGGGAGAAGGGTTGTGAGTAGGATCTCCTAATAAAGAATGCAGGTTACCACGTCGCTGCCTACCGTAGACTAGGTTGGTTAAGGTGTTGATGAATTCGGCGACGTATCTTGTCACTACGTAGTCCTACCCAGTACACAATGTTAGCTGTATGTGCATTACCAGGCAAATTGATCTCGGGTTAATTATCATGATCACTACCTTCTCACAAAAGCTGATGCGAGATTAGCTTGACGCCTATGGATTAATTCGCATAACTAACTTAGCTTTCGAGCTTGGTAGCCCCCAAAAGGGGTCGATCGGAGAGTCTGAGGTCATACTTGGATGCTGATGAGTTGCGACAAACTTGGAAATGTGGCAAAGAATAGGAGTGTCAGCAAGACAAACAAAGTACAGCCAGGGTAGATCGGGTGTCGGGCGATCGGAGACGGAAGCCGATACCATGTTGTTGTCTCCGCCAACCGTGGCCTTTTTCTATCACGCAATGGCGGGATTCCCTCGTCTTGCTTACCGTCAAGGAAACCTTTTCGTCCGCAAGGAAAGACCTGATTCATCATGTCTAGCACACACAGAGGGATCCGCCCGGGGATATTCGCTTCTATCCCGTCGGTCTCTCCATCTCCATGTGCGCCTTCACGGTTGCATTAGGGACAACGATCTTTCCGATCGCTCTTCCGGTACCGTAGGTCATCACGTGACGACCGTCCCCATCTGGCGACCGATTTCTAGGTACACCGACTTTTGAATCGTAGATTTTAAACCATCACAACTCAGTCAATATGGACCCTATCAATGCGGCTTTAGCGGTATGTATAAAAACCAACTAAATCTTAACAACCAGCAGACCAAAGAGCTTATAAAATGTATAAATAAGCTATCTAGCCGTGGCCTATATCCCTCATGTGGGATGCTTCGAAATTTCGTAAGAAAATTACTGGAGTTAAGCCTGGAAAGAACTGGCCCGGCCGTTTTCTAAAGAGGCATCAAGAGGAGCTCCTTTACCGCTATACCACTGCTATAGATTCTTCACACAAACGGGCGGATTCTGCATACAAATATACCAGAATATGACATACAGGCAGAGAATATATATAATATAGATAAGAAAGGATTCCTAATTGGAGTGCTTTCTAAAGGTAAGAGGATCTTCTCTAACAGTAATATAAAAAGGATGGCCTTAAACAACGCCTACAGGATAGTAATCAGGAGTGGATTACTACAATTGCCTGTATCTGTGCAGATAAGACCTCACTGTCTCCTGGCTTAATATACCAAGCGTGATGATCCTATACACCTTGGTAAAATGGATAGATTCTATCTAAGGTGGCGATCTAACGAAACATCGAACGTAGAGAAGGAAGGAAGAAAGAATTCTATTATACAGGAAATGTGGGAAATCCCTACATTATAGGATTAACAGTAAATAAAGCAGACTTGGTGCCTCAGGCATGGTTCGACCTAGGCCCTGACACCAAGCAAGTTCTGGCAAGATACAGGATTCATGGCTTCAAGGCTTTAATACTATAGATTATTAGGCGTTCTTTGCCTCTTCTTTATCTGGCTGGATAAATGATGAAATAGGATTTGCATGGCCTTGAGATATTTTTGACCGGGAGCCAAAAGACAAAGCCAGGAGGTGTTAGCGCCTTTTAATACTAGATGGCTATAACTCTCACATTTCTATGAAGTTTATTAACTTCTGTGAAGCTAATAAGATATATTTAATAACCTATCCACCTTATTCTACCCATACACTGCAACCGCTTGATGTCAGTATCTTTGGCCCGTTGTCTATGCTTATAGAATAAGTTGGAGGCATTTCTACATGCCTGCCAGGGCCTAAGCCATATTACCAAACGGGATTTCTTCAGGCTATTCTGGCCAAGCTGGAATGCGGCATTATCAACTGAAAATATTAAAAGTACATGGAAATCTGTTGGTATTTGGCTCTGGGATCCAGAGGTTGTTTTTGAGACGCTTTACTAGGGAGGAGGACTATCGTATTCGGTGCGCAGCTGGCTCGCCGACATCAGCTTCCCGCATATCGACCTGGCCTCTGCGACGGGTGTCTGGCCGAGCTGGGGTTCTGGACCTCATGGGCAGTGGTCAGACAGCAGGTGGTGTCGACGCTGCAGGCGCTAAGGGCACAGAACGAGGGATACGTAAGCACTTCTGCATATAATTCCGATGACTGTATTTGTCCATGTAGCTTGTTCATATAGCTTTCAATCTAACTAATTCATAAATTTAAGTTTAAAGTTAGTGTTCCCACCAATGGGGTATCAATACGGACAATTAAAAAAAAAAAAACCATATCTATACATCGACCACAGAACCGCAGTTATACTAAGAGAATCATGTACCATCCCATGATAAATATAAACATTCACTAATCATCCCAGTCCAGAACCGCCGAATCAACCTGGGTGTGTGTCTCTGGACCACGATTATCCGTCCATGAAACCCTTGATGCACTCTCTTTGACTCCGCTATTGAGATCGCAGTTTATAGGCTGTCCCTGGATATAATTCTGATAGGAATACACGACGCCACTGCATAGATTGTTGAACGGTACCTCCGCCTTTTTCCCCCCGAATGCAGCCGCTATGGCGTAGTTGAGGGTTGCACATGCTTTAATGCACTCCTGCAGACTTTCCAGCCCCTTCAACTGTCCAAGCTTGATAATCTGCGGGTTATTGAATGACATACTATCTGGGATATTCTGGTAACAGTGGATCTTGTACTTCAGAGTGCGATTATTGACAGTGAACGGACTTGAATTATCTGCGGGGTTGTTAGGAGTGTAGTACTGATTATCCGTGCCATTACAGCCGGAGTTTAGGAGACCGTAGGGCTTCGTGCTGGTAGGATTTACGCTGGTGCTGGTGGCCGTGCCTGTTAACGAGGTGGAGAGATCTCGAACGGTGTTGGTAGGACTGTTGGTCTCGACAGGGATCGAAGATGGGGCAGAGTGGCTACACAAATATCACACGGAGCATTATTAGCAATCAAGAAAGCAATTATCTCCGGAAAGAAAATATCGAGAAATAAATACTCCGTATATTAGTGTACCTTTTCTGACTCGCTAAACCACCACCAACGCCTCCCCCGATTCCCGCCGCAATGAGCAACGCCATGATTAACAGGAGAATCCAGAATATCTTTGGCGTCAGTCCGCAGATCCTTTGTTTTCCTTCTTGCACGGCTCTATCCGCAGCTATCGCGTTCTGTGGCCAGCTGGCAGGCCGGTATGCGATCTTCTGAGTGTTCTCTATATTAATAGCTTCAATACCTCGATAGGGAACTACCTCTGGAGCCGAGCTAGAGATTTCGTCTTGATGCTCCATTAGAAGTCGAATCAGGTTTTATTTAACCGTCGGTGAGACTTAGTATTACACAGTCGTCCAACATGAAAGTAAAAAGGCTAATTTTCTTTAAACAGGCAAAAAAGAAACAACAACAAAAAAAAAAAGGGCGTAAACTGTTAGTTTGCTGCCTACTATGGCATCTCCATAACTGAATAGGCTGAGTCCGAGAATGGTATAGAATATAGGGAGTGGATTATCTGAACCCTTCGAGAGAGCGGCTACAACCTTTATTAAGGCATTCTGAGGCAGACTAGGGAAGAGGGATGCCGATCAGTCCCTGATTATTTTAATGGAGACGTAAAATTGTCTGGCGCTAACAGGTAAATTCTTATTCGAACATATTCTTAAAGCGCTGCGCCGGTTCACGATCTTATGCAGACTAATTATTAGAGGGCTAATCTCCACTCAAGTCGACTGTTATACCCAGCGCTGGCCATGTTAGCTTTGGTTGGCTTTTTAATATATTAGTTTCTGCTTGATTTGAGTGTTAATAAGACAGCGGCCTGTCTTAATAAGTATAAGTAAGCGGCAGGGCTGTGATAGGGTTAAATAAGATGAAATTAATTATTTTCTGTTTAGCCCGGGATGTTAAAGCTAGTAGGCAAGCATGTTGTATTGGATACTCTGTATGCAGGGGGCTGTATTTAGTGTGTATACTAGACCCTTACTATAATAATACCTATAATTTTATCCGACGATCATTCCTTATCCCATTAACTAGTATGACAAGGGTTGTTCGTTGCTGTCACTAACAAGGGGAATGCGAAGAGCGTGATCGTTAACTCCGCTATTGAATTAATGTATTGATTGGTAATACCGGGTATTATTATAAGATTTCCAGCCTGTGTCTGATATTATTCAGCGTCGAGACAATTAATATGAAGTCCTGTCTGTTTACAGAATATAACTGTATTCGGACTGGTCAGTTACTAACATTAGAAATAGTGAGCTGCTGAGAATAAATATTCCCAGAGGCACAGAAGAAACGAGTCCGAATTAGCTTCAAACCCCAGTCTACCGAAGCTATACCAAAGGTATTGATGGACCTCTATTTAATATTAATAATCTTCGTTCCTGGCGCACATATAGTCTACCTTCTGGCCTCAGGAAATAGGTACTTGACTAGTTCTAGGATTACCCGTTTCCGCGAGCAAAGTTCTAAGTAAATAACTAAAATAGCTTTGTATTAGTGAATAGTTCTTTTATCCTTTCTCTTTAAACTTTTCATTTATAAATAAAAGAGGTGATGTACCTTAGATTAAGAGGATCGTTCATATCTTTCCACCCGACAATACCCTAAGGAAGGTCGATGATGGGACAGTTCCTGTCAGCTCAGCTATTATTTTCTGCATCTTTGGGCCGAAGATATTCCAAAGATGGTGCTTAATTGAGTGAAAGTATTTCCTCTGCAATTTCAAGATCACTACGTACCTTTTAGCGCAGCTAACCTCGAGTGAATGCGAAGGATCCATACAGGTATGTGATGATTCTGGGGTCTAAAGTCGGTGCTTTGCGTGCTCATACATATGGGTATTCCTCGAGTGAATCCTTACACTTAGTTCTGCAAGCAGAAAACTGGCAGAAGATTGAAAGGCTCCTCAAGCATGTTGTTTCCGATATTTATAGTAAAAAGACCAAAAAATTGAGTTCTATAATACACTGCCTCTCTACAGAGAGTATTCTGCTTAAACTGCACTGTGAAGGCCTCGAAAATGCCCTCCAGAATGAGCAGAAGAGAAGAAAGCGTGGAAAGCCTCTTATATTTAATTTACGTGCCCCAGAAGATGGCTACGCAGTATTCTATTCTCCTAGGAAAATCCAGCAAGCTCGGGATCTTTAAATGGAAAAAGAGAAGGTAATACAGCTTGCTAAGGCTTTAAAAGAGAAAAGATCCTCCGGTAGCAGGAAAAGGAAGAGAAACAACGCTTAGTTAAAAAAAGAAAGAGAATTAGGGCATCTAATAGGGAGTCGCGTATCCAGGAAGCAGAGCAAAAAAGACACCAAAAGACAGAGAAGCGCCTGGCTAAAGAGGCAGATTTACAGCTTTAAAATAACTTCAAACGGGTTAAAAGAGGCAAGGAGAAACCTTCCAGGCCATCTACCGTTAAAGATCAGGAGGATATTGTTGAACCAGCTGCTGATGTTATTGAAGAGGCCCCTCTGGCAGTCAATCGTCGAGGAAGGCAAATCCGGCTACCACAACGCTTTCGGGATAATTAAAAAACCTTGACAACTTCTTTATGACTCTTATTTTATTCCCTTAAAATATCTCTGCATAAAAGTTTATGTGGCTCTAAAGCTTCAATTCCTGACTTAGATGTTGCTGTGAAATCGGTCGTCAGATGGGGACGGTCGTCGCGTGGTGACCTACGGTAGGGAATGGTGCCCTAAACCTACTGGTAGATGCTTCCAATGGAAGCAGACGATAAAAAGTAATCTGGACGCGTCTACCATCCAATATATCTGGGCCAGCTCGGTCTACTTACTGCTGTGCGTGCTGAGCCAGCCGCTCGCCTCCAGCTTGTGTAATATTTTCTGTCGGTTCATCTTTTGTATGGGATGTATGTGTATATTTGGCATCGGTGCAGCTCTCGTTGGCGCGACGCTGAACGTCAATGTCCTTATTGTCGGCCAGGCTACCTTGTCCTTCAATACATGTTTTGACTACTGCGTAGAGTTGAAGGAGAAAATCGAGCGCAGTAAGATAAATTGTTCGGAACGATAGCTCCACAGGATGCCACAAGTTCGTCACTTCTACTTATTCACGGACATACTTTTAATGTTCCTCTCGGAAAGTGCCGACCAACAGTTGGGCTAGTTTAATACCATACGCCTAGAAAAAAGGGTAGCTTGTGACAAACACCAGACAATAACTCGAAATAAATTCAAGACTTTACGGCTCACGTCAATATCCTGACGGAAGGGTTCTGTTACAATCACTGGTGAGTGTCCTCTTCTGCACCTAGGTGTGCGGTGGGCAACGGGAGACATATTTTGGGGAATTGCGAGTAGTCCCTTATTCTGTGCCTTAATTGGGCCCTATGCCGACTTGTCTACCGTTTCTCCGTTGGAACTGCTTGCACGTATCCGGAAGCGAGGATTGAAATCGGGAGGGAACATGGAGAAAGCCGACTGTCAGTAAAAATAGTAACAGCTGCACTTCGAGTTTATCTGTAAAATACAACCCCAACCAGCTAATTCATGGTCAGGTGTGCAAGACCGGGACTGGGCTGTAGAGCGCTGGATAGTACCTGATTGGGAAAATTATCTACTGACCCTAGTGGGCCAATAAGGAAATCAACCAACATAGCCTCAATTTAACAACCTCAACTTATGATCCTGTCCTTGCAAATCCAAATAAGGCCCTGCGCTTCTGGGGCTGTGCTATACTTTTAAAATCAATGTTCCTATATGCCGCTCAAAGTATAAGAAGTCTGCTCTACACTTAGACAGGCACACTTCACTTAACATCTCGAGAACACCCAAAAATGCACCGCTCATACTTAAATTTTATATTACAGGCCATAGCCACTCTACCCGTGGCTCAAGCAGCCCAAATCCACTGGTCCGGCCCATGCGGCTTGAAAGATGAGTCTGCGCCTATGATCTGCGGCACCCTAGAAGTTCCTCTCGACTACACCGACCCACAGCCTAACAGGACCCTGACCCTCGATCTGGCCAAGGTAGCAGCCAAAAATCCATCAAAAAAAGGCGAGATGAAGGAGCCGATCCTTTTTAATTTCGGCGGTCCAGGAGAAGACAGCCTCTCGAGTATGGCGGTATTAGGGGCTCAATTGCAAGCGTATGGTTTTAGAACTACCCTACGTACTACATAGCATATGCTTACATGATGTATCACTAGGACACTTGGAGGGGACTTTGATCTGATCACGTTTAATACCAGGTTTGATTCCTCAAAATCGACCCTTGTCTGAGTGCTCATAGATGCGAATTATGCAGAGGCGTCGGTAAAACCTTACCATTCCTATGCTCTGAAAACGAACAAGAATTCGCCCTCCTTCAATTTAACCACGGTACGGCGTCGAAAGGAGCACTGAACCACATGTGGAATCAGAGTGCTGTGATGGTGGAAAAATGTTACCAAAACAACAGACAGACTGGTGAATTGCTCGGAACAGCGTTTGTTGCAAGGGATATAATGCAGGTTGTTGATGCACTTGGTCTGGAGAAGTTGAACTACTGGGGTGAGAATGCATGCCTAGTATCCATCCATGTATACGTTTGCGAAACATATACTTATATTAATTACCAGGCTTCTCCTACGGAACCGTCCTGGGCGCCACTACTGTATCCATGTTCCCGAATCGTATGGGGAAAGTAGTCTTAGATGGGGTGCAGAATGCGCATGAATATCTGCATGGATAGTATGCTGTCTAGCCAGACTCTATGTAATACATGTAATACTAATTCAATGCAGTGACTCGCAAATGTCCCTCGACACTGACAAAGTCTTTTACGGCTTCTGTGCGGGCTGTCTCGCCGCACCGAGTCTCTGTCCTCTTGCGAAGAGATACAATTTTCCCTCCGAAATGGAAGCAGACATCCACAATTTCCTTGAAACACTCAAAGTTTATCCCATAGAGATCCCTGGCGCTGGTGTAATTACCTACGATATGGTCAAGTCGATAATTCTGGGTCAACTGTATGGTACAAACCTGTGGCCAGAATTATCGACCCTTTTGGATTTTGCCATACTTAGGAATGTGACCGGTCTTATGTCGATTTTTGGTGATAAGTTATCTTCAGACAGAGGTAGTTCTAATGCTGCCGCTGCCGAAGAAAATAAAGTGAAAACCCGCAATCCAACCATACTTGAATCCCTCTTGAGCATCCGCTGCTCCGACAAGATACCCCGATCTTCAAACCTTCAGCAGCTCGCTCCGGTCCTCTACGACTCTTGGTCCCTCAGCAATATAGGAGGTGACTTCAACGACTTTATAGAAGTGCCGTGTGCGCAGTGGAAACTAGCAGCCAAGGAGCGATACACCGGTGACTTTAACGTTAAAACACCCCATCCTATACTATTAATCGGGAATACGTTTGACCCCGTTACGCCGTTGGCCTCTGCGTATAATGTGAGTTGGGGGCTTGAAGACAGTGTGGTGCTAGAGCATCATGGATACGGGGTACGTTTTTTTTGTTCTGATGGATACGGTGTTCAATTCTAGTGTCTTAGTGGCTAATAATACGTAGCATTCGTCTCTCGGTCAGTTCTCTCTCTGCACGGCAAATACTGTCCGGAGGTATTTTGAGGATGGGACCCTGCCTCCTCCTGGGAAGATCTGTGAGCCTAGTTTGCAGACCTTTACAACAAAAACGTGGGAGAATGTCATATAGGGTATTACATTTGTTAATTTACTATACTTTAAACTGGATAGGATTCAATAGATTTCAGGGTTTAGCATATATGCGCAACACATAGTTTATCACCCGCAACTCGTCCAGGTTGTTGATTCTCTATACATACTCGAATCTATGGTCCTGGGATGGAATAAAAAACCTAGATTCAGGTATCATGAGAGTGTATTGTATTATAAAAGAGTAAACTATGACTCCCCTCTTCGCTAAAAACTTTCCTAACTACACGACTATCCTAGAGTCTTCGGAATGAGAAGGTATTACTCTAGAATTTGATATATGTAGTTAAATACAATATGTATACCAGCTAGAAAGCAGGCAAATATGATCTGGTATGATATTTAGAACATCCATAGGATAAAATAAATGCCTCTACCCACACTATACAGGGCCTCTTTCTAGTTTCTCAGCCGGTTAGATTGGCTCGGTCCTCTCGTAAAATATCACCACACTGCAAGTGTCAAAAGATATCCGGAATAAAAGATCAAATGCTATATTCTGCCAATAACTTCCATATTGAACCGATTACAGATCCAAGCTTCCTTAGTAGTTTTTGCACTCGAACATAGAGCAATACCCGTGACGCCCAGCACCTCATTTCGAGGCTCGGCCCTTCCTTGCCGAATTGGCGCGGCACGCTGATAATTGGAGGGTCGCCAGCGACGAACTCACACTTCTACACAGTGCTGGTGACTAGTAGCCTTCAGGTGAAGCTAAGACGAGTTCACGATTCACTTACTTTCCGCGATCATCTCGAATACATCATTTCAAATAGATAGCGAAGAGGACGTCCCGCTTTAAGACGTGGGGAAATGCATGGCTCTCCTGTATTATACGGTCAAACCTCGCAGTGACCATATCCTCCACGCAGGGAGGTGGGCGCGAGTTCCATTCCAGGATTCTGTCGCGGTCAAAAGGGCCGCAGAGTGATAACTGCGAGGCAGTCATGGAACTGGCTCAGGTCGAGAACTGCTGAGTGACATGCTCGAATTGCCTGTTGAGATGAAGAATGAAGCGATGGCCGATATAAACCCCGCTATAAGATGTCTTGAGCTAAGAACACCCATTCTTCGTCGTTAGCGAGAAATGAGGTGTCAAAGATGACTGATTCGAGCCAAACCCCTCTGTGTGGTGACTTGTAGCAATTAGGCTGACATGTAGGCGGTGGATGTTGTTCTCAGACGCTTGGCCAAACAAGGTCTATCTATACGGAGTAGCGAGATCGAGTTGACACATTGACATATTATCAGATAATGGACTAGACGACCCATATCGGAAGTGCGTTTATAAGTCTTTCATGCGGATTACTTTTACTGTGTTTTTCGATATCGACTCTTCCTTCATGAATAAATACCCAATTCTGACCAGGATCGTAGTACCGTTATATATTATTAAGATTTAACATTTCCAAACACTTTGTAGAGTAGAAGCCCATATGATGTAGATTTACTTATGTGGCCTATTTCTTGTGTCAGAGAAACATCATCCTAAATGTATATTGTGTTATACAGAATATTTCTTAAGATTGTAATTCAATGGTAGTGTTGCTAGTGTGCATAGATAAAAAAATGTAGAGAGTGAAAATATTTTTACGGAAGGAATAAATTGGACATTCTTAAAGAGCAGATTACTGAAAGTACATACAATGCTATAACCAGGGCCTTATGGCTATAGAACAGAATATCTACCGATCCATACGCTATAGATCTATAAGACAACCGTACATAGCTTCAACTTTCTGGAGTAGACAATTTCTGGTAAGGTTGCTGACTATATTAATATTTATAAATTGAGGTCACCACAGCCAGGTCTATCGCCAGCAGTTAGGGGAAGGTTTCATGTGGAGATACATCTAATATCACGGCGTATCCTGTCGGTCATGAAATACTCCATTATACTGCTTATGAGACGTAATTTCTTCAAATGTTTGCCTTCATTCATCGATTATCCTGTCTACTTGCGAACACTGACATAGAAAGGCCAATCCAAAATCATGCTCATGATACCTACTCGGCATTCAACTCGCCATATTTTAACACGAGACCACACTTTTTGTCGGACTCGGTGAATTTCACTCCATTAATCCTTTGCTGGAATTCTTCTTGCATGCACCCTAGGAAACCAAGAAGACGATGGCGATTTAGTAATGCATTGTTGGTATTCAAAGGCAATTCTACCAGACTGATAGCCAGAAATTGCCAGTCTACAGACTCCTCCGAACGCAGGATCTGGTCCACCTCCAACAACAACGCCGTGCGACATCGTGCCTTCCAGTACGCATCGGGCAACGTCCACCGGAAGGCCCAGAGCATATAATGGGTATCCCGGCCGCGCATCGGCCGGGTGGTATCACTCAGGATGAGATCGGCGATGAACATGGCGATTTCCACCGGGACACGACCAATTGGATGGTCCGGAGGCAGGCGCTTCATCGGAGGAGGAGTCTTCCGGGCCATCTTCAATCGTACCTGGATCTCTGGAACCCAGACCGGATTGGCAGTGGCCCAGTCAACTTCGACGTCCCAGCGCGCAGCTCGGTATTTGACCAGTCGTGGAATCGGGGTCCAATGTACCCCCTGACCGTGACGCCAGAAGCTGCTCAGCGTCTGTAAGAGATAACTCAGGTTCTGTTCCACCACTTGCGTGCTCATCATTTGTCGTAGAAGCACCCAGCACGGCATGTGCATCGGATACGCCCATCCCCGGCGTTTCCCCGAGGGGGTGTATTTATCCGCCTGGAGATCTCCCGGTTCGTATTCTCGGGATCGTGGCCATATGAATGATGCTGACGCGCCGAGTCGGACGTCTTGGGTATTGTAGGGAACACGGTATCGATGGCGTTGTTTGTTCAGGGATTGCGTGATTCCCGATACATGAAGCGAACCGTCGGGGTCGTGCAGGACTATATTCTATGATTAGCGACAGATCTAATTCGAGGATACAAAGACCAACTGATGCGGTAGAAAGACATAGCCAGACTGGGAACTGTAGAATAGTCGGCTTGTTCTAGCTCCTCAGCTGTTATCTTTTGTCCTGTTCGTGGCACCAAGATGTGGCTCCATTCCTTCCAGTCTTCGGGCCGCGAGAACTGGATCGGCGAGCCGCATATGACACAGTTGGTCAGTCCTTGTCGAGTGGTCAGGATGGCGTCTTGTTTCTTCCCCATGATTGCGAATATTGTTGATAGGAGAAGATGAGGGACTCACGACGGTTGAGATGGTTGGCCCTGTGTGATGTCACTATGAGTCGGATGTGGCTCAGCCACGGTTAGGATTAAGTTGTAGTTGCATCAATTATTGACCGATTGTTATTTTATTCAAAGAAGATCTATCCAATATATACGATGTCCATTATAGGGGTAATGTTAACGACCTAAGGCTTGCCTCTGCCCTTTCCTCGTCCGCTCCTGGAGTCCTGTCTACCCTGACTATTCCGATGAGTCCCGCTACTTTGATTGGGGTGGTTGTTGTATTAGTCTTCTTTTCTGTCTTCTGTTCCTGCTTTCTCCTCCCGGCCCTGTTTGGTAGCAGAGGTGCTCGTAGTGGCAGATGCAGGCCTTCAACATTAGGGAGCAACACCTTCCAAGGCGTGCACTGAGGATACTTGAGGTCCGGAGTAACGGGATCTTTCACCCGAATGAAGCGGAAATTCATTCCCTTAGGCCCAGTAAAACCATTGCAATCTCAATCACAACCCTCCGTCCCTTCCAGATTATTTTTTCCACAGGGGTTTAGGATGCGTGCCTGTTTGGCCTCTGTCCTGCCGGTAGCAAACCATGCAACAGCGACAGGCTGTGGCGTCTTCCATTTAATGTCTGGTCCCGATGAGCCATGCGATATCGCGGCGAGGCCATGACATCTCCGCAGACTCCGTCGCGTCGATGCTGGTATATGGTATCTTCAGCTGTTTTATACTTGGCGGAGTCTGGGTTTTCTCCTTTCCTATTGCTTCTGGAACAGTACGACGAGCGTGGACCTGTCAGTCTTTACGTCGACAAGTTTGCGCGCCTCCTTGCGACATTCGTCGAGTGCGTTCATAACGTCTGGCGCATTGCTCTTCAGAATGTTGAACGAACCAAATCTATGCCTGTTGGGTGCTTCTTCGCGTCGTCAACCAGCTCCTGGCTCTCGTAGATATCGTCGCTGCGCCTTTCATGCTGCTCGAGAGGATGAATTCATTTCCTACCTTGAGGGCTGTCATCACGGCAAGTCTCTTGGCCGTGTCGCCGGGGAATCATCTCTTGATACTCGGCTTGAACCATTCCTTCGAGTTAAACGTCGAAGATCTGCACTTTGTCGTGGAAAGTGATTACAGAGCCATACACGACTGCGGCCTTTCCATCTCCTATATTAATGTCTTGTTTCTTGATGCCGAGGTTTGCAGGAGTCGAAGGGGTTACCCTGGGGTAAAGCGGTTGCCAGGGCCGCCAGTAAATAGGCGGGGAGAAAGAATGATTTGGGGATGATCTTTTCGTTAGGTAAGAGAGTCCACTATAATTAGGGTTAATGACTGAAATAAGGAAAATAAATGAAGTGATGGATCGACTGTTCAAATAATAACTGCACAGAGAACGACTATTTAAAGAATGACTGATAATGAATGAATGAATGTGTACTCTCAACATGGGTTCACCATCGTATTTACACTTACTTCCTCAGATCAAACTTCCTGTTCTACAGTAAAACCCCTATACAAGCAGCGCCTGATATAAGCGAAAACTCCGGTTTGAGCAAATAAAAACGCCATCTAATTTGATTTCCCATACAATTTGCTTAACCCCCCGATACAAAATCATTGCTTAGTTCTTCAGCTTTTCCCATACAAAGTTGCTAATAACGGGATACAGTGGGGATATATAATCCAATTGTATTAGTTTATTTAGTCATACGACTAAATATACCTGTTAGAACTTCTGGCTGCACCTTCTCAGTCAGCATATGTACGTAACTATTTAGCCTAGTTTGTAGGTGCGTCCGTACCCCTGAATCCCAGCCTGCTTCATGCTTCCAGTAGTGGCGTCCATTCCCGGGCGTAGCCTGCCCCTTGGGAAATATATATCTTCCACGCAAATATGTCTTTGCAACATAGTATAGGACATGCATAAAATTTATTTTAGAAAATAGGCATATAGTGCTATAAAGGCTATAGATTAATATAATTCTTTTTAAAGAGAATATAGAATGATGGCTGAGAAAAATCAAAATTTCACCTTTAAGCAAACATGCGGCATAAGCAAATTTTGAGCTGTTCTGCTTTCTTTGCTTATATAGGGGTTTTACTGTACTATACTTCATGCATACCTCGGAAGATATCCAGGGTCCCGATATGGGGGCCGTTGCCTGTCGCCGAATTAGCGCGACGCCAACGGATCCCGTTCACTGTCCGCTGCAGAATTCGGGCACCACTTATAACTACTCTGGATATGGTAGAAGCTAATAGGAGGATGCTAGGATACTCTGACATTAGGGTTGGAACCTCGTTCAAGATGATCTGCAGTATATGTGATCCTTGTTCCTTTAAATAGCATATAACAAAGGCTATTGATCTCTATATTGACAGTTATCATTGACTAGGAACACCATGCAAATAGAAAAAGAAGGGGCCAAAAGGTGGAAGGGACAAAAGTTGGATCCATAATGTAAAATTTTCTTCAGAGCTCCCAATATAAATTCTCCTGATAACTTTCCCCAGAGCAATCCATCTCAATCGTCGGTCATTCTGCTTTTGATCTCTCAATAATCCAAATCCATTCCCCAAAGGAAAAATCAACGAGACCAAATCCCCGACGACGAAAGCGTCACCTCCATCACCGGCCCCTGATACACTTTCCGAGCCCGAAACATATAATACAACACAGCCAAGATCACAGTGCCACCAGTGCCCACCACGCTAAAGTTCATGTTCGTCTTGTTCACTGGGATCTGAGTGGGCCAGAAACTGAAAAACACCACAATTATCATATACACCACGGCGAACGAGTTGATCATCACCCCCCAGATCCCTGGCACATGGAACGGCCCCCATACCAGCGGTGCACCGGGGACATTGACTGTCTCGTCTGTGGAGTCGTGTACGCGGGAGATGGACCCCGTGCAGCGGCGGTAGAGGAGCAGCGTGCCCACGGTTAGGTAGGAGAGATAGAGTCCGGACACCGCCATGGAGAGGACTCCGTTCAGTGCTACGCTGGATCCGATGTTGATCAAACCCAGTAGGGCCGAGATCGTCATCGTGAGCAGGATGGAGTGTGTGGGGAGACAGGTCTTACTTGATACCTACTTCTATTAGTTCAGGTAAATAGTAGAAGACATAAGGAAGCGTACTCGACTCCAGATCCGCCACCCCGGAATGCCTCGATCTCGCGCAAACGACCAAAACTGGCGCGACGTGGCGGCCAACATGCCAATCACGGAACAGACGGCGATGATTAGCAGAATAGAGGACATTCCCACTGCACCTGACACCGAGTCCGCCGCCTGGTAGAAGATCTCCATGAAGGGGAAGCCCGTCGGGGAATTGAGCGCCGCGTCGACATCGCCCATGCAGAACAAGGTCGCAATCAACATGCTAAATCCCAGTGTTCCGTTGATCAACACGCTCATAAGAATAGCCCGTGGGATGATCACCGAGGCGTTGCTCACTTCTTCGGCCATCTATTCTTGTTATTGACGAGTCTTTGCCTACCCAGGGGGGACTTACATGCACGGCGGCATCGCCACCAGCAAAAGAGAAGACGCATCCGGTCATGCCGACGAAGAAAGAGATGCCGTCGGCTGGCATATTGCCACCGTTGTGGAACTCTTTGAACACCTCATGGGCGGATTTGTGGTTCGCCATGTAAGTCAGGGGAATCAGCACGCCGAAGAAGCCCAAGACATGCACAACCAACACCAATGTCTCTAACCGTGGTAGCAATTTACCCCCAGCCAGATTGATCGCCAGAGCCAGTGTTACCGCAGCCCAGAGGATCAATGTCCCATGCCAGGGATGCGGATTATAGTTGGAATAGGCCATGATGGCGACACCCTGGATCTCGGTGCCGCATAAGTACGAGGCAGAGGCAAAAGCCGCCTGCCATCCGATGACGGTGAGCCAGCCTGGGATTAGCTGTTAGATGTCATTAATGGGAGCTAGGAATGAAGATATACCAGTCATGTAGCTTAGGAACTTCATCATGTGCGACGGAGCCAACATGGCGCACCAGTGGTACTGGCCACCGGATGTGGGAGCCCTACTCCATTAGATGTATCCTGAACATTAAACAGATCACATACATAGACGCCATCTCGGAGAGAACCACAAAGCAGCAGGCTGTGCCAATCCACACCAGGATATACGAATACACAGCACCGGCCGATCCACCATTTTGCAGTGGGATCACGAACGTCCTCGGCTGTCAGTATCATAGCAAATCGACAGTGTATCAGGTAGATTACCCTAATAGTCCCTCCCAGGTCGCCAGAATAGTGCAGCTGAAACCAAGGATAGAGAGGATGCCAAACGTTCGCTGTACCGTTATTATTACCACGGAGCTTACGCCAAGTTTCGGCCCAGGATTTCAAACACACCTTCAGCACTGGCTTCTTGCCCAATCGCACCAGCTCATGATGATCGCGATCCTTGGCCGAAGTCTCGCGACTAGCGGGGTCCAATTCGTATGAAGCCATCCTGCGAATTCAAGGTGACAAGAAACAAAAGGTCCTGCCATCCTCTTATTCAAAAATTTCTCGCCTCCACCCGAGAATAACCACCCCTGTCAGAGAAACGTTACATCCAACGTGGCATGGTCCGACAGAAAAAAATTTACCAACTAGAGAGGGATGCCATGGCGACGATCCACGCTTAGACCGACGCGAAAGCCAGGATCGTGCCGTTCTCGGCCGCTCTAAATCGACGCCGTCGCCGTTAGTCTGCCTGTCATGCACGACGGACCAATAAATGCAATAGACATCTCCTCTGTGACACGCGGATTTTGTCAGACATACAAGGATCTTAAATGAGGGGGTAAGAGCACGCGAGTTTGCACACGAGTCTGCACCAATATGCCCTGACTCCTGTGAACTCCGTATGTCCTGTGTCACAACACTGGTCGGAATGCATAATGCCCTGAATAACTGAACAGCATGGGACGATTCGATCCAGACAGTCGAAATCCCGCGGTCAATGCGACGACCTGGTCATTGCTGGTGGCCTCATGGCTCAGTGTCCTGTCGCGGCTGATCAGCAAGTATCGCACCGTCCGTCGCTTCACCGGCGATGATTATCTGATCGTTGTATCGGCGGTAGGCTTCCTGGCCTAGAATGGAGAATGTGACGGATAACAGGCATAGATCCTTTGCACGGCGCAGTCCATCGCGGTGTCTATTATGGTGGCCAATGGATACGGGAGTCACGTCGGGGATGTTTCGCTTGGACGTTTCGAGGCGTTGATGAAGGTTATCTCTTTCCTATCTTCTGTGTTCATCTTTTGGTCCATCCCTAATATGCGCAGGCCCAGTATGCCGCTAGTCTGTTATACATCTCCAGCCTCTACCTATCCAAACTGTCGCTGTGCGACTTCATCTGTAACCTCTCCCCGAAGTCCCGCGACCATCGGTTCGCTACTGTCGTGCAGTCCATGACCACCCTCTGGGCCATAACCTCGCTCTTCGGCACGGCCTTCCAGTGTCCACCTCGCCGGACGTGGGACTATCGCCAGGGGGGATGTATCAATCTGATCGCGTGGCAATACTTTTTCTGCACGGCGAATCTAGTGACGGATCTGGGCTTGATCGCACAGGCACTCTTCTTGATTGTAAGATTGCACGCGCCCGTCAAGAAACGATGTCTTTTCGCGACTATCTTTCTCACCCGTATCCTGTAAGCGGAACCCTATCCAGAGACACCCTGGGAGAGGGGAACTGATGAACAGGGTTCTCGGTGCCATCATCGCTGAACTGGTCCTTATTCAGGATCTGACGCAGCTACCGGATCCTACATATGATTACTGCTACAACACGGTTACTATGCAGTTGGTACAGTGCGCCAGCATAGTTACAGCCTGCTGGGGCCAGTTGAAACCGTTCCTGAACCAGATGAAGTCCAACGGCATGCGCATCCCGGGCGCTGAATATCCCCCTGACAAGTCATCGCAGTCTCGCTCGCAGGGACGCAGTGAGCCCACGGGAGATGCGCACGATCTCATCCCGATTCCCCCTGGGCAGGGTAATCTCACTACTGTGTCTACCGGGTGGGACGCACGGAGTCAGTCCAGTCAGGTAGGGATGATTCGCGAGACGAGGACTTGGGTGGTGACCGATTCGAGTAGTTTATGATTGTGCATGTTACGTTATGTCTAAGTAAATGGAATATTATCTGCTGTATTCAAGAATTCCTGCACAGGTGTTTCGCTCCGCCACCAAAATTGGTGAAGTTGAACACACCGCGAATTTCAACAATTTTACCACATTTCGAGCGCGAGGCCTGTTTGTTTAGGTTATTGGACGCGTTTTTGAGATTTTTCACATTGCCTGATTAGTAAACGTTAAAATTAATATACCATATCCGCAAGATTATTCTAATAATACGCGTGAACCTCCGCTCCTCGTCACTCACCGTGGCCTGCCTTACCATACAGTTGCCTTAATTATCTGGCTTATTCTCCTTCGCAGGAGATCATCTGGCGTAGTGTTGGTATTGGGAATAATTTGTCGAACAGTGTATAATTATCAGAACGGTATAATCTAATATGGAAGTGTTTGGAAGCCTCGATTCCGCTCACTGGAAGGTTCTCATAAGCTCTCTAAATAAGACGAAGGATGCACTATTTAAATACCTCTTTCATGAAGGTTGGAGACAGCAGGCAGAAATGGTATATAGCTATATTATAAGAGGGTTTTTCACAATATCAAGAACGCTGAAAACACGTGAATGGTCACGCAAAGCGCCTAAGCGGATATCACTAAGCCGTAGCGAGGCACCACGGCATTATCTTAATAATATACGACGTTTCTCAGCCGAGAAATTGGTATTTGTAGATAAGTTATTTTTTAAGAAAAATAGGGTTGGAGAGATCATGGATACACCCTTATCAGTAATAAAGTACGATATTCAGCTGTTTTACACTGGAGCAATAAGGAGTATCTGTTCTGCTGTAACTTTAAATGGATAGCTTCTTTGCACTGGCGTAGAGCAAGGTTATTTTAACGCGGACAATTTTTTCAATAATATAAGCTGTTCCATGGTGGTGATTCTTGATAATGTCTTAATACATAATGGTCAGCGAGTTACTGCAGCAGCTGAGGCAGCCAGTTATTTACTACGTTTCTACCACCATATTCGCCTGAATATAATCAATCTAGTTGACGTTTTCAGTATTAAAACTGTGGATAAAGTGGAATTGGGTATTCCTACGAGAGAGTGCGGATCATACGAAGAATTTCTTGAATTGGCTATTAGAGAGTGTCACTGTGATTAATATGCAAGCAACACTTCGGGCATTCAGGTAGAAAGGGTGTATATATTGAAGAGAAAGATCTTGTACAGTTCCAGTGTTATATGGAGTGAGATGAAGAAAAAGTAGGTATTGTTTACTGAGAGGTTGGATTTAAATATTTCTCGCAATAGTTCCTTATTCTTTATATCGGACAGACACCCATTTCCCCCAAGGTATATCCCAGCCTTCGTAAATTATATATGGTATAATATGATTCGGCGTGTTTTTGTTGTTATTATCCCTTTACGGAGGCATTATCATATGTGGATCTTGTATAGCTTCAAAAATAGACGCGCTTGACAACTAATATTGGATGAATTGGTCAAAATGCCATGAAATAGTTGAACTTCGCGTTGTGTTCTCAACTTGCGCAAATTTTGGCGGTGGGGCGAAACACGAGTGCGAGAATTTTTGAACACGGCAGATATTATGGGTGCAGATATTGAGAGTATCAGCTCCAGAAATATAACACCAGGCTTAATAATATATTTTAAAGGGATTTACAGCCACTGACTTACATAAATCAAAATTAATTAAGTACCTCTTTTATTTACTCGTCCTTATACATACGGCGTATAGATTTGGGCATCTACTCACATCCTTAGCACCAATATTTATCAGACCTTTAGCATTGGAGTTGCTTAATTTCCAGTCACTTCCGAGTAAGTTTTAGTGTTTAAATAAAATACAGCATACTAATTAACCAATCTGACTTCAACTTGTCCTCCTGATCTCAAACATCACCTGCGACCCAACAAAACACACTCCAAAGTTAGAGGAAGAAACCAAATCTCCGAAACTACAGCCCAGAACGCGCATCACCAACGCGTTCCAATCGTCCAGCTGCACAGCAAAGCCCAGCATATTTGCAATAACCATCAGCATAATATTCCCCGCAACACCAATAACAGCAAGCCATAGATATGTGGTCGGTCCTGCCACTAGCTAGCAGGAAAGCTTTCCAGCGAAGCTTTCCGGAAGAAAATTAAAGTGATAAGCCATCGCCACAGAACCAGTCGGAACTTCACACGATGCCATGCTGCAACGACTGTAAATATCACTAAGGGTTTACCAGTATGCCTGGCATAGGCGTAGATACCTCTACGGCAAGGACAAGACGCTACAGGGTATTGGACATCATACATCGTACGTGATCCGATGTAATTACCGCCGAGAGGCACGTACATGTACCAATGTATGCACCGATGAAGGTGCCAGGTATGCCCTGACGGAGTAGCTGTTGAATAAACAACGGGCCATGTTCTCCGGTTTCTCGATGCCGTCAATCATGGCCAAGAGAGGGAAAAATCGCCACAGGACGAGGAACTACAACCAAGTGAATTGCAGGCTAAACATGGCGAGGAAACTGAGCTGGCTAGGGCTGTAGAGAGTCTAATCTGGTGATGTCAATACCGCTGTGGTGTAGTTGTGGCGCACGAAGATTTATTGATACAAATACATATACCAGCGCAATGAATATAAAGATTTCCACGCATACGGAGTACATAACAGTTTTAATATCCCCAGTAGCATCCATATAATATGCATTGAGGTGACAATTGGAATTGTTCGTCTGATCCTGTACATATCATTTTAGTCAGCTTTGAGCTCTCGAGTCATCAAATTAGGCCTTGAATCTCAAGGATGGTAGAACCAATTATCAGACCATTACAGAGCACAAATCATTCATACTAATTCCAACTCGAAGCTATGGGTCAACCTTCTTAACAAAAAAAAAAATGCGATGGATAATCAGGTCATAGAAAAAGGTCAATATCGTGAACATTACACCCGGCTCCAGCTCAAGGTTGTCTATCCAGAATCTGTCTGTTTGAAATAAGTATCTTTAAATGTATAAAGAGCTTGAGCCCCAAAAGCCCTCCTTGTCCAACAGAATTGTGATCAGGCGACATACACCCTCGAACGAGAAGGATGATATAGAAGCGGTATTGCCAGCGCAGAAAACTGCCGAGTGGAAAACAAGGATATATAAGATATACGATGACTTTGTTAAGTCTTCCATCAATATTAGAAAATTTTAATGGCATAAGCTGGATAAGATAGCTTCTATGCTTGATTTTTAGTTAGAAAATAGATTTCAAAATCATCAAGATAGCTGTGCTGCGGTAAGGAATGAATTCATATAAGGTTAACTATTCAAAATAAAGTCAAGAGTAGTATGAAGTAGTAAATGTATCTATATCTATATAAACGCAACTAGAATCAAAATTGTTTTACAATGGCTCAAAGACCCAGAAAAGAAGCTATAGTCATTCGAGATCCAGTACATATAGGTACCTATGTACTCTGTACATGATATAGATAAAATACCTATGGAGTATACAATATCCTCACAGTATATACGTATCAAACAGCACATAACTCTATGGCTTCACCCAGATACCCGCAAACAGCGGTTTGTCCCCGTCGTTATAAGCACTGAGAGTGCGCAGAGCATACCCCTTCTTGAGGAGGGCATCAAACTCCTTCTGGAATGCGGCGGCGTTAAGTCCATGATGCGCCACCCACGGTCCAGACGAAGACTTCTCGAAGATAGCAGCATAATACACCTCGCCATCGACCTCGTATCCGTCGACGTGCACAGGACGGTATCCCTTCTTGACGAAATCGTCAAAGGTGCTCTGGTACTGGGAGGCTGTCAGGTTCCCACGCGACTCCCACGCCGTGGAATTATCATCAGATTTCTCCCACACGGCGGCATAGCGCGCCTCGTGGGACACTTCGTATCCGCTGATGTGCGTCATGCGGTATCCCTCGTCCCTGTAGGCGTTGAAGTACTTTTGCGTGCCCTTGGTAGACATGCCGTGACGGGAGGCCCAGGGTCCAACGGGCGACTTGTCCCAGATAGCCGCGTAATAGTCCGTTCCGTTGACGGTGTATCCATTCACCTGCACAACATGGTATCCCTGGTTGAGGTAGTCTTCGAATTTAGCATGGTATTGATCAGAGGTCAGGCCAGAGTGCGAGCGCCACGCCGGAGAGGGCTTCTGTTCGAAGATGACGGCGAAGGCGGGCTCATCGTCTTGCACGTAGCCGTCCACAGAGGTCAGTCGGTATCCCTGCGACACGAGCTCGTCAAATCGTTTCTGATATGCGTTGGTGGAGAGGCCGGCATAAGCGCGCCAAAGATTGGCTTGGGCGCAGACAGCGGAGGCGAGGGTCAACAGTGCGAGTTTCATTTTGAAACTTAAGGAGTGTATATAGTTAAGGAATGTTAAAAGAATGTTAAGGAGTGTAGGCAAAGAATGTAGGATGAATGAAGAATTAGAAATGATCAGCTATTTATTGTCATGTATTATATTAACACGAGCTCGTATTAGGGCTCGTATTTCTCCACACACGCTCCGCAGACTCGTGAAATGCAGCCCTTCGCGGACGGAAAATATTACGGTCGATTTCTAAATTTATCGAGATCTGCAAGGTAAATGCTTTCGGTTACATCAGCCGGTGAGCAAGGACATTATTGATGATATGCGCGACGGATCGATTGCATGCATTGCTGTAGATTTCGGACCTCGTGGAGTATCCGTATGTTTGGGTGCCTGGATTCTGACTTCTTACACCATTCCATCCTTCTATATTCCTAATGGGAAATGTGCGTACAAATTTTTGTCAAACATGCCGTTAGGTGACTATGTGACTTCTATCCGCTGTCTTTGACTATACTTTATCCAGTCGACACAAAAGATACGACCCAAGACTGTACAGCGTGAAAAGAAACGGCAATGATAAACACTCCAGTAGAGATCGCCATTCGTATTTTGCGAGATTGATAGATATATTGGAGAAGACACGAGAAATACCTCATCAATTCCACACAATTGATGTCTAGGCAGGGGGAGCAGAATACATAAATAGCCTCTATTCTCCTCATCAGACAGATTCATCATCAGTCCCAATCACTACTCAATCAATCGATAAACCAATCCATCGATCATTCTATCAATCAAATCTATCAAAATGAAGGTCTCTGCTATTATTGTCTCTGCTCTCTTCTCTCTGTCCGCCTACGCTGCGGCCGTGGACACCGAGCTCGAGGCGCGCACTCTGCAGGCTCGCAGCTGCGGCATTGACGATGTCTGCTTCGGTACCGGCGGTGGTGATCTCTGCAATGACCGCGTATGTTAATCACTGATCCAGTTAGGAGGATTAATCTAACTGTCACAGTGCAAGAAATGCAAGGGCGACAGCGGATACTACAAGAAGGGAGAATGTGGTGGACTCGGCTGGCAGTGAGTATTACGGTCAATACCAGATGAACTGAGCTGACTATGTAGACGCTGTTACTGCCTTTACCATTAGACTATTCTGGTTTCTTCCTGTGATAGTGAGAGTTATCCACAGAAAATCAATTGATTTGTGATATGTTTTTTGATATGATATTTTCGTAGACAGTAGCCTATTAGACATCACTAGAGATTCCATAACCAGATTTTAGAATATACTGCCCCTCAATCCCCGTCATATCTCTCTTGCATTCTCTTCCTCTATCATGCTTATTGCCGGCTGAATAGGATGTCCCACTAGTCCTCGTCCATTCATCTGCCAGCGCGTATACGCCGCGTGGACGTATTCCCCCATGAGCGATCCGCGTCGGAGGCTCGCCGTATGCGTAATTCTGCCAGCACTGGCGCCATTGCATGCCACTGGATATGTGTCTGTGAATGCCAGGTATATGCCTTCAGCCCATCGTTCGTTAGCAACAGACTAAAAAATCTCAATGCCTCAACAGTCGAAGAGATTTGGTCTCCCTGGTCGGCCGAAAGATCTGCCCTTGCAGTGCCCGGAGGATAATATACAAGCAACCAGGTGAGCGCCATCATCTGGTGGGCTATTATTGTAGATAAAAAAGGAAGGGACTGTCAGTACTGAAGAAGCGCACATACTGTGTGTCTAGCTGATGTTTCGGACGCCCTGATAACGCTGCGCGATCGGTTCCAGAGGGAATGGGTGATGTGTGGTTCAGCTGCCAGGACACTTGCAATATATGACGTCGGCTCAAACAGAACGTCATATCCGTTGCGCTATCTCTCTCTGCAGTGACTCGGTCATATCCGCAGTGATATCATTGTCGTTGATATTGCACGGCAGCTGTGTATCAAAAGTTGACGGACCGCCGTGTGATTCACAGGTGCGGCGATCTAGCAGACGGAGATCCTCTATCGAATGTATTAGTACTAATAGTCGGGCCTTGTCGTCATGAATTATCTTTAAAAAGAAATGTGCATTCTTGGAGGCTGGTATCAAGTCAGTAATTTACCTCGTGAATGGAGAAATGAAGTCAGTGATAGTGGATAGACAATTAATAAAATTGGCCTACGTTGGCCTTAAAAGGTCTTTATTCATGTAACTACTGGCCGTTCTACTGGTCAACACCTACTGTTTGTTCTTGATGCACATGGAAGTCATTTATTGCCTTAATATGATGATATCTGCCAGCGGAATAATATTATACCAATCTGCATGCCTGCACACTTATCACATAGTCTTTAACTGCTGATGTTAGTTGCCTTGGGCCGCTAAAATACAAGTGCGGACGGTTGAAAAAGGCACAGCTTGGTTTCGACCATTATTGATAAGCTCGATTTTAAAGGTTTTCCGCAAGGTGCAACAAGACCTTTACTACTAGCAATATTAGTAGTGCTTCGCAGTAACTAGACTTGTTTCTTTCAATCCTGAGGGTGTGATTTCGCAGCTTAATATATTGCGTAAACACTTACAGGCTGCAGACCACATCGTACATCTACTGCTACTTCAGCAACAACAACCCCACATAATACCAAAACATTGAAAAGCAGGAAACTGTAATCTAAAAATTGCTAAGATCACGTATACAGAACCCTGAATCGCCTGTTGAAGTCACTAAATTAGCTGGTAAAACGGGCCGAGCGCGCTATGAATAAGGTGACTATTTTAAGGCATGAAATTGAGCAATATAAAGCTCCGAATAAAAGAAAGACTAAGAAAAAGAAGCTCTCTACTAAATAGATTTCTTCTAAGGCAGGCAGCTCAGTAAATGAAGGAATCTTATACAAAGCAGGAATTCTACTTCTGAAGCTATATCTACTATACTAACAGATCAGCGTGTACGCGCCGCACGGCAGTGTTCTGGCTGCAGTATTCAGGGTTATGTAACTAATAGTTGCCCTAATTGTGATATTAATTAAGTTCTATATAGAAATGCAGGTTTGGGATGTTTGCATGGCCTACTTTTCTACCGATCATGTGAGGTGGCCCTCTCCTACGTGGACTAACCATAGTTTATTGCGCGTTTTCGCAAATTAACCCATTTCGGCTGGTGTTCCTGTTTCCTGAAAGTCCGAAATTTAACCTCCAGAATCACTGATTGTGGTTACAGATGTGACTCGGGGGGAGAAGAAGGCAGTAAGCTCATCGAACAGCTGCACGCAACCAGTTGCCTAATGTAGGGAACGATATATCATTGATATCCTAGATCGATAACTACCTGGGGGTGTGAACCCCGCACATTAGGCAACCACCTAAGATGCAGATCATTACTTTATCAGTTACTTTACACGGAGTGGTGACGCGGAGAGCAGTCGCCGCGGATCGGCCGTTCGCGTCGAAGTTGGGTTTCTTGCATACAGATGACGTCATTCAATGCATCGGGAGGACAAAGTATATAAGCATCTGCTTTTCTCTTGTCCTAATAAATTAGCAACCTACCCCACTTCCATCGTTGCCATTCCCAATGGCTGGCCGACTTCAAGGAAAAGTAGCCCTTGTCACGGGCGCATCTCGAGGAATTGGCCGCGCTACCGCACTGGCTCTTGCCAAAGAAGGCGCCAGAGTTGTGGTCAACTACGTTTCATCCGCCGCAGCTGCAGAAGAGGTGGTGGCGGAAATCGGCTCAGACGATGCAATATCTGTTAAAGCAGATGTTTCTAAACTGGACGACATACGAAAATTGATCGATCAGACAGTAGAGAGATTCAGCAAGATTGATATTCTTGTCCTTAATGCAGGATTGCTTTGGCAGGCAGGAGACCTCATGAGCATCACGGAAGACAATTTTGACCGGCTTTTCGCTGCCAACGTTCGCGGGCCTCTCTTCACCGTCCAAGCAGCTGCTCCTCATATTCCAGATGGAGGACGTGTTCTTCTTTTTTCAACTTCATTGGCCGGATTCAGCATGATCACTCCAAATTACCTCCTCTATACAGCGACGAAGGGAGCAGTGGAGCAGATGACTCGTGTCCTGGCCAAGGACCTCGGACGTAGGGGGATTACCGTCAACACCATCTCACCTGGACCCATCGGAACTGATGCTTATTTTGTGGGTAAAACAGAACAGATGGTCCAGATGCAGAGCAATATGGCACCGGCAGGACGGTTGGGAAAGCCAGAGGAGGTGGCAAATGTCATCGCCTTTATCTCCAGCGATGACAGTCAATGGGTAAACGGGCAGACTTTGAGGATTAATGGTGGTATGACAGTTGGCTGATGGAAGCTTGATTTGTCCTCGAGGGTCGGTTACTAAGCTTCACATGAATGTTTCAGTTTTTTGAACATGTTTGACGAGAGCAAGTGACTCCGAAGGTGGTTGTACTTTGGTTAAATGTTGCAATAATCACCAAAATTTGCATCCTATAGGAAGTTTCGAGATGAATCTTTTTCGAATACTCCCAAACCACTGTTGAACCGCGAGATTCTTCAGGAATCATGTGCGTAAGCTCCCCACCCCTTTCCAAGGGGCTCGGAATTGGCGATAAAATGGCCGGGGAGCGCACGGTAGCGACTGACAGGGGATGTGCGACCCCTTGGTCATAGATTTACAACTTTTCCAACAGGTGACACTTTGAAATGAGGTACTCTTCTGCCAGTGTGAGATCTTCAAGAGCTACAAGGTAGTGTTAACACTGTTACATTAACCAAGTTCTTGGCTGAGAACTTGGGGATATTCCTTGAACTAGGAGGCATGACATGAGTAACACAGGCTCCACAGGTCCCGATATTTGCCACAACTGTCGAGGACACTCTCCAACACGCGCAGTATTAGATCACCGTTGGCAAGTCAGTTAAGGCCTGTAGCACAGACTAGCAGCATTCCGCAGGAGCAACACAGATCTCTGGAAGCTGTGGCAATCTCTTTTGCATAACTGGCCACCGATGCTCGTATATAAGAAGGGGAGAGCACTGGTGCGAAAGCGTTTTGAAGCAGCAACTCGGTCCTCACACTGGAGGTGTAGTCAATTTAGAGCCTGATGAATAACATCTCTTACCCTATCAGAGTTAATAGTCCTTGATCTATTCGTTCTTGGGCCCTGCGGAGGATGAGAGGCTCGTTTCTGGGCAGCAGGCTATAGGATCAAGTTGGATGAGGGTTTGATGGCCAAAGTTGCCTGGGTAGCTGCCAGAGAGGTGACCTACTTGGTGCGAAGGAACGTCATAAAGCCTAAGAGTGCATGATGTAGACTTGATCATACGTTCACGTGAAGGAATAGTGGCAGAAGAACAATATGCCAGCTGCACGCCAGTAGTCTACTTCAGGATCAAGAGGATAATAATATCGACTGTTTCGACCACCGTAGCTGACGTGCTCTCTCCGATGTACAATCTATCTAATAAATGGAAACGATTCAGGGGATGATGCTCAGCGAGCAGGCTCGCCAATATCGGATCCTGAATCCCGATATCTCTCTATCAAAATCTAAGCACATTTAAGGTGCAGGAAAAGGTGTAAGAAGAGATAGGTCTTTGTCAAGCTCCATATTTGCAAAATACTAAGTAATGATGAAATCTGTAACTGAAAAAAAGGTGAAAAACAAAGGAACAAAGCCGGACCGGGCGGATGCTGAATAATGAGTAATATTGGCCCACTCTGGTCGATACTAAAAATGGATTGACCCGCTTAGTACCACCCAAATGGCAAACCAACCTGCTTGGTAAGCCCGCTTGGTACTCTCCAGTAACAACAGTTTGGACATAGTCTGATACTAGGTTAGGAAGATTCTGGGGCCCTCGGAGGATATTCTATCAGTCTAGAAATTTCTACTCTGTTTCTACTATTCCTGAGATAGCACAAAGGGGGTTCAATTACTCCGGAGTACGTCCACAGTTGCAAACGTTAACAATGATTGCAAACTTCAGACCCGTGGTCATTCTTCTCGATCGACAAGTCAGATCTTCAGACGAATGGAACGGCACATGGTGAGCTCATATTATTGGATACACTGAAGCTTGTCCCCGCTGCCCTAAAGACCTTTTACCAATTCGGTTCAGAGTTGATTTTAAGGTTACTGTCCGCGTACAATAATTCATTGACATGGAGGATATCGATGAGCTGCCAACCCGTCTTTAAGAAAGTTAATCCAGAAACGTACAATGTCGCCACTCTGCCCCGTCCCCCCGCTCACCTCACCAACTCATTCCGCCCGACTTTTCCATGATCCAACTTCACTGAGACACTTAGCTTTGTTTGTCCCACTCCTTATACTTTTTTTTTTTTTTTAATTCCTCATAGGCCCTCCAAGTCGTTGACGCTCGAATGCAAGCGACACACAGGAAAGATGGGGATGAGGGCGCCCAAAATTCAGCCCCAATGAGCAGTACGGAGGCACAAGATGGGTCGTCAGCCGCCGCACAAGACAAACGAAGGGCACAACTAAGAGCCGCGTATGTTTCATCTCGTCTATGTGTAGTAAATCACGACTCCTGACTCCCACTAACTAGCACATTGGCAGTCAGCAGGCCTACCGTGAGCGACAGGAGCAACGTCTTCTCCGTCTAAACCAGACGATTGGCAACCTAGAAGAAACGAATACCGATCTGCACGCGAACAATAAACAACTCGAGCTGGAGATTGCGAAAGTTGCGGCAGAGAATGAGGTGCTCCTTGCAACGTTCAATAGCACCGCCTCGGCTACGGACGGCCCTGTACCAGAGGTTGAATTGGCTACAACTACACCCCTGGAGGCTTCCCGTGTAACCCACGATTCGGATTCGATGCTAAGTCGTCCACGGGACCACCCAGTCCATCGGCTCACTAAGAGCGAGACAGGCGAAAAGCTTTTAGATAAAGCGGCTGCCTGGGATATGATTCAGAATCATGAATTATTTAAAGAGGGTTTGGTAGACATCGACGGTGTTCGGCAAAAGTTGGAAGGCGTTGCGCAGTGCGGCGGTGAGGGTGTTGTATTTGAAGAAGGCCGAATACGGAGGGCGATTGAGGAGAGTCTTATCAGCGACTCGTAGTTGCAAGGCTTGGCTTGTATACATTGGCTGCCTGTTGCATGATGTATCTGTAGTATGTGTTCAATAAAAATCTTGTGTAAAGAATATCCCTGGGATGGGAACCGCAGGGCAGGAAGGTGACTGAGGGTTACTAGGCCGACGATTTTAAGCAATTAGACGCAATTGTTTGAATGAACTTCCTAATAACTTAAGATATTTCTTGATTTCCCGTGCCTCTTACTTCGTAGTGAAATATACCAAGCTAGTAATAAACGGGGTGGTTTAAGTTTCGAGAGTATGGGACTGCGCAACAGGGTAGTTCGAGTCTTGTTCTTCCAAGCCAGAATGAAGTTATATTATAAATCAAAGTGATTTGTAAGAATAACTAGTAAGTTATAAATGTATGATGTAATAGTGTCATTTAGGTACAACGATCCCGATTGCGTCATGTCTGTTTGGGGATATAAAGTTGGCGACCATCAGTCCTAGACTGACTCCTTGTAATGATTAAATACTGAAAATCGAAGTGCCAAGGACACGATCAACGTGCGATTAATTAATTAGATCATCCCCAAAATGTCCAAGCCTGTTGTGCTTATCCTCGGAGCTGGCGCCAATGTAGGCACAGCCGTGGCCCGCAAATTTAGCCAAGATGGGTATCAGGTCGCAGTTTCTGCTCGTCGCATTGCAAACGGCATCTCACCTGAGGGGTATATCACGATTCAAGCCGACCTGTCTGAGAAAACGGCAGTTCCTCAAATTTTCGAGAAAGTGAAATCTGCGGCCGGAATCCCCAGTGTTGTTATCTACAATGGTAAAGCCCAGGGACATTGATGCAGAAGTAGCGCTAATTATTTCTGTCTTCAAGCGGCAACTTTCACTCCTCCACCCTCCAACGCTCCACTTTCACTTTCCCCGGAAGCCCTGGATCGTGACATCTGGGTTAATACTCACAGCGCAATCATTGCCGCTGATCACGCAGTCCGGGGTTTTGAGCAGCTCCCGGAGACTGCAACGAAAACATTTATCTATACTGGAAACTGGCTGAATAAGACTATTTCCGCGTCCAGTGCTCTTCTCACTTTAGGGGTTGGCAAGGCAGCAAGTGCCTACTGGATTGGCTCGGCGAATCAGACTTACTCTCAGAAGGGATACAGGTAGGCATACCGGACTCTCTGTGTCAACGACCAGGAATAAGACTAACTATTCATATTAGGTTTTACTATGCTGATCAGCGTACACCGGAGGGAACATCAATGCGAACTGGCGTTGATGGTGAGGCCCATGCCGAATTTTTTAAGCAGCTTGCCGACTGGCAGGACCCTTCCGTGCCGTGGCTTGCTACTTTTGTCAAGGGGAAAGGATACGTTAATTTTTCGCCTTGATATTCCCCGTTATGTAGTGCAATAAATTCTATCTTAGGCTTTGTATTGGTTCAAGCTCTGGGCCATTTAACATAATGGGAGTGGCACAGTGCGACGCTTGGTACTCTTCATCTCAACCACGCACACCCCCAACAGTCGTATTGAACAAGCAATTGTGGATTTAAAATCGCAGAATCTGCCTAAATATACTGCCAGTAGTAGGAAATATAACCTAGACAAAAGCACACTGTGGCACCGCTACAACAGGAAAACTGGCTCAATTCAGGGCGCCAACTCGAAATAAAGCTAGAAACTCACCAGCGCCCAGGAAGATGTTCCTGTCCAGCATCTAAATAAACTTGATGACCGGGGACCGCACCCAGGATTGAAGAATTCCGGGCTTTAGGCACGCATTTCCAGAATCTGATGTCCATCGCTTCGATTCACTCAGCGACTGCAAGGGACACTATTAGCGCGGGATATATTTCAAGCATGGGCGAGTCGAGATAACTGTCGATATCTGACACTTTCGAATTTCCTGGAATGTCTTGAACATTCGACTACGATAGGACCGCACTTCGAGACAGGCCATTTGTGACCCTTGCAAAATCCCGGGTAGGAGCTAAGGAAGCTCATGTTGAGTTTATTATGTACAAAGATAACTATAAACACCGTGTTCTTATGAATACAAAGGGACGAGACGAAACTACCGACGTGATATCATATGATACAGTTATTTATTTTACCCGCAGATGTCCGCAGATTATCAACAAATACATTATTCCAAACTTAAATGAATAAATCATAGATCAGATATTGAAATTATCTGATTTGCAGATATTTGTGCTATGCTCTAAATACTTCATCCATTGGTCGTTGCAGGGAATGTTACAACAATAATAATAAATTTATTGTCGCCGAACAACTTTACAAGTACTAGCTTATATCTTCAACAAAATGCGAATTTAGCTGGTCGGGATAGGTAAAGCCTGCTCCACTGTGACTTTGAAACTTCAAGAGCATAGAAAAGAACTCCCAAGAGGAATCAGCTCCAATCATCCTGTAGCATACTTCGTGTACATCGTTTGATATAAGTATTAGTGACCGCTTCAACAACGAACTACGCAGGCTACTTCCCTTCGGGAAACAGAATGCGATTCTTCAGGACACCAATGTTTGTGATTTCAACCTCTACAATGTCTTCATGGTTCAAAGGCTGCTTAGGCTTCCTGAAATAGCCCACTCCCTTAGGAGTTCCCGTCATGACCGCCGTAAAAGCAGGGATGGTGGTGCCTAGATGATCGAAGTCTCGTTAGCAAGTCATGATTTAGAAGAGACGGCTGCAACAGAGATTCTGCTTTCAGCCAGGCGGAGGAAGGCTGAGATGTGCCAAACTACTTACCTTGGCTCATGAAACTCAAGATTTTAGCGGGCGAGCTAATCATGTCCTCCTTCAGGTCCGCATTCTGCACAACCTGTCCGTTGACGCGCGTTATCAGCTTGATTCTCTCGCCCTTCGCGAAATCATCCGCGCTGGTCAAGACCGGTCCTATGGGCGCGAATTTGTCAAATGCCTTGGCGTAGAAAAATTGGCCACCACTATTTTCACGCAGCTGGAAAAAACGACAGGTCAGATCATTGCCTGCGGTATAGCCGAGGATAATTGACTCTGCCTCCTCAGGGGAGACGTCGCGACACTCTTTTGAGGTCACGAAAACAAGTTCGCCCTGTGTAACCTTCGTGTTAATCCCATGCAATTCTGAAGATCAAATCCAAACAAAGTGGCGTACCTCCCAATCTGGAAAGCCCGAAGCGCAGCCTTTACTCATTGGAATATCCTCTTCTGGTGCAGCAAGAGCGCCAGCAGGCTTGGACCAGAGAGGTGGATATTTTGGTATATTGAGCTCCAAGTTGACTATGTCAGTACTTTTGTCCCCTTGTTTATCCATGTGGCTCCTCTAATGATTGACTTACGCTTGCCTCTTCTGCATGGCTTTTGAAGTTTAGTCCGACACAGTAGATGGGGAGATTGTTTCGGGGAAGGGGAGGTAGAAGCTGTTCTTGATGTCAGATCACTTAACGTCCCATAATAGCACGACAGTGTGGGATTGCTGCGGTATACATTCTGAAATATGGCAGTCACTTGATCTTTACCCTCTTGCAGGTCTTCAAAAGATCGGTAAGCGGCAAGGGAAGAACCTTGTGATGGAATATTGGGGGATGTATTTCCTAAATTGGCGAAGAACTGTTCGCCGTCGGGGGATTCGAAACTGATCAAGTGAGAAAAGGCGCTCATATTGAAGAGATTAACCGTGAAAATGTACTTACAAGAAAAAGGCTTGAGTCTAGGGAGCACAGGTAGGGAATTTTATCGTTAAACAGAATGACCTACCCAGAGTCCTCGTCACGAATCTAGAGGGCTATGTACGATATTGGTGGGGCTGCTGTTGTCTCAGAAGCAAGTTAAGCAGGGAGATATATTGCCCCACGCCTAAATTGTGGAGAGAAAATGGGGCAACCGATAATGTAATGATTTTCAATCAGGTCCAGTCCTATGCAAGGCCCCCGCACGCAGCCCAAGATTTTCTTAGCAACGAAGCTTATTTCTCGAAAATAAATCTGAATTTGTCAGCGTAGTGTCAGCATATTGTCAGCTAATCAACCTTGTTTACCTATGCCGCAAGTTCGTCGATCAAATCGATCTGGTTGCGCTTCCCCACCTCCCCGGCCTTACGTGGCAAAGTCTACATTTAGCACGCAATATCAGCTCTCATTTGACGCAACCGATGGACTGAATGAATCCACAATCCTTCCCGCACTTGCCCGGATGATCGACGCGCCAAATGTTTTCCAAGATGGACGTCACCGGAGGAAACTGGTCGATGGATTGGGGCTTGCCACCCTTCTCTGAGCTTGAATATGTATAAATGTATCCCACGATCTCGTTGGCTCTTTACGAGGAGTGATAGTTCCGAGCAAGTCAGTTCGTTTGAATATTGTATGAGCAGTTTAGTATACCAACACCAGTCTATTTCGTGAATATTTGTCTCGAAATGAGTATCCCGGACGTGGAAAACCATCCCAACAAGGTCCAGCTCACCCGCTTGAGCCATTTCTATTTCGAACACCCAGATCTCCAGAAATTTAGAGACTTTGCGAAGGACTTTGGGTTTGTTGAGGCTGCGAATAAAGGCGACACTATCTATTATCGCGGATATGGCAAGGAGCCGTACGTCTATGTGGCCTCAAAAAGCCAGACTGGAAAGCCTCGCTTCTTAGGCGGGGCATTTGTCGCTAAAGATGCCGAAAATTTCCAAAAAGCTGTCAACCTACCGGGTGCGACTGTTACGGATCTAACTGATGCGCCCGGGGGCGGACAAAGAGTGACCTTTGCCCGGCCTAATGGCACCTTCTTTCATGTGGTGTATGGGCAGAAAGAGCGGGAGATCAACCCATTGCAGGGCCCCCCTTCGGCCACACATGAGCTCCAAGGCCCCATCAACATGCCTTTTGAGAAGGCGCGCAAGGGCCAGTTCCAACGATACCACCCAGGGCCAGCATTGGTGCACAAAGCCGGCCATTTTGGCTACGTGTGTAAAGAATTCGACGATGAGCTTGAGTTCTATACCTCAAACTTCAACTTTGTCCATTCCGATGTGCTATCAGATCCCAAGTCCCCTGATATAGATGTGATGACATTCATGCACCTCGATCTCGGCAAGGACTATTCAGATCATCATTCCTTATTCCTGAAACGGGCTGATCCCGAGGCTGGTAAGACTTACATCCATCACAGCTCGTACGAGGTGGCGGATTTTGATACCCAGTTACTCGGCCACGAGTGGCTGGCTCAGCATGGCTGGAAGCCTGCATGGGGAGTCGGTAGACATATTCTTGGGAGTCAGATCTTTGATTATTGGCACGATGCAAGTGGTTTCAAGATAGAGCACTATGCTGATGGAGATGTTGTGAACAATGATAATCCCACCCACCGGGAGGTCGCTGGTCCCATGTCAGTTTGGGGACCCGAGTACCCAAAGGACTTTTTAGTGGATGCGACATTGTCTGATGAATTCTTTCCATAGTATAAGGCAACTTTTCTGCCGTTTATTTTTTAATTTTAATGGATAGTTAGTTCGTGATTTTAATTCATTACCGCTCTGCTTATCTGCAATACTTCTGGTTACGATGTGGCTCAAATATCTGCCTTTAGCGTGCATGTAAGAAGGCTTTCCTGGTACGATGTGTACGAATTACAAACAAATCCTGTTGCGGATCTTCAATTTATGACCGTGGGTCGAGCTTTTCCCAACACACTTCAGGATGGCGATCACATTGAAGTATTTGTTGTTTGCCCTTGGGGCTGGCTACCTAGCATAAAATCTGCCTGGCAAGTCTCGATCCTATAAATTGCGCTCTATAGCCTCGCAAAGACGAGTAATGGCCAGTGGTTAGAGTACGACCGATTAAAACGTCATTAATGCACTAGTTTCTTTGGTTTCTATGGGTACTACGTCCATTCGAAAACAGTATCAATCCTAGGTCAGCAGATTGTAAGCCCTAGACTGTAATATCAACTGTACTTGAGAATCTCATGAGACTATCAATGACAAAAACTTCTGTCTCTTACCTTCTACTCTGTGGCGTTGTTGCCTGGTAATTTTACCTCCAACTTTGGCCTTCAGCCTGGTTAGCATTCAGCGGCCCGCTTAATCAAAGCTTAGTAGAGTATGACTGGAATCCTTGTAATGCCTGTTTGTGAATAATGGTACATTCAAGCTGACGGCAAATGAAACCTTACCACAAGGCCAAACAGATGTGTCCAGGCGACCAAACACCGTGGTAATGGATTAACAGTACTTTTGTCTGTTAGACACATGCAGTAAGGTAATCACCGTGTTGGCCTATTAGCTTCTTGAAGTGAAATTTATGAGCAAGGCCTCCACAACTGCAGATATCGGTAATCATGCCTAATCCACTGGTCAACTGCAGATCAAGGTTGATTCCTTGATTATAAGATTATTTATAATCGACATGCCGATCCCACAATCCTAAATAAATGTAACATTGACGGCGCGGTGGGGCGGAAATGAAGTTTAGTGGCGTAATGGACCAATCACATTCCGCTAACCTACACGGAGTATTCCTGCGTAGCTTTCAAAAAGACGTAGAGAAATACAGGAGGCGAATAATAGATCGAAGTCCTTCCTGTGGTTCTTGACTTTCCCCTCCATTTTAGCACCAAAATTCAGTTTCACGTTAGGATCGGCCTCTGATGTCAACTAGCAAAGAGTTTGTGTCTGTGGCCGTGAGTAGCCACTCAGTAGGGAATCTGACGTAGGCTAGCCTACTTTTAGCAGCTTGTAGCAGAGATATAAGAGTTGAGCAGACCATAGAGCTACAACATTGTATATCCAAAGCATTTAACTCCTTCTCTTTTACTACACACTCCCGTGTTATAACGCAGTAAGTGCACTTCCTTGAACAGTATCCCGAGCCAACGATCTTTCTATGAGATGTGGCATATTAGAAGTATGCCAATTAATCATGCAAAGGACCGACAATGGAAGATACAGTTCACAAAGTGCCAGTATTGGTAGTTGGTGGTGGTCCAGTTGGGCTACTGACTGCCTGGCAGCTTGCGCGCAATGGCATTCACTGCATGCTTGTCGAGCGCAATTTCACAACAACCCGTTCCCCGAAGATGGATATCACCAACTGTCGCTCCATGGAACTACTGAGGTACATGGGCCTTGCTGATAAGCTCATAGCGCAAGGTAGGAGGGCCCGTAGGTCCTACTGTTAAGCACAACTCCCGGACCATCTGCAAGATCTTTCCAACAGGACGAGAAATAACATTTAAGAAGCTGTTGCCCAGGATATCTCATTTGATGTTATTATCAGCACTGGTCTGGGTGAAAAGGGAGAGAAGTTAGCGACATGGGTACGTGGTCTTGCAAATTCACGAGTTGTATGTTAGTATTGTTGACTTCCTCAGGATCTCCCCTCTCCAAATGAATGGCGGTCGACTATCAAGCAGAAGAACGACGGCTCCATGCCGCGCGAGCCGTACCAACGCTGCTCCCAAGCAATTTTTGAAGCCTGGCTCAAACGCTGCATTGACGATCATCCCTACATAGAATCATGTTTTGGATTGAAGTTTGAATCGCTTCAAGAAAGGGATGATGAGGTGATTAGCAAGCTCGTGGATGCCACTACTGGGCAGCACCACACCGTCATGAGCAAATATGTAGTGGGCTGCGACGGAGCTGGCAGTTCTGTGAGAAGGAGCATTGAAGTGAAGCTCACTGGAGTTCCAGTGTAAGGCGACCCAAATACGAATACTCAAGAGTGTTGCTAACTTCATCCACCCCCTATAAATAGTCCCAGAAGGATATACTTGGTTCACTTCAAGTCTCGAGATCTGAACAGGCTGCACAAGCAGGGCCGGTTCTGGCACATTTTCTTCACGAGTGGTGCTACCATAATCAGCCAAGATGAAGTAGACACCTGGACGATCCATATGAATATACCTGACGATGTCGATACCGATACCATAGACCCAGAAGATATAATTTTCCGTGGACTGGGGGGCAATGGTGAACCATACCCTATTAAAATCGATAAAATTTTACTTCATAATGCCTGGAGGCCGCATCTGGCAGTTGCAGACTCCTATCGAACTGCGAAGGGTAGGGTGTTTCTGGCGGGTGATTCCGGTACGTCCGCATGAGTTCAACTCCATTTGCCCTAGCGTTGTTCATTGGCTCCTTCTTGTGGAAATATTAGGATATCAGACATAGGTTAGCTCGGTCGCTGACAAACTGGCTCACTACAGCTCATCAGAATATTCCTACAGGTGGATATGGCATGAACACGGGGTTGGGGGATGCGTTTGACATTGGCTGGAAGCTAGCTGCAGTCCTGAATGGGCATGGAGGAGAGCATTTGCTCGCGTCATATGAGGCGGAGCGACGCCCGGTGGCACTTCGGAATGTGGAGCGCTCAGCTGTACATGCAAGAGTTCACAGTACATACCGGGGTTGGGTGGCCGCCAAGGGAAACGAAAGTGTCGTCTCAGAAACCGAAGAAGCACGTAAGCTGAAAAAAGACATAACTGACTTCGTCCGAGAGCAAGACGGTGAGAACAAGGAGCACGGCATTGAAATGGGATATCACTTTCCTAATTCTCCCGTCGTTACGCGTGATGCCAAGACCAGAGAGGATGAGAAGGCATCCGAATGGCCAGCGCGGGTTTATACTCCATCTACAGCACCTGGGAGGCGCGCTCCACACGTCTACCTACGCGACAATGAAATCAGCATCCATGACCTGTTCGGGAAGGACTACACCATCATTGATCTCACTCTGGGCGGGGAAATTTCCAGGGCTTTTGAGGAAGCTGCATTGAGGCTCAAGATTCCGCTAAAGTGTGTACATTTGCCCAATGAAGCCCACTTAAAAGATGTCTGGCGATGCAGTGTGGTCCTTGTACGACCAGATGGCTTTGTCAGCTGGAGGAGCGAAGAGCAGGACGGAGAACACTTAGTCCCGAATGACTATATTGAGAATATTTTACTTACTGCTGTTGGACAACGCTCTGCAGTATAACTGATGGGCGAGGTATGTCTTAGAGATCGTACTTTTGACTTTCTGAAGAAAATATTTCTGCGAACTACGTTTGTTATTTTTGTTATGAATATGGCTAGAGCGCTCGGTATGGAATAATGATCATCTTGTAGCACGGGCTCGCCTTGTTATATGCATAATATATCTCCGGTTTTGTATGATACCTGATTCGCTCATTCGCTTTCTACTACTCAGTTCTCTCTGTTCTAATTCAGTTACCCTAACAAGCCGTAGGTTCGCTACAATTTTCATACTGATCCTCGCGACACCCTCGTACGCCGAGGTGGTGCCTTGACGAGTTGACGGGAAACTCATGATCTTTCGCAACTTTTGTATAATTAATCATTTCTTCTAAGATCAATCATTCTATCTCTCCAAGTGCTGCTTCAATTGAACCCGTATTGGTGGCGTTGTATTTTTTTGAAATATATCTAAAAAAGTTGATGTACAGATAAAATCAGGTCGGGTGATCAGTACGGCACGTTAAGACATATAGAAAGCCACCAATGAGTGTACAGAATGCTGGCATTTGCAGATTTCCATTCTCCAGAACCAAGCCCAACCCCGCATCCCCAGGCGAGTGACAATAATATAAGCCTCGAACCCAACCTGGATACTCAATGAGATTCTGGATCTCGTAAACAGAGTTACATCGAATTACTAATCTTCCGAGTCGAGGCACCATACTGAGGAGATGACCAAGCATGGTTCTAGAACTTGTCATCAGCATCTGTATTGATGTCCGAAGATATATATAATGGATGAGAAACATCCTTTATATCATCCAAATATATCCACTCTAACCAATTGACCATCCATAATTATGGCGCCACTCTGTCCACCATCTCACGTCCTAGAGACCTGTCTCTACGTGAGCGATGTGCATGCCTCCTCGCAGTTCTACCAGCGGGCCTTTAACATCGAGCCCTTCTCTGAAAACGTGGGTTTCTCCGTCTGTCGGATGTAGCCAACTTACAGAGTTGATGAACAGGAACGGAGTGCCGGTTTCGCCCTTGGTGACACCACCCTGCTCCTCTTCGGGTTGGGAAAAACTACTACCGACATCAATACGCCGAACGGGGTGATACCTTGCCATGGACCCAGCCCGTCGATTCTTTCTCAGTTTCGTTCTAACGACGAGGGGTCTCCCCGTCTGCGACAGCATGTCTGTCTGGCTGTCCGAGATCCGGAAGAGGTGACGCAGTGGAAGACACACTTGAAGACACAGGGGGTTCCGATCACTAGTCAGATGAATTGGGAACGAGGTGGTAAGAGTGTGTATTTTGAGGATCCGGATGGCCATGTTTTGGAGATTGGGTCTCGTGGTCTCTGGCCTCATTATTAAACAGACTATTCCTGTGTCATGACTCATGTTGATCACCAGGTGGTTGGACTTGGAACAGACTTGTTATGTCATGTATATCTCTATCTATACATATTGTGATCTGTTTCCTCTTCATCGGTGTTTGCTGTGGTAACCCAGGGGATAGGAGAGAACCATATGTACTATAAGGCTGAGCTCCTTACAGTGGACCTAACACGAGATGATAGATATGACGATCACCTTGGTAGTCTTGCCCAACTCTGCTGACTCTGTCGCTCATACGGCTAGCGAATACGATCAGTCATCTCTCTTGTGCCTACTAACTATAGGGTGGACATGTGAATATATAAGGTTCCTTTGTGAACAGCTCTCACAGCTCATCAAAACAATGGCTCACCGGGACTACAATAAAATGGCTCGTGGTCCTTCCACTCCTGACTCACGCAGAAGTCTCCTATTATGAAGACTTTGACAACCGTCCCGACACGATCCGAACCGGCAACTACAGACCCCTAACCACCTTCTTCGCGTGACCAGCGTCCTGCAACAAAGTCCACACGCGCGCCGAGCATGGGTTGCTCACCCTTGTTCAGGGCTACGCGGGGCCCTACTGTAATGAATGCTGTCCGGAGGGTTGGCGTTTCTTCTTGTACTTCAGTCCTGGAATGTGTCGGTCTGGTTATCGCGCCTCCACGCTGCTTATATCGTCGCAACGACATGGCTACCAATATCTGTTGTCCAAGTTAGGCTCATATATGCTTATATGGCTGGTAGTGAAGTTGAATGTGTGGGCCAGGGGAGCCGTACGCGACCTTTCAACAACCCGTCCCTTATAACCTACGTCGATGCTACGCTTTCCACTCAGAAGACTTTGTACGGTATTTGTACCACGCCTATTCAGGTGCGCTTCAAGGCAGCAGAGTCTACAATCGTGCTCGTGCCCACTGAGTCGTTTGAATTACTGTGAGAGGGCGGGTTGAGTGCGCGCGACAAGATCGGTATCGGCATTGGAGGCCCGGCGGCGGTAGCCATGCTGGCGACGGTGGGATTTTGGGGTTTCAGATGGTGGAAGGTCAGGATCGAGAGGGAGGAATCTATGTTATTGGATGATGGTTCTCCTCCGGCGTATCCGGCGGAGTCTACTAGCAAGTGAGATAAGATATTCGTGTTATATATATTCATGAATCTATAAGGTACATTAGGAACGTGATATAATGTAATACTGACTGGGGCCAGGTAGATGAATTTGTTGGCTTTACTCCCTGGAAGAACCATGTCACTATTGATTAGAGACTTTTCTATATCATAGACAACAATGCACTCCAATCTGCGGATACCTTAATGATTGCACTAGAATAGGTGTCTATGCCAACAGCCTAGTCGCTGAATGCTACTGAATCGACGACGGCGCATGTCTATTCAAAGGCTGCGTGTCCACACTAGAACATATCAGCACAGTGACCTACATCCATAACAATTCAATAGCCATGGACCTACTCGACTCTAGCGGAATCATATTCCAGCTCGATCTCCGTCTGCACCGTAATATCCTTCAGATTACCCAGTTCCCGACTCTCCTGGACACTCCAGACTCCCTCCGAAGACGCACTGGGACCGAAATCCCCTCGACCGGACCGATCCGTACCGGTCGGACCTAATTGGATACGCGTCCCCTGGGAACTGGTCATCGACCAGAATCGAGGGAAAAGGCCACGGATAATAGGGAGACAGGAAACTAACAGACCCACGGACGGTTCGACGTGCGTCCATAGAGTAGCCTCGTAAATGGTCCCTACATGGGTTAGCTCGGCCGAAGAAGGGAAACGAAGGAAGGAAGCGGTACAAGTAGTATCAGTCGGGTCGATATAGAACAGGACGACGATGCGGTAGATACTGGCGAAACAGACACTGTCGCAGATAAGCTTAGACAACTCTGAAGGGACAGGTTCACGAGATGACCTACAAGCCACCGAGAGCAAAGACCCCATTCAAGGCGAGTTTCTCCCGCCAGGAGCGATGCAAGCTCCAGATCATAGGCACCGGACAGCCCAGAATGATAAACTCCATGACGACGTTAAAAGACTGGTTGACGATTATGTATCGCCGTCCATCGAAGCAATCCCCCTCTACTGTCTTATCCCAGAAAGCCCGTAGGGGTCGACACTGCAGAGCGCATGCTAGGAAGATGGCTGATGCCCATGCGGCCATCAGACAGTTCAACCAGAAGGTAACGCGCATGAAGGTAGGCGTCGTGAAGATGCGACGATAGAAACAAACGATGGATATTTTGACGGCGGGAGTGAGCACGAAGTAGGTGAATTGATTGGCGAGGAAGATCTTGTAGAATGTCTGGAGAGTCGTCGTGTCGAGCGTCGATTCGTGATACCCATTGCCTCCGATGACACACCCTGCGTCGTCAGTTCAATCCCTCATCTAGAGACAGATGATGTATACATAAAATCAATTCCACCAGCATTCCTAGCATCAACAACGTCGACGCCACGCAGAGATAATCATCCACGCCGAATCCCGCTCGTCGCTTGACGCGAGCTATCAGTCGCAGGAAAGTACTGATCACCGACAGGCCGACGAGAACCGACACAATCGTGATCATTCGCTTTCCTCTGGGACTGGGACTCATCGTGGCGGCATTTCTGTCTGACGAACGAAAGTCAGATGAGGGGCGTCTTCAGTATATAGCGCCATGGTGGTCAGTCTTGCGCCAATGAATGCGGCCAAGATTTCATTAGCCTTGTGGCGGATTGGAAATTTCTGCATCTTCCGGTTGGCTCCTTGTTTATGTAGACATTATATTGTAGCTTCATGGCCTGTAGATGTGGAGTTGTTGAAAGCCACTACTTGGTAGAGGGGAGGTTCATGGCCAATAATGGTATCGTAGCGTAGATAGCAGGAGAAGTGTCTTAAATATTAACACCTATATTCTCTTAGTTTTGGCGGGGTGGATAGAGGCTACTTAGTCACTGTCTCAGTCACTCCCACTAGTGCTGATGCTGTATATTACATGCAGGGTCTCACTCGTTGATTTAGTGCTGACGGTTCCACCGCCGATAAATTAATGCAGAACCTGGCCCGTCTACGGAGTATGGTCGTACAATACGGTGCCATCGTGTCCTTGGCATGAACTGACGCTTAAATTGCCAACCCCTGCTTGAGATGACCGTTAGTATGCATTTAAGTACTCACTAGACTGAACCATAGAAGCTGATGATATAGACATTCCATTATAATGTACCGTCATATATGTATAGATCCATAGGGTCTGCAAGGATCTTGATGTGCAGGTCAGCGATGAGTCATACGGGTATATAAGTACATCGAACGGTATCCACCCATGAATCTACCTAAAATCTTCATGAGCTGTCAAAATGGAATCCCCTTATTCCATTGCCCAATTGACGGGATATCTCGAGTGTCTCTCGTTGCCATCTAGCTATGCAAAATATATCCAATCGCCAGAGTCATTCCCCAAGACCGAGACGGCGCTGACCGTTCTATTCCAATGTCAGATCACTCGATTTCCATATGAAAATCTCAGCGTGCATGCTTCCACTACCGGTGACCCTCCGCCCCTGGCTGCCCATGCACTGTACGAGAAAATGCTCGGGACCAGCGGAGGTCCCACTGGACGAGGGGGATATTGTCTAGAAGTGAATCTACTTTTCTACTATGTTCTTCTGGGTTTGGGTTTCTCCGTGTACGTTACGGGAGTCCGGAATCGAGACCGACAGGATGGAGTGCCCGTGGGAAATTACCGAGGATGGTGAGACCGATCTTTCCAGTCACAGACTGGGTTCTAATGCATGATTAGGATCCATATCGTGAACATCGTCCAGTTGCCAACAGGTAGTCGATATCTTCTAGATGCCGCATTCGGAGGCGATGGTCCTACACGCCCTTTGCCTTTAACTCCCGGGAGAGCGTTTAAAATCTAGGAACACAGGAGGTCCGTCTAATTCGCGACCGACTCCCCCTGCAGACGCGCAGTGACCAGCCATACTGGATCTACCAGTATCGCAACGGCGCGGACATGGACTGGAAGGCGCTCTACTGCTTTTCCGAGCTGGAATGGTTCCCGGAGGACTTCGACGTTATCAATCGATACGCGACGTGGGATGCCCTCGGACGGGGGAACGTCGTGGTTGTGAAATTCATGCGGAATGACGGGAACACGAACATGGATCCAGATCCCCAGCCGACGGAGTCCGAGGTGCAGATAGTGGGAAAATTGATGCTGGTGAACGGGGAGCTGAAGCAGAACCTGGGGGGGAGAACGCAAGTGATTGAGAGGTTTGACGAATCCCGACGAACAGAAGTCTTGCGGGAACGATTCTCAATGCAAATATGAAGAACACGAGGATATCTATCTTGGCGCGATCTATATTTGTCGTTTTGTGGGAATTGAAACCCTAACCGGTCGCAATGTTGTTTCGTGTTGCTCCACACGATGGAAATCTTCATGTCGATCGCTCAATACGAGAGATATTCTCTCCACTATAGAATACGAGCGAGCAGAATACGAGAGTGGTATACAATTAATATAAATATCTCTTGGAACACCCTTCTATGCATCTACTTCATTCGCTACGATTATCACAATGGCAGGAACATCCAGGGCAATGACCCTCCTCGTTACCATCCTGGCCTATCTGGCCCTGATCCCCAGTGTCGCTGGTATGGACTTCGTCTCTCGCAAAGGATGGAACGCCCGCGCACCCAAAGAAGCCTACACACCCATCACGAATCCCAAGGGCGTCAAGGTCCACTACCTGGGAACGATGTTCACCGGACGCAAACACTCGGAATGTGCCGCGTACATGCGCTCCGTGCAGGATGAGCATATGGACGACTCGCCCGAAAATTACTTCGACATCGCCTATAGTCTGGCAGTCTGCGAGCACGGGTATGTCTACGACGGGCGCGGCAAGGGACATCGCAGCGGCGCCAACGGTAACCAGCAGTTGAACAACGATCACTACGCGGTGCTGGCCTTCCTGGCCAAGTACGGCGTCAACAAGCCCACTGATGACCAGATCATGGGTATCCAGGACGCTATTGCGTATCTGCGTCGTGCGGGCGCCGGAAACGAGATCAAGGGCCACAAGGACGGATATAACACCGAATGTCCCGGAAAGCCTCTCTACAAGCTGGTTACCGATGGGTCACTTGAGCCGGGTAAACTCTGGGATGGCGGATCTCATGTTGTCAAGAAGGGAGAAGACCTGGATGGTATCAGCAAGAAGTATAACGTGCCAAAGAGGCATATCATCACCGCGAACGGGCTTAAGAAGCCATACGATCTGAAGACGGGGCAGAAACTCACCATCCCTGCGCGAGGTGTGCCTCTGGGCAAGAATGCATCCGCCAATGGTGAGAGCGAGGGTGGCAGCGGTGATGACAAGAAAATGCAGCCCTTCCCCGGTGCCGAATGGTTCAAGTCGAAGCCGAAGAGTGCGGTCGTCACTGCCATGGGAAAGCGACTGGTGGAGGAGGATTGCAATCGGTATTCCAAGGATGGACCCGGGGCGCAGTGGAACGACGAACATGTGGCGTCGTATAAGTGCTGGCAGAAGAAACTGGGATTTACTGGCGCCGCGGCGGATGGACTGCCGGGGAAAGCTACCTGGGAGGTGTTGAAGGTGCCTCACACTGAAGCTATTGGCAAGTAGTATGACTGAGCTGCGAGCAGTCAATCATGTTCTCAAATACGGAGGTTTGGTGCCTTAGGAATACCAAGTAAGAAAAAGTGACATAGATTGGATATCCATGTAAAATAAGACAAAATTTGCATCCTCGATATGAGCTTTATATGAACGTTTATTCAGGTAGATAAAGTCTTCTCCCACCACGAAAGCCACTGAATGACTTTCTCTTCACGCCGTGCCTCCTCCGCAGCAAACACCAGAAAATGGCCTCGAATGATATCTTCCAGTGTACATCCAACATATCGAAGTTGGGCATCCAAAGTCTGACAGCCATGGTTTTCTACTGCATCCACTGCAGTAACAAACGCACGCACAAGGCCATAATCCCCTCCTCCATGGGACCGTTTCTCATCGATCGGTTGTCGCGGCACATCCACGACGGACGTAGTCTGCGTCAGGAAATCAAAGTACTTGATCATATGGCTATCGTACGTCAACTCGCCACAACTCCCGTACACCCTCCCTCGACGTTCGCATTCCTTCTCGGTGTTGGCAATCATATGCAGAACGGCCGTCTTGCCCGGTCGCGGCGGATTCGACGAGGTGTCTTCGTCCCAGGTAATGGTCACGTACTGATCGTCGCAGACGGTATTGTCGCTTTCGTAGACACATCTTCCATACCATGGACGAGACGCGATGATCGCATCTGGAGTGGTGGATCGGTCATAATCTTCCGACAGTTTATCGAGCAGTTTCTTGCGACCTGCGTCTACCCCCGATACTCGTATAACGTCCTCGATGTCATAAACGATATGGTCTAGCCAGTGGTAGTCGCCTTTTGCAAGTCGGTTGTCTTCGTATATCTGGACGGCACTATACTGACAGTTTCGCTCCATGGGGCAGGAGATACAGTTTGTCGCGGTCCCGGCTGTAAGCGGCTTTCTGGACAGGCGAAATTGATTCCGAGATCCCATTGAGGAGACGGATCGAGGTAGATGACTGCTCTGCCGTGAAATATCATCCGATGGAGGGGAAGATAGCATCCAGAGCAGAAAGTCAATGTCGTGTGAACATTTCGTCAACAGCGAGCCATCACCGTTGGGAGTCTGACGTCGCCAGTGTCCGCGCACAAAGCTATGAGGGAAATGCTCCCAGCCGACGGGTTCCACATGTTCGATCGAGAGGATATCACCGATCACTCTATCCGTGAGTAAGAGTTTGCGCAGCAGCAAATTATGTGGGCTATATCGTAGGACGTGACCAATAGAGAAGATCTTGGTCTGATCGTGATCGCGATCCTGTCCAGCAGCAGAAGGAGCAAAGGCACGATAGATAGAAAGACAATCGGCGAGGGAAGTCGCCAGGGGCTTTTCACACATAATATGCAGTTGCATCGGTGCAAGGGCGCGCATGATCTCGACATGGGTCTCGTCGAGAGTACAGACAAACACACCGTCGACTCCTTCCGGTACGGACTCGCCCAGGGCCTGGCGATGACGTCGGTCTGTTTCCCACGTCAGCCAGGCTTTCCAATCTGAAAATTCTTGACCCTCTGTCGGCCCTTCGTTTACATTCCAGATGTAGGTCTCTCCGAAGACCTGTCGGCGGAATGGGACGGGCTCTGCGACCGCGTGGATCTTGGCCGTGGTGGTTTCTTTGATGGGTTCGGCGTAGCAGTGACCTCGCTGGCCGGCGCCAATAACCAGGAATTTGAGCTGCTTGGGCGATATCATTGTTAGGTTTTTGTCTGTCTGATACGCTTTCTTCGATTTCTCTCTCGGATACCACACTTTTATAAAAGTCATGAATACTAACTTGCGGGGTAAGCCAGACGCACAAGCTGTGCAACGTTAGCATTGACTCTGACTAGAGAACTAAGTAATATCGGTTAATTTAGGGAATACTATGGACCTAATCATAAGTACTCCTCTCGTGGCTGCATCATGAGACTCGACTACGAATGATTTTGGTTGTGATTAGTTTACTATTCACTACCTTGTACCACTCTAGTGACTAGTTAAGTTCTTATGGAAGAGTTGAAATGATAAACACAAAAGACTGTTAAAAAAACTTAAATAAAGCAACTAGTCCGCCATAACTATCATAAATAATTTAAGCGATACAAGTTATCTAGCAAAGGCAAGACGCTTATCCGATATCAATATTAAACGTCCTCCCTCGGCCGGAGAAGATTATATTTAGCAAACTCGCGTGCCGGCACCTTCCGATCGAACAAGATATCCAACTCCTCAAAAGTCCGTCCCCGACTCTCGGGAATGCGCCACCAACACCAAAAGCAGCAGACCAGGCTGATGCCCCCGAACAGGAACCCCGTCTTGCCGCGCCAGTTGGCCTCGTCACTGTTCAGCATATAGGGCATGGCCACGGTGAAGACAATGTTGGCCATCGCCTGAATGGCCGTCGCGATGGCAATGGTCCGGCCACGAAGCCGGGTCGATGAGATCTCGGCCATGATCACGAAGCAGATGGGTCCCACGGTCATCTGGTACAAGAAGGTCCAGATGTCCATCAAGGATGCTTGTGCCCAGACGGCCCCGGAGATATCACGCCCGATGTCGAGGAAGCCGATGACGAACAGAATCAGGGTCAGGACCAGCATTCCGGTGTTGTAGATGGCACGACGGCCGAACTATCGGAAGTTAGTGGGGATGGGTTGCAAGCATTAAGATGTTTAAGAAGGAAAGCTTACGTAGGACATCAATGGCCAGGAAATACATGTCCCGACGAAACCCAATGCTGTGTTACCAACACCCACTGTTTCGTATTAGCGGTGTTGTATATACTAGGAAGTGGGAACGTACTGTTAAAGGCATCCGAGGACTCAAGGCCGGCTCTCTCGAAGAAATAGGTCGAATACCCAATAAGTGGATTGCCCCCAATGATCTGAATCACATATACCATGACGGAGATCTCCGTGCGTCGGAGATTCACGCCCCGGAAGCAATCCGCATACGAGGTATTAGCTTCAATCTCCCGCTCGAGCATATCGGTCTCTTCAATCATCACCAACATGCCTTCGATATCGGGACGGTTCTTGCGCGAGGACAGATGTAGGAGCGCGGCTCTGGCATCATCGTTTCTGTCCTGTCGAATAAGCCAGTATGGGCTCTCTGGGGCAAATGGGAGACCGACAAGGAGCACCGTCGGCCAAACCCATTGGATGGCAAAGGGAATCTTGTACGCCCATTCATCTAATCTACTCTCCATCCCTGCTGCACAGCCTTGCGCCACGAACTGCCCAATGACGAAGGCCAGGTTGACGGAGGCCGTGAGGACTCCACGGAGGGCCAAAGGACAGATCTCCGAGGCATAGGTGGGAGCAATGACGACGAAGAAACCATAGGAAAGACCTCCGAGGATCTCACCCGCGCACAGGGAGCTGAGAGACGTCGAAAAGAATTGCAGGAAAATAAAAGAAATGGACCAGACACAGCAAGCTGCCAGGGTCAGCTTGCGGCCGAACTTTTCCAGAGGCCAACCGCACGCCATGGCTCCAAGAATCTGACCGATCGGATTGCCCATTCCCAAGGCCGTCTGCCATCGCGCAGGGATAATGTAGGATTCTTCGTGCAGATATCCATAGTGAGTCTGAAAGGCCGGGAGAGCGTAGAAGGAGTTGATTATTTGGGCGTCGAAACCGGCCGTGATGACGGCTATACAGAAAAACATCGACCAGAAGACGGCCAAGGGGTATTGTCGCACGGCATTCCAGAAGCCTAACTCATGTTCAGCCTTGATAACGTGGTGGGCGAAATTGATGTTGATTGCATCTCCTTGTTTAATGCCTTGGTGGGATATGATAGGAGAATTTTGCTTTGCTTGATCATCTTCCATAATTGTCTCTCTTCTTTCTTAAATATATATATATATATATATTATATTATTATTATTCCTGGGTTTATTTCATGATATATATAGTGTAGAAATAGAAATTTCCGAGAAAATGGTGACACCATGATTAAGGATTGCATTCCCCCATCGAGTAGCAGCTTCCCCGCATTCTGTTGGAACCAGCCAACTTTAATCCCGTCCACTTCTTGATTTCTTTGTTGACTTTCATTTCCCTCGTTTTTGGAACCAACGGTTACCGTGTCCTTACTTATAACTACGACTTAACTTATCATCACCCAATACTTTCACTTCTTTGAACGTACGCCAGATAAAATAAACCATGTCACTCTTCCCGCCTTCCCTGATCTCGCCCGATGTCTCGACCTCCCTCCCACCGCCTTACACGATTCGGCCCTTGGAACGGGAGGACTACACTCGTGGATTCCTGGACTGTCTATCAGACTTGACCTGGGTAGGGGGATATAGCGAAAAGGAGTTTTACGAACGGTACGATTGGTTGGCCACCAGCGGCAAGGATTGGTATTATAACGTGGTGATCGACGATGGACAACGCATTGTCGGGACGGCTACGATGATAGTGGAACGAAAATTGTACCTCTCTTCTTCTATTTCTATTTCTACTTCTATTTTTCTGTACCTTGATCTAATTTTTCTAGTATTCACAATCGCGGTATCATCGGACACATCGAGGAAGTGGTCGTCTCCAAAGATCAACAAGGCAAGAGATTAGGTATAAAGTTGATTCAAGCCATCGACTCCATCGCCGTGAATCTTGGCTGCTACAAGACGATTCTCGACACTGCCGAACGGAATGCAGGATTCTATGCCAAATGTGGCTACGAGAGAGCCGGAGTGGAAATGTCGCATTATTATGAACCGTTTACGGAGCAATACAAGCGGGGATAGAAAAATCTTGCCTCCCCTGTCCTTATCGATGTGTTTTCTGCCTATTAGATAAGACTGGGTTACCTTTACAGAGTATATAACTATTAGAGTAATTAGAGGAATTCATATTGAATAATACGACTATGCTCGATCTTTGCCCCTCCTAGATAAGATAACTAAGATAACTAGAGCTAGTTAGATATCTTTAAATTATCTAATTAACTTTGTTTTATTTATAATCGTCTCTATTTTATTATTTAATTCTTTTCTGTCCGTAGCCACTATATTAGTTACCTTTTTCAAAATCCTAATTTTATAATATATTAGTGTAGTACTGTAGGCCCTCTCATGTATCGGATCCAAACAAAGACCCCTTGGCTATGAACTGCACTGCTATAGGCTAGAGTCATTATCTAGTAATATATTTGCAAAGACATCAGTTCAGTTCAAATTGCATACTAAAGAACCGCACGTTGACTAATCCATAACCCCTTCCTCGATCAGCGAGGCGACCCTGCCACCATGCAACGTGTCTTTGAACCCGTTGACGTCGGGACCTAAAAATACGAAGAAGATGAGATCTGGTCCTGTCTTCTGCGGACCGCGATTCTCCAGTCCAGGAAGGGACCCGTCAGAATACCCTTGTGCATGACGGCCAGCATGTGAGGGATGGTGCTGGGCGTGCTGGTGGTTTAGGAGAAGAAGCCGTCGAAAGAGTCATCTTTCTTCAGTCGGTAGAGCACAGGGATTGGCTGGTATGCACTGGAGGGATCCAAATAGGGACGGGCACAAGGCTGGTAGGTGAAGAAGTCCCGGTCAGAGGGTTTGATGGGGATGGTGGTGGCTAACTGGACGAAACTCATTTTATTTCTTTACTTGCCGTTCTTTACTGTCGGTCAGCTGAATGCGTGCATGTGCTAGTACCACCAATCTTATGAATAAAATGGATCTGCATTGAAAATTATAAGGTCTCTAGCTATCTGAATCTATCTGGGAGAACTGAAAGAGGTGAAAACAAAGGAACAAATTCGGATCACGCGGATCTAAATAATGAATATTAATATTGACCCACTCTGGTCGAGATTTTCTTTTCTATGCGGCTTTTCTTTATTGATACTGTTCTCCGCGCGTTCCAAGTGTCCATTCCGCGGTTCCGCGGTTCCGCGGCATCCGATGGGATTATAATGCAAGGGGTTTTATTGCATAAGTCCATCACATCTATCGAGTTCACCGCTGTTATATTAACTGTTTATAACAAGCTTTATATATTGTAGATATGCGTGAAGCGAATTATAGTAGACTATAGAATAATTATTAATTCAATGCATAATTATACTCTGTGCTCCCATCATTCAACGCTACTATTCTCTGTTCAGTCGGCCTGGAAACGTCACCAGACTATCCTGCAGTCCTCGCAACGCCTGCAGACAGGTTTCCAGTCCCGACGTCATCTGCGATGCCCGATCCATGTCCATCTCTTGCATCGATTCGTTAACCTCCTCCGTGAACGCCCGCGCTGCCAGGGTATATGCTTGCGCTAGGAGTGATGGATCCTACATAGTCAGCACGATTTATAAGAAAAAAGAAAGAAAGCTCACCGGATGAGACCCGATATCCATAATGGACGCCTTCAACCCCCCGGTCCCCTGGAACCCAGGACGCGACACCCCGTAGCAGGTGGAAGCCACGATCGATACCTGCGTGGCACTGGCGAGGCGTTGCTGTTTGCGGTACGATCGCGTCGATTGCAATGCCTCCAATAGCGCCACTAATCCCTCCTCCCCCTCCGGGTTTGGCAGACGCTCTAGATCAAATTCAATGCGCTGGGCCACGTCGCAGAATAAAAGAATCGGCAGGTTGGCATCATTCGAACATAGAGAGACCATGCGCCATAATTCCCCCCGGAGCTGCTGCAAGGCCCCTTTCATCATTTCGTCCAAGGCCCCAAACGTCGCTCGCCAGATCTCGATCAGCGACACCGCCGCCTCGTATCGTTGGTGCACCTCCCCGTAATTGACTGGTGCTCGCTCCGCCTCCCATGCCACGGTCAAGTCCGCCAGAGACTTCCAGAGCAGCACCACCACCGATCCAGACAGTCGCAGCATCGCGATAAAGTCGTCATCGGCCAACCCGTGGCACCACCTCGTCGTGAACGGCTGTCGGATGGTCTGGGCCCGCGTTATCACGGAGTCCTCCAGCTCGTGCAGCAGCAGCAGCTGTTCCGGTGACCCACAGTTTGACCCTCTCATGGTACTCACCGTTACGGAGTGCACGATTGTCGTTAACCATTCTGTGGCGCCGATCAACTCGCCGATCTGGTCCATTGTCTCGTTGGGTAGATCCCGCAGGTGGTCGGCCGTGGTTACACTTACACGTGCCCTCGCACAGAGAGTCTGCAGACGTCGGAGGCCTTCCGCGCGTGCGTAGATAGCATCCTCCTGGGGCGCGTCGCGCGTCGCACTGGACGGGGGTGGTAGGATACAGCCGAAAATGAACAGGGATAAGGCGATACGAAACGAGCGCACGGCGGAGATATTACCAAATACCATAGTTTTGGCTTTTTGCCAGGCTGCAACTGCAATGTCATGGCTGAGTGGATTACCCTCTGGGGTTGGGGCGGTTGTGGCGAATTGCGCGGCGATGGCGATGGCGGCCCAGCGGTAGGTCTCGGTGATGGAGACGTTGCGCTGAGAGGTGACTCGCGGTTGGAAGAGCGCGTCCAGCACGCTGGCTGTGCGGAAGATATACGGTGCCACGCCTGTAGAAACAGCGTCCAGGTCCCAACATCCCTTGATCCACGCGGTGGCGGTGTCCCAGTAGCTCGATAGCTGAAGATTCTTGCGTAGAGGCACCCAGGCGGCTACGCCTAGCGAGTAGGAGGGCGGCATGCAGCCGTGGAAGAGACATTCAGAGAGCGGTAAATCGTAGACATCGACGTAGAGGTTAAACTGCTGGACACCTACCTCGCGCGCCGTCACTTTTCGGGTCAGATCTGCATCGGTTGTGCACACCGACTCGAGTACGTCTAGTAACTTGCGATCGGGTGTCTTCTCACAACGGTCCACAATGCCATGGTCGGGAAGGTTGTCCTTCTCTCCATGCTTGGGGAGATAGGAGACGGCGTTGGCGCGTTTCTTGTCCAGCAGGGAGGATCGTTTCCCCGCCAGCCAGGCCACGGTACATTCTAATCCGCGGATCTTACAGGTGGAGCAACTGGTCGAGGGTTTCTTATTGTAGATGGTGACATTCGGGGGCAGACGACAGGCCTTTTTCGAGAAGCGGCATTGGTCGCAGGTGTGATTCTGCCGACGCGGTTGACGCGGTCGACATTCTTCTTGGAATTTTGTGGGATTGACAGCATGATTGGGTAGAATTATATCGTTCTGGGGGAAAGGAGCTGCTGATAGACGAGAGGATTCGGTTGGGAGGGCAGGAAATGCCTGGCCTTCGGGAAGCTGGAGCGGCTCGTTGGAGAGAAGTGTGTGGAAGAAGAATAGATCGGGGAGGTTTCCCTCAGTATATTCTGGCGGTGGAGCCAGATCATTAAGGGCATACGGGTTGAAAATGTAGTCACTTAAAAGGGGATCCATTGTTCCGTGAGTAGATAAACAAGTCGTAAAATGACGGAGGATACCGCGATGTATCTAAGGTGGCAAGTTGAAAATGCGGAGATGACGGATCTCCATGCCCCGTTTCTTAGGGTTTCCATATTCTACGTAGTTAGTTATTAGCATCCATCTCTGCGGTCAAATCAAATGGAAGGGTTTAGACAAAAGCTGCATCTGGTCAGTCGTTCGATGTAAGAATAACCGACTCCCTCGGTTGGATCGACCTTAACGGAACCCAGAACCGAGATTCATCTGTGTACTTAGAACAGTGATGTATCACTAGTTGACTATATGTCGCTCCACCACACTATTCAGGATCAGCTTACATATGGCCCAACGTTCGGCTCTGGGTTTCGGCCTCTTTCCACTGACCTTCATGCCGGTGGGCTTAAGTTGGGACCTAACTGTGACCAACCAACCCTTGGAGCCAGAGCAATTGAACCAACCATATGGACCCAGATACTCAGTGGTAATTTTGGCTAGGCACCTCTTTGAAATGCCGCAGTCCCCCTCCCTACTACCAAGCACCCAAACACTATTATCTGCACAAAATCATACTGCCCTTCGCCGAAAGACTGGCAAACAAACTGTCCTCCTCGTCCACAGCGCTTTCGCCACTGTAACCGACTGGGAAGAGGCAGCGTCACAGCTGGCCCAATCCTATCATATTTAGCCCGAGACCTACGGAGCAAAAAACTACGGGCGCCAAGATGATTGCCCTTCTCCTTGTAGTATACGTGACGTCCACGCTGCCGAAAGGTGGTGGGGCACTGGAAGGCACGAATACAATCCCATATCGTATGATATGGGATCCCACAGCAGTGCTCTAGGAGACTTTGGTAGACACTAAGTTAAATAGCGGTCTGCTACCTCAAGTAGCAGACCAGGGATTAGAGAAGATAACTTCGGCAATACAATCCTTCGCCAGACTTGAGGGAATTCCTCCAGTCCGCCCCAGGGCCCGTCCTTCCCCTATTCGACTGTTCCTACAGCTTATAGCGTTATACAATCTCGCCCAGCCCCCTACCTAACCGGCCGTGTGATGAGCGATATTGCATTTAGGCATTCTTTTTTTATTAGTGCTGTTCCCTTTTAATAATACCGTTAATATAATTTGGAAACACTTTTTAGAATTACCTGTCTTAGTTTAACTACTGTAGGTCACCACGTGACGACCGTCCCCATCTGGCGACCGATTTCTAGGTACACTGACTTTTGTGTTGTAGATTTTAAACCATCACAGCTCAGTCAATATGGACCCTATCAAAGCCACTTTAGTAGAAATAGAATCCTTAAAGCCAGGCCAATCGATTAATTACACTAAAGTTGCGAAAACTCACAATATAAGCTGAATAACTCTATTAAGGCATCACTGCGGGGTACAGCGCTCTAGAGAAGAGTAGTATAAAAGCCAACAAAATCTTAACAACCAGCAAACCAAAAAGCTTATAAAATGTATAAATAAGCTATCTAGCCATGGTCTATGTTCTTTATGTGAGATGCTTCGAAATTTTGTTAAGGAAATTACTAGAATTAAGCCTGGAAAGAACTAGCCCGGCCGCTTTTTAAAAAAATATTAAGAGGAGCTTCTTTACTAATATATCACTGCAATGGATTCTTCACGCAAACGGGCGGATTCTGCATATAAATATACCTTATATTTTAAGTTGTTAGCTAAAAAGATCCAAGAATATAATATACAGGCAGAGAATATGTATAATATAGATAAGAAAGGATTCTTAGAGTACTTTCTAAAGGCAAGAGGATATTCTCTAAGTAGTAATATAAAAGGGATGGCCTCAAACAACGCCTACAGAATAGTAATCAGAAGTGGATTACTGCAATTGCCTGTATCTGTGTAGATAAAACCTTACTATCTCCTGGCTTAATATACCAAGCAAGTTCTGGTAAGATACAGGATTTATAGCTTTAAGGCTTTAATACTATAAATTACCAGGCTTTCTTTGCTTCTTCTTCATCTGGCTGGATAAATAATGAAATAGGTTTTGCATGGCTTTAAAATATTTTTAACCAGGAGACAAAAGACAAAGCTAGGAGGCATTGGCGTTTTTTAATACTAGATAGCTATAACTCTTATATTACTATAGAGTTTATTAACTTCTATAATGCTAATAAGATTTATTTAATAATTTATCCGCCTTGTTCTACCTATACACTGCAACCGCTTGATGTTAGTATCTTTGGCCCGTTGTTTATAACTTATAGTAATAAGTTAGAGGCATTTTTATATAACTACCAGGGCCTAAGCCATATTACCAAACAGGATTTCTTCAGGTTATTCTGGCTAAGCTGGAATGCGGCTTTATTACAGAAAATATTAAAAGTGCATGGAAATCTGTTGGTATTTAGCCCTGGGATCTAGAAATTGTTTTAAGACGCTTTATTAAGGAGAAGGACCAAAGGTCTTTTTTAAGTAAATCCTCACACTTAGTTCTACAAGCAGAAGATTAGCGGAAGATTGAAAGTCTTCTTAAGCATGTTATTTCTAATATTTATAATAAAAAAACTAAAAGATTAAGTTCTACAATGCACCACCTTTTTACAAAGAGTATTCTGCTTAAACTGCGCTGTGAAGGCCTCGAAAATACCCTTTAGAATAAGTAGGAAAAGAGAAAGCATGGAAATTTTTTTATATTTAATCTACATGCCCCAGAAGATGGCTACGCAGTATTTTATTCTCCTAGGAAAATCCAGCGAGCTCGGGATCTTTAAATAGAAAAAGAGAAGACAATACAGCTTGCTAAGGCTTTAAAAGAGAAAAAAAGGATCCGCTGGCAGCAAGAAAAGGAAGAGAAACAGCACTTAGTTAAAGAAAGAAAAAGAATCAGGACATCTAATAGAGAGTTGCGTATCCAGGAAGTAGAGCAAAAAAATACCAAAAGGCAGAGAAGCGCCTGGCTAAAGAGGTAGATTTACAGCTCTAAAATAACTTTAAACAGGTTAAAAGAGGCAAGGAGAAACCTTCTAGGCCCTCTACCACTAAAGATTAGGAGGATATTGTTTAACCAGCTGCTGATGTTATTAAAAAGGCCCCTCTGGCAGTTAATCATTAAGGAAGGGAAATCTGGCTACCATAATATTTTCGGGACAATTAAAAAACCTTGATAGCTTCCTTATGACTCTAATTTTAATCCCTCAAAAAATCTTTGTATAATCTAAATTGTATGTGGCTCTAAAGCTTCAATTCCTGACTTGGTTGTTGGTGTGAAATCGGTCGTCCGATGGGGACGGTCGTCACATGGTGACCTACGGTAACTGTTAAGTAATAATACAGTATTTCATACCTGGTTCGACTTGTGATTATAATAGACAAATGCCAAGCTAATTTCTGGAGCGGGTAAATTAATCTTTAGATAGTTAATAGTAACTAACCTGTAGTAGGTCTTAGCAATTAATATAATCACCTAAAACAACAGAGGTAAATATTTCGCGCTTACGATAGAACTGTCTTGCCGACACCAGCTAAGCATCAGACTTGTACACGATCGGATGGATCGCTGCTCTACCCATTGAGCGAGCCGCAGCAACGGCGATGCTTAATGAGCGCCATGATAAGCCGTGCGGGTTTGTTCAGCACTAAGCGGACACAAATTCATATACCTGGAGCAAGATGGGCGAGCATAATGTCGTAATTGCGTCACTTCCCGCCGGGCGTCCGCTAACCACCTCTGCCACGCTGCAGCGGTTTTCATTTTATAGGACATAAACAACTACAAGACCATGATCAAAATAAGAACTACATATCGCGATCGGGGGAAATCCAGGACGGACAGAATAGTATATGTATAATAACCCGACAATATTGCACAAGCCATACAGACGGTCAAATAAGCTAGTATCAGTTGACCCAAATCCCAATTCACTGGAGATACATACATATACACTCAATCAAGTTGTCTCCCCAACAATGCTGGGCAGCAACTGGTGTGTGTAATTCCACAGAGCGCCCGCATGATGCGAGAGAAAGGCCGCCCCCGTATACCACGTGTTCCGATGGCCCTGCAGTCCCTCGAGATCATGATAGAACCCATTCCGGATAGCATCAGCAGGAACGGTCAGTTGGAACGGGGTGTGGCTGTCGCAAGCCAAGAACCGAGTCTTGTCAGTAGTGAAGATATTGAGCCCCTTGCGGACATGGGCGATGGATCGGAGAATATCGGATTTGGCGTCCTCCTGGGAGACAGCATTCGGCCCGCCGTACCATCCCGCGAAGATCCCGTCGACCGGGGTGGGATTGAGGTTATACATACCGGGCAGAGGCGGAATCTTGAAGGTGCTGTGGCTGGAGGGCCGCACATTCTGGAAGCTGTAGCCCACGGGCAGACCGGTGTCGGTGACCACGAAGACGTACCACGCGCTGTTGTCGAACTGTTGGAAGATGGACTCCTCTTGCGAGTCCAGGCCCAATGGCTGCATGTTCTCGATCTTGGGCGGCATGGTCACCACCACCTTGGAGGCGACGACCAGCTTCTTGCCATTGGGCGTCTGGACGACCAGCTTGACCTTTTCGCCCTCGGTGCGCTGGGCGGCGCTCACCGTGCTGGAGACTAGGGCATCTGAGCCTAGCTCCTCCAGGGCCTTGTCGTAAATCTCATGGTTGTTCAATCGTGCGGTGGTGAGAAGCCCCTGTTCCAGCCCTTCCACAAATGGTTGGTCCACCGCTTTGAGTATGTACACGGTCGGCTGTTCCAGGATATCGCCACAGCCCCAGGAGTACTCCCAGATGGTAAAGGCAATGTCCTGCAGTGAGTACTTAGTGATGAAGTCTCGGAAAGGGAGGAGGAGGTCCTCGGGGACCGGGTCGGGCAGCGACCAACTGGTGGACAGATACGGGTATTTGGCCAGCTGCGCAATGTATGCCAAGAAGTCAAAGGATGCGTTAAATTTAGGGAAATTCTGGCCCGTTTGGAAATCCACAAAGACCTGATGTTCGGCATCAAAGGTGTACTCAGTCAGCGGGACGTCGAATCGGGCGAAGAAGTCGCGAACCACTGAGTAGTTGGAGTAGCTGCGCACGCCGTAGTCGATCTTGGTGCCTGTTTTGGGATCCGTATAGGTATTCGTGTGGCCCCCCAGCACCGATTCCTTCTCCACCACCACCACTGTTTGTCCGCGATCTTTGAGGTTGATGGTAGCGTAGGTGCCCGTGGATCCTCCCCCAATGATGCACACATCGCGGGAGATTACATCCTCCGGCGCATAGTTGCTGGTGTCAAACTGGTCGGCTAGGGCGGCACCTACTAGGGTGGCGGCCATCCACAATGCCGAACTGAATAGCATTTTCACTTAGATCTGTGGAAATGGAAGAGGAAATCCTATGGTTGAGATGGTGAATGAGGTTACCCAAGGGTACCGCGGTTGGCTTTATAGGTTTAGGCATACACATCCTAGTCGGTGAACGCATCATGGATTCAATAGTTTCCCACCTTGATTCGAAATGGACCCTTTCTCGACATATGGTTTCTTTTTTAATATTAACGGAGGATCGACCCCTTTATACGACAGCGGGGACCATCCTTCAGTACAACTACCTTCCCTTTTGAACTCCATTATCCCGAGGATAAAAGCGACTATTAGCAATCCCCTCTAGCCCTAGGACTGATTACGGCTTACGCTTACCCCCCACTCCTTGCCCCTTTGCATGGTCGCCCGTCCTGAGTCACATTTTCGCCCTAATTATGCCGCGGCCACAATCGGCCGGGCCGTAGCGGAGGTCCTGTGTCACTTGGAGGAAACACGAAATCAGGCGGTGTTTGTCCAAGACCTCGTGACCACCCAGCAGAGGATGCTGGCTATTGCACAGAAGGTTGCACCGGATCGTAAATGGGCCTCGACAGATGTGAGCACCGGTGACACGGAGACCATGGCGCGGGATAACTATGCCAACGGGATGGTCGATCTGGAAGCCTCGATGAGATTCTTTTGCCGCTCGGTCTTTGGGGAGGGATACAGGGGAGATTTCTAGGAGGTGGACAATAATCTGCTCGGCATTCCGTTGAGGACGGACGCTGATCTAGAGGAGTTAATCCGGGGAGTGCTGTCCGATAGCGTCTAGTGCTTAATTCGGCCATCTGATGACCGCTGTGTTATGATCGACCTATTCGCTTCAATATAATGACCAGTCATGATATACTTTTATAACATGGTGACTGTCATAACTTAGACGTCAGTCTTTCAAAGTGTTATCTATAACTTTAAAATCTACTGCCACTTTCAAGATCACAAGCGTCGGATTATATTTCATGTCTATGGGCTGTTGTGGAACTACAGTAGGTCAGAGGAATTGGCATTGAATAGAGTGAACTAAGCCATTGAATTGGATGAGCGAACTTAGTATACAGGAATTTCGTCCGTGGGAAGTGTTGTGAAAACCTCGATGGGGTTCACGGAGCACAGGGGAAATGGGGGATAGGGCAGGAGAATGTCACGGCGTAAGCATGGTGGAACAACTGGATTTCTATTTTGACGAAGACATCGCTTGAAGAACTCGTAAACAGAGCGACGCGAGGTCAGAGCTGTACTATCTACAGGCGGCGAGGGGCGGCAGAGAACCCGAATCCTGACACTACATGGATGAGTTCCTGTCAGATATACCACTACGTAGACCACAAAAAGTAGCGCTGTTTTAATTTGCATGTAATAATGGTATATCTGCCTATTCTAACGCACCCCCTCAGCATGTGTGTATTTTACAAACATGCTGGACCTTTTATTCTGCTAGTCTAGCCATCTGGGTCTAGTTCCTTAGAAGGTAAAGTGGTCGTGGTCATAACAGGACTCGAACGCTCAGCCACAAGAGCGAATGAGACTTAATTGTCAGCTATACGGCTAATCCCGAAGAGGAAATAGAGTACGATTGGTAAAAAGGTCTTATTTGAATGAATTGAGCTGGGTTTTGGCTCTTCTTGATTATTCTTCTTGGTCGTTGTTTTCGTTGTGTGCTCCGCGGGCTTTACCCCGTGTTCGCGAGGCACAATTCTCTTCAATTCAGGGGCTCGGGAGAGCTGACTAACGTAATCGGCCACCGAGCTGGGTGGACCACCGAGCTGGGCGGTCTCCCACCAAACTGCGCACCCATACAAAGAGGCCTTTTAAATTAAGTAATATCTCAACAAAATAAACTAATTTCATGGTATAATTAAGATGACATTATTTACTAGGACACTTGAGTCTATTATGACCTTGTATACCACAATTACTGCAGGTTGGTGGCCTTCGTGGTGCTTTTAAACTCTGCTTTAGTATCTCTTCTTGCTCAAGCGCTTTTTGCTGTCCTTTTTTCCCTGTTAGGCTTCCTCCACTTTGTATAAAGATTCGAGGTGCTGTATCCCTCTCGTTTTAATAATTATTACCTTCCTGAAGCTAACGAAGTGCCTGTTTTGCTAAAAAAGTATTTTGCATTGTAACCTCTGCACTTTTAATAATCTTATCCATAGCTTGCTGTACAACAGTTGGAGAGGTGAATAATTTGTCTCGAAGGCGCTGAATTCGCTTTTTCTATTACTCTAGTTAATGTAGATTTGCAGGGGTCTTTCTAATTTTAAAAGACTTATTACTATGTGCCGTAGATGGTGGAGTTGGTGTTTTAAGCTAAATATCAAGCTTTAAAAGAACAGTCTCTGGTTGTAGTGAAACAAGACTGGTTGCTTTAAAGCCACTTTGAATATTTAATGATGATAGAGCTTGGTGATGAATTAAAGAATAGATAGCTAAAAAGTCTGGTTTTTTAATAAAGTGGATTCCTTTCTGCATTATCTCTGCAATCTTTTGGCTATAAAGGTACTTTAATGGTGAGAAGCAGCTCATATCTAGTAACTGTAAAAGGTGAGAAGAATAAGGAGGTAAATAAAAAGGAATAATCCTTTTATCTGTACAGAATTTATTAAACTCTGCTGTAGCATGGCTACTATGTCCATCCATAACTAAAAGGTGGTATCTCCCAACTGTACGTGGCGCTGTATACAGATTAAAGCAATTTTGTAGCCAATCTAAGCCTAGATTGTTATTCGTCCATCCATTCTTGCTCGTAGAAATGCGATAGTCTTTTGGTATATTTTTATACCACTAAGATTGGTGATTCTCACCGGCAAGAATAATCTGCGGTGGTAATACCCATCCGGTTGCATTAATTCAATAATAGCAGTAACCCACTCCCTATTTCCAGGCTGAACTGCTTTGCTTTGCTTTGTCTTGTCTCTAACCACAGACTATTTTTGCAGTTAATATAACACCTATTTGAAACCCTGTCTTATCCATATTGTAAATATCTTCAGTACAGATCCCATATTTTTGTATAGTATCCCGGAACCGCTGGAACTACTCCTAGATAAGCTTTGGACTTTCACACTTTGCCCGTTAATAACTGTACTTTCGGGTATATTTTAAGCTGATATCAGGATGGCGCTTAATAAATCTTGATACCTAGTGGTTTCTAATAACTAAGGTAGATTGGGTTCGCGCAGAGAGAAGCAGCTGAGCTAGATAGCGTACAGTTAATATCCGGGGAGGTAGGCCACAACGATCCATATCAATAATCCATAAGATAAGAGTTAATTCTTCCGTATTTGTTAATTTTCGACTATTAGCAACTAATTCCTTGCGACAGGTAGTGCCATTCAAACGCGTTATCAAGGTGCTCGGAGGGACATTAAATACCTTAGCTACAGCAGTTTTAGATTTAAAAAGGCCTCGCTTATAAGCATCTATAGCCAATTGTAAACGGCCTTCTTTTGAACTATCGGCCATAGCTCTGTGGTTGGAGATAATAATAATATTTTGAATAGCTTCGTGGTAAGCGCGTTGTTTGGTGGGGGACCGCCCAGCTCGGTGGTCCACCCAGCTCGGTGGCCGATTACGTTAAGGATCTGGCTATCGCGCTTCTGGGTGCTCCTAACAAAGTTCCTGCAATATATGGGGTAGATAATTAGAATCCTAGTCTGCCTTGATTATTTATTACCTGAAAATTTAATCATAGCCTGCCGAGCCTCCTAGGAGAGCCATTGAGGACGTTGAGCTTTGCTCTCCAGATATTTTGATTTGCACTTATGGACGAGGCTTATTGTAAGTATAATATTCCCTTGACCAGATGGCTTATTACCGCTAGAGTGGATACATCGCTCGCGTGATCTTTTGGTGATTACTAAAATGTTGGAGTAGACGTAAAGGCAGTGTACCTCAGAAAGTAGGGGAGAGAGGGAAGTGGACATACGCATTACTGACGGTTGCGTGGTGAAACCGCCCCATCGGTACCAAGAGTTGTGTTAGCGTGGGGTAGTTCAGTAGGATGATACTGCCACTCTTGTCCTTCGTATTCTGCATTCGAGATGTTGTAGCTTATTTCGCCCCCAACTACTTGGCATTGTAACGAATTGAAGGAGCATCTGCGCTGTACCTGTAAGAATTCTGATTGCACTTATTTTAAGTTTTTCGCCGAATAATAGATTGAAAGAATCAAGAAACAACTTAATTCCCGCCAGTAGTTCCATCAGTACTTGAATAAATACTAGCCATAAGATGATTGCTAAGGGATTCATATTATAGCCAAGCTTAGGATCTTAACTATTCCACTGGACTGAAAGACCACTATATCTAATCCCAAAGGGTCAGATATCCTTGAGCAGCTTATATAGTAGCGCATTGTAATGTTAGGTGACGCACCACACCTAACAATTCTATCCCAAATAAGGCTGGGAATGTCGTCACGCTTATAATCGAGATCTGCAAAAAGAGGGCTATGCAATTTCGGAAATGTGGGATTTTCGGGATCTGTGGGGAACAACGTCCCAGATTGCATGCTCAGGGTCACTCTTTAGAGTTTGGATAGCATCGTGTTTGACTGGCTAGGAAGATTTAGAATACTACTCCGGAGCCGAGTGCCGCTTAACCTGTCCATTCAAATCACTAACAAAATCCAATACCGGGCAAATGCTACCGCTGACAGAACCTTCAGCGGTTAACTTTACATAAAGTTATGCAGCGATGACATTATTTCTCGCGCTATACTGAAGTAGGCATAGTACCATGTGAAAGGAACAAACTGGCGTAGCTGTGTCTCTATAAGTATTCGGCTCAGTAGGGGACATCCTTCAGCTCGTGGACGTTAGCCTAAAGGCTAAAAATCCTTCCTTGGGAGAATTCTTCTTTTCTAGCCCAATAACTTTTACATGAATGTGGATCATACCATGTCCGGTCACTGATAATGGCTACCGGAGAAATCTTTCATTCGAGCTATGGTATACACTGAGATATCAATATAGGGAAAATATCCAGCAACTCTCGACTAGTAAATATGCCCCAGAAAATAAGAGAGATGCAGTCGATCTCTACAAGGAAATGTTATAAGGCTAATCCGAAAGGCCCACTCAATGATCCTTTACATTAGGGGCTTATGTTGAAACAACTCAGCCTTGTTGCCGTTCTGGCCCCCTTTGACTACCTTCCTATTCCACCCAAGCGCTGCATATTCGATCCACCTGAGGCTATACTCATTAGGGGTTCCTAATTTCAATTCATGAATAACGTGCAAGGAACCCAGATTTCAGGCCCCCCATCCTTACCATATTGGTTGTAGCTTTCGATCTTTCATTCCTTTCGACCCTTGGCCACACGGTCGTCGGGAGTAGACACTGGCAAGGTGATAGACAGGAAACATCTATAAAGTGCCATCTTCCCTGTAGAAAGACCTGAAACCACCATCAGTTCCAGCATTCATTCTTTGGCCTGCACCGCTTTCTGCCCATTCATTTCTAATACTCCTTTGCTCTATCCATCCACCATGTGGCCTTCCCTGGTAACTGCGGTTGTCGTCGCAGCAGCGGCATTCCAGCCACTGACCTCAGCCTCTCCTTTGAATAATGATGCTATTCTCCGCCGCGATACTTATCAACCCAAGACGGTGAACGTCACTATGAAGGGCTTGTACAAGTACAGCTTGCTTCAGGAAGTTCATAACCCGAACAACACCGATGCATCCTTTGAAAGGACGATCGACACCTCCTACGAGATTACCCGGTCTACTTTCTTGGAGCACACATCCTCTGAGACCAAAACAGAATCCCACACTACAAATGTTGGGTTTGAGGCAGGCGCATCGTACGGGATCGTTGAAGCCAAGGTCAGCGCGAGCAGCGAAACTTCTTCCCAGTTGGAAACTGCGTTTTCCAGCTTGCAACGCATCTCGACCGAGGAAACTATCAAGGAAACAAAGTCGACCAAGCAATCTTGTGAGCGATCGATATTTCTCCTTCTATTGCTTCTTCTCCTCCTCCTCCTCTTTTGTACTGACTGCGTCAACCAGTTACCATCGGCAAGGGCGATACGTATACAATTTATGAACGGATCTTCACTGCCCCTGGAATCAATGTCCACACCAATGCTGTTGTCGCCGGTCCCAACAAGCCAAAAGAGACCGAGATCGAATACACTGTGACTCTACAGGAAAACCGCTTCCTCAAAGATATCAAGGTGAGCCGTCTTAAATTTGTATTCACATGGGACTCTCCTAATCGAAATAGGTCCAATATGGAGATAACGAATTTTCCGAACCCCAGGATGCAATCAAACTGGTTGGAAATGCCAAGGCCGATGTCAACAAAGGCTTTGGTGGAAAGTAAGTCTCTCTTAGTTATTGCTGTTATCCAGGTACCGTATACTTGCTAATTTATTTTATAGATATGTCTGGCTGGTACCTGTCTGGACTAACAAGGTCTCGGAAGCCTGCTCCAACGTCGGGATCGTTATTCAAAAGGATGTTGTGGAGGGCCACGATGATCTTGCTGCCGGTGCCGGTGGGAAATTCCGATTCCTGTTCCCTCAGGTGCAGGACAACAACTCCAACAAGATCACCGACATTCAGCTCTATCGCTCATCAGATGGGTTGACGGCCGATGCGCTTTCCAAAATGGGCTTCCAGGGAATGTCGGATGATATCAACAAAGGCCGGAAGGGTGATTATCTTTACCTCTTGTGGAAGACGGTTGATGTTGATCATACTACTGTTCGCCTTTGAGCGGGATCATAATACCTAGAGCTAGCATTATGCATGTTTCGGAAGAATATCGTGGACGAGTTGCGTTCAGGTATTACCAGGACATCCAAGCAGCGTCACCGAGACTGTTTTGGCAGTCTACTTGGGCTCATTTCGCTTAAAGTTGGAGAGTTTCTTAGATATTATCTAATACACCTTCTAGAGAGTAGATGTTACTACTAGACTATCGTATACATTTCTTCTGAGCCGGTAATCACTGGTATATACAGTATATATCCAGTCCTAATGCATAGTAGTGTGCGCAGGATGAAAGACGAATCTCTAACAGCGATGCTAACCGATTCCGTTATAGAGTGCTCTGTAGGAGTCCACTAACTAGCATTCCTCTACCCTGGAATCCTTTTATACACTCTGTTGTTTTAAATAAACAGCTGACATGTCTCTTTTTCAGCTTCCTCGGTCCTCGACCCTATCCATATATATTAGCAGACCACCCCGTGCTCACAAAAGACATCAATGCATTATGTCAGACATGCACCCACATGCACAAGGTAATAAAGGAATGTCTTTACCAACGCGAGATACGAAACCATTCAAGTGCAGTACTTCTCTGGGCCGCCTCTAACGGAAAGGAGCCCTCCTAAAAGCAGGAGTAGATATTTAAACCGCATGGACAAAAAGAGACCCTTTTCTTCGTAGCAGCATGGGAGACACAGGAAACAATGGTGCGATAACTACTTGGTGATAAACGCACCAGCAGGAACACCAAAGACCGACACGGCCCTACCCCGCTCTATGCCGCGGTGAGGAACTGCGACGCGGGAATAGTCAAGACGCTATTGGACAGAAAGCCAATAGCGAGGTAGCCGCCGGTGTTGGGCATACGCCGTTATTGTTGGTTGCAGTGAATGGAGATGTTGGGACCGCGATGTTGCTGCTGAGATATGGCGCGGACCCTGAGTCCACCATTACTACAGGTCAGACACCACTAGTAAATGCGGCGCAACCGGGCCAGTGAGAATCTTGAAGTTGCTGCCGGACTTTGGGGTGGGTCAGAATGCAAAGAGTGGATGTCAGACGTCAGCGTTATCATATTCTGCGTGGAATGGATCAATCGAAATGGTGGAGTCGCTTCTCGGTCGTGGCGCTGGTCCAAATGCAGAGGGGCAGAGGCGAACAGCACTCTCGTGGGCTGTGGAAAAGGGCAATTCGCAAATTGCAATCACGCTTCATGATGTTGGTACGGACCTTGATTCAAGCGTCAGGATAGGTAATCGAACTCGGCTGTCTTTCGCAGCGGAGAATGGACATGAGAAGGTGGTGAAAATGCTCCGTGGTCATGGTGCAGATCCAGATTCCAAGAGTCCGTTCGGGTGTTCGCTGCTATTTGTGCCCAAGCATGGACATCTGAATCTGGTCCAGCTACTGGTCGAGAAAGGAGGTGATATTAATATCCGATGATCTTATGAGGAATACACAGTTGCATTGGCAGCCGAGCGTGGTCATCTCCAGGTGGTCAGTGTATTGCTCGAGAAAGGAGCAAATCCAAACCTGAGGGATGATTTCGATAAAACTCTACTATTCCGAGCAATATCAAACTAGCATGAAGCTGTGGCCCGACTGCTGCTGGAATACACTGTGGAAGAATAACGTTGTAGAGTTGGGAATGAATATCAAAGGAAGGAAACATAATTGTATGAGGTTGTTATGAAACTGAGGTCAATGCAAAGCAGAAGAACGGATTGTCTGTGAAATCTGGTTTCTAAGGGCACATATGTACAGATCATCCTAATCTCTCAGGCTGGAAGGGGTGGCCTTTCTTTGAGGAACGAGCCAGTCTGGGCGTTAATATAGCTGCTAGTACTCTAGTTAATATTCCTATTACTGCTACTAAAATAATGACTGTGACGGCCAGGGCAATCAAGTCAATGTCCTCACTTTTACAGCAATGAATCTAAGAGAAACCTTGACGGAGCACGCCCATACCATCTAGAAACCAATAAAGAGAAGGACTACTATATCACAAGTAGCAATAGTTGTCGACTTCTACACGGATTCGAAGGTAGAGTTACTATATAATGATTCATTCGTGCTATATAGGATTCACATAATCTATCCAAGAAACTCAAACTCCAACAAAGACTGGAACGCCCCAGCCTCTGTTCCTGACGTGACGCCTGCCAGGTGGAATCCCCCAGGTTTCACCTGCTCGAATATGGACTCCAAATCCGCCACGCTGCGTTCATGAGCGTTGTGCGCAGCCAGCATGAACATATCCTCGATCCTGCGTTTGTTAGCCTTGAGTTAACTACAGAAATAAAAGTCACTCACCGGATCATTTTCCTAGCGAGCGTGTTTAGTCTTTGTGCCGGCGGCGCTGGAAGAATCCCTTCACTGATAAGAACCCGAGCACCCCGTTTCAGCGCCGGGAGGAGAGCAGAGAGGATCCTGACTGAATCCGCATCATTCCAATCATGTAAAATGTGTCGGAAGATATAGATATCAGCATTGTGAACGGGCTGGGGCGTGAAGAAATCGTGTTTCATGAACGTGGTCCGCGACAGCAAGGAGGAATCGTCCTTGGAGTCAGCCACGGCATGGCGCCCCATCTCTAATGCAGACAGGTTACTATCCTGCACAATGAACGTTGCTGACGGCATGAGCGGCGCCAGAGACTGCAGAGTATGTCCGCTCGATCCTCCAACCTGAGACACGTCAGTCTAAGGAAATATATCTGACGGACCACAGCGGGGTGTTGACGCGTCCGGCCAGATACTCGTGGTATTTCTTCGTCAGGTCTGCGTTACCCTGGAAATAATCGAACAGGGGCTGATCGGTCTGGTAGGCGATATTGAACGCAGCGTGCGCGGCATTCTCCGGATCGTCCCGCTTCTGCACCACATACTCGTGCGTCTTCATCAGGATACCTCCCAGGAACTCCGTGCCGAAATGTACAATGTTGACCAGGTGCGGAGTGCGTGCTAAGGCTGCCGAGGTGGCCGAATGGCAGATGATATTGGGGGACTCCTCGACGAATATCCCATTGGCGATTGAATACCGCAGTACGCGAGCTAGGAGAGACTCGGAGACGCGTGTTGCCATGGACAACTCGGAGATAGAGATCGAGGACCCGAGAGGAACCTTCTGGGGCAGTTTTAATCTGGTGATGAGGTCCAGATGGGCTGTGTCTGCCACCTGTCAGGGACCCAGGGCGTGAGCCTCATTCTGTAAGTTCAGAGGATTGATGGCACTATGACTGACCGACCAAGCCAATGTCAAGACCTGCTCCGTTTGTCCTCTCACCAGCCGACACAGGTCCTGCGCGGCGTCGAGAATCCCACTACGAGCTTCTCGCAGGGCTTTCCCCGTAGGAGTGTCGGCTTCTGTAGCGAAATCACCATAACTTGCCTCGTCTAGGGTGGGAGCAGCAAGGCCTTGCTCGTGAAGCAATGACGATAGTTTGAAGGCCTGCTTCGTGATGGTCAATGTGAGACTCTCTATGGATGCCATGGTTATTACTGATAAACTCGTAAGGTGCAATGGACCCTGCGTGCCTTGTATATGTTTCCATGTTCTATAGTCGCAGACCTGGTGACGTCATCATAGTTTGGCAAAATAAACTGCCTAGCATTGAGATAGGACACGGGGATCGATATCAACGGTGTCTTGAACACGAGAGCAGAAATACACCGAACGCCGAACGTATTACTTGTCATTTAAGGGCATATAAAATAAAATAGCCAGCGAATCTAATCCCACTGACAACCGGACAGTTCCTCCGGAAGATAAGCAGGAATTCTGTTCCGGTGCTAGCTAGATTAGAATGCCAGTCTCTTGACTCCGTATCTTGCACAGAGTCAAGCCATACCTGAACTGGACTTTGGTCTGCATCCCTGTCAAGCCTCAGCTAAACTGACTCCGTAGAAACAAGGACCGTTGCGGATAGCACCACCTTTCCCAAACGGGCAATAAGCGCACAAAGGGTATACGAGAAGACCACGAATGACAACAGGGACTAGCCGTGCCCAGACCACTCCGCCCCAAAAACACTAGTCCTGAATGGTACACTTCATAATAATCGTACTGCCTACAAGTCGGAGAAACTTGGCGACTGCTGGAAACCTCGAAATGGATTTCTTGGACAGCTGTCCATTCATCCGGATGACCCGTCGGTTGCTGCACGGAGTACCATCTGACGAGTTCTCGATGAGCACTGGAATTATTACAATTCAGGGATTATTTAGCTGACTATAGGGTACCTCTCTTTAACCCCGTTCTTCTCCTTATGCGGATTCTTAGTGGGGAAAAAACCTAAATATACAGTCCAATGAGTAATGTAATTAGGCCTGAGAGAAAAATGTAGACATTAGGGAGTCAAGTCGCATATTGTCCAGGAGCACGAATTTTGGACTGTTTATTACGTACACTGTCTCAAGAAAGTCGCCGGTACAACCACGACATCGGTGGCATTATCTAATGGGGCAAAAATACTATACCCAGCAGCTAACCATGCTGTATTTGTTTCGTGGAATGTAGCGATGGACACGGAAAACCGGTTTTTCTGCCAGCTGCTTCTTAATAGTTGTACTATCAGGTGAATAGAGTCGGACGGTCAATATTCCCGTCGTGAATACACCTGTAGTTGACTGAGCAATACTCAGCCTGAATGAAAACCAAGTGGAGCAAGTGTTCTCAAACTTCGTATTGCTAATTTATCATCTAAGTACACATAAAATAGAGAACAAGAATAAGATTCAATATAGCGTCTGATCTGCGCTACATTCTTCGAGAACAAGGGAGATGTGTGAAAGAAAAAAAGGCTGGGACTTCGCGATATGCAGCAAGGTGTTACCCTGAGAATTGTTTGTCGCATTCCTCTCCCAGGTATAGATTGTGTGGTCCTAAACCTTTGTGCTGGCCTCCAGTTGGTTACATCCATCCTGTAATTTATATGTCTGGTCTGCGTCAGAACCACAAGAGGGCGTCTGGTGATCATCCGACAATACAAACTTCTCCCCATGTTGTGCCAATTCTTTCATTCTGTCGTTCATAGCGTCCAACTGCCGGGCGGATGTGCCGATCGCGAGGGTCATCAGGAAGCCATTTGACCAAGTACGGACTCTCGAGCGTTCCGTGTCCCTCCCAATGATGGTGTAAAATTTGGTCCCAAATCGTGGTCTGCGACAGCACTAGGCGATGTAGCGAGAAACGGCTGCGCGACGCTAGGGTTTCCCCCTTACTAGAAGCCATTTAGCCCCAGTAGAAACAAATCAATGCGCAGCTTATACACGCGTTCCTAGTTAAAAGCAGAGGATAGGGAATAAAAGCTATTAGGGATGCAAATAAAGTTTGGCAGATGAGAATGATAAGAAGGGGGAGAACGGAGACGGCGGATCTCTATAGAGACAGTGTTAAAGAAGAAAATGACATTGTTCATGTTTAGTAATGATTATTAATCTCCACACCAGGATTAGAAATCAACGACAGTAGACAAAAATGCTGCCAAATTCCTGCTGCGAACTGCTTGCTAATTCAGTATTGTTCAGGTTGCATATAAATAACGATGCCCTGTAACTTTAAGCTATGCCAAGACTTGCGGGGCGCTGGTCAATCATGGCTAAGTTCACACGGGCCGTCGATCGGTTCCCGTCGAATAGGGAAAAATCGCGAAGTGACCACACTCGGGGGCAGTTTACCCTACTTGTAATACCAGATTAAAAAGGGGGGGGAATCTTTGTTCCTCTTTGGCCGCAAGAAGGGGTTTTGGCTACTTGGCAATATGGTTTCCTGCCAATTTTCCGCTGACTTTCGCCATCAGAAATCGTCCCATGTAGAACCTTGAATACTGACAACATATTCTACGATTATTAGGAACAGCACATATAATATCAGATACATCCTGAAAACTACACAGTCTGTAAATTATTAATTCTACCTAGTTAGTCCCTGTCTGTAGCCTCGCCGCCAAGCAAACAAACAAGGGAATTAAGATAAGGAACGAACAGTGACTAGAATGTAATTAATTCATCTTGTTGCTTATGTACAACATCTCTCACTAAAGTATTCGTGCTTGCTATAATCCACCATAGACGCATACATAAGCTTAAGCTTTGAGAGCGCTCGAGCCATCAGCACTGTCACTTGGAACGCTTGCTCCTCTTCTGGTACTTCGAAGCAGCCAATGTGGACCGTGTTCGTATTTAGACCGCGCAATTCACGACCACTATTAAGGTCAGCATTTGCGCACCCAGGCGGGGACGGATATTGTTCCCATAGAGGGCCTGGCATGGACCGCTGTGACGTGGGTTGTTGATCGCGGATCAGTAACTGACATCAGAATAGTGTGCGAAGACCCATCGCAAACATCAACACCGTCACACTCTCACGATCATTCTTACAGACAGGGCAACGCCACAATCGTTGCCACAGTACTCGACTCTCTTCCGTTACTTGTAGTATAATTGGGACCGACACTGCATGGTATCTGACCTGGATTTTTCGCAAGTGAGCTAGAATTTGAGCCGCCTGGTCAAGACATGCACAATTTTCCAAGACACTAAAGCTATCGGACTCAAGCCGATAGAGTGTGTTCTTATCTGTCGGGGCCAGGGGTGCGCCTTGAGCAACGTGATGCCTCATTTCAGTGAAAGACGCGTTCACCATTGGTGACAAATTTGACGCATGCAATTCCGAGCAGAAGTCATCGTGGCCCTACAAACGTTTTCATTACTTGTCAGTCAGCCAAGAAAGAGATATCTTGTCGGTTTGATGCCGATTTATGTGCCATCCCAGGGGATATACAAGTGTGTCCAGCTCGAGGATACTCAGTTGGGTCTGCGCCTCCAAACTAGCGAAAATATCGCTAGGCTGCTCCCACGAGAATCCAGACACTGTCTATATTGAAGTTCTCATTATTGTCCTTATGTATCGGGATCCCTCCTCTAAAATACTCCTGAATACATTATCCCCGTGGAGTATGGACATCGCGGTGTCCTTCCCATTTAAATTAATTTCTGCTCCTATAATAGCCCCTGTTGTTCTTAGTTCCTCCGTTGCCATTCTTTGCCCTCTCCCTCTGAGGGGTCTTTTTATTCTTTTCTACCATACGAGGATATCATCCTTGAATACTGGTGCACAGCGGGACAGAGGCGCCTGTTTTCTCCGTTCTTCGTGGCTCAAGTTGGGGCCAAGTACCTAAACCCTGGGCCAGAGTCATCCATTGTCTTGACAACGGGTACGTCGTCTGAGAAACCGATTGCCGGATGGCCCGTGGTGTCGTCGTATTCTGCGAGCCTGAAGGGGTTGACGGGGAATCTAGTACTGGATTTGAAGCTGGTCAGAGTAAATATGTCAATCCTGTTTTTGTGAAGACGGAGATCTGGGGACATCAGATGGAGGAGGCGCGGAATTGTCTGTTTGACTGAATTAAAACGAGTACTCCCTTGCAGAAGATTGGATCCGCTGAGGAAGTTGCGGAGACCAATTCGGGAATGAAGCTGTGAGTTGGATTTTGAATGGGTTTAGTGTTCTACAACACAGATGAATATTCGTCCGTAATATTTGTTGTATATGGTCTGCTAGAAGCCTTATATATGAATATGGTGTCTTTCCTCGATTCGTGCATACTGAAAGGCCCTTACCGTGTTGCGGACTGTACGGGGATCCAAAGTCCTTAAGCCGTTTCCCATCTGTGATTTCTAATACTATAGATGTCTTGTTAAGGTATGTGATGGATTTCCAATTTATCTTTCGATGATCACCGCATCGTCAGGGAAGCTCGAGTCAAGGCACAGTTCATGGTTGCCCGCTCTGACCAGCTTATACCAATTGGATGTGCGTGGAGACATTCGATCTGCTTGTTGAGTTCTGAGTTCCGGATTGGATTAGATCGCCTGCAGGGATAATAATGTCGCTGTCAGGTAATTTTTGGCTGAGTGTTATCAGTGTCGGAAACGCAAACGACACGAAGATGATGCCGATACTGCGACGTGCTGTTTTTGCAGCCGTAGCTGCATAGGAACTGTGCTGTGACTCTCAACGGTTATCAATGAAGCGTTTCCAAGTACTTTTCTGCTCGGGACGGTGCAGGAGGGTATCTGGTTCTAAGTGTCTGTTCAAGGCCATGAGATAGGGTATATCTGGTTTCATGATGAAATTATGAAATGTCCAAATCATATGTAGCCTTCACAATATAGATAGTAAAGCTCAGTAATTAACCCTGACGTTAGTGCAATCTCATAGTACATGCTTTTAAACTACTAGGGCAAGTAACGATTTTATGTAGGAAATACCAAGGAAACAACGTAAAAAAAATAATGAATCAGAAAAATAGAATGAGTTGATACAAGAAATATATCCATTAACGGCAGTATTATTTTTATTATTATTATTCAATCAATTTTAATGTCCTTACCAAGTCTCCTTCGTCATGAAAGATGGAGAAATATATAAATCTACATAGTGGGAGGCACGCCAGATCCATCTTAGCTGGAAATCACTAGATACAAAGTACTGGTTACAGAGACTGGTATTATTTGCATAATTCACAACTCTAGAATAGGCAATATAGGTACACTCTCTACTATACGTCTTCAATGAGCTCTATCCCAATGTTCTGGAATCTACAACCCTAATCGATAAGCAGGATGCAACCTCAGGCTCGCTAACCACGGTCAACTCGACTAGTCGAGTCTAGTTAGTCCTCTCGGCCTGTTGATGCCTTACGCAGCAAAGAGAACGTCCCCGCTTCCTTTCTTCAACATAGCTCATCCATCATGCCATCCTCTTCAGTTGTCTACCAATCAATCGAGGTCGACCCCGACGAAACCTCAATCGACTCTTCCAGCACCTCTCTCGCCTCCTCCATCTTCAAATACCAATATCGCCATGGTCGGCGCTACGCCAGCGCCCGCAACGGCAATTATCTCTTCCCCAATGACGACCCCGAACAGGACCGACTCAACATGGTCCACCACACCTACTTCCGCATCCTGAACGACAGACTGTTCCTCTGCCCCATTGACCTCACCAACAAGCGAGTCCTCGACATTGGCACCGGAACCGGTGCCTGGGCCATCGATGTCGGCGATAGGTATCCCTCCGCTGAGTCCATCACAGGAGTAGATATCAGTCCTATCCAGCCGTCCTGGGTACCGCCCAACGTGAAATTCTACATCGATGATGTAGAGGCAGACTGGGTCGGCCAAACGTACGACTTTATCCACTGTCGGTACATGGCCGGTTCGATCAGCGACTGGCCACGGCTAGTAAGACAATGTTATAACAATCTCAAGCCGGGCGGGTGGATCGAATTCCACGAAACAGCAAATGTGATGTACTCCGAGGATGGGAGTTTGGATGCCAATGGCCCCATTATGACGATGATGAACGGGTTGATGCTCGCTTGTGATATGATCGGGCAGACGATGGATCCGGCACCCAAGATTAAGGGATGGGTAGAAGACGCTGGGTTTGTAAATGTGACAGAGCAACGGTTCAAGTTGCCGGTTGGGAGTTGGCCGCGTGATGAGCGGCTCAAGGAATGTGGCAGTTTATTGAGGGTGAACTTTGTGGAGGGCGTGGATGCCTTCACCGCTGCGCTGTATACGGAAGTCCTGGGGTGGAAGAGAGAAGAGGTGCTGGTTTTGAATGAGCAGGTTAGGAAGGAAGCCGTGGATGGCAGCGTGCATGCGATATTCGATTTTTTGGTGATTATCGCACAGAAACCTGCTCAATAGCTGCGGTGTGTCTATTTTTGTATATACTGGATGTACATAGAAAACTCTATAGTAGCGACCTAGTTAACAACCATTCGTTAACCAGTTCACAACTAGTCGCTAACTTAATATATACCAGGGTGGCAAGCTAACATCTGTCTGGTATGCATGGTATCGGGGATAACCATTTGTTAATTAGCTCCTAGCCAGTTACCAACTAACTAAAGGTTCTTCTCAGAGTATCATAACCAGCCATGTCCCAGCACAGCAGACAGCAGGGAGTAAAAACTACTAGTTATGAACTAGTCACAAAGAAAGGCGAAAATGGGGGCGAGACGGTTCAAGAGAATTGTAATGTATTGAAAAAGAGAGGGCGAGTCAGCTGGAGAAATAGACGGCTGCCACCCACTCTGCCGCTTATTTCCTAGGAATTTGCCAATGGTCGTCGCAGGCTGATAACTGCGGATAAGCGGCAATTCTTTGTGTATTCAGAGTCGTACTGTCCCCGCCATCCCGGGATTCTTTGGCTTGGTACTGTGGCAGAAATTTGTGCTAAAAGTGAGCCAGGCGGAACCGGCTGTCTACTATATTGTGGTTGCTCTAAGCGTGGTCCATAAGGACGCCGAGATAAAAGGAATAATACTGGCAGATGGGTCACTAGAGAATAACCAGTGGCAATGGGTTTGTGCTTGAGCAATTAGGACGCTCTTTCAGCCTTTTAACTTAAACTTACAATTCCCTGTTAAAGAGGTTATTCTGGTGTCTACTTTTTGTTATACAGGAATTGCTGCAGGGACAGTATAACAATGCATTTAAATATTTTTAAAGTGGCCTACGCATCCTGAAAGAATTACAGGCCCATGAGCAGCGAAGCATCGACTTTGAACGTGGATAAATATCTGGTGGCTGCCTTTGCGCATCTGGATATTTAATCCGTGCAGTTCGGCGTCAGGAGCGCCCTACTGTGCATTGACCAGGGAATCGAGATCAGATGGCCATGTTGGTAATTAGTACTGTCCAAGAGGGATGCTAGGCCTTTAATATTACTGCTAGTGTTGTTTTCGCTTTCTGGAAAAGTGCTAATTGATATCGGATGCGTAGATCGCCGATGGGTATAGCTCCTTGGATCTGACAGAACACAACTTCTATCCCAGACAAACCATGTGAAATGCTATTTCATCATTTCTGTGAAAAGGCTGTGCCAGACTTAGGAGCATATATGCTTCATCTACTGATGGGCAGACGCCTGCAAGAATAGACCTAAATGCAGATGGTCGCCACAGGTCATTAGGCGAGTCTCAAAACTCGCCTGTAAAGAGTGGGTCATTGTGAATAGACACACAAGAATAGTTACAGTGGTAGCCTGCACATCGCTTGTTCGCGAGAGGTTGGGTTAAATGAAGCCATCTATCTATACATTCATCCAAGTGTACACATTATCAATGATTTTCATTCTCTTAGTCGGTCGGGGCGAGGTAATCAACAAAAGGCCATCCGTCTCCCGCGGTTTCTATACTTTCAGACTGGCGAACTTTGTCTCTCAATGTCTGTTCTACTAGCGTAGAACCGTTTTGGTATCCATTCAACGCCGCCAACTGGATCGAGATCACAGGTATTATGGTACGAGCTTGGGCTACCATCAGATAGGTGCGTGACATTTTGTTCTGAGAACAGCTCAGACTGTGCTCTATTTGGAGTATTGGTAACACGCCGCTCGACATTGGAACAGTTCTCCCTTTCTTGCTTTTCGTTGGAGCAGGGATATCTTTCAGCATAGACGCTTTTGGCGGTGGCCCCCACCGGGATACCTGGACTCAGCATCTGAATTATTCGTTGTTCATATGCAGATGCAATATGTGGAATATCCCTTCCAGAATAGAGTCAGTTTCAAGCACAGCACTCTGCTATGTCGGATATGATGTCGGAAATGATGGAGACGTACTCCTTTTCTTTTATACCTTGAATCGGATAGGCCCCAACTGTCGCGGTGCAATTTTCCCAAACATCTGGAACATCTTTAGGTATATTTCTCTTAAATTGTATATTCCAAGACAGTAAATGTGCTGCTGAAGTTTCTGGTGAGACTCTCTTAGCGTTGGAACGTTGCAGCTGCTGTGGCTTCGCATTTGAGTGACCCCCACAACTTTTCAATCCTACTTCGCTTGACGGCATATTGTTCGAAGTAGTTACAGTAAAACTGTGCGTAATAAAGGAATGGCGAGCAACCGCTCTTTCATGAATTCTTTTGTCCCAGAAAGAGTTGCCATGCGAACGCGGGGCCGTATGGGCCACTAGTGGCTGCAGTGTGCCCAATAATCAAGGAAGTTGCTCAAGGCCGTAGTAGTAACAAGGAATTTTGCATAGGCTATTTCTTTAATCGGACACGACAGTGATATGACAATTCTGACCCTGGCGAAGCCCTGAATATATGCACTTGCGTCCTTTGTTCTAGTACGTCGAGGTCAGAAAATTATCCTGGGTCTAGTACGCCGATATTAATGACTCTACTACGTAGATCTTAAAAGCTTGTAGAAGTCTTTGAACCTATTGTTTACATCACGGGCAGGGCAAAAACATCATCCCTTGCGTCGCAGATGAATGCCGCTTCAAGGCTTGATACCTAGGAATGACAATAGTTTTTCTGCTATTAACCTCTTCTAGGGTCAATTATTCAAGGGAACGTAAGTAAAACTTTAATTGGTAGCCATCATTGTCTCGTTCATCCAACTCAAGCAAGGGGTGGTATGCCCGCTCAGCAAGAGGAATGGCGAATGCCATGGAATCCTTGCTACGGATATCTTTACGCAGAGATTATTTTTTGTTTTCCTAGGGCTATTCGGATCTAGAGCCTAAGCTTGGGCCAATGTTTCAAACCAGTCCTTGTGATCGTGGAATGAAATATTTCTGCACGAGACTATGGTAGGTTGAATGTGCTGGATTTTATTGATTTTATCTACTGTTCAGGAGGAACACTATAAGCGAACACATACATGCTCGAAATTCCTGTGTAGGGGATTGGGGTGGTTTATGGCACCGAGGATCATCTAGCTCCGCGACGCATATATTCCTTCCCTCTCTATAACGGTGTTAAGTCCTGGTGGCGCCCAAAGCTGTTAAACACAAGGATAAAACTTCCAGCCGTGATCTTGAAAACCCATACCTTTACACTCCTCCAAACATCGACAACGGCGGATTAAGATGCTACCCTTTCTCGACTAAAACGTCCTCTAGGGGAAAAAGACCATGTAGCCGTACCTTAGTCATGTCCAGTTACTGTGTATACTCCCTATTACATATGCAATTTGCGATCGAACCGTTCTTTCTTACTATTTTAAGGTTATTTTTCTCTGTCTCCGATACACAGCTCCCGTGCCCCTGGAATGATGCAACATGAACTTTACTCCTTACGGTGGGCCAAAAATATATAATCCCCTTTGATGTACCCGGGCCTGAATGGCTTAAAGTCACTGAAAATCTACCTATATTCCTTTAGTTGGCTATTATTAGTTTTAAGTCCTATTCTTGAACACTATTACTACCGGCACAAAGCAACTCGGTACTCTTATTTTCTCTATTGCTAGTGTAGCATTATTTAGTGGTGTAATTGCGCACAAGGACGGTTGCTATGAGATTAAAAACTTCGGACACAAGAAAAATAATTGCGGTTATTGTCTTCCAGGGTTCGAATTTATCCCAAAGGGCATTTCCTGTGACTCTAAGGTCCAGTGCTGCATTGGTGACTGCTGTCCACGCTATTGAGCGAATAGACAATTCAGCCTTATTCCACGCTTCTAGGCATCAACAATCAGACAAATTAACCAACTGGAGGAAATACTGAAACGGATGGGTTCCCAGTCGTGAACTTCCTGTTGAGTTGGCTAGGGTTAGGATAGGATTCTTACATATATATGCTGTGTGCTAACAGAATTGTTCTCTGGTTCTTCGTGAATGCCAAGTTGTACGATTGCTATATGTGTTGATGTGGTACCAACGGTCTAGCACGTCTTTAACAGTAGGCTACTGGCAATCTCGCATACCCACCAAGTGTATGCTTTAAGATACTACTTCATGGAGCATTAAATCTTTTCCTTGCAGCTGCCCGGCAATTTTGTGATCTTTTGGATTGCACGATAGAGATGTATGGTTAGTCACCGTCGTTTAGCTGCGATACACGATAAACTTTATGTGTTTGATGCCGACGGGCATTCGTGCCGAGAATAGCGCAATTAATGATGATGACAGCAGCCAAGGAAGAGTGCTGTCGCACTTACTTTTAAGCTGATGCTTTCAAGCTTCTTCCCCGGCCCCATAAAAGAATAGCACTACTAGTTTGTAATTTTTTATCAGTAAATACTCTGCCTCCGCATGGCTTTCTAGGAGAACACTATGATCGAACGTCTCAGCATCCCCTCAGTGGAGACTTTCCTGTATGTTTCATTATGTGGATTAGCAGTGTTCGATAGTCATTCATTAATTCGACACCTCGTAATGCTCGTGCATGATTAAGAGATAACTTTATGAGCGAATGAATATCAGAGCATGGAACGTCAGGTCTAGTCTGAGCCAAATTGTAGGCGACTAGCCTCGTCATGACGAGCGGCTTGAACTTCTTTTGGACTTCATTGGATGGTAACGGGTCAGGCAACACAGAATTCAGCTAGCAGGAATGTTTTGTATACATCATTACGAATGGTCGTGGATCTTTCCGTTGCTTTCTCGCGATAGGGCTTTCATCACTAATGTAACTAATCTTTTGAGACGAACCCCAAATCGTAGATAGGTAATTTGTCAAGGGTGACGGGAGCTCTACAAGAATGTGAATCTTTAAGTATCGGTTCCTACCGACATAGCTATCAAGTGTTACCACTTTCATGAGCTTCTGTGTCAAGGTTACTATTCCCACTTTGCGTTTCGAGGTTGACAGCGTGACTAATCCCTTTTTTGGTGAGTTACGCGCAAGGGAACATAAGTTCATTACTGATCGGCGCCCATAGTTAACAGAATTAGGAAGATATAATATT